GCACATCGTGCGGATTTAACATTTAGTAGAAGACTATACCAAAACATCCTGCAATGGAATTTTTATTGGTGTAATGGAATTTTTTTAACATTGCAACACCAAGCCAAGGCTTTTGTGTGTTATTATTATTATTTTTTTTCCCTTCAGGTCTTGTCCTTCAACAAATATTCAAATTCAACGCATATATATTCTTTAGTTTATGTTTGGACATTAACTTCTGGAAATTTATTAGGAGTATCTATGGTCTATAGAGAGTAGGGAAGACAGGAAGAGACACCGACCCAGCTCGGGGGGTGTGGGTTTATGTGGTGAGGTGGGGACCACAAGGCAGTCCCCCATTGAGTACAATGATTCGGTCCGCCGCATGATTGGCCGACCACACCTTCCTACGTGGCCGACCCCGTCCACATCACTCTTTGCCGCCCCCCGTCCCGGCTTAATTCGGTTTGCGAATTCTTGTTACTTAAATATAATATGTGAATCGGATGTTTAAGAAAAACAACATCGATATATTTGAATCAGCTGTAAAAAGTATTTATTTAGAATTTTAAAGAGAGTAGTTAATTATAAACAATAGTGATTAGTGAACACAGTTTCATGATAATTGTGTACTTTGTTGAAGAAGGGAAAATGAATGTGCATGATTTGATTTAAGGTGGGTTGTCAACTGATATGAATAGCCCAGCAAGACAACAACCTCATATCAAATCGACTTATATATATATATAAGCTTTGAGAGTTTGACTTATACTACTCAATTTGGATGGAGTAAATATTCAAAGTTAATTAATCATGATGACTAGGGTATTTAATGATTAATAACCAATCCACTAATTATTATGTGTTCGATTGATAAATATGATTCATAAATTAAACTAAAGGGTGCCAAGAAATATATTCAACCAAATTAGATTAAACCATGCACCGGATATTTGGTTCACTTTGTGTTTTCACAAGTATTTATTTAATTCATTATTTATATTTAATTCTCTACTATTGTAGTTTTGCTCCGGCAACAAAGAATTACTCTCTCTTTTTCAAACAAACAAAAAAAATCATTTTGGATGGGAATAAAATATAGCAATTTGGAGTTGTAAAAGTAAATAAGTTTTTTGCCAAAAGGAAAAAAGGAAACAAGATAAACTACGTTTCGAAAGGAGGAAAAAAGGACACGAACTTGGGCCGGCTAATGGGATCGTAATTAGTATATCTTAGTCTCAAAACGAGAAACAAAATTCATATCCGAAATAACTAGTACTGTAAAATGCGAAGAAAATGGCGAGCCGACTAACCAAAAAATTAAAAAAAGAACCGCCGAAGGTGGAGTTTCTTTCTTCCAGCCGGCCGACCTGATCACTCTACAAGTGGAGGTAACATCTCTAGCGCTAGTGATTTAATTTGTTTCTACAGCTGTTGTTTCATTGCTGCTATGTAATCTCACTACCCAATCATGAATGGATTTTTATAGCTATATAGAGCATTGTTCACTCACGCACATAGATTATATATACTCCCTTTTGTGATCCTGTTTAGTTTTTTCCTTAATAATTTGTAGCTTAAAATTTTATGACAAATTAAATGGAACATATTTCGAGTTTCTTTTGTACGGATTGAATCAGGTTGTGCATAGTAATTTGGTGTCACATTTTGGATATCCCCAAAGATAAAGAAATCTAGGAAACGCACATAAGGTGAGCAAAGTGGATAAAATTTCAAACAAGGAATAAATAAAGAGTACAACACTACAACGTGAGATATTTGGGGATACTAGGGGGCCAGAAGGATACTGTTCTCACTTTACGTTATCTACATTGTCAAAAAAGAAGTTCTTTTGGGTGTAAGAAATTGGGGCGGGGGAGGAGAAGAAAATCCGTCATGAATTAAGAATATTTGCTCTCCAAAAATGATATATTGTAGTTTTCATACTAGGAATAAATTAACTTAATTATTCTATGGTGTTATCCCTGGTTATTTTTCCCTTTGCTTTTCTGTTTTTTTTTTTTTTTGAAATCCCTACAACAATCGGTTTGGTGGTTTATCTTCTACGTAAAGCAGAGACCAAAGAGGCAAACAGAGCTGACACTAGTACACTACTTCTCTCCACTTTTTTCCTCCAAACTCTACGTTTTGGGTCCAAAAGACTCTTCTTGATCTTTTTTATTTTTAAAATTTTTTTTTATACGGGTTGCTTCTCCTTAGTACTTGTCGATTGAAATCATTGGTCTTTTTAGTTTCACTACCTAAAATGAAAACTAATATTCTAAAATATCAGTTACTTCTTGTACTGATAACGAAGCTTTTAAAAAAAAAAATTATACTTTATTTGGACCTTTAGAGGCTAAGTTGTAACTACTTTTGTGTCCAACTTACTCGCAAAGAAAAAGTTAATAGGAGTTTTAGCTTACTGTATTGTACACAAACTCCAGGTCTTTTTGAGGATAATGGAGAATACTGGAGATGGACGATTTCGAAATCTGATATACGTCGATCTGCAGTACTCACTGTTTACATATTGTATCAAATCAATCAAATAAATGCCTGATTCATACCTTTTATGTTGTTGTTACTTTAGTCAATATTTATTTGGAAAGTTTTACTTCCTAAGAAAGATTTTCTCGGTGCAAATAAGGATTAATTGAATAAAAATTTCAGACACCGAATTACATGATTATGTTTAAGTTTAATAACATAGTAACTTTTGGTTAATTAGAATGTAACATTTTGGAATAATCTATTTGTTTCATCTTGAAAAAAAATAAAAAATATATATTGAGATAGAATAATTATTATTATATTATATTATACAAAAACCATCGAGAAAATCAAACAAACAGAGAAAAAACGAAAAGGAGGAGTTGAGAACTTGAGCCAGCCAAAGGGGTTCAATATTTGGAACGGAACTCAAATTTAACACGTGAGCCCGCAAAACTGAACGCGCCACAGAAAAGAACGGGGGACACCAGCTGATGAGGGTCTGGACAAGGACACGTGGAACTTTTGGTTATTATTGGCCGGCTTAGACCACAGCGGTCTGACCTTCCAGCTCCAGGTCCCGGAAAATGTTGGAAATTAAGAATATATAGTTAAACACCCCCGCCCCACCCCAAGAAAAAAAAACCAAAAAGAATATGTATTAGACAAGTAAGAAAAACTCGTACTTGGTAAATTTTTAAAGAAATTGAAGTAAGTGGAGCTAAATAACGCGTTAAGCAAACAGTAGGGTCTAGACGAGGTAGTCAACAGACAGCCACCTAGTCTAGATTTTTATGCTTCTAGTTCTAGGTCATCTGTTTGCCTCAGAAACCCTAGACAATTTTTATTCATTTTTTTGTATCTAACTTGGAAAATGTTGCTGTTAGTCATAAATATTACAATAAATCAAAAAAATAAATAAATATTACAATTGTCCATCCGATCATTGATAATCATTATTTCATTTTGATTGTTTTATACAATATTTTGAAATATGAGTTTTATTCAGGAAAAAAATGTTATTCGGGAATTGAATGAGCCTAGTGGTTAAATTGCTGTCTTTTCAGGCTTCGATTCCTACCAGGGGTTGTAAAGGAGTTTTATCCACATTTAAGTGGGTCCACTGGGCTGAATTTTTTTTATTAAAAAAGAGAAAGAGTTATTCATGACTAAAATTAATTCTAACAAATAATTAACCGTTGTAACTTTCATTGCAAATTAAGGTTAATAAAAGGTAGTAGTAAACCCAAAAAAAAAAAAAAAAGAAGGCAAAACCCATGTGTTATAAAATGAACTCAGTAAAAGTCTTCCACAGTATAATATGCATCTATTTGGTTGGCCAAAAATATATAAGAAAGTTACACATTTTAGAATACGATAACTTTATAATGAGATGAACACAGAATTTTTGTATACATAGTATGTTAATGTGAGTTTTCATTTCTCAATTCGTCATTTTATTTCGTAGGCTTGAAAAAATTGGTATAATGCGATTGGGTTTAAAGGAGAAGAAAATCTTCTTTTTTTTTTTTCGCACCTTCATGTGATCATGAATATGCCCCGCCCAAGACTGCAAATAGCCTAACAGAAAAAATCAGAGTTTCATAATAGCTGCACCTAGAATTGGTAAAGTTCCAATGACTTATGGACAAATGTGTTATTGATAAACTATAGATTTTAGAGAGCTAAGATATTACAATTATTGTTTCCCCCCCGTAATTGAGTAATATTTAGCTATCACATTCATGGCATGATTGCTTTTAATCCCATCTGTGATGGAATCGGCAGGTGTAAGTTGGAGTGGCAATTTTGATAATGCAATTTTTCCCCTCTATTTTCTTTCTTTCTTTTTTTTTTTTTTCTCTCCTAACAAAAGTTAAGGAAAAGCAAGTATTTTGACTAACAAACGAAAATTGCACATGTAGCTTGCTAAATCTAAGACAATCCTTCGACATGAGTGTATCAAATTATTTTAGTTTATCGCGACATGAATTTTATTTTTTGTCGAAAGAATAAATAACTAAAGAAAAACCTAAAAAGGGAGAAGGAAAAAAAAGTAAGTCCAAAAAAAAAAAAAAAAAACAAAGGGAAAAGGAGAATGGGTGAACAAGGGAGTGACGTCAGCAATGGGGTCAAGCAGCAAACCATGCGCAATTGAGCGGTCCTCCTCCTCCCTTTCTCTCTTCTCTTCTTCTTCTTCTTCTTCTTCTTCTGCCACTTTTAGGCTTTTCTAGTTTTCATTTCCTCCACACACCCTTTTGTTTCCTTTGCTATGTTTATATAAACTTGTCTCTCACTTCCTTCTGTGGACTCATGACTTAGTAAGCTCTCTCTCTCTCTCTCTCTCTCTCTCCTTCAACTTAAATCTCTGCTTTCACTCGTTCCAGAGAAATTTTATATAAGCATTCATATCCCTCTTCTTCAAGAATTAATTCCTTCTTGTCTTTGAGCAATTTAATAAAGTTATAGAGCCCCTGTGTCAAAGTGTCAACCCTATCTATCCTCCCTTCTTCAGGTATGGTTCTAGCTAGCTTGTAAAACCTAGACTGAATCCAATCTCCTTGATTAATGCAACATCTATTTCACCAGCATTTCCTTGAATAAAATATATTAGGTTTAAGCTTTCTTTTTGCTGCTTTGATCCCTCTAGCATGTTTGGACATCTCTGTGTGTGTGTGTGTGTGTATGAGAGAGAGTGTGATATAGTTAATGAGGAAGTTTTTCAAACTGTTTGATGATTGATTTTTTCTGGGAATATACATTCGAACTCGCGCGGCGGCCTAGAAAGTTGAAACTAATATTCCCAATCATTGGCCTAACTGCCACTCATCCTTCTTCTTCAAATTTCTTTCTTACCTTGAAGACACAAATTCTAGAGTACTAGACAACTAGAGAGAGGAATTCAACGGGATCATATTCATTCGTTTTTCCGTATATATGTTTCCTTGACATATTGTCCAGTGTGAGAGAAAGGACCAGTTTTTTTTTTTTTTTTTTTATATATATACTTTTATTCAGTTAGTTGTAGCCTGCAGCCAGGACTCGCTCTTCTGTTCTTTCTCTGAACCTATCGAAGTGATAAAATTTGAAAAGAAGTCAGAATGCTGCCAAGTTTATTCCAGACAAAAAAGACATATGTTCTTTCACTCTTAAACCATTCCAAATCATCATCATCATCATCATCATCTTAGATTATTTCTTGCATCGATGTTCGTGCCCCCTTCTTTTTTTTTCCCCTTAAAATTTATCTTTTCTTTCCTTCAAGCAGGCTCTGATCCAAGGAAACCGTGCACTTCCTCCTCTTTTTGGTTTTAGGCCCCCCTAAACTTTTTCCGAAACCTTTCAAAATCAACTTGGCGCGTGCTTAATTTTATACTCTTCGACTTTCATGACATCATCTTCACCCTTTGGTCTTTAACATTCTTTGAATGATATATATCCATCTAAAAAAATAAATAAATAAAATCAATCTTTAACTAGTTGTAGGAATGTTAGTTTATCCCCGTTGATTTCTGGGGAATCGCGTACACATAGTATATAGTTATAAATGAAAATTAGGGTGATAGAAATCTTGATGATGAAGGCCCCTCAGCTTCTTGATTTCATCATTTCACCATTCTCCACCACAAGACAACATCATTAGTGCAGACCTTTTCACAATTTTACTTGTCCGCTTCTACATTAGTACCTTCCAATTCTTGTAAATCATGGCCATTAATTAGCTTTAATTGATCCCAGCCCCCCACCCCCCTGAATTCATTCCTTATAGACGTAATTAACATTTAACAAGCTCTCATCATTTTCCTTTTTCCTATCTCATCAATCTTAATCCACTATAATTACATCAATTTCCATATGCAAGTACTGTTTTAAAAGTTTTAGAAAATAAAAAAAGAAGCTTTTATGAGTGACAAAGTCCTGTAACCTTCTCGAATTGAAATGTTTTTGATTGTTGCTTACCACCATATATGCATGGTCTTGATGATTATTTCTCATCTCTCTTGTCTCACACTTGTCATGTCTTGATTTGAGAGCTTCAATTACTATTAGCCTGTCCCTCTCATATTTCTATATGGTACTTTGCTCCTGTGTGTGTGCACATTCTACAACAAAGAAAAGGTTATGATTTGAACATGATACGCAGATATATATATATATATATATATATATATTATTAACATGATGATTTCTTAATTAATTGGTGGTGAATTTGATGCATGTAGAGCATCAGCTGAGAGACCATGATGGATACAGCAGAATCATGTGTTCCTCCAGGATTTCGATTTCATCCAACGGACGAAGAGCTTGTAGGGTACTACCTAAGGAAGAAGGTTGCATCACAGAAGATTGATCTTGATGTTATTAGAGACATTGATTTATACAGGATTGAACCATGGGATCTACAAGGTATACTTAATAGTTTCCTTTTTTAGCTAAGCCCTTAGAGTAGGGTTTCTTGTTTTTTTCCTACATTTTTATTGCTTGAAACAGAGATGTATAAGAATGTTGTACTGATTTGTTTGGACAGATAAATGCCGGATCGGGTATGAAGAACAGAATGAATGGTATTTTTTCAGTCATAAAGATAAGAAGTATCCAACCGGGACAAGGACAAATAGAGCAACCATAGCCGGGTTCTGGAAAGCAACCGGTCGAGACAAGTCGGTTTACGACAAAGCAAAACTCATTGGGATGAGGAAAACTCTGGTTTTCTACAAAGGAAGGGCACCAAATGGCCAAAAAACTGACTGGATCATGCATGAATACCGTCTGGAATCCGAAGAAAATGGCCCTCCTCAGGCAAGTTGAATTTTTCATAAAGCAAGGAAGTAAAAAAAAAAACACCAAGTTTTATTGCCATAAATTTCCATCCCTTTTAAGCCAAAAGTTCAAAGAAAATCTTCTAAAGTTATAGGTGTCCCCTGGAACTTTTAGTGCATGCGACATTTTCAGTTTGGGTTCACTTTGTTCACAGTCTTGTTTATACACGATAAAAACTGTGGTTTTCTTCTTCTCCTTTTTTTTTTTTTTTCCTTTAACTGGAAATTCCTGTCGAAACCTAAGGATTACATGAGGATCATTAATTCCTCCAAAGGCTAATTACTACTGTAGTGTACAAAAGGGCCCATAGTTCCAACTTGTAAGGTAAGAAATCATAGGACTTTCCATGCATGTTCTTATACTTCTGAAAAATTCCCGCATGCAAAATACTTAAAAAGAAAGATCTCTCATCAAAGTCAAAAACTCAACAGTAAATTAAATGATCAACACACTTTCTCCAATATGTAGTGCCATTCTCGGTGTTCATCAATGTGAACCTTCATCAGTTACACATATTCTTACTCTTAAAGTTCATCATTTTGCTCCATTGACTACATCCTTTTACTTTCTTTTTTTTTTTTTTCTAAAAGCTAGCCTAAGAACTACAAAAACAAAAGACAACAAATTAAATCCCAAAAAGAAAAAGAAAAAAATTCTAACTAGATATATATTTGGTTAATGTACAGGAAGAAGGATGGGTGGTTTGTCGAGCATTTAAGAAAAGAACAACAGGGCAAAGTACAAAAAGCGTGGAGACTTGGGACTCAAGCTACTTCTACGATGAACCAAGTGGAATCAGCTCCGTTGTGGATCCTCTCGATTACATTACGAAACAGCCTTGTTCAAACTATTTGTCCCACCAGAATTTCATCTGCAAGCAGGAGTTTGATCATCAACAACAACAACAAGCAGCAGATCACAACAACTTCAGTTGTTTCATCAATTCTGATCCCTTTGGACAGCTTCCCCAGCTTGAAAGCCCGTCTTTGCCCTTAGCCAAACGGTCCAGCTCAATGTCATTAGTATCAGAATACAGTACTCAAGACGAGGATCATCAAAACCTGATCAGGGGTGATATTGGTAGCAAGCAAAAAGTTACAGATTGGAGAGATCTGGATAAGTTTGTGGCTTCTCAGCTCAGCCATGATCCGGAAGTAAGATACGAACATCATCAAGGGGATGCGGTGACGTCATCATCGGCTGGATTGTTCGAAGGACTTGATGATAGTTCAGATTTGGGATATTTGCTATTGGGTGGAAGGGAAGAAGGGTCTTCCAAGTTGATGAATGGGTTCTTGAGTTCGGGCTCTGATTGCGATATTGGAATTTGTGTATTTGATAAATAAAAAGAGTATGGTTTTTTATATTCAAATTAATCAGGGAGTAGTACGTATTCTTAATCCATATGAATGTTTTTACTTACTACGTATAGTTAATGTCCCAGTTCTGATATGGTGATATGTGTTCTTGGAAGAACAGATACTGAGATCAGAACAAATATTGTTATCTTGTAAACAAAAAAAAAAAAAAAATGGTTTGATTTTTTTATGGAAGGCGGTAGCTCAAATATACTACCAACAAAAATTATTGCATGAAATAATTTGAGAGATGATGCTTCTCGTTAGATTACATTGATGTGTAATTATTTGCTCTCTTCGTGAGATAATATTGATTACATTAGTTTTCATGTTTATTACTGTTGCAGTGCTCCACACATACACGCAAAAACAAAAACAAAACAATTAGAATATGAAGAAGTAAAAAAACAAAGTTGGAAGTAAAAGGAAAAAGAGAAATATCATAACCATCTCATAATTCTTGATCGTCCACATTGAGAAATAATCATGTAATTCCCAAAAGATTTTCGGTATCATATTTTTTTAATATGAAATCCTTTGAATAATTCAGGGGTGATCCGAGTAATATATCAAACAAAAAGAATGATCCAAATATTCAAAGCTGCAACTGAAAATTAATAAATTTTGGCTCAAGGAGATGAATATATAAGTGTTGGATTACATCGCAAGTTTTGCTTGTTGCACTATCAGTGCCCCAAGTTTCAAGGCAAAATCCATGGTTTCTCAAAAACTTAGGATCACTTTCAAAGCAAACTAAGCAATCAAGTAAAAAGACTCTATTAATTCCCATTTATATAATCTTGAGCTTGTTTCCTTTTCTAGGGATACAAATGAACCACTCAGCGTGCCTGCAAAATGTTTAGTTCTTTTCTGACTATCTAGTTTGGTTAGCCAATGGTTACAAGTCATTACAACATAGTGAAACAATAGACATGAATTGAAAAGAAAGAAAGAAAGTATAAATGATGTATGACTAGCTTGCTGCTACTCAGATTTGCCGGTGCAGTGAAAAATACTTTGCATGATTAAAGATGGAATAAGATGATAGCGATTGATTAATATTTTGAGCTATCGTGGTGAACTAGAATTTGCTGCATTTTTTGAGCTCTATATGAATCTTATAGGTTGCAATAGTCTCGCATTTCTTATTGGACTGTCGGTTGAGTAGTTCTAGCCTTTTATTTTACATATCCTTTTGTGCATTTTCAGTTTGATGAGATATATATTGCATGATGATCATACATATAGATTCAAAATAGCGTGGGAAGATCAAGATGAATTTGTCTTCCTTTTAAGCTCCCAAGTCCCTTTCGAAAGCGCCCCCCCAAAAAAGGGAGGAAAAGAAAAACAAACTCTCAAATGGTCCTAATTCCTAAAGATGCATCACTTAATGAGTGGTAAATGTCCTGCTACTAGAGTTCTCTTCCAAAAAACATGTAAACATTCCCAAGGATGTGTTAACATCCATCGTCAAAAACCCTTTCAAATTTAAATCAATATATATAATGACAAAAGAAGGAGAGATTATGATTAGTTTGCTCTCAAGAATGATGGAAACAGTTTGAGATAGCGGCATGCATTAAACCATGCCTGGAGCAGCTAGTAAAATAAAAGAGTTCAAGTATATACGTGTTAAGCAAAACAAAAAGAGTTCGATTTAAGTGTGGGAGAGGGGCTAAAAGAACTTTGATTCGCATTCATCACTTAATTTAGTGGATAACTGGGGAAGAGAGTAGTACTAAATGCAGAGAAGATGGAGAACAACAGTTCGAATTAATGAATGATACAAAAAAAGGTTGGTGCCTTTTTCTTTTCCTAATTTAACTCAAGGTAGAGATGTGATACGTGTCTGGAGAATAACATTTTTGTTTTTTGACCCGTCTATACTTACTAATTAGAGATCATAAAGTGAGCCATTTGTTTGGAGAACTTATTTTACAAATCAGGAAATTAAGACAGTATGATCAATGTGCCTAAGAAATTAAATTACATTTATCACGCGTGGCTCTTCGTGTTTGTGTTTGTGTTTGGTTGGAATTGCAGAGACCAGACTATTTTCTTTTAGCACGCAGCACTTGCATATATGGTTTTTTTTTTCTTTTTTTTTTGACCGAAAAACTTCACTTGCAGATCCTGGCCAAATATTAGTGGCTTATTTATCCGTTAAGTTGTTGGTATAACAAGCAATAAGCTAGCAAATAGCAATTTTTACAAAACATAAGTAGAGTGAAATAGAACCTGTACAAAAACAATCTTCAAATTTGTTAGATCTCCTCTATCAAAATTTTCTAATCGATTATAGGTATAACTTTGAAATAAATAATAAGCTGCGCCAAAATTACAACCATTCGGGATTTTGTTCTTGGACTTATAATTTCTGAATTCTAGACCAATCCTAAAATGCACTTAACAAGTACCCTTGGGCTGAAAATAAGTTTATTTTTCTGAGAATAATGTGGGAGCTAATTTCATTTTAAAAATCAAAGTTAACAGAGAGCAGTATAAGAGTTAGGAAGAGGGTCTTTGTACTGTTGGGGTTTGGGTGGGTCCAAGAGTTGTCTAGCATGCGCTATACAAAGAAGGCTACCACACTCCATGCTTTGTCTCTTGAAATCTCTAAGCCCCAAGGGCACCTGTCCTCCTAGTGCCATACATTACTAACTTCAAATTACTATCACAAAGGGTTTTTTTTTTCTCTATTTAATAATTCTTTCAGAGGAGATAATGTTGTTATTAGTACCCTACTTTTTAGGATATAATAAATATATGCCCAAAAAGATATGATGTCATAAAAAATCCAATAAGGATGGGCCAAGTGTCTTAATGTTCTTTACTATACTACTCCTCTGAGAAACTAGTTCAATCTGATTGGTGACAAATCAGTAGAAATGATATTGATTTTGTAACCGGAATGTTCTAACCTGAGGTTCGATTGGTCTGAAATTGATCGGAAAATTGCCAAGTTTAGAACGTTATAAGAGAGGGAGATAAAAAGAAAGAAAGATAGAAGACCCTATATAGCATGGAATCAAAAGCGTGAATATTTTATGATGCACTTTTGTGCCTTTTACAATTTATACACTTTTCAAATCGGAATATTATGAAAGTGTGAACATAAGCCAGCAGACCACGCTACAGTCGAAATCGAGACTTTTTCAATGGCTCGTCAACCTTTTTGGGTTATCAACTTTTCCTCTATCGAAATAAGCTTGGGTTCGAACTGGAAAACAAAAGACCAAAATCACATCAGTAGTAGCACTGCGATGCTTTCTTTTGTGTTTCGACACATTTGAAGTACTGTGTTGAGTAGAACTACAAAGCGCTTAATCATTCCATGTTTCCTTTACTACACATAGATCATTAAGTTCCTATCAGATAACATATTTTATCAAGCGGAAAAGCTACTTGATTAGTTAACATTATTCTCAGTCACAAAATCAAACCTCATAAATTTGCATATAACACAAGAGGCAAAAACGAAATCGATTATTGTTCATTGACGGGACAACTGGCACAGAGTAATTAACCAGCCCCGCTTCCTGAGTCTATAAATATTATGATTTGTTTCCCCGAAATCCTGGAATTGCAAAACTTCCATGACCCACTAAAACATCAGGCAGTCATGTATTTCCTATGTCCCAAAATTATTATCCAATTTAAGATTTACTTTCAGTATAATTTGAACTACAAACGAAAACTCAAACTGGACAATAATTATGGGACGAAGGGAGTATATGTTAAGTAAACAGGCCGAAGTTTTTAAAAACACAAAGAGGCCAACCAAAAGTTTACTGAGTTATTAAGAGAGGATGATCTAATGCTCTCTGAAGCTGGAGACATTTGTGGGGAAAGTTAAAAGCATTGATGGCTAATAAGTATGAAGTGTTTTTTTTTTTTTTTGGAGGAAATAAGTATGAAGGTTGACTAGAACCAAGCTTCCATTGAGCGGAAAATGATTCCTATTGATGGCACGCAACAGTAATCAACTGGGCATGACTTTGATGAACTTTTCATGCAAAGATAAGATTAGGACACACACAGAAAAAAAGGTTACGATACCACCATCTGAATAGCTTCCCACTCGGTCCCACAACCTCAAAATCCCAAACGTTAACTTAAATTACTTATATGTAGGGAGGATTCATCCCAGGCTGCACAAAAATGGTTCAAGTAAAATCTAACATATGATGTAGTATTGGCTATGGGATTCTCAGCAAATATTTGTTCGTGGAAGCAGAATTGTTGGGAGTAGTGTACACTTTGGCCCACAGAAGAAGTCTAAATAATATTCACTCCGTCCCAAAAAATAGTCCACATTGAGTTTTCAGTTTTGTATTGTTTTTAGTACAAATTTACAAACTCAATGTGGACGGAGGTAATAATACTACTAGTTCATATAAAATTACTTCATTTAGATGCACCATCCATTAGGGTTCTTTTTTAATATCATCGTTTCTTTAAGGTAAATAATAATAATAATACTTTTTCAGTTCCAAAATTTTTGTCGACTTTGGTAAAAAAAATTTATCTCAAAATTTTTGTTCGATTTGACTTTTTATTGATTAAGTTACACATTTATCTTTTACCAAAAATAACTATTCTCCGGAATTCATCCCGTATTGGCTAAAAACATAACACAATAGGCAATCTATATTTCTCTCTACTCCACAAACACACAATAGCGGCAAAACGAAGCTCATATTCCAACGCTCAAAGTTGCGGTGAGAACGAGGTGGCCGGTGGTTTTAGTTGGAGAATTATAAAGAGCAAGATATTTGATAATGCTTTTCGGTTTCTGATAGAGGAAACTAGATAATTAAGCTCAAATAGACTTCTTGACATTCTGAGTGCAGTGAGTTGAATGGAATTCAATGAAAAAATTCCTTTCTTGACCGAATTCCTTGTTTGAACAGTCAAATATGGGGAAGAAAGGATTCTTCCCAATATTGGCGATCGAGGAACTCTCCGATGACCTTGAAGAATTTTCATAATCACGGAATTGAAACTAGAGAAGATTCTCCAAATCCGAAATTCTTTATCTGAAATTTTACTTCGATTATAGCTGCATGAGTGGAGGAAAAATGAAGGTGATGAACTGGGTTTGGTTTTCAAATTTGGGAACTGGGTTTGATTGAGGTGGGTTTGATTTATGAATTCATAAAATCTTGGCTAGTTAAAACAATTATGTGTGCGGGGGTATATTTAGAAATTTAAGTGAAAATATAATTAAGTTTGACTAAAAAGAAAATCTTCCAACTTAACCAAACTCGACAAAAACTATGGGACGGAGGGAGTAATAATAATTTACTTAGACTGTTTAAGTACATGGGCTGGGACCAATTTATTAGGCCTACCTAATCAATCTTATTTGGACTAGTACCGTAAGTAATAATGGGCTTTGACAATTAAAGATTTAAAGGGGACCCATTTAACGTTCTATCAGATTTTCAAGCCCTTTTAAACGTAAAATCAAGAATCTTGCTCGTAGCATGAATTGGCTGGGACCAATTCATTTCCTCCCTAATCAATGTATACTAATTATATGCAGAAAAAACAAATTTTTTTCTTTTTTTTTTTTGGTTTAAGAACTTTCAATGCTAAGTGTACATCTTACAAACAAACACATTTCGAAATTAAAAAAGCATGATGTCAAAGGAAAAAATAAAATAAAGAAATCAATGGGCCACACTTACAATAATGCACAATGGGCTGGACTTTAATGTCAAGCTCTCTTAGGCCCACGTTGGTTGGAGCTCGTACTACAAATCCTTAAAACCCCATGAAACTAATTGCACTATAATCCTCTATCAAGCACCAAGCACCATTGCTTGATAACCAACAACCTCAGGATATTCTATTGCTTCTGATTTCCTTCAAAATTATACCGTTTTAGTAATATTCACTCTATCTAAAAAATAGTTATCATGTTTCTTATAATTTTAGGAATTATTTTGGGACGGAAAGATATCTATGGGTATAAACCCTTATAACCTACCATAATTCATATCGAAGTAACACAAGTTTTGAATACTTATTTACAGAAGATCTCATTTAAGCTACTGGAATCCAAGCTGCATATATGTCTTGGACTGAGTTTCCACCATAAAGTTTAATCAAGCAGAAAAGCCAAAGATGCCCTCCCTTTACAGGCAACTGCAAGTTAACATCAACTCTGATGGTCCAATTTTCCATCAAACCTAAAACTTGACAGAAAAGGACAGATGACAATGAAATGGAAAAAACTTCCATTCTGCATTGTGAACAAGTTTCAGTTTTGTCACTCCTCCCACTTGATATTTCCTTGTCTTCCCAAGTTCGACAAGCATACATAATAGCTTCACACATATCGCAACAGTCGGGTTCCCTTGGATCCTTTCTCCATGAAGAGTAATCCATGCATGGTCAAGTTTCCTACCTGGCTTCACGACCAGCGAGCCTGGAACTTCAGCATCGCGGCACGTTACTAGTCCATCACTTTTTTCTCCGTACCTTACCTGTAAATGAAGCGCACAAACGGCCAAAACAGCAGAAACAGGGACTATAACAGGCAACTGCCGACGAACTTGATCAGTATTCATAGAATTCTCACCACCAAATTGAGGTAAAGGAAGCCAGGGAAGTTCAGCATTATTCCAAATTTTTTTATTTATATGACAATTGTCTTTCACTTATTTTCAAGTTCAAAGTAGATCTTAACACCTCTCTCAAGCTCAAAAGGGTTGGACAAGTTCCATTTGAACAATTGAATTGCGAATCAAAACCCAATACGGTATATATTACTGCCTAATAAGGGTAAATCAAACTCCTTGTATATATTGTCGAGTCAGTCAAAACTCAACATGGGTCAAAAATCTAATACGGGTCAGTCAAACCGAAAAATCACCGGATCAATCAAACTCCACCCACAAAGTCTGTGGATTAAACAGTTGATACACATGTTTGTTTAAACAGAAGATGCAGTGAAAGCACTTACTGTGGGGGCCATATGTGATCTTTATGCAATATCTTCATGTATGTCGAGCCTTGATACGAATGTTTTGATGTGTCAACTAATCAAGTGAAATCAAGGGATAGAGAATATAACATCTAATTCTGCTGTGGAGGTAGTTTAGAATAGCGAGAGAATGGTGTTTGGGTTTGGCCAAATGACTCCTATGGAGAACGAAACTAGGTTTAACCCGTTGAAACACTAAAATGTCATTCAGTGAAAGTCAAACTTGATCCAACAAAACATCAAACCGTGATAATTATGGATAGCCTGATTTAAACACCGCGAAGTTAAAGTAAACCGAATGAGTGTAATCTTGGAAATGAGTATATAATGGATCGAATGATGGATAGCGACTTTTGTGGCCTACTCGAGGATGAAGCCATGAATGAGGTAGTGACGTTGGGATCTACAGTCTCAAGTAACACGTGAGGATTAGTGTTTTCTTTATATGTTTCATTATGAATAAAGTCAATTGCGAGTATTAAGGGGTTGGCTCGAACGTAGGTTATCAAGTTATGTTGGGTCATCTCGACCGAGTCGGGATTGAACTATGACAAGATCTCTCTGTTGTAAGTTATAGTATTTCAATTTGTTGGGATTTTACTTTTGAAGGTCAGTATTGTTAATCTTGATCGCACTCATGTGTACTAGCTTAGTAGTTTAGGTCATTTGGCCTCCACTGTACCTCAATATATATATATATGTATATATATATATATATACATGTATTTTAAGTGTGTGATAATTGAATTCTAATTTTTTACTTTGGAATTCTAAAAATAGTTAAAGAAATTGGTATCTTTTATTCCTTTGGTTTTTAGATTCTAATATTTATATGTTTTGAAAGTTCACTTATTGTTCTTGATATTTATAATCGCAGTGTTCGTTGTGACTGTGCCTGATGTTGGAGGTTTTACAAAATCTCATCAAAGAGTTTGCTAGAAGCCCTTTAATCCTCCTATGATAGAAAGTCCTGTTTACCCCAAAAACAGTCATCCAACAATATTGGATTAATGTTTGTATAACTCATTCTGCCGTGAGTACAAATTACAATCCCAAAAAATGTGTAGCTTCGTCTCCACACCTCCACAAATATGGTGACTCCCATCATAAGTCGATTTATTAACCTGCGATGCCCTTTGCATCAAGAGCCATAGGATCTTTTCCGGACCCTTCCACTTCCAAAACTCTCTCTCATTCTTTCTCTTTGCAATTCCAGTTGTTAGAGTATGAGACCTCGAAAGTAGAAGTCGTAGAACATGTCCCAGAACCTACCAAAGGACCATCTATAGACATCCAATTAATCAGGCAAAAGCAAAATTTCTTCAAATTTCCACACACTATCTCATTTTCTTTAATGTTACTTCCAATACAACTACTATATATATATATATATATATATATATATATATATTCCATAAATGAGAGGAGTTTCCTTTCTTGATAAACCTTGGAATATCTTGTCTAGAAATCCACATTTAGTTCTCAAATGGTGCTCCAACGGCTGCCATCATCGACAATAATGCCCCTCCAAGTTAGAGGATCAAAGCGTTGTTTGGCTCTCTTAATTTTCGAAGCCCCAGTTCCCCTTTATCTTTAGGCTGACAGACACCATCGCATCCCACCCCATCCTCATCAGTCATCATCATGGATTATTTCATCATCATCGACATTTTTTACCTAAAAAATTATCCAAGGTGGACAAAAATAATACAAAGAAAAACTGGATGGACAAAAGTAATTCTCCCGGATTTCGCAAATCCGAGAGCAAGGAGGAGTCGGATTAGCCAAATCCGAGAGCGCATAAGCTTGGATAAGCGTTATCCGAAACAATGTTAACCATAAATTATTTAAATAAAATCAAACGATTAATTAAAATTAACGTCTCAGATTTCCATAATCCGAAAGCCTACAATAAAAAAATAATTTTTTTTAGCAAAAAAATCAAAGTATTTGAATATTAAAGTTGACTAAAATCGGACTTGGCTAATCCGCAATTATGCTCCTGGATTATCGTAATCCGAAGCAAAGGAAGGGGAAAAAAAATCTAAGTGCTGAAAATGAGATGGAAGAGTTTCGGATTTGCTGAATCCGAGAGACAGTTTAATCAGACTCTCGAATTTGGCAAATCCGAAACGACTACTTTTGTCCAAAAAAAACAAAAAAAAAAATTTTGTCCACAATAATTCTTTTTAAATTTTTCGGCAACAGAATCTCAAACTCTTCCTTCTTGACCTTTTTGGTAGCTGGATTGTCCTCGGTCAATCCTGTTTGTGCGAATTAATCTTCTTATCCATGAGGACCTGAGAAGATCTATATTTTTCCAAATTTATAACATATAGAAATCGGAGCTTTTTCTTAGTTAGTGAGAAACAACCGTTATTCACATTATTATTGTTAGTCTTAATAATTGAATGGATTAATTATGTAGTTATCTAAAAATTGCTACTACCCAATTTTTTTTGACTGGACATGATGTACGTTAACTCCATAAAACCGGATGTTACACGGTGATTCCATTTCGATTATCTTTAATTTTGAAGCATCTATAACAAACGTAACTCAAAAGCCTCAAATGGAATATTCCATCGGTAATGTGCATGAACAATGGAGGCATGGAGCAAATTCATCCACAAAAGAAACGTTAAGTCGTCGCCAGAATTTTTTATTTTTTTTCCAACTTTGAAGGCAGCCAGAATTTGTGTACTTCAATCGATTTCTTTTTTCCCTGAAAAAAAAAATAATATCGAACTTTCTACACAATGTCACTACTATGATTTCTATACTCTATAGTACCAGTGCTGAAGCCAAGTTTACCCCAGGCTAAAGCTTGACAGATTAGAAAATCACAAATCTCAATTCCACTCATATAACCCCCTCGTTTTTGCATTATGTCCTATCAACAACAATGAATTGGTTTCGAAATCAAACAAGACTCCATCATATAATCCAAGAACCAACCATTCATAAAAGAAACACAAAAGAAAAAGAAGTCTAAATCATTCTATTAAACCCCAAAATTCTAACATCATCAGATACACTAAAATTGGCAAGTCACCAACTCACAGGAACCCCATTGTTACAACCAGAACCAGCTACTGAAACACATCCATTTTCCCATATTAACACACTAATCTAAAACCAGGAAACAGAAACCATGACTATTTCGATTATTATTATATACATCGTTAAGACGTTAACCCCCCACCCATCGAAGTTCTACTTTTCTGTTTAAGCAGCGGCGACTTTCTTAGCCCTCTTAGCCGCAGGGGACTTGATTGATTTTGGCTGCTTTGGCTTTGCAGGTGCCGCGGCTTTCTTAGGCTTCTTGGCTGGCTTCTTCGCCACAGCTTCTGTTTTCTTCGTCGCAGATCGTGTGGTTTTGGTGGTGGATTTGCGAATAGGTTTCTCTGCGTTAGCCTTAGCAGCAGGCTTTGGCTTTTTCACGGCGTCTTTAGCCTTTTTGGACTCGGATAACTTGTACGATGCTTTGATTTTAATCAGCTTGCCCTTTGCTGCAGAGTTCTTCAGTTGAAGCGCCATGATCTTCCGGAAGTTTGCAGGAAGCACCGCCTTATGCTTCTCTTCCATGAATTTTGCAATCGCGTATGGACTTGAACCGCCTTTCTCATTCAATGCGAGCAGGGCCTCCTTGATCATCTGCATAAAATAAAGTTAAATTAGAGAAAAATCCCGCTAAATTGACCTTTTCAATTAATCGAAACAGGGGGAAAAAATCCACAAAAACGTATCGAAAACGAATATACGATTAATCACCTCGAAGTAAGGAGGGTGAGCAGCGGTTTTGGGGGCTTTAGGCTTCTTCTCCTTGGGAGCTTTTGGCTTCTTCTCCTTAACAGGCTTCTCGGTTGGTTTCTCCGGTGCCGGAGCCTCCACCTGAGGCTGCTCGACATTGGTTTTTTCCACTTCTCCGTCGGCCGACATCGCGCAATTAACTCTTGATGAGAAACAGAAAGAAAGGAAGAAAGAAAGGGTCGATAAAATTCTTGGTAGTAAGTACTAAAACACACTGAAATCTGAATAATTTGAAAGTGGTATTCCTGATTTATATAATAAGGGTGGGATTTGTGTGGAATATGGAGCTCTAATTCTGATTGGTGATTTTAAAATGACCCGGATTCAGGAATATGAGCAAGGAGGAATCTGGAACATACACGTGGGTGAGATCTCATCGTTGATGGTATTGTGAAATGGATAGTGAGGTGCCAATCTTATCTGTTGAATGAAAATACCAGGGGCGCTAATTATCTCTAAATATAGCCTGTGTTTTTTTGGGTGGATTTGAAGACCATTTATGGCAGAATTATTAGGATTTTGGACTGGGAATTTTCATCATGATAAAGTTTTGAATGTTGTGGTTGCAATGTGAGTGGTTTGACGCAAAATAGTTGAGATTTAGTGGTAATTTGAAGCCATAAAAAATAAAAGGTTATCGAGGTTGAACTAATTGTTGTCCTTATTACCTACCTTATTATTTCATTAATCTTTGTCCTACACTAAAACTGCTCGAGTTGCTGAATTCAATTCTGGGAAATTTTTTTGGGAGAGGCATCATAAAAGGTTTTCTATGTGGGAGTGGTAAAAATTCCGAGCAGCTGTTTTGGTGCAACTGTGTACTGTGTACAATAACATGGAGTATATACTATGATCAATTGATCATCAATGAGGTGTTTGCAAAAATTTCTTTTCGCCTACCATTATTCTTTTCCCCCCCCCTGTGTAAAAAGGTGCCTTTATATTAATTCTTTTGTTCTAACCTTATCGAAATGACTTCTAACAAGTTTTGAATTTAGACTCAGTAAGAACGATCTATTTTCTTTTCTTTTCTTTTCTTTTTTTTTTGAAAAGTTTACTTCCTGGTTACAGTATCTCGACAAATCTCCCTGTCCTTGCAGAGTGGATAATTTTTTAAACAAATATGTATTTATTGTTCAATGTGTATTTCAATTATCATTAGTGAAGCAGTATCAGTTATTGATATGTGTGAAACAGTAATCTCAAATTGTAAAAATATGTACTCCCTCTGTCTCAAAATTATTGTCCAGTTTGAGATCTCATTTTTAGTATAATTTGAACTAAAAATAAAAACTCAAACTGGATAATAATTATGAGACGAAGGGAGTAATATTTATTAGGTTAATCCCCTTAACTTTTTTTTAAAGCAGCCTTTCATCTCCAATAAAATAATTAGTCTAGAGTTCTTGCTTAAGGCAAACAAAATGACTGTTATTGCTTTTGTACGTTGGGGAATAGCAGGATGACGAACAAAATTTGAGCAAAGGGTATACTTGTTCATGGTTTATTTTTCACATTTTTAATGGGAATACTTTGAGATTATTATATAATACAAGAAATTCCCATTTTTTTACTAGGTGTATTTTTAGCAGTTTGTAGTAGGTAATTACAATTTTTTTTTTCATACATATAACTTGGTTCTCCTAATTTCTATATGGAGGCCTTAACCCTTCATATAAACATTGATTTTATCACAAAAGAAAAAATTTAGACAAGAGTATCGACATTTTCTGATGATATTAAAGGGTAATTAATTAAGATAACCAAATATACAAAAGGCTTTTTAAAGAAAGAGGACCTGAGGGCTAGTTTCATAATTAATTTGGGTCAACTGGTAATTTTCGAACTGAAAAAGACCACATGATTCAAACTTTGGACTTTGTAATAAAGAGCGCTGACCCGTTTTGTACGCGACCTTTTGTAAAAGAACCTTGCAAATCGGAAGCCCAATCCGGTCGCCCCCAAAATCGCCGTGGTAGCGTCATCGTTTCAGGCTCCACTCTTACCAAACGACGATCATTTCTCAATAATTGTCCGGCAAAGACCAACTTTCCGTCAGAGGGAGGGAGAACGAGCTTTCGCGTCCAATCTCTTTCCTCTCTCTCCCGGTTGAGCAGAGCTGCGGTTTGATCTCGTTGCATTCATTCGCCGCTTAGCTCAGCTCCGTCTTTCTTCGCGTAAGTCATTTCTGTGAATCCGTAGTATTTGTTTCATTATCCGATCTGTCTGTTCCGATGTTCATTTGCTTCTATTAAAGCTTATCCAGATGCAAAATATTAAAAACTAGGTTTCGATCGCCCGCATTTTCAGTTCTCTGACTTACAGAACATGAATTTGGTTTGGATTTATAACTTACTTTCAGTAATGGTGAATTGCGCGTCTTTAGAATGCAATAAGAGATCGAAGCCAAGTGCAGGTAGTAGTAGTATTGCTTAGCTGGATGATGCTTGAATTGAGCTGTGCTTTTATAGTCCTAAGGTGGCTGATTGTAAGGTTTTGAAAATGTTTGTATTTTCAGTTTTTACACGGTAATTAGCTTACTATGTATGCTTCATACTATTATGAATAGTTGATGGTCAGAAAACAGAAATTTAGGTTCCATCAACCAAATATATCCGCATCAGCAATGTTTCTGTGAACAGGACTTTAAACCTGAATAGTCTTTGTTTGCTAGTTTTTGAGCAGTTCTGTGTATGAAAAAGAGGAAACAGCTCCAAGATATAAAAAGTGTCTGTTAGTTGGTGTCAATGTTACATCTCTTCCATAAATCTTCGATGTCCTTGCTATGCTAGTTTGATCTACGAGATCTTTATCTATTGCCCTGTTGCATTTTTGGATCCCTTGGGAACTTTAATACTCTTAAAGAAAAGTAGCACATTACAGAAGTTGGCAAGACCTATGCTAAACAGCTGCATGTTGAAAATGCTAGTCGGGTGGTGTAATGTTCGTGTGTGTCTAATTTGCTGTGTACTTTCTCTTTCTGCCATTAAGGCTTGGAGTTTATATCTTCTTTCCAACGTAACCGGGAACTTGATTTTTACATCTGCAGAAATTGGCTTCTCAGAAATGGATGACTAGCACCAAACTGCTTAGAATGTGATGGTAAGATTCTTCAATTTGTCATGCAGTTCTTAATTTTCTTCTAACAGGCATGCCTGCTTGACAATGCATCTGGAGACCTAAATGCGCAAATCTTTGCCAAAAGTTATGTTACGGAAGTATCTGAAAACTGATACATTGTGCTTTATAGAATTATAGAAGTACATTATATTGCTTAACTTCTGCTGAAACAGAAGCTCTATTCTTGGCTTAAAAGATAAATAGCTATTAAGCACTTCTCTTTAATAAGCACTCAAGCTGCATTAAGTGCCTTAAGAATGTTCTTTAGCCATGTTCTTGCTAACTTGTGGCCTTTACACAGGACCATAATCACTTAAGTCTAAAGACGTATATGGCCATCACGGCTGAACGAGATGCGGCCATCCGTGATAAGAACATGGCTCTGGAGGAGAGAAGGAAGGCTTTTGCCGAGCGAGACATGGCCATGCTTCAGCGGGATGCAGCAATTGCAGAACGTAATTCGGCCATACAGGAGAGAGATGAGGCCATTGCTGCCTTGCAGGTACGGGAATGCTCCATAGGTAACATGTTCTCTAATTCAGCTGTCAATGAAGATGAAGCCAAAGATATGCATTATCTCGAGCAACTGCAATATCCCTTGGATGATCTTGCATTTAGTCCGAGAGAAACTTCCACTAGTCATACCCTCAGTGTAGGGGAAGTTGCTTCTGGTACTGCAGACTCCAGGAAAGTGAAGCGTGTAAAAGAGGGGAAGATTGCTAAGTCAGCTAAGTCCACAAAAGCGTCCAAAAAACGATCTGAAGGCGTGATTAGTGCCACCATACCTCCTTCACCTAGTGATGAGGGCATCCATAGGCAGCTTGTTACATGGAAAGATAATTTAGGTTTGAATCAAATAAATTTTGACGAAACTTCCATGCCAGTGCCTGTTTGCTCCTGCACTGGAACACCCCAGCCGTGCTACAAGTGGGGAAGTGGTGGATGGCAATCTGCCTGCTGTACAACCTCTTTGTCAATGTATCCGTTACCTCAGGTATCAAATAAACGGTACACCAGAATTGGTGGAAGAAAGATGAGTGGAAGTGCTTTCAGCAAATTGCTTAATCGACTTGCAGCAGAAGGCCAGGACCTGTATTCTGCTCCACTTGATCTTAAGGACCACTGGGCAAAGCACGGTACAAACAGGTATAGTACCTTGAAATAAGCTGCAAATGGCATGCTTGAGTGTTGGAATAATTCAAAATGTGCCTTAACGGAAGTTGGGCTCTGGTTCCGTTGAGTTTAATTGTGGCAAGCTTCAATGGTCCTGCCATTAGTGGTTAGGTTAAATTGCTCTTCTGTTATGAAATTTGTATGAGGTTAGGTTATAGAAAATCCGAACTTTTATTGTACATTGAAACTGAATACTGTAGCAGATACCATTTGTGATTGAAATGTGGCCAAATTGTAAGCTACTGCGATTCCATTTGTAAGACGACAATTTTTTGTAGCTGACCCTTGTTGCTGGTACATCATTTTAAGTAGTTTCTTTCTCGTGATTAGCAAAGATCGGATTGAGCTTCTTCAATTTAGTGCAGGAAAAGAAAATTGGGAACTCATTATAGTTCTTCCACATTTAGTTTTGGCCCAAAATCGGGAAGTAATTAAAGTTGCCGACTGTATTCAACAGATTCATTATTGGTATTCTTCTCAAATTATTCAATCCTCCATAAAATTCAATAAAATTTACAGTCTCTGAAGGACAACAGAGTTGCAGATTTATATAGCCTCCTAAGCCTTTATTTTGATTTCACTTGATACATCGCCCTTCAGTCCACAATTTTCTTAGCGAATCTAAAATCATATCAACATATAGCAACAGAGATCAGAGAATAATTCATCGGCAGTTGGGAAAAATCATTATTAACAAATATATGTATCTCCACAATTTGCATTACAGACTAAGAAATTACAATTGAGGCTTTAAAAGAATACAAGACATTCATTTAATAATAAAAAATAAAATAAAAAATAAAAAGAAGAAGAAGAAGAAGAAGAATACTAGACATTCATCCTTACATAAGATCGTACAAACATAATCTAAAAAGTAATAAAGAGAAAACGGCATCAACAACAAAGAAAATACATTCATGAACATCAGAAAAATTGTCCAAAAAGGACGATCTTTACAGCTATTAATACCTAAGCAAACAATAAAAAATGCATTTGATTCACCGACACAACATTAAGGGCGTTAGGAATGAACCATTAATCAGAATGGCAATCCAAATCTGAAATAATTAGCTATTTCAAATCAATTGCAGCAATATTTGTCTACTGCTCTACTTTATCAACAGCATGAAACCTACGCATACACATCAACCAGCGTTGTCATCTTTATAAGCATTACAATCACAAAGCCGCAGAAGTCCCTTGGGACAGCATCCGTCATTGCAGCAAGATACTGCACTTAATCTTAACATCCAGGACAATATTCCAAAGTGTGGACTCTCAAAATACAGCTTCTAACTGAAAACTAATGCGCCCAGTCCCTTTCAAGAACATACCCAGCTCTCCTGCAGTTCTCACAATTTTGTCCAACCTGATATAAACCCTTGAGACAATACTAAGAAAACCTATTATCCCTATGACAGTTGATAGACTATAGGAATAGATAAATCCTATCCCTAAGTTAAAGACATGGAAGTCCCAATCTCAATGTGGCTCAATGAGGTTACAAAATATCAATGTCACCCAAATGTTCTAATCTTTTGATTGGTTTTGCTAGTTGAAAATTGATGACATGGCAACAAAACACAAAACCGTTGCCACAGCAAGGCAAGAAAACACATCAATACTCAGAGCACATCACAGAATGTCATCCAGGACTAAACATCAGATCCAGTCTTGCCCATGATTTGCTGAATTTAATCCTAAATAAATATGATAACGCAAAAAAGAACAAAAAAAAAAAAGAAAAAAGAATTAAGGCTGCAAAAGAAATTTTAAAAAACCACAGCATTAAGCTAGCAAAACAAATCCAATTAATTGATCCAGCTCCTTGTATACCAAATACGGGACAGCATTAATTAACTTCATAACCGACGAGTTAGACAAATCATCATAAAATCAGTAATCTACCTAAAAGTTAGCAATCACAAGTGTTAAATAGGCGAAAGCAATGCCAATATTATTATTATTTATTCCTACATTTTGCTTCAATATTTATCAAAATTCATCCACTTGACCTCAAAATATATGATAACTCTCTACAAACGTTATGTTTCCCGGTCTGACAAAAAAATCACAATACAGATATTCTTCACTTAAATCAGAACTCCTGAAAGATACCCAGAAGAAACTTTGAAATTCAAGAAGGTATGTCCCTCCTTCATTACGTATCAAATATCTAATTATATCCCAAAGTACAGAGTCGGAAGTTTTCCATTCTTGTTTGACAAATGTCCAGGTTTCTCCACTCGGAAAGGCCATCATAGTGATCTCCACCAACTCTTCAACTTTAGATCATAATTGCAGGTTTATTCATCAACTGTTGCACGATTATTCTTCAACTCATACTTTTCACCTCAAAAGATGTTTGTCCAACTTAATTCTTGAATTGAAGACTGAATCAACCCATACACTTCAACAAAAGAAAGGTAATGGAGGAAAACAACTATCTTAGCTCTCCGCCTTGCTCATACTTAAAACTACTCCCCAATAGAGATAGAGCTTACCTAATTAACTTCTAACTAACAGCCTATAAAGGTCATTGTCAGAGGCATATCCTATAATCTAAGACCAACATTTGTATGACAACTAGAATCTAAAATGAGGCAGATTCAAAGAAGGTGACAACTAAAGTACAACCAGGATATCAAAAGAACAAGAGAGAAAATATTCAGAGATCAGAATTAATTAAAGCTGAGAAGCTTTCCACTTGCAGTAGCATGACCCAGGACCTTGTTTCTGCACCAAACAGATCAAAATCAACCTTCTACGATCAACCTGAACCGTGAGAAAAAACTCATAAGGCTTGCATGCGACACAGCTTGAACAAAATTTAGACATGCAAGCAATTATTACCTCAAAGTCACCATTCTAATAGTATCCACGCCCATAAGGACGATGACCTCCATAAAATGGCGGATATGCACGTCTATCATACTGATCAACAGAAAGAGAAGAACATAAGAATTATGAAGCCACTAACAATGAGCATTTCTAGTGAAAAAAAGAAAAGAACCGCAATACGCACATCAGGACCATGATAATTATGTTGAAAACGTCCACTGTCAGGTCCAAAATCATCTATCAGCGGAAAGGGAAAAGATCAGAATCATTACAGATAATGCCAACAATAGAGGCCAAATCGTAAGAACTTCATGCAATTATCCAAACCTCGGTAACGATTTGAATGAAAAGAAGCTGACGGGTCAGGATAATCAAATCGAGGTCGTTGAGGAATGGGCTCTGGATAACCAGGATCCTGATCCTGATCCTGTGAGGAAAAGAAGAAAAAATATTAACCACAAACTGACAATAGAGCGTCACACAGAACTCCCCATTCAAAAAGTTTTCCAGCTCACCCTCACTGAATATGGTCTTTTCATGCCACGGCTCGGGTCGTAAAAATAACGATCATCAATATGCCTCCCAAGATACGGTCGGTTGAATCCTACTTCGGGATGGAAAGGCTCCCTCCTCAACGGATCATAAGCACCACGGCCAGGCTCACCACCATGCCTGATTCTATCAAAGTTAGGCTGATTTGGTGGTGGACCTCTAATATAGTCTTGATGAGGACCCCCGAAACCCCATCGTCCCTCTGGTCATGAAAGACATCAACAACAGAAATCATTAAAGTGATAGAAGCACAGCCTTCTAGCTCTCCTCGCCCCTCCTTCCCAAATGGGAAAAAATAAAAATAAAATACCAACAAATAAAGAGCACCCCAAACACACACAACCACCCAGGGAAAAAACAAAAACAGAGCAACAGTAATAACAGGACAGGTTTTTGGTATCATATAATTAGACTTGCTACAACAGCTTCAGTATCATACCATGTTCAGAGTTATGTCTTCCACGAATACCATGTCCGTATGGACTATCATGATCATGCGGGCGAACAAACCCCCGGCCACTACTCTGACCAGCCCCGCGGGGATAGAAACTCCTATCATAATGAAAGTTTGGACGGCTGAAAGCATGTCCACCTTGTCCAGACCCCCTTCCTGAAATTACCACATCATATTACACCAGAATCATTTAAACAGGATAAACACAATTCAGAAGGGCTTTCATACCAATTCTTGAAGTAGTTCCTCCACTGCCTCGCGCAATCCGGAAACCTCCAGCCATTCCACCTTTAACAGCCTGAGTTTTAGGTAAGGGATTTGAAAGTCTTGCCCTCACTTTAACCTAAAAAAAGTGAAATATGTCAGCAAATGGCCAACCTTAGTTAGTAGCGGAAATCTTTCAACTTTCATCCTCCCCACCCTCCAACAGAAAGAGAAAGGGGGGAGGGAGAGAGAGGGAGAGAGAGAGAGAGAGAGAGAGAGAGAGAGAGAGAGAGAGAGAGAATACATGCCCAAAAGGCTGGGAGCCATGGTATTCATATAAAGGTTGCAAATATCCAGTCGGAAGGCCATCCAGGATTATAACCAGGCTAAAGGGGCTAATTCCTGGCCTCAAATGCCAGTGTGGGCTAGATTAATGGTAAAAGATGGTAATTGGAAGGGAGACCTGAAATTGAACATTTCCATTTGCCTATATTCTTAAGATAACATGCTCACCCATCACACAGAATGCAGGGTAATACACCTACGAGAGCATATAAATTAAACGTATACCTTTGAGTTCCCATCAACCAATTCCATGCTGTTTACACTCTCAATACATGCAACAGCAGCTTCATGTGTGGTGAAATCAACAAATCCAAAATCCTTCCTTTTGGCTGTTGCCATGTCCCGTGCCAACACAACATTTGCAATCTCTCCAAAACTTTTAAATTTATCTCTAACACAACCTTCATCCCACTGAGGAGGGAGCCCATCAACAAATACAGATTTTACCTGGGCCATCACCTCTGGATCTGGTTCACGTAGAGGTTCAGCAAAAGCCACTTTGACAGTTCTCTCAGGATGGCCAAAAATAGCATCGGGCTTTTGAAGTCTTTTATATGCATGCATTGCTTCAGCATGACAAGAGAATTCAATGAAAGCAAAACCTCGACTAAGCCCTTCATGTTTCGGATCTGCTACTAGAGTTATCTTTTCAACACCTTCTATGCCATAATCCTTCAGCTTATGTTGTATCTGCCATAAATTATAAAAAGTGAGCAAAACGAGTTTTAAAATTATTGATCCTCTGCAGGGAAACAGTAATCTTACGGCTTCTTTAGTCCACGTATTACATATATTGCCAACAAACAATGAATCATGGCCTTCATTTGGAGCAACACCACATCGCTTCCCACGTATCTTGTCAAAAACAAACAACCAAAGTTATATCAATGTTTTGCTATGTACTGGATTTATGCAACTGCGAGATGTTTAAAAGTGTGTGCGCAACATTCAGAGAAGACGTATGAAATAGAAATCTTACCACAGGGTTTCTCATTTCTGACAAAACGCGAGTTACTTGTTCCTTAGTGGCAAATCTCACAAATGCATATCCCTTATTCTTGTTAGTGGAAGGATCCTTGTTAAGGCGGACATCAACAACCTCCCCAGCATTCTGGAAGACCCTTTTCAAATCTTCTTCAGTAACGCTACGGTCCAACCCACCAACAAAAATCTCCAGCTCTTTCCTTAACTTATTCTCCTTGGCAACAGCATTCAGTTCTGTACGATCCTCTTCAAGAACTTCTTCACCTTGCTCCATATCATTTTCACGAATTTCTTCATCGTTCATATCCTCAACCCCCTCTATCTTCTCATGGTCTCCTTCCTCTAAAAGACCATCAAAATCAGTCTTTTCCTCATTTGCGTAGTCCTCCGTGTCATCTTCTTGACATATCGTCCCCACATTATCCTCAGAGGTTTTCATCTCTTCATCTGGCTGTGCAACAAACTCCTCTTTCTCCTTCCCGGTAGCAGCAACTTCTTGATCCTCCAATGGTCTAGATTCTATTGTAGCAGTTTCTTGTTTTTCTGGAGATTTTGTGACACTTTCCATAAAGGAATCAACAACTTCTTGCTTGGTTGACTCTTCCACATTCATCATATCCAACTTCACCACAGAATCTCCCCCAACGCTTTCAATTCTTGGTTCTTCATTTACTCCTAGATTTCCAACCTCAGATATACTTATTTCATAGTTTCTAACAGATTCTGCATCCTTCACCGGGGGTTTCTGTTCCACATCATCAACCTCAGTGGACTCTTTAACTGCTTCACCTTCAACTTCTGCGTTTTTGGTTGACCCTTCCACGTTCAACAAATTTGTGTTTATCCCGTGGCTTCCCTCAATGTTATCAACTATTGTCTCATCATTTGTCGCTACATTTTCAACATCAGGAACACTTATTTCTTCTTTTTCAGTCTTTTCTGCTGCTTCCTTCAAAAGAGGTTTCTGGTGTACATCATGAGCCTCTAACAATTCCTCAACCTCTGTCGTCTCAGCAGATTTAGGATTCTTTGTAGATCTAACAACAGTTCTTCTTATCACTCTCTTTACAACCTTTTTGGTTTTCGTTGCAGGTTTAATTTCTGATGCCACCTGAGTTTCCACAACATTCCCTACTACTGATCATCGACCGCACAACAGAACATCAAACAAAAAATTTGTCAGACGTTAAACTACATGGGCAAGCTAATCGAACGAACAAAAGTTGAGTTCCGCCATTACATAAGTTCCCAATTCAACACATGAACTCGGAAATAGTCAAAACACAGAAAAAATCGTAATACAATCCTCGAGTTTCAAAACTGATTACATTCATTCACAAAGCAATATCACAGACATAAATAAGATTCAACTTAAGCAGCATTAGGGAAAAAAAAACTTCGTATTGAAATTATCCAAATTAAAGTATTCACCTGCAAGCGCGGGTTGTGGTTCCGGTTCCGGTTCCGGTGGAGGTGTGGTGATGCTTGGTAAGGGTTGTTCAGTGGTGGCGACACCAGTAGACTTAGCCTGTTTCCCTCTGGTGGAAGGTCCTTCTTTCGCCGGTTCTGCGTCGACCGGAGCAGGAGTAGTACGCGTTTTAGCAGCGGCTTTCCTCGCCGGCGGTGTCCGACTCTTCTCCGCTGCTGCCGCATTACGAGTTTTCATGATTGTGATTGTATCGAGGCAACTACGAATTGGTATCGAAGAGAAACCCTTGGACTTTATTGAATTAAAAAATTTATTTAACTTCGCAGCAGTTCTTTCTTCAAAAGACTGAACTCTGAAGTTATGCGGATTCTCCCCCGTTTTTATATACATACACAATTTTCTTTGGCCGGTTCCCCAGGGTACACGTTGCGAACTTGTGATTATTACGTTAGGAAAAGATACGACGCCGTAATAAACCTAAACGGGGCAACCCGAATATAAACAATCCAATTAAACGAATCTCCCCACCAGCTGAAGGAAACTGAAAAGAACGGGCCCGCTTCCGGGAAGCTCTTCTGCAACTTCAATTTGTAGCGAAGAGCGATGGGCGCATCAGAATCGACCTTTTCCACCGCTCAGGTAATCCCCTTTAATTTACCTTTAGTTTACTTTTACTCTTCGATTTGGTCATTAAGTTGCTTGGGTTCTGAACCTTTTTCCATTCCTCTTCCTATTTTCGTTCTTTTTTCATGGATAAAGAGGCCGAACGATGAGATTACCACAGTGTCCGAGAGGACTGAAGTCGTCGATCCTATCCTCCAGCGGCTCAAATCCCTCAAAATCGTGAGTTTTCCTCTCTCTTTTTTTTGGGTCTTTATTATAAACAATTGGGATTTATCTTCTGCAGGTAAAGTAGTTATGGAATCAACTTAAAAATGCACGCTTTTTTGTTCTTCTTCTTCTTTAATAATGGTGTCTATTTAATTAATAGGCGACTCCGATACTAACATCAGAGCCTGCCGAGAGTAGCTTATCGGACATTTTAGTGAGGAAATCATCATCGTCTTCAAATTCAAGTAAATCATCTTTCTAATTGTTGATTTCTTGTTTAGGTTGGAAAATGTTATGCTTTTTTAGGATGCTTGGAATCAAGAAACTGATTAGTAGCTGAATTTGCTTAAGGGATCCCTCGAAATGCGCTGCGTAAATGGTTTAGTTTGTAGTAATAACCATGCTCTTAATCATCTTTTGCCTTAAAAGTAATATACATATATAACCTTTTGGAGATTTACTTTACTGCACATGAACTTCGATGCTAATGATTTATGACCTTTTGGAGCTTTACTTTACTGCACATTTACTTCAATGCTAATGATTTATGCATCTTTCGGTTTTTGGTTCTCCTTTTCCAATCATCTTTCCACTCTTCTGAACCGTTGAACTTTGAAACAGGTACAATCAACCCAAATGTTTTGCTTGAGCTCTTCTCTATGTACCGAGATTGGCAAGAGAGAAAGGCAAGGGATATTAGTGTAAGACAGGTATCTGCGATCGATGTGTTAATTACTTTTAAGATTTTCCTTAGTTGAGCATCTGAACCTCATTAATCATAGGAAATAGATAAAGATTGTGTCCAATCTTACACAAACTGAAGCTTCAAGTCTTTCTTGTAAATTTTGTCCTGAATATATGCTTTGGTAATATTTTACTCTCTGGACATTTTTCATCTAACTTGGGGGGCCTTGGGGCTATGCATAAGGGGAGGGGCAAACAAAGTCATTGCTTGCTAATGTGATTATTGCTTGTATGCAACTATTGTAGGAAGATATAGAAAATAAGATAGAAGTTGCTGATGCGTTGGCTGTTAAGCTGCTTCAACGTTACAATGTCTCTGTCTCTGCCATGAAGACAACTTCACAAAATCTATCAGAAGGTAAACCAATATCTTCTCAACTTCACCTCCATGGGAAGGAGGTGTATCTCTATTATTGGATGTTGTACATTGGGGGGAGGTGGATAATTTTGGATTTCACATTGGTTAAAACTTGACTTCTTGTTTGGAAATCCTTGCAGTTGATGCATTACAGGTTGAACTTGGAGAGTTGAAAGGAAGGCTGACTGAAGTCATTAGTAACTGCGATGCATTATGCAAAAGAATTACAACAGAGGGACCAGAATCCCTTCGGTCATCTATCAAGCCTTTCTCATCATCTCCTCCAGATTTAAGTACCTCCAGTACATTGCCTTCTGCCCCAGATGAAAGTCAGCTTTCCGCATCCTCCACAACAGATATAGCTACCCCTCATACCTTACCTTCTTCAGAAACCAATACAAATGAAGAAAATTCATAGCATTTCTCTCTGTTTGTGTACATTCTTTGGGATTGAAGCCAGCTACAAATCACATATGCCTTATTGAACTTTAGACAGTTTTGGCTAGTTTGTTTAGGTTTTTAGCTCATCATGGGCTCTATTTTCTTCTCGGTTCTACATCTTACAGTTTATTTTTGTCCAACTATTTCTTGGGAGGATAATGGAAAGGATCCATTGTTCTCCAGAAATCATCTCTGCGGGGAAATGGTATTGTTTTTAGATTCTTACCACAGCTGCTTCTGCTTCCCTTTTATCACTTAATTGTTTTCGTTAGTATAGTTTATTCCGTGCTCAATACAAGCAGTGTTCCCAGGTCTCTTTTCAAATTTGTATTAGCTTCAGAAGAGCTATTCTTGGATGAAACAACTGAAAACTTAACAGATGATTGTACGGATTGGAGAAACAATTTTTCCATTTCATGCTTTATAAATTGTTCAAGCGATTGAAACAATAGCAATTCTGGAATTAGTTAAAGTGGTACATTAGTTCAAGTACTGAAAGGCCCACATGACAGATTGATTGAAAATTTCAGCTTCATAAGCAATCAAACAAAATGGAATCAAGTAAAAATACTGGAAAACCAAAACAGTGAATGCTGAAGAATGTTCGAATTCCCTGCGACAAGAATTAAAATTCCAATATGATCATATAAGCTAGACAAGTATCTGAAAATAAAATTGGGAAAACCAAAGTAGTGTCCTGTAAACAATTGCGTGAATCCTCAGTATAACAATCAACAAAAACCCAAATGACCAAAAATGTGTTCAGTTCAGGGCTGCTGTTGAGCATCCATATAACCAGCATCAACAAGAACCTTCTCTCTTTTAGCCAACTCAATGTCTTCATCCACCATCATCTTTACCAGCTGCTCAAATCCTACTTTGGGTTTCCACCCCAAAACTTTCCTTGCCTTGCTGGAATCTCCCTTCAAGTTATCAACTTCAGCAGGCCTAAAGTACCGTTTATCAATCATCACATGGTCTTTCCAATTCAAACCCACATACCCGAATGCCACCTCCAAAAACTCCTGCACCGTGTGAGATTCCTCCGTCGCCACCACGTAGTCGTCCGGCTTATCCTGCTGTAGCATCATCCACATAGCCTCCACGTAATCCCCTGCGAATCCCCAATCCCTGGATGCCTGTAAATTCCCCAGGAACAATTTGCTCTGGAGTCCGATTTTGATCCTACCCACGGCCCGGGTGATCTTCCGGGTCACGAAGTTCTCACCTCTCCGGGGCGATTCGTGGTTGAATAGGATCCCGTTACAAGCATAGATGCCATATGCTTCCCGATAATTAACGGTATACCAATGGGCGGCGCATTTCGACACTGCATAAGGGGACCTGGGGTGGAACGGAGTGGTTTCAGATTGCGGGGGCGGGGTGGATCCGAACATTTCCGATGACCCGGCTTGGTAGTACTTAATGTTGGACCTGCCCGTGGCGGAGATGTGAGAACGGACGGCTTCGAGGAGGCGGAGGGCACCGGTGGCGACAACGTCGGCGGTGTAATCCGGGATCTCGAATGAAACAGCGACATGGGATTGGGCGGCGAGGTTGTAAACCTCGTCGGGATTGATGATATCGAGCCAGCGGCGGAGAGAAGAGGCGTCGGTAAGGTCGGCATAATGGAGCTTCATCCGGGCTTTGTGGGCATTGTGGGGATCGATATAGACATGGTTGATTCGCTGGGTATTAAAATTGGATGATCTACGTATAAGGCCATGGACTTCGTAGCCTTTGGTAATGAGGAATTCGGTGAGGTAAGAACCATCTTGACCGGTGATGCCGGTGATCAGGGCGACTTTCCGGGCGGGGGTAGTAGGGGTATCGGGGCCGTTCACAGGTGTGGATCCGGATTCGGATCTGGGAGGGGCGTCATTGTCGGTGGCCATTTCGATCTTCTTAATAGATTCTCAGTGAAGTGTGCTGGGTTTTTTGGGATTGGGGAGATTCGGAAGATGAGCAAATCGAAGAAGGAAGGGAGGAGAAATTGCAAAATGTGGAAAAGCTTGACAACTTGTTAAGTAGGAGTGAGTTGTCACCTCTGCGCCAAAAAAGAAGAGTGGGCCTTTCTCTTCTGTAGAAAAAAGAGTTGGGCAATTAATCAGAAACAACCGGTCCTCCTAAATTAGGAGCACCTAGTAGCGGCTTGCCGGCGCCGTGCATCAGTGGTGTGATTTTGTTTATTTTTTTATTTTTTTATTTTTTAATGTTTTTTCTCTTTTTTTTTTCAAATTATCGAATGGAATTATCCAAAAATAATTTAAAATATGTATCGAATGACAAATTTACCTACGCGACTAAATTTTTTTATTGACACAAATAAAACCTATTTTTAAATTAAAAACTGCACAAATTTAAAATATTAAAAATCATGCATATGTAAATTATTCCAACTAAGAAAAGATTTTCTCTTCTTCTCTACATATTCTCTCAAACCAGTCTCTCCGGAAAAAAAAAATCAACTCTTTTTATCATTTGTTAAGTAGGTGTCTCTAAATATTATTCTTTCAGTAGATTAATTGTAATTTATTGAGAGAGTATGGTTTTTCTTCCAGTGTTTGTGGTTCTTTCGTATTGTTGCTGCAATATCCGTAATTTCGTTTGTGATGCGGAACATTCAGTCATCATATGTTTATGTGATAGATCTATGATTTGGGCCTTTTCATCAAATGATTAAAGATATATTCTTGATCAAATTGACATTTGGCACGTGATATATCCATCATTGTATTCAGTAAATTTAGATAAGTTTATCCATGAGAAACACAACAATAGTATTAAGTTTAATTGTAAGTTGTGTTTTTGTTTCGACTAATCTTTCATTGTCAATCAATTTCCAGTATAATATAATATAGTTTTTATTTCAAAAAAAAAAATAGTTATAAAATGTGTTGTGTCACACAATAGCCAAACGTGAGAATCAAAGTCAAAAATCAAATGTGTTGTTTCAAGGGCTGCAACAATGTTAGGATTTGGATTTCCGGCAGATCATAGCCGAGGTTGACAATATGAGTATTGTGAAGATGTTAGAAGAGCAGGAGCAAAAGTTGGGGATACATAGAGGTTTGGTAATGGACACCCTAGATCTTTTAGAGAGGACATAGATTGTGAATTTGAACCACATACATTGGGAAGAGAATTTCGCTGTGGATTCCTTAGCCGGTTTAGCTGCTTCAACCCCCGGCGGTGTTATCCGGTTGGATGATCCGCCTTCGGATGTAAACTTATGGTTATATCATGATGTAGTTGGTATCTTATAGTGATGTACTATAATCATCTAACTTTTTCATTGCCTCCTTCATTGTTAAAAAAAAAATAAAAAAAGAGTATATGGATAATGGGACCTAAATACACGGAAACGGAAGTCACACTTTTATAAGACTCACTCTTCCCCAAAAAATAGGTTTTCTAGGAAGCCTATTTCCATAATGAAAGAACATCTCTCTCCTTGTTCGTAGTTAGCGCTTTGTTCTTGCTCTTCTACCCTATAATTAGGTCTCTATGAGGGGCTAATTCAATTGGGCAGTATGTAATCGCAACTTCACAAGTGTTTTCCCGGTTCCAAAGGTATGCATTAATTGGAGTTGCATTTTTCGACCTGATGTGGCTTAGAAGTGAAGGATCCGAGGAGAAATATCATGTAATATCGGTCAAAGAAAAGGTTGGCTATGGCATAGAATGAGTTAATTTGCAAGCTAAAATCGAGCGTCAACACGCAGGTCCAAATGTAAAAGCTGATGCTCCAAACAAAATGAAAATGGGGGCACGAGGGGCTACATAGTAATTGAGCCGTGAGGCCGACATTTTGCATTGGCAAGCCCAGTTTCCTTAAACAAAATTTGGGCCAATTGTCCATGAGTGGAGGGCGAGTGCATTTTTCTTTGTGCTTTTTTCTTCTTTTTTTTTTGGATAGATTAATTAAGAGAGTAAAATATTAATAGCAAAAATTGAAATTCAGTTATGGAATTTAAAATTTTTGGTACTGATAAGTCCCTTCAAAATTCTCTATAAGATATTATATTGTTTATATTTATTTTATTTATGATTATACGTGGAATCAAACAAAATTACAAACCTTGCGCAGCGAGACAATGCTTTTGGTGTTATATATCAACCTTGTTCGGTCATTGCTACACGACTATATGAGAATGATTTGCATAAAATACATTTCAATATTCGTCAACGACTATTCAAGTGAACTATATTAAAGGCGCCATGTTTGAGATTTTCTATTACTGATAATGTATTTAAATCTTTGGGTTAAATAATTTTTTCATCAATTATCACATTATTCATATAGTAATCTTTCCGTCCAAAAAAAAAAAAAACTATAAGATACATTATAAATAGGAAATTGTCGTTAATTAATAGCCTTTTTTGTGATTTAATTAATATCCGTCCAAAAAAAACTATAATATACATTTCTTTAATTTATTCACTACTACTATTACTGGTATGGAATAATGGTACTCATTCATAATCTATCTAAAAGTTAAAAACGATATCTATAGAGTACATAATATGAGACCTAATCGCCATAAATTTGGGATTTTGCATAAAGCATGCATTGACAGATATATATTTTGGTACTCATGCGCAGCTGGTTATGAGAATGATTCTGGATAATAAACACGTAGTGGTTGTTTAGTTATCAGGGCATATCTCAATGAACAATTGTGGTATTCCGGCAATGCATATCTCAATACACAAACCATCCAGTCCAGCAAATTCTGAATGATCCTATTACAATTATATCACAGCGAAAATTCCAACCAATCCGAGATAAATTTTATTAGTTTGAATTCGATAACCACTGCAAAGGCGCGTTTTGGTTTAGAAACAGGAGACACAGAATTATTATGGGTATTACATCCACGCTCAATGAACGACTCTGAACACAATAAAAAAAGAGAACATGTATTGTTTTTCTGGTTAATAGGATTTTTTTTTTAATCCTAAAAAGGCTGAAACAATGGCATGTTGCCAAAGGCATACAGAAGTAAGCAGTAATGTTCTGCGATCTATGCTCACAAAAATAAAGCAGGGAATGTCAAAATCTGAATGTAAATTGCAGGGTCGTGGTAAGCCCAGTTGGTTTTTTGCCATTCCAGATTCATCATTTGATCAACCAGTCCTCTTTATGATGTGAACTCCACTGTCAGTATCCACAATGTCGCTTATCTCACCAACCCTCAGGGCAAATGTAGCTTCTTCAAAAGGCTTCTGCATCTGTCCTTTCCCAAAAGGCCCTGCATTTTAATCCACCGGAACAAGGCTCAAGTTAAAGAGGTCTGGGTCCTAAACTCGTTAAAAGAGCTATGCTACATTCGAGGCATTCAAAGAGATAAATATAAGCAGTGTAAAGTCTGACTAAATAATGCAATGCTTTACAGATGCAAATTAAAAGATCCAAAGATTAAATTGCAGGCTATATGATATAGAACTCATATTATCATCTTAATACATATACAGAGGTTAACACTCAGGAGGTTGCAATTTTCCTCCACGGAAAACGAATCTCGGACAAGAAATAAGCATTCATCTATCCTGATCAATGGCAACCAAAACCTTGGATAACACATGAAGGGAAGTCATGAGACAGAACCTAGCGAAAATCACAAGCTTTCAAAGTAGTTATTAGGTTATGCCATGGATCAACATGAACGTCATCAAACAAACAAAATCCCTAAAATTTGAACAGAGCAGCAGCCCCTATTGGAGTTTAACTAGCATACAAATAGCTCGTGTAGGCTGTGATATTCTACAGGTGCCACTACCATACTTGCACACAAGGTGCAAAATGAGAATTCCTATAAGGAACAAAAGATTGCCTTATATAAATCCATCTGAAAGAGGCATAACAAATAAAGCACCCTCTTCACTGTTATTTTGAATTCAATTAACACTCTTTCAAGGGGCAACAACACAGATTCACACTGTAAAGGGAGAAATCATCTAATCATCAAGCAGTAATTGATTTCCTCCTCCGTTAGTACATAAGCAACAGAAAGATGGAACAAAAAAACCTCATCACGGTAACATAAACACTAATTCCAGGAAAATCAATAAGCCAGATAACCTAAACCCTCAAAAACCACAACGCAACTACAAAGGGGTAATCCGACCACACATATACTAGGATAAGAACGCGAATTTCGAAGAGAAAATCCAAATAAACTCGAGAAAAAAACCCTAGAATCCATCACAATTCAGAAATTGTTCAACTAACAAATAGAAGACGCACCGAGATCTCCGCCGCGCTTGGCAGAGCTGCAGTCAGAGTGAGTAGCGGCGACGTCCTCAAACTTAGCCTCACCAGAAACAATGCTATCGCGGAGGGCTTTGAGCTGGGAAACAGCGGCGTCGCGCGTGGTGCTACTGATGACGCGGCCTTCGGGATCCTTCCAGGAAGCCTTGCGTCGGGATCCCTCGTGCTTTATCAAGATGTGGGAAGCCCTAACCTTATCGCGGGAAGATGAGGATGACGACATTTTCGTCTTCTTCTTGTGCTTCTCGGAACGATCTGTTGTTCTAGATGGATTCGAAGCAGAAGCACTCTTCCTCTTCCGATCGGAATCTATTTTTGCTGCTTTTTCCCAATTCGATGGGGTTTTTTTCGATTGAGCCAGCACTGTGTTCAGCTCTATTTTTTGACTTTTAAATACTGTGTTAAAAGCAGTGGCCGCCCTTTTGCTTTTGCTCTTCTTTTTCTTTTTCTTCTTTTTTTTTTAATGGGTTAATGGAATTTCATCCTTCCTAAAAAACAAAAGGGTTTGGGTTTAAGTGAGTTTTTCTTTAATTATCAGTTTTCGCCACTTCTTTCTTGAATATCCATGGAATCTGTTATCCATGTTACTTTTTCTCCTTTAATTGGAACAAATCTTTATAAATAACAATAATCTTCTATATGACATTTTGGATCTTTTTTCTCCATCTAATGTTCAAAATGTTCTTCTCAGCTGGTGGTAATAAAAGGCCTAATTAAAATAAATTCTTCTAAGAGGCACATAAACAAAATCAGTGGAACAGTGAAAGCGGAAATTGACATTGGGTGCTTTCCTCAAAAAAAAAATAAAATAAAATAAAAAATAAAATAAAATAAAATTCTTGACAGTTTTCCCTGGTTTGTTTCACTTCAACCTTGGACGATGGCATATGAAAAAGGGTTCCAGCGCCCTTAAAAAAACTCATGGATACAACAGTTTAACCAAACCTGTTAAATCGAACCAATATACTTTACCAAAGAATTAGTGAATCAGACTTCAATAACAAAAATGACCTATCTTCCAAAAAGGAGATCACTGATGCCACTAAATAATCAACTCTCAACGTGTGTGAAAATATAGGAGGATGCTTTAAGTGAGGATGAGAGAGTTTCTACAACTCCACTCCAGCAATTTGAATGTCTTTTGCTAAAGTTCTCTCAGAATGGGCCAACCCCTTTTAACAATGTCATTAATCTTCGAATCAATGTGTTTCTGCATTCTTGTTGGACAAAGTTCTGCTGCATATCCATTTAACTTTGCTGCCAGCGTTAACCTCTGGAGCTCTTCCTCTGGCAAGTTCCCAATCAGCTGAAGAAGGAATGGATTCCGTTTCAGCTCAAACTTCTGCACAGAGACTCGGGATCGTCAATGTTTCAGGCTTTTGAATCACTACCAAGTCTCCAAAAAAGAGTAGCAAGCAACATGCCTGACAAACTATTCGACTTTCAAAGTCCTTTGACAGAGAAAACTTAAAATCGATCCCACTGCAATCCTATTGTGTAAACAGATATTGCGAGAGAAGTGTTCCTATGCTAATGCTTTTAAGAAATCCAATGTGATGTCAACGTAAAAAGCTGGAGCAAGGACTTTCATCTTAACAAATTCGAAATTTTCTTTATCATCCCAAAGTCTCTAGGATTGGCTTCACCGAAGATAAATAGAAATTTGTCGAATTCTGTACCTTGTACAATCATAATGGTGATTCATAGATGTTCATACAAACTAACTGACCTGGTGTTCATGCTCAGCGGGATAAAATGAACTTAATGGTTGAATTTGAGTGGTTACAATGCCACCCATTGACCTTGTCTGCTCTCTTTCTTTACTAATGGCAGCCAACCTTGATTCTTCAGTTCCATTGGTGAAAATTATAGACCTGTTTCCAAATTATAAATTTAGTAAGAGTATCATTGCAATAAGAACATAAACTCCAATATAAGTCCTTAAGGAGTACCTGTACTGATTACCTACATCGGGACCCTGCCCAAACACTTGCCTCGAATCATGACTGCTCCAGAAGACCTCCAGAAGTTGTTTGAAAGTGATCATTCTTGGGTCATATTCAATCTGTAGAAAATAAATCAACTTTTAACACAGGTATGGAGTGTGAAAAAGCATTAGACATAAGACAGGTAACTAATTCACATAGTTGAAAAAAACAAAATGCATCACCAACAGTAATAAGTTAACGAAGCCCAATCCACAACTAAGCTTAAACAAACAGAAGCTTCGCTTATCTTGATATTTTTGACAACTGAAATCTGGTGAACACTTAAAGAACAGCCTGAAATTCAATGATCTGACGATAAACAAGTCTTTAAATATGAAAATTTCTAATCTCGACATAAGCCTCAGGTTATACTACATCAGTGACATGAGTACATAATTCAGTTCCATTGCACGGACGTTGGATCAAGATATGCTTCTGCTTTCAAATAGCATTCACTACCACCTCAGATTGGGAATTCAGATAGCCTTTATACATAACAGCAAAGTCAAGTACTCTGCTTTCATGTTAATGACAGCTTGTAGACGGAACCTACTCTCTCGCTAACAAAAAGGAAACTTATTTTCCAATTACAGATAGAATCAGTGGCAATTAATACATCACGAACAGGCCAAGCGGTACATCTGTAGCCCAATGCCACTTGACAGCCAAAACTTTGCTTAGGCAACAATTTCTCACTCCACAATTTCCACTTTCCACTGCTACAGTTTAACATACTCAGAAAGTTATATACTCCCCTTACTACGCAAATGACCAAATTGCAGTCATCGACTTCCATAACTAAGCACAAGACTAAGTACTAATAGAAGGCACCATTATTTTACTCAAGATCCACATTTTGTCCCAGACAGAAACCCACATACAGTTACACAATTACTTATGCAAAGAGAAATAAACGACATAACAATATGATCGCTAATTGTTGAATGGAAAAACAAACTTCAATTGGAGAAAAGTTAACTTATGATGAGGTGTGAAAATGACCTGCACAGATTCAGCGTGATCGCCCAAGCTACGGTATTCGGGATTAGGCTTGGATCCACCGGCATAGCCTGCGGTCGTCCGCACAACTCCGTCCAAGCAGCCAAAGACGGCCTCCGATCTCCAGAAGCTTCCCAGAGCAAAAATTGCTGTCTGTAATTGTTCATTGGCTATTATCGGATTATCCGAAGTCCGGCTTGAGAATCTGATGGCGTGCGAGGAATTTGCTGCTAAAACAATGGCTAAGAGTAGTAGGCATTTTAACGGCGTGGCCTTCATGGCGTCGTCGACCGGAGATGTTTTCGGCAGGTCACTGACGAACTGGTACCATTATTTTCTCTTTCCTGTTAGAAGACGGGGTTTCAATAATTTAATCGGTTGGACTTGGACGGGTCACTTTATACCTGTATCCTCCTATTAACCCATCTGAGTTTATGTATAATTTCTCCGGTTGTAGTATTATTTTATTATTATTTATTTAATTATTGTTATTAATTATTATTAGCCAAGTATATTACAGTATTTATTTTTTGGTTCTTTAGGAGGCAAAAGTTATTCAAAGTACTTCCATTATCCTCTTATTTTCCTATTTAGGAGGCAAAAGTTATTAATGTTGCGTTGAGTAAAAGGGTGTAGAAATATTATCAAAGATACAGGTGAAATTTCACCAGGAATGCAATCCCTCCTAATCAAGGCTGTTTTTGCCAACCTTAAATGGTACAACAAAACAACAACAAATTATCAGTTGTCACTTAAACGGAACTGCAGATTCACAAAGCTTCAAAAAGAAGACATAAAAAGAGAAAAAACCATTCTTAAGCACAAACAGTGCACAAAATTGGACTGCTTTGCAAGGTGAGAATCAGCAATAATGGTGATTGAATACAAGTGTAAACTAGAATTAAAAGAAGAAGAAAACAAAACTGGATTCATATATTTTGCATCTGTCCTTCCTTAATTCCTTTCCTCTGAGTTAACTTCATTCCCCCAACACTATATAATTTCTCAAGAATATGATTGCTTTTTCCTTGTCTAGGTTGTAAGAAGAAGATAAACAAGGCCCTTCAAGTATTCCACTATTTCAGATCCTCCCAGCTTGGAAGTTCCATATACTCTGTCCACAAAAGTAATTGGAACCTGCAAACAGAACGTGGAAAGAGTAAAGTTTTGAAACAGCATTATGAACCACCAGCCTTTCATCCAAACACTTCAGTCAGTTTTGTCTCAACTATAATACACGGAGCTACCATATATAGTGTGGTTCCTTCTTTCAACCAAATTTACTTGACAAGGGCAAAAAGTTAAAAACAACATGAAAAAAAAAATTTAATTGCCAAGTCAACATGAAAGAACATGTATATTAACGGAGAAGCATAAATCAGACAGGTAGACTGAAAATAAGTTATAACCTACGGTTGACAATACCTCAGAGATTTTATAGCCTTTCCTAGTAGCACGAACAATCATCTCCATCTGAAAGACATATCCTTTACTCACACATGAGCTTATAACATCCTCAAGAACAGACTTCTTATATAGCCTTAAGCACCAAAATAATAATTATGAGTTGTTGTGGGGGAAAAAAGAAAAAAAAACTTCGCAAAGTATGCAGTTTTTGGTAGTAAGGGTTTACCGGAAAGATCCAGTCAGGTCTGATACACCTGGCCAGAGTAATGTTTGAGCAAGGACATTAGCTCCTCTACTCGTCAGCTTCCGCATCAAATTCCATCCATGCACACCACCTCCTTTGACATATCGAGTTCCAGTAACAATATCTGCACCTGTTTCCATCTGTTTCCTATATTTCAAACAAAATTTAGCTAATATTCTTGACAAAATTCATTCAACACATTTGCAGAAGAGATCTTACTTGATGAAGCTTGCCAGGTATTTTGGCTGCAAAGAGGAAAGACAATTGCTTTAGAGGAGACAAATTTACGATTCTGTTGTAAGATAGGACGACAAAGGGACATATACTTGCATACAGTTCTGTGGAGTTACATGCTCATACCACGGGGGAAAAAAAAAACAAAAACTCTGAATGCAGAACACACAACAGTACTCTCATCATTTCAGAAGGAGAGGATTTATACTTACATGATGAGACAAATCAGCATCCATGATAACTACAAAATTGCCTGAGGCATGCTTCAAACCATGGATATAGGCAGTTCCTGAAATTGTTAAAGTATAATATTAAGGAACCGCTTCAAGTTAAAGACCTTAAATAGAAGGCAGTCAAACACAAACCTAAACCAAGTTTCTTGGGTCGAGGCCTCAGTAGCTACATAAATGTCGAGCCACAAATTAGTATATCTCAAACAAGATAAACCCGAGCAAGATAGAATGGAAACTTGCAGAGTGTAGCTTAATAAGACTTACTACACGATTTTCGCCATACACAGATTGCAATTGTTTTACAATATCCTGAGTACCATCTGGGCTTCCATCGTCAACAACTATGATTTCAAAATCAACATTCCTAACCAGTTAAGAACCCAAAGTCAGAATCAAATATATCCCCTGAATATACTCCATAAAATAAATTAATTTTTGCAAATTCTTGCGACTTTTGATTGTTGTAAATACAATCAATTGTTCAACTGAAATCAAAGGATAAGAAATAACACAACAAAGAGAGAACATACGGTAGATGTTTGAAGATGAGATAGATAATGAGAGCAATGTTCAGCCTCTCGTTGTAGGTAGGAACTATTATACTGTACTTATTCTTGCTCTCCATTTCCTCAATTCCCATGTTCAATCTTGCATTAAACACAGCCCTTAAATTCCTAAAACTTAAAACACACAAATTCAATGAATCAAGTTTAGATAGATATAACAAAATGCAGGAAACAAACATTCAAAATCACAACATTGGTAAGATATAGTGCCCTCAAAAAAAATAACATCCAAACAAAATCCACCATACTGAAAACACATAAGTTCATAATCATCATAAATTAATCCAATATCTGAACAGAAGTAATCAAATCTCATAGCTTCGATCGAATCAATAGATATGATCGAATCAGAAGCGGTCACCGTCATTTCCCGCCAAGCAACAGTATGAAGAAAGCAAACAAGATTACAATCTAGAAAATACATAGACTCTGATCCTAAACCCTTGACTGAAGAAACAGGACAGAGAAAGGGGGAAATTTTCAGCAGCAACAAAACTACCTTAGGTGCCGATGATAAACTACACCGTCACAACCACGGTGCCACCAATTCTGATCCCCGCCTTCAAAATGGACTGCTTTGTGTAATTTGATTACCCCTGGAAAGGAAGAAAGCGATGGAGAATGTGAAATTGGGAATACAAATGATTTCTGTTACGACCCGACTCCGAAAGTTTAAGCCAGACCAGACCCGCGGATTGACCCGATAATTTTGATTTTACCTGCGACTTGGATGTTGGCCTGGCCTGTTGGGCCAAAACATATCCAGGCCCGTTGGGGAACACTAAAAAATAAAAGAGGCAAGTCATGACGTTGGCGGTTAAGAAGAAGTGGTAAATTGATAATAATCATTGTTCGATCATCCGACGAAAAAAGTGAAAGAATGTAGAGGAGGGAAAAGTTAAGGGACTAAAAATGTAAATTACGTAAAGGAGTCCTAAAGCAATTAAAGAAAAGAAATTAGGGTCTCTTCTTGTATCCGCTAGTCATAGCTGTTTCCATACACACATACAGATCTAAAATTTCTATCTCTTTGCGTGTCTCTCTCTCTCTCTCTCTAGTCTCCAGATAGCATCTCCTTCTCTGGTCTTCTCCGATCATCCGGCCATGGAAAGCGAATTGGCAAAACCGAACAGGGAGCTGAAATCCCAACGTTCGATGATCTCTCTGTGGCTTCTGGCCTTTATATTTAAGTTATTATTGGTTTTATTTTCCTAGTGCTTTCGGTTAACTGGATAGTATGAATTACCCGGATTATGAGATGATAAAACGTCTAATCATAGTTCATGTTTAACTTTTGCAAGGACACGCCTATATATCGAAATAAAATTATGTTCAGCGTGTGAATTGAGATAACTTGGCTCTCTTGGAATGGTCATTCATAAACAGTCTCGTGTGATTTTGACCCTTTTAGGCATTAGACTAGACTAGTTGTGCTTGCTTTTTAGGTGCCTTAAACATATGCCATAACATGCTACACTCCCAAACCCCATATGAGCGTCTGCGTCTGATAGTGTTTTCACACTTTTCAGTAATAAAAAATATAAGACACCAATCAAATTAGTTAATTTACAAAGTTAGTTGATTGAAAAAGAAGTACATTTAGAAAGACATTCTAAATGAAATATCAAATACTTTATAAAGAGGTATAAAAAGTACTATGATTCTCGCAAAATGCTATTATAACAAAAATAGAAGAGAACAACAAATATAAATATAAAAGTACTGTGAACCAATGTCTAATCATCGAAGGATCAAATCTAAGCCGAGCGTTCGCAGGTTATAGATGGCTCTTCAGAGGTTCTTTTTATCAAGGATACGAAAACACTAGTCAACCAATGGCTAAAAGGGCGTTTCTCTATTTTCTTTCTTTTTTTTTTTGTTTATACTGTCAAGCTATTTTTCCCATATCAACTCTTGTCATGTTGTGTTCCAAATACATGTTATCACTAAGTGGTATGGATCATCAATATATAAACATGTTACTCCATCTATTTCTAAATCGGTGATGCTATCTATGCTATTTCAAACATTCATTTGAATTGTGATTTCAAAAGTACGATGATGTTACAAAAATGTTACTCTCTCCATCTCACAAAAGTAGTCCAGTTTAATAAAAAAATTTGTCCTAAAAAAATAGTCCAATTTCACAAAAGTCAAAATTAATTGAATTGAAATGACTTAAATATCCAAAAGAATAGTGGTAAGCAAAACAAGGTCCACTTACTTTGATTTTATTTTTTTTTAATTTTCTCCCATTTTTTCAAATGATTATATCTTTTAATACATGAATAATTAAAAAAATATATTATATATCAAATTAATCTACTAACGAGATCTTTCCATCAAGATCTATTGTCAATATTTTTTGAGATAAAAATTTTGATCAATTTAAATTGTAAAATAAATGCATATATAGTTAACTTTTATAGAATTAACTAGAAAAGCATTAGTGGAAGTTAGTGGTATAAAATGAGTTGCACATTTGGTGTGTTGATCGGATTAAAAAAGTTGTACATTTTCAAATTGAACTATTTTTTTTGGATGGAAGAAGTATTTTTCTATTTTTTGGCAATATCACTTTGATAAGTGGGTTCACTGGGTTTGTTATCTATATACTGAAAGTAGTCCATTCAGTTAATACGAGACCACTCAGCACGGTATGCAACTTAGCATGCACGTAGAACGGCAAGAATTTAAACCTACACATGATATGTCTTGTAAGAAATTTGGAAGCTATAATAAGACAATAGCCAATGAGCCTGTTTGGGCCGGTGGACTAGTGCTTTCATATATTGAGAAATTAATTCGTAATTAATTAAAGTTTGAAAATGATAACTCTTTTCTTCTTTGGAAATGAATTAATAGGAACAAATTTTGTTACGGCGCGGTTCATCTCAGGCTATGTTTGGAAACTAGGTAATGCTATGGAAAATATTTATGGTGATGCTAAATATTAAATTTAGTAGTAACTAAATGGATAGTATTGACAAAATTCATCATTATAACAAGATGCAGATCTGAACACTTCCTGGCCTCCAACAACAAAAGTTCATCTCTCTTAGATGAGGAGTGATTCAGTACCGAATGATGGAGATTAAAAATAAACTAACCCAAAAAGACCTAAAGCATATAATATCTAGTAAATTCGAAAGTGCAAAGTGTTGGTGATGAAACAGACGCCTACATCTTCATAAACTTCATTACAATAATATGCTTAGACATGGAAAGTTCATCATCACACATAGGAAGAGGATAGCCGCCGGACAAGACCAAAAGGGGCCGGATCTAGCCTTCAGATCCCTGAATCATAAAAAGGGAAATAGAACAATAGTGAGTGTGAATGATCGATGTATCTAAAGCAGAGAAAAAGTTAAACTTCCCTAGAAGAATTCCTCAATAGAAAACTTAAAACAACACATGGGGACATGAAAAAGCATAAATCACAACAAAAGATCTTGCCTTTACCTTGTTTCCGGCCAGATCTGTTCTTGGTTTTGCCGGAGCCGCCGCCGCAGGCATAAGAGCCTTCATCTCCTTCAGGTGAAGGAGAAACTCGTCGGCGATCCCACTGTAGAAGATCCCATCAGAATCCGAATCGGTTTGAGTGGCATGGACCACAAAGAAAACCATGGCGGTCTGCACGTTGGGACGTACGGCGATGTCTACAATCGATCAGAAGAGGGGAAGGGTATTTTTGCCCAACTTAGCAGTCTTAGCCATTGTCTGAGATGGTGAAAGTTAGTAAGCTGGAGAGAGAGTATCTTTCTCATCTTAGGGTTTTAGGCTGTCATGTCGTCAATTTAATACCACTGACCAAATGGAGAATACGGGAAATTATTTTAACACCCCCACGTTTTGTTTTAATATACAAAAACCACCCTTCAAGCTTCATATATATACATAAACAACCTTCCCAATGCATGTTTGATACCTCAAAATTTAATTGTCCATTATTCACTGCTTTTCTTTCTTGGAATGAGGGGCCCACATCCTAGTAAATTATTTTCAACAAGAATTTCACATTTTCGACTTTATTTATAACTAGTTTATATTATCAAAGTATACAAAAATTGTAAAATGACGAACATATGGAACTAGGTTAATTATAATTTATCACTCCTATCAACAATACAAAATGTATCGAACTAAAAAAAAAATAAAAAAAAATGTATCCAACTATCGATCCTTTAAAGTGTCGATTTGATTCCTTATAATTACAATCCTCGTTTTACTAAAATCAAAGTTACCAAAAACGTCAAACTTATCCCAAGACAAACCAATATTACCTTCCATCTTAATAAAGAAAGTTCCGAGTAACCAGCGCCGACAGGAGTATTGGATAAAACATGTTATAATATACAAATAAAAGAAAAAAAAAAAGCCTTGTAACATTTTTCTTGTGAACGAAAACATAATTGTGGAAATTCAAAAATGTTAATACTCAATTACAGTTCATCCCACGAATCCATTGTGTGATTGGGAGAAATCTTGCTTTGTATGCAAATTTGCAGCCTATACATACAATCCAAAATTAAAAAAGAAAAAAAAACGCTCTGCAATGGTATTAAAAGTTAGTATAAATTGGGAAAGAGCAACAAAGGTGACAAAATAGACATCTAAAAGGAGACAACAACATGGTACGTAATTAGGCAAAGCAATATAGGAAAAAAAGGGGGGTAGAATGTTCAATTTTTCATCACCATTGACCTGTTTTCTTATTTGTGCTGACGCTTCTCTTTCTATACTAAATTGCTTTATTGACTAAATAATTTCAATGCTTGTTGAATATTGGTAATCTTGTTTGAGTTTTTTATTTGATCTTTTTGAATGTTGAAATTGCATTTGATTGTGTCACCTTGATGAACAACTTAAAGAGAAGAAGACAAAGGATATAATGCAATACAAATGCAAGGAAAAACTTGATTGGTCATTTTGTTGGAGTTAAACTAGATTAGACTTTCAAATTATTGCATATAATAATTTCGAACCTTGATGCATGGTACGCCCAATTAAATCAAATTTAAAAAAGATAGAATTAGTAAATATTCATATTAAAAATTGGCTTTCATTTTAGTATTATTTATTATAGTAACATTCATATTGTCATATTGTCATAGTCGAGTTTAGATAGGTTTTTGGGTGTCAAATATTGGGATAAAATTATCTTTCTTTGCGGCCTAGTTTTAGTGATTTCATCTACACTTGTAAATATGTTTGAGAAAAAAATACCATGACTAGGGTATAATAATGCTGGCATATTTTTCATTGCGTAATTTTAGTTTATTACCCATATTTAATTCTTTTAGTATAGTTAAACTAACAGACACAAATGGAATCGGAATAAAACATTGAAATACTAGTACACATTAAACAATCATTTCAAATGACAAAACTCTCAACTTATAAGAACATGGAAAATGATATACCTAGTGAAAAAAAATAGTGAGAAAAGATAGTGAGTGATGTGACTTATTTTTTGCCCCTAGTTTTTTATCATTTTCACGTTAAAATTTTATCTTTTCCCTAAAAAATTATATTTTTACTCTTCATTAATAAATACACATATTTAGTGAGGATGGTGTATTTGTCTTTTCATTTCACTATACTTTTTTACTATAATCAGTCATTATCTCTATCATTGCTCTAAGAACATTTGGAAGGTTCTTTTTGATATATATGAAATACGGATGGTATTTATATATTAAAACCAAACAATTGGGGGGTGTTGTGACAATTTTCCATATTATCCATTGGGTCGGTGGGCAGTGTTATTAAATGGACACAAAGACATCTCAGCCAGCCTCAAAACCCTAAAAAAGCGCCGCCTCACAGTCTTACATCCTTTCCTTAGGTAGCTCACATCCAGCTTTCATTCAAAAAAGAAAAAAATGGCTCAGAATGTCACTGTCTCATCAGGCCGCGCGATTAATTAGAGGTATTATACTATCTAAATTAGTTACCAGTACTGAATTTAACGTTTATTATCACTCTAAATATTTCCCATGCCTAGTACTAGTTTCTAAACAACTATAGCTTGAATATACCAAAATTTGTTCGTATTAATTCATTTCCAAAAAAGAAAGAAAAGAGTTTCAGTTAATGATTAATTTTCAATATGTGATACTAGTAGACTGGAAGTCTACCCAAACGGGGTCGGTCTCCCAATTGGCTATTGTTCTTACTCATTAGTATAGCCTCCTATTTTCTTACTAGACCTATGCTATTTAGGTTTATACTACTTTTTTGCTGTTTTATTTTATGAGCTCAGTTGAATGGACTGCTTTTCGGAACCGGACGGAGTATATATATATAGAAATCAAACCTTTGCGTAACCACGTATCAAAGTGACATATACCAAAGAAGTTAAAAAGATAACATTTTCATTTCTCCATCGCCTTTTCAAAACCATAATTCAAATGATTGTTCGAGATATCATACATACCGTGATCGATGAGACAATTCGATACGGGAGAAACAATTTGACAATAAATAAAGAAACAAAAAAATAAAAAGAAAAGAAAAAGAAACAGCCTTTTAGCCATTGATGATTAATTGGTGTTTCCGTATCCTAAAAGGTCCCTTGAAGTGTCATCTAATCTGCTAAGGCTAAGAAACGGTCCGTGGATGATTAGACATTGTTTCACAATACTTTTCTCTTTCATATGATTCTAATTAATTGTAAAAAGCATTTTGTGATAGTTCTCCTTTTTTTTTTTTAAATACCTTTCTATAAAATACTTTATGTTTCATTTATAATGCATTTCAAAAATTTATTTATTTTTAATCGACTAAACTTTTTTAATCAATTATACTCGATTAGTATCGTACAGTCTTGATCGAAAATAGTCTTTTTTAATAAAAGTAATTTAAGTAAATGATATATATAAATAACTAAATAATTGCTAAATCAGAAGCTGGAGATTCTCGAAATATAGAGCTCAGAAAGCACTACGTCACATATGATGTTTTGGAGTAGCAGGGTTTACCGTGTGCCTACGCATGTTTTATTGTACCTGAAAAGCAACGACAAGTGCCCAGAGGGTCAAAATCAGACCTACGATCATATATGGCGTTTTCAAGGGAAAAACCGAAAAAGTGTCAAATTTGTTTTCAACTTTCACTTCAATTTTATCTTGATAGATTAAGAGAGTGTCAATTTTATTCTGATAATATGATAATGGTGTCAATTTTATTTTTTTATTATCATCTAATTAACAAATTCCGGTCATTATAATCAAAGATAGTCAAAAATATATTATATTATTATTATTTTTAAATTTTAGGACGAAATTGACACTTAATTAATTAACTAACAAACTTTTTTTAAGCTCTTCCAAGTTATACCAAATCATATACTCCATGAACATAATTTTGCTTCGATTTGCGTGTTGTTGCAGAGGTTACACATGACAAGCGATTAGATATGTCATCACAAGATCATCGGCCATCATCTGGGTAAACATAATATCTAGTGAACTGGAACCACAAGGGGAAAAAAATAAAATAAAAATAGCTACTCAACAACATCCATTCCGTTGCTTCTGTTGAAAAGGGAAAACACGCCCCAATTCTTCAGCAAACCCTTAAGATAAAAGACATCATAAACACACAATCAAACATCCTTAAGATTGATTAAACATTAAACAACATAAGACGTCATGAGAGGTCAAAAAGCCCCAAACTTTGCTCCGACTGATTATTACCCAAAACCCTAATTGCCACCGCCGGAAACAGGACCCGGATCTCCGCCGCTGCTGCCTCCTTGTTTTCCACGGCCGAATTTGGAACAGATCTTCTCGAATCCGTTGCGGGACATCTGATCCGCCCGATTGATGCCGTGGGAGCCTGTAAAACAGGAGGGGTTTTCAGAAACATAGAATTTAGGTGGACAAACATTTTTTCTTAAAAAAAAAAAAAATGAAAGAACGAAGGAGAAACATACTCTTCTTTTAAATAAAACCCAGAAGGGCCACAGAGATCATCGTACGGTTCATTTTCAGCTGCCTTTTCGCTTCTGCCATCTTGTTCGAGCTTAAACTATACTATTAGAGTTTTAGGTTGGGTTGCATATAGTCACGACCCTTGATATGGCGCCCAATTAAATTGAAGAAACAAATTAATGATATAATTATTACATATTAAATTTTTTTTAAAGAAAATGACATCATTTTATTACGTCTGGAGAGGAGGAAAGCGATGCAGAATGTGAATAAACATGATTTCTCTCAATTCAAATCAGACCTGTTGAAAATTGACAAATTTGCTATATATAATTTGGATTAAGAGAGGGACTCGTTGAGTGACTTATGTTGGACCCCCCGATGTTACCGAATATAGTACCACCAATCCCCAACGCACAAAATATGAAAATATCTTCCGTCGATGATATTTGACTTGTGATTTTGTGACTATTGTGGCATTCCGGAATCTAACAGGGATTCATGGCGGTGGAGGAGCTAGATTAAAAAAGAGGAGGAATTCTTGTTGTAACATATGTATTATTCTCAGAGAGCCACCTTTTAAATATTTGGAGTTTCTTTTCGTTATTAGGAATTGTTTGATTTTCTTTTCTTTTCTGTAATTCCTAATAATTGTTATTAGGAATTCTTTTCGTTAATTTGTACCATGATTTTTGATGCCTACGTTTTATGCTATTACATACCATATAATTAAATACAGTTTAACAAGTATGTTCGTTGTTATTTACCAGCATATGTTTAGTATGATATGATATGAACTTCAATATTCGCATCATCTTGGTCTTAGTTAGAGCCAAAATTGTATCATCCTCATAACCCTCCTAGAGATTCTTGTGTTTGGGGCTCACGAGGATGATTCAAAATATGCTATAGCTTAGGTAGTTTATCGACTGAATTTTGGACAGCATGTCCGTCTTTTGCGGTAGTCCCAATTCATGTCACAGTAATGAACACGAAATTGTAAAAGCATAAACAACAAATTAAAGGATTTATTGAAGACAGTACCATAACATAACATAAAACGAAATCGGGTGGAAACCCAATTATTAAGGAAATAAACTACTTAAGCTAGCATATTTTGTGTAGTGTTACACAAAAATATGGGTTAAAACCCTTAGGCAAGAACCACGAAAAACATTACGATCTCCAGCTACCGAACCACCTAGCTGCCCTAGCCCTCTCCCTCTCCATCGCCTTGGCCTCCATCTCACGCCTTGTCATTTCCCTTATATCTCCGACATCTGACGCCGATCTCTGTCAGCAGCTCCACATCACTTTTGAGGGGTTTGGTTACCTCTCCAAAATGATACTCCCTCGGGCTCAAAATTATTGTCCAATTTGAGATTTCACTTTTAGTACAATTTGAACTAAAAAAGAAAACCAAAACTGAACAATAATTATAGAATGGAGGAGTATTCCCTATTGCGGTTATAGCAAATGAAACCGCGGCCTTTCCCCATCCAATGGCCTTGGCAGCAAGAGAAGCCATTCTGGAATGCCAAAAAATCAGTTATAAACAAACCCAGATCCAAAGGAAAAAGAAAAACAAAATAGTTTCTTCAAGTTGCCAATAGAAAAAGAACTCAAAACTGAAGTCTTTTGTACATCAACAACAAAACCACTCAATACATTATATCTCACGTTGAAAAAGTGCACACCAAATCAATTGAGTGAGTTCAAAAACAAAAAATCCTTTTTTTTTTTTTCAAAATGCAAAATGAATACACCCAAACAACCAAATCTGTAACATTTCATGTCAATTCCGAAAATACCCGAAAAATCTCGAAAAAATTTTAGTACATGCACAGATCTAAAGAGTCCCAATAACGGAAACTCAGAAAGCTACAAACTTCACTCAAGTTTTAAAGCAAAAAAATTGGGCTAACCATAAAATAAGAAAAAGTAACAAAACCCAACACAAACCTTGAAATGAAGATAAAGGGTAATGTCAAACAAAGTGGAATGAAAGAGGGAGGAAGAGGAAGGTAGCTAGACAAAGAAGAGTGAGTGTTTGTATGGAGTACGGATGAAGAGAAGAGTCTGCTCAGGCATTAGTGCCTAGTTGCAAGTGTAAAAGGCAATTTATAGCCGATGGTGTGAATTAAACCGGTCAAACTTGAGATTCGACCGGGAAAGGGAAAAACCCGGTCCCTGCTTACATCGACACAAGTACAAGGCTATCATAATTCACCATTCTTCCTCGTCCTAATATAATAAATAATCACTTAATTCAACATTTCCATTCTACTGTCATCTTTTTCATTATATTATTGAACTTTTGAACTCATAATTACTCTCTTTCCTCCCAAGCCGTGACGTCAATTATTCTCTAGCTGCAGCAGATTTGACTAGCAATTAAATTCAGGATTCGATAAAGAAAATGGAAAAAAAAGAGAATAAACAAAAAAAAAACCAAACTGTTTCTTTGCTAGCGACAGAAGCGTTGGATGCACAAGGAGCATGTAATAATATATTAAAAAAAGTGTGTCTTCTTGTGAAAAAAAGAAGAAGCATTCATTGTGGAAATTCAAAAATGTTCCTCAATTAAAGTTCATCTCACCCACGAATCCTTTGCGTGACTGGAGAAAATTGGCATTTATATATATACACATATCAAAAGAAGTGGTCAATGATGCTTTGAAAAGTTAAGCGTATATTGGGCAAGAGTAACAAAGGGTGAAAAAAGGACCTGTAAAAGGGACATTAACGTTATTACATAGAATTAGAAGTTATGCAGAAGAGAAAGGGAAAAGGAGTACTAACTTCTATCACTATTTGACCGTTTCCTGCTTCCTTTTGCTGACAATTCTTCTTACTAAATTGCTTTGTTGACCAAAATGCTTCTTGAATAGGAGTAATATTGGTCATCTTGTTCGATAAATTTATTTATTCAATCTTTTCTTCTTTCAGTTTTGTGAATCAGTATCCCCTCTTTGCACACCCTGATCAGCAACTCTAGGGAAGACTGAAGAAATAATGTTTTAAACCCAAATTTAGGATTCTAGAAGTCTGCAACAGATTTGACAAGCAAAATTTAGGATTCAAGAAACAAAGAAAAACCAGTTTTTTCCTAGTAACTATCGCCCAAGTGTTGGATGAACAAGTAACAGTTAATAATCTGTTAAAAAAATTATGTCCTTGTGAGGAAAAAAAATAATAATTGTGGCAATTAAAATATGTTCCTCAATTAAAGTTCATCCTACCCATGAATACTTTGCGTGACTGGAGAAAGCTGGCAGTACATACAAGCCAAAATTATAAAAAAAAAAAGAGGATCTGCAATAGTACTTTCAAAAGTCAGCATAAATTGGGAAAGAGTAACAGAGGGTCAAAAACATTACCAGAAAAAGAGACATTAACCTTACATAGAATTAGAAAGTTATGAAGAAGAAAAGGGAAAAACGAGTAACATCTTATCACTATTTAGCTTGGTTTCTGCTTCCTTGTTCTGACAAGTCTCCAGACTCCAGCTAAATTGTTTTATTGACCAAATAATTCTATTTTTTTTTTGAATATTGGTCATCTTTTTCGATAAATAAATTTATTTATTTGATCTTTTTTGAATCTATACTATTTACAGAGACTGTGTTTGATTGCATCACCTTGATCAGCAACTCAAGGGAAGAAGACTGAAAAAACAATGAAATTCAGACATGGTTGCAAGGAAAAACTGGATTAATATAGTCTCGTTCGAGATAAACGATTAGACTTTGCGGTTTGGCATATAACAATCACGACCCTCAATAAGATGCCCAATAATCCAGAGAACATAATTGGTCCCTTGGGTTTGAACACGTTATTTGGGAGTCAAATTTTGCAAAAAGTTACAACGACACTCTAAACAAATCGTTAGTATGACGCCCAGCTTATTTATTTTGAAGAAATTGAGCTCAAATAATTTGTTCGCGGTGCAAAATTGTTTTTTCTTTTTTCCAAATATATATATATATATATATATATATAAAAAGCCTTTACAACTAAATTATTACCTCATAATCCCTACATGTGAATTAGACCTGATTCGATCTTCATTTTCTTTTAGGTTGTAATTTTTGTAACAAAATTTTAATTTGAAGGAGCAATTGTAAGTTGTAACCATGACTGGTTCCTTGTTATATTTTGCACATCTTTAACGGTGGGATATCCCGGAGCAACATTTTACGGTCGTTTTATTTCGAATCAAAATCCGTACACCATATGATGGTTAAGGGAATTATGTAATCTAAGTTTACATTAAACGTCACTTGTTATGATTCATTTTTTTTCGTTGGATTTTTTTTTTTTTCCTTTGAAGTTTTGTTGATGACTGATGCGATCTTTTTTTTTTTTTGATGAATTGGACGAAATATAAAGGACAAACAAGCTGTTATGAATTAAGCCCAGAAATCCGAATAGAGGGAAACAGAGAGAATAGAGAAAAATGGAGAAATGGAGAAAGACGACTGAAAAGTATCATTAACCAAATGAATCCCGAATTCCTTGATCACAAATTACAATTATTAATAGCCCTCATAGGACATCGGTTAACTGATGCTAACACCAGCATTTTGTCATGCCTTTCGTGTGACCCGGTTCAAAGCGGGTAATCGAAATTGGGAAATTAGACAACCGGCGGAAGCTTCCTGGCAATTTCCTCTGAAATTAGGGTTTGTTATTTTACATTAACGATGTATGACGGAAGGATCATCAGACTATTATCTTAACCTAATTTTTTTCCTCCATTATTGGTTGCTCCCTTAACCCTCTGGTTCCTTTTTTAATTCTCCCCGTTGCTGCTTTTTACCCTCTGAATTCTGAAATTACTTCTCCTCCTTTTTGGTCATCTTTTCACTTTTTCCTTGTTTGTTTGTGTAAGAATCTTGCATTTGAATTCATCATAACGTGGCACATTGTTCAAACATCCAAGTCCAATCCACTTTATGGCCCAAGTTAGAAGCCCGTAAAGAGCGCCCAATCAGAAACTTCTGTAGATATTTCCGGACTTGATCCTAATCCGCAATTTTAACTTATAGAGCATGTGCAGTACGCAAGACGGAGTCCCCCCATAAATACCCAATTCTGCCAACCAATCTTGTAACCCTAGGCTGCTTTCTTCACAACTTTGCAAACATATATAATCCATAGAATATCGTCTCGCTATAATCTTTATCGACTCCGCTGCTCTCTATCTGATATGGAAGGCGCCCATATAATTGTGGCGGAGATGAGAAGCCTCTTCCGGATTGGGGTTGCTATGTTTGCCGGCTGGAAGGTGGGGGATATCATGAGGGTTCCGCTGTAAGTTCCACCTGTGTTTAACTTTTCTTTCTTTCTCTTCTGAATCAAAAGTAAAAATTTTTCCGAAGATCATCTTCTTATTCTTATTCTTTTTATTATTATTATTATTTTTTTTTGTCGTTTAATTAGGAGAAAAAAGTTGGACCAGTACCGTTCCCACTCCGTTTCCGGAACCGGTAGCGTCCCCGTCCCTACCAAATGAGGTTTGTCATAACTTTTATTGTCTAGTTTATCAGGTTAATAGTATTGATTCCAAAGTGTTTGTTCCCTCTTCCAGTAGAATGACATTTAAATTTCTGTGCAGTGCTGTGGCTGGTTCGGACGGACGGACGGACTGAAGGAAGAAGAAGACTAGAAGACTTATATTAGTATATGTTATTATCGTATTATTTCCCTAAGTGGTGTGTGAATCCACCACCCTCCCCCGTTTTAGTTCTATGTAGCTAAAAATATCATGGAGCATTCACAGATTCTTGTTAATCTGTGTGCGTACTAATTAAATGGAAATTGAACGTGTACATCAGAAAAATGTGGACTGCTTTGCCCGTAAGAAACCACAGATTCTTGTTAATCTGTGTGCGTACTAATTAAATGGAAATTGAACGTGTACATCAGAAAAATGTGGACTGCTTTGCCCGTAAGAAACAGATATAAATATAATGGTAATTGAATACAAGTAAATAAGATTCAGAAGGAGAAGAAAACAATATGGAGTCAATATTAGGGTTGTTATTTTCCATTTGTCCTTCCTTCATGCGAGTTAACTTCATTCCCTCCACTATTTCAGATCGTCCCAGCTTGGAAGTCCATATACTTTATCAACAAAAGTAACCCGAACCTATGAACAGATGTTGAAAAATTCAAGTGTGCAAAACATATCAACCACAAGCTTTTACTCTAAAAACTTCTGCTGACTTTTGTCTCAACTAAGATATGCAGCTACAGTGGAAAGTATTGCTCCTTCTTCCAAGCAAGCTTACTTGACAAGGGCAAAAATTTGACAACTTAAAAAGAGCTTATATGCAAAGGCATACAAGCATATCAAACAAGTAGACCCAGCATAAGATGTGACTAAATATAGGGTTGACAGTACCTCAAGAATTTTATAACCTTTCCCAGTAGCTAGCACGAACAATCATCTCCATCCGAAAGACAAGATCTTCACTCACAGAGCGCTTATAACATCTTCAAGAACAGATTTTTCCTATAAAGTCGTAAGTACCAAAACAAAAATTACGAGTTCTTTGAATAAAACCTTTGCAAAGAATGCAGTTTTGGTAGTATTGGTTTACCGAAAACATTCAGTCAGGTAATACAGAGTAATGTTTGAGCAACGACATCCGCTCCTCTACTTGTCAACTTCTGCAGTAAATTCCGTCCATGCACACCACCTTCTAGACAGATCAAGTTCCAGTAACCATATTGGCACACGTTTCCATCTGTTTCCTATATTTCAAACAAAATTCAGTTAATGTTCTAGACAAAATCCACAATGTTCAACAAATTTGTAGAAGTATTCTTACTTGATGAAGTTTGGCAAGTTCTTTGGCTGCAAAGAGGAAAGATAATTGCTTTACACGAGACAAATTTATTATTCCAATGAAAGGTAGTACAAAGATGCATACGCTTGCATACAGTTCTGTAAAAATAGATGACCATATACCACGCGAAGAAACCCTCAACCCGATGAGACAAATCAGCATCCATGACAACTATATATAAAATTGCCCAGGGAATGCTTCAAATCATGGATATATGCAGTTCCAGATATTGCTTTATAATTAAGGACCTTGTAAAGTAAAAGACCTTACATGGATGGCAATGAAAGGCATACATAAACCAATAGTTGGCAGCTAGAATGTGAAGCCACAAATCAGGATGTCTCAAACAAGCAAAAGACGAGCAAAGAATAATATGAAAACTTGCAAAGGTTAGTAGCTTCATTGGACTTACTACACAGATTGCAATTCATTTACGATATACTGAGGCCATCCGGGCTTTCATGGTCAACACAATTACTTCAAAATCAACAATCCTAACCAGTTAAGAACCCAAAGTCACATAATTCCAAGAAACAAACTAAAGCTACGCTTTCATATTGTTGCTACTTTCTAATGCTGTAATCACAATCTATTGTCCAACTGGTTTTAAGCATAAAAAGTAGCCAAACAAAGAGAGAGTATGCCGTCAAAATGAGATAAAATACACAATTCAATGAATTAAGTTAGAAATATAAAACAAAATGCAAAAGCCTAATGATAAAAGACATTTCACTCAAAAACAAACTCCACCCAACAGCTAATGATCATTATGAATTAAAACCAACATTTGAACAGAAGCCATAAAATCTCAGAGTTACGATCGAATCACGAAGATATGATACAGTGGTTCATCTTCGTGAGTGATAAGGGATCAGTAATGGTCTCTATCATCTCTAACTAAGCAACAGTTTCAAGAAATCAAACCATATTACAATCTAGAAATACATTGATTCTGATCCTAAAAACTCTTGAATAATATGGATCCTAATTATAAGAAAAAGGGACGGAGAAAGGGGGAAATTAGCAAACAAACAACGCCATATTGCCTAAGTTGCAAATAATGGAAACCGCCGGCGCCGGCGCCACCACAGATTCCGAATCCCGCCTTCATAAAGGACTGCTTGGTGGTGTAACTCGATAATGCTGGAGTGGAGGAAAGCGGTGAAGAAGGTGATGAAACTGATGATTTTACCCAATTTATGTTATGACCCGAATTTAGCAGTTTAACCCGAACCAGACCCGCGGGTTTCTCTTAAAAAGGAAAATTTCACCTTTTCCCTCTAATAAGCTCTCTTCTCGCTCCTTGTTCTTGTCAAGTTCGGAGACGGCTCCGCTCGGTAGCACCACCACTGAACTCTATTCCGGCGGAAATCGTTCTCCGTGTCTCTTATAATCTGGTAAGTTAAGAATTGTTCATACCCTTTATCTTTTGAATGAAAAATAGGCGTAATTAAGTTTTCTTTGCGATTCCTCTGACAAATATGTTTTCGAAGAGATTGTTCCCGAGTCTTATTCTCGTTTAAAGAATAGAATTGTAATTGAAAATTGTGTGCTAAATGCATATTATTGTATATGAATTCTCGTATTCCTCACTATGAATTTCTCTTCTCTGTTTTGGGGTTTTGCTACAGCAGGGTTTAGGGTTTTGGGGAAGAACAGTTAAAAGGCGCAGTTTTGACAATGAGTCGTAGCTTGGGGATACCGGTGAAGCTTCTTCACGAAGCTACGGGACACATAGTGACGGTGGAACTAAAGAGTGGGGAGCTCTACAGGGGAAGTATGGTTGAATGCGAAGACAATTGGAACTGCCAACTCGAGAATATCACTTTCACTGCCAAGGTACTTCTTCCGTTGTTAATCTTTTCTATTGTTCCTTTTAAGTTTATTCTTGGTTGCCGCCCTTCAAGCCTAGGTAGCCTTTTGATGGTTGGAGATTCTAAACCTTTAATGTTCTGATGTTAGTTAATTAGTGTTGGTCTTTTTATCATAAAGTAATTCTTGGTAATTTAACAGTCCATTCGTGTGTAATAAACCGGTGGAGTAATCAAACAATAAAGAAGTATTCGATCTTATACAGCCTTGAAAACAATCTGTTGGTTTGTGACGGAAATGTTCATGTTTATTGTCATTGAGGGCATGAGATATTTGATTGTCCAAAGGTGAGTCTTGTTCAATCTTGTCGTCACTTTCTTGATTTTTTTGCTAAGTTGAAAGTTGTGTCCTGTCATTGGCTGCCAATTCAGAGTTATATCATCTTAATTTTTTTGAGTTTTTCCATAATGTGAGCTTTTTCGTTGAAAGTTGTGCCCTATCATTATTCATTGGCTGCCAATTCAGAGTTATATCCTCTTAAATGGAGTTTTTCCATAATGTGAGCTTCTTTGCTGATGTACTTCGATTCTACCTTGTAAGCATAATGGTCACTTTGGTTACAGGCTTGAGAGTGCCAATGCAAAACTTTTAATGGACTCTGCTATATCTGATAAACTTGTTTTGTCTAAATTTTAATTGATTTTAGCATTCCAAAATAGGGTAGAATCTTAGTTAATATAGAAACTGTGAAAATTCTCAACAAGATATTTTGGACCCCTGGGAGCAGTCCGCTGATTTCTTGTATCTAGGTTGCATACGGACTCTGAGCCATGTATCGCTTGAATTATACTCAGATAATTGTCTGTCAAAGTACTTGATGTCGCTGTGTTTGATTTGAATAACATGAGTATTATGATTGTATAGTGCTGAAGCAAATGAAAAATACATGAAGGAAAACAAGGTTGATTAGAGAACTATATATTTGTTTCAAACAAGCTTCCTCTTTGGCCATTCTGTTCTGTGAATGGTTACATAAGTAGGAAACTGGTAGGAGTTTTTTCCTTGTAATATTTGTGATTGATAGGTTTTCCTCCTAACATTTTCACTATTTACTGAATGATCATTATTGTAATAGGATGGGAGGGTCGCACAACTTGAGCATGTATTCATTCGAGGAAGCAAAGTCAGATTCATGGTGATTCCTGACATGCTTAAGAATGCTCCAATGTTCAAACGCCTTGAAGCTAGAATTAAGGTACTACTCCATTTCACCAATGGTTTCTTGAGCTAATTTGCACATATCATTGCTGTGCTGATATGTTCAATCTATCTTTCTCTAGGGCAAGGGTTCATCACTTGGTGTTGGACGGGGCCGTGCTGTTGCCATGAGAGCTAGGGTAAGATCTCTTCCCTAACCTTGTTCCACGGATTTTTACTTTATAATTTCTGCTATAGTCACAAATGTACAGTGGCCCCTTCATAGATGCGGGTGCTGCTACATATAATGTTAAATGTGAATTTTGGATGGCCGTTTACATTGGTGCCATTATATGATGAAGTTTGCCTGATAATAAAAAGTTTTCTGTTACACAGGCACAGGCTGCTGGCCGTGGAGCTGCACCTGGGAGGGGTGCGCCGCCGGTGAGACGATGAACATTTTCAGATACCATTTGTAATCTTTAGTGGCTTGTGGTTTTATACATGTTGATTGTCAGAGCGCCGAGCCAACTTGGTGTATGACAATATCATCCTGGTTTCAGATTCTGAATTTATGACCTCTTGGAGACACTGTTAGATGATGTGAATGATTAATTTTCCGATTAACAATCATGATTCCTGTGGGATTCACATACTGTATCTGTTTTGTTCAGTAATTCTGGTATAACAACCCCTCCCACAGTTAACTCAAGTCCAAAAATAGAACAATATCTGCCAAGTTTCCATCTGTTCGCATCTAAGAAAGTTCAGAGTCCTCTTGTCGCTTTCCAAATGTCTTCTGTCCAAGAACAAAAGCTTTAGAGATGATGACTACAGGAAAGGACCGGTTGCAATCTTCATCAAAGGCAGCTGGAAAATGTTCATGTCTATTAAGCTGGAATGAGCCAAAACGGGATATTTTGTTTCACTGTAGAACACGATTACTATTCCAAATTGAAAATTAGCACCAATAAAAAAAGTGGCCCATCTGTGTGACCTTGACTCCTCCCTCGGAGTCTCCCTCCAAAGTGCGCCCAAAGTACAACATTAATATTGGTGTTCTCATTTCAAGGGAGCCCCAGGGCCAGGGCAGGGCCAACTGAATTGTAAGCAACAGCCATTAGCCATTAAATGAGATAAGTCTCAATAATGATGTTGACTTCTTGGATGTTTGAGAGGAATGCATGAAAAATAAGAGTATAAAATGAGGTAATGGACCACTTTGGAAATTTTGGGATGGGATCTACAGGGGATAAACTATGAAAGATTAGAAGCAGTCTTTGCGGCTTTCTTTTTCTCTTCCCGTGCGATTAATAATCGTACCTTTCGTGCCTAACCCACCATTGTATTTTGTTGAATATGGTTTATTTTTACAAATTAAAATACGCCTTTGACCCAAAGGAAGGACAAGGATAATAATGGTATCTTCTACTGAGGACAAAAGAAAAAAAAGGAGATAATAGTAGTATTATCTCATTTGGTAAATATTGTTACAACTTACAAATAGTGTATTCTCTACATTTGGTAGTAGGGTCAAAATTCGTAAACAGAAACGATATTTAAGGTACTTTTAGGACCAGCGCCTATAAATTGGAAATCTTACGATGGCCTACTTTTCTTCAACTTGTCTAGCTTTTATGCCTCATCTATTCATACAATTTTACACTTTACATAAGGATTAAATTTAATTAAGTGGCCGACTTAATTAAATTATTAGTCTAAATATCGTATGTTGCTCGGTTTAAATATTTAATGCATTATGATTAATTAGAGATTTAAAACAGAAAATACCACGTCACTTGATGAAATATCATACGATAGGCGTAACTTAAAGTCGATTATTTACAGTATATAACTTATTTAAGTTGAAAATTCGCTTCAGTTGTACCAACCGAAGGGATGATAGCCACTAATAATAAGGGCTTAAGGCCCCATTATCAGTCAGTTTGTATAGAATGTGTTCCTACCTTGTCTCCTCTAATCTTGATTGGAGAGACTTTGTGTTTAAATCAGTTACTATAATCAGATTATTTGTTAGTTCTTACGTCAAAACTCAGGAACCCATGGGTACTTCAAATGGGACTTAACTTGTGAACTTAATTAAAACCATTTGTGAACCCGCTTTCCAGTGATAAATATATGTTTTCGTTATGGTCCCAATTTGCATGTGCAAGTGAGGTATGTTTCCCAACATGTCTTGATCAAATTTACAAATTATTCTAAGCAAAGATGTGATGAGTGATGGAATGGATTAACCTAATCTAAGCTACTAGTATATATTATTAAGATTCAACATTTGTTAATTCAACAGTGAATTATTTGGATGCTACACCAAGCTGACATCAAATTTAACTTTTTTTCCCCCGTAGGTACAACGATTTTCAATGTACAAGTAGCTTAACATTATACGACTTAGGTCCGGTCTAAGGCAGCATACATATACTTGTTCTTCTTTAAACGTTTCAAAATAGCAAGAATTATGTTTATTACTGCCTCTGTCCTAAAATTATTGTCCAGTTTGAGATTTCACTTTTAGCATAATTTTGAATTAGAAATGAAAACTCAAACTAAACAATAATTATGGGACGGGGAGAGTACATGATTTGGGATGTATGTTAATGGAGATGCTCTTACACATAGTATGTTAATTGATCTAGATATATATACCATCTTATTTTATGGTTATAATAAAAATTTCAATTTTGAAATATTTATTCTATCTTAAAACAAGAGTTATTTTTGTGGTATAACTTTAGTCTGACATAAAAAAATATTTTTGCGACGAATGGATCAGCAGTACGAAGATCCAGAGGCTAATATTAAACCTGAATGCCAAAGCATGATGCTCTTGTCGATGGATCCATAAAATGTCCATAGAGAAGTAAAAAAAGAAACGCGCTGACCATTATGTATATGCATGCATGGTCGTCTTTATCAATATTGGCTAGTGGGTACATTGACACTAGGGGACAGTTCTTCTATTTTTTTTTAATAAAAAAATAAAATTATTTCATTGAATTTTTATTTTTTATTTAAAAAAGAAAAACACTTCAAATGTTGACATTAGAAAAGAAAGGAAACTTAGTATTCGGAGTTGACATATTAAAGGGATTTTTCAACGTGCGATCGACCCCATGTTTTTTACATTTTGGCAAAATCAATTGGATCGTCCCCATTTGCTTTCTCAAACCACTTTATGAGCCTCATTTTAATTTGTTCATTCTTTTTCATTCATTGATGAGAATAATAGTCGAAATGGAGCCACTAAAATGTTGTTCATTCTTATGGATTAATTTAATTGATCACTTGTGTAATTATTTTCAAGAGGGGTCTTGATAATTTACCTGCTAGACATGATAATGAATTAATGATGGGCTATTAATTACAGTGACAAATTGGAAGCTAAGTTTTCATAATGGAGTGAATGGCTAAATGCATGCATGTGTTTATAAGCAAATTAAAAAGAAGCATAGTAAAGAAATAAATTGGCCCATTGATTTTTACATCATTGCAGGGTTCCCAAAGTAAGCTTATTCTGTTCAATCATTGCAAAGTGGCGAACTGATGATATTCAACTATAGTGTCACTCTCGGGGGAATATTTTTCCTCCAACCATGATAACAATAATTGAACTTTTCAAAGTTTAAAATTTTCAAACCATCCATTGTGGAAGACCCTCCTTCGCCGTCGGGCGTCGAGTTCCCACCAAAGTTGCTCCAAATTGCTATTTGACTTTTGAGCCTACTTATTACTTTGCCTAGCCCACCTACACGTGTGGTAAAATATCAGAATTCAATAGACACTGAATTAAAGGTTCGAGTTACTCCTAAATACTACTTCCGGTGCTTATTATAAGTCATTTTGATTTGTTATATTTTTCACATAATATATTTTTTCCAATTGACAGAAAAATTTTAAAAATATTTTTTGATAATTAGGAGAACATAATGAATGTGAAAATTTAGTTTTTTAAGGGTTTTTTTTCTCAATTAAAAAAACACATTAGATGAAACATAAAATAAATCAAAATGTCTAATAATAACGAGCGGAGGGAGTATTCACCAAAAATTAGTGTAATCTTGCAAACCATCAACATTTTTGTGATAGTGTAATTATTATTGTGAAAAATAAGTAAACCTGACGTGAAAATCATATCTCTTAATCTGGTCATAACTGTTAATCTAGGTTCAAGTAGGTTTAGTATATATGTAGTAACTTTAGGATAAAATATGGTAGGTGCATGGCCTATAGAAAGGATTTAGATATTTTAATCAGGTTAGAAGCAAACCTAGAGTTATTAAATCCAAATAACTAACAATATTTTAGCTAGGAAAAGCAGTTCACTATCTAGAGATTAAATCTATTCATGATCAGTTAACAAAATTTCATGAATATGAAACATTTTTGGACAAACATTAACCAACACAAAGATTGATATCAGTACTATTACTGGACTTCACAGATATTCTTAGGAAGGTAATTAGTTACAACCAGTGGAACTTTTGTCTTATGAGGCACATTTTTCTAATATACATTGACTTCGAACCACCAACTCAAAAAAAGTTCCCAGAAATTTACAAATCAACTGGTGTGAGTAAGAAGAAAAATTATCTTATCAGATAATCAAGATGCCATATGCGCCATTGTTAATTATCTACCTATCTGAATTTAGAAACCAAACTATCATCGTCGTCGCCGTCATCATCATAAAATCCGTACGTAGCCACTCATACATCATGATCATCATCATCATGACGTCATCTGATCATGGAAAAAAGGGAGCAAAACACTTCCTCATCACATGGAATAGTGATTCCCATCTCATGGTTGTATCCAAACTCCTCCTCAGCTCTTTGTAGCAAGCTCTGGAAATCCGGGTTCGCGAGCCACGTGATCGGAATGATAAACCGGCTCCGATTTTGGCCGACATATACCACGAAATGGCCTTTTGGGACATCGTTAGGGAAACCATTTTCGTTGTTCCTTCCAAAACTAGAGCATTTCTTGATGATTTGCTTGAGGGCAGCTGTTTGATTGCCAGAATGTTTTGTTCCTTTCTTTAAAGCCATTTGAAAAAACAAGGAGAGAATAAGACTTATTGAGAGGGGAAAAAAAAAACAAAGGTTCAAGCTAAAGAGCTAGAGAAGAGGAAAAGGAATTAAAGTAAAAGATATTGTGAATGAAATGGTGGGGGATGGGGGAATTGAGGAAGGAGGGAGTATTTATGGAGGAGGAGAAGTAAGAAAGAGACGAAAAGAGAAAGGCAAAATTAAGACATAGACATGTGGAATGTGGGGGCTCATATGAAGAACTAAATTCAAAGGCATCGATCGATGTTGGTTTTTTGGCAAGTCTTGTTGTACGAGGCCATGCAAAAACCCCTTCTATTCCTCGTTGGTCCTTTTGCCTTTTTAAAATTTTCTTTGTTGCCTCTCTAATTGACAAAATGGACCACTATGCTATTACAAGTTGTTGTCTATTGTGTGGAACTTGTGTGGAATATAGTTTTTTCCTATCTTTCTATTAACAATAATTCAACACATGGATTAAGATTTACGGCACCATCGATCATAACCATTCTCAATAATTTTTTATTTTTTACGTATCAATCGTATTTTATCACAATAACAATATTAATCATTTTCACTAAAAATACATTGAAACACCACTAATACTCAATAAATGGAAACATAAGATTTGGATTCAAGGATTAACGTTGTTACGTACGTACGACATGATTAGGAGGGATAGGGTACGTACGTACCAAGAGATTGTAAGGTCACGCGGAATAGAACTGAAACGAACCATGTTATAATAGATCTGCTGGTTTGCACACATATATGGTAATAAATAATAAGGCTTTCGGGTTTTGGCTTGCATCATCATAGACATTATAATACTAGAGAACATTAAGCAAAATTGTACAAATCATGCGTCCTTAGTTTCTAGTTTCCTTATCTGTCTAACTGCGTACTTACTGTTCGTTTGTACGCATTTGTACTGTTATTACTATAGCCAAATCAATCTCAATTTCCACGACGTAATTTGTTACTTGTGCTTCTTGTTAATACTCTTTTATATCACAAGCACAAGTAATCCCCACCCTCGTTCACACTTTATTCTTTTTTGTTTTCATTCTTCTACGTGAAGTTTAATAAATTGGACTTTTTTTTTGGACGGAGAGAATATGTAAATTGTAGTAGTGAAGATTGATGGGGCTATTAGGATGACATTATCCATCTATTATCTATCAGGCTAAAATTATATGTGGCAAAAAAGAGTGTCTACAGTCTCTTTCTATTCCAGTCGAGCTACATATGGGATGTTTTATGTGTTAGATGCATGAATTCACGAACGAATTTATTATGAAGATTGAAGAATGTAAATGAGTGAGTGCCATTTTTATTTGTCTGTTGTGAATGATGTTTCAAACTATGGAATTATAGTACACAGCTAAAGTGCATTACAGATTTGTCCTTTTTTGCTTTGAATTGGAAAGCTGGTGTGATAATACATATGGTACGTGCATGGATGTTTACATTTCAGATTCATTGCAGATCAATTTTTTCCTTCTTATACTTCTTCCATGAATAAAGGATTCTGTCTTTTGAGTTATGAAGAAGAGACAAAAGACAATTAAAAAATTAACAATGTATTTTAAATCTATATACATAATTGTTTAATTTTCTTCACCATTTTTAGGATCAGGAAATGGAGAATTATATCATTGCTTTACATGGCAAGTAAAAGCTTACAGTTAAGGAAAGGGGAAAAAAAGTTTGGTGACGCCGGAACCCATAGATGTGAATAAAATGATAAAATCACGTTCACTCCAACTCAGAGTGAAAAGTAAACTATTCGCTTGTATTGTAATGACTATATGTGTATGTCTTGCCGGTCTGATAACACCTAGTCAATTTAAGTGAAGGAAAATTCTGGTGGCATCTGAACCATCAAGCAAGGCACATCTGGCTTTGGGCCCCGACTCATAGTTTTGACCTTAAATCCTACAATTTGGTCGGGATATTGAGAAAGCAGCATTGAAATCTAAGACGACAAAGAGGTGTTGTTTTTTTGAACATGGGACGAAAAAACAATAAAAGCAGAAGGGCTTAAAAGCTAGTAGTACTTGCAATTTGCATCTTGTCCTCTCTTAGTTATGGGTGTTTTTATGTTTTGTCCTGTTTCCAAACCGTGGGGTCGATTACAAGCAGAAAAAAAGCCTAACATCATCCCCAGTTAGATCTTTTGAATATTCGAATTGCTTCAGCAATTTGAGAGAAATAATTATCTTTTCCTGTAATCATCGATCTCGATTTTATTTCATGTCCCATCACAATTAGGTGTTAGTGTTCTATTTGCCAAGCATTGTAATGGAGAAGATCAAGAAACAGGGTTCTAATTATGTTTTGTACACATAACTGTCAAGTTTGGCATGCTTCTGTTTCAAAATCTTATTCTTTGGTGTAGAATCCTTAGTTATTTATGTATATAAGATACTAGGATTAAGAGATTTAGATTGATGTTGCTACATTAACAAACCCCCCACGTTGCTTATTAGAATTGTGTCCATTACTCGTTCATCCTTAGTACTAAAAGAAATAAGCACTCAACCTTGGGTATTTCTGGTTGTTCCTCAATTTAATGATGCGAAGAATGATCCATCTCTGCAGTAATGTGCCATGTTCTGCGGCCTAGAAAGTTCCCTTTGCCCACATTTGGTTGACGAACCAACAACGGTTTTACTGCATTGCATTGGCTAACTCTAACAACCAAGAAAGGTACTTATGTTTTCCTCCTGACACAGAAGCGAAGCTGAAACCTCATTCTACAGTCTACACCATGCAAGCTAAGAAGCCATGAAAAATTTAAATAGGTTGGAGACTTAAAGTCCATGAGAGCTCATGTTCTGTGAAGAGGGATGGGGTTTGAGAGGTAAAAGACAAGGAGCAGCAGACAGTATTTTCAGTGTTAGAGATGAGGACCATGACTCCACCCCAGTGAACATAAAAGCACTCACTGATGGTGTTAGTTTTGATGCTTTTATGTGGCAGAGAAGCATATATGTTTGGCAGCAGCACATGAATCCTAACTCAACCACATAATTCTTCTGCACCGTATAAGCAACAATGTCAGATTCTAAACTACCTAATCCTGCCACTCAAGGATCAAATGAAACAAAAAACCAAGTGTATCAAAGCACATTAAATTCGTGGTATTTTGACAATATCGAATACTAACACTACATGTAAAAAGCCTCTTAGACCTTGTATGTGCTGCTACTTGGTGTTAAATGATCAGGTGTTGCCGAAATAAAAAGGTCTAGCAACAGAGTGCTTTTCAAAGGAGAGAACATCACAAAATCACACAACCTAAAGAATCTTATTTACAGGCAAATCACCTTCCACCACCTATTGTTTGATCTCAAACCAATTAATATATTAGCTCCTAAATGAAACCCTGAAAAAGCTTGAACGGATTGGACCCTAGCTAAACTACATATGGTTAAAGGTTGCAATCATTCTAGAGACTTGATTCATATATACAATGAATTTTACAGATCTGCTGATCCTTCCCATCTACTAAAAGAACAGGAGCAGACAATTGACTTCCAGAACCATAGACTAACCAGAGGCTGGCTTAAAAAGATTGAGGCGGCCTATCCATCATGCTCAGCTGCCTTCTGAGTTTAACAATATGGGCTTGCACCTGTCAAATACAATATTTGAAACAATTTGGTAACAAAAGAGACAAGCTAAAAGAGGAAAAAAGCCAGGCTGTAAGAGGACTACAAGATATGTACAACAAGCATCACCATATACATTGAACAAGAAGAATACAACATAAGTATCTCACCTGTTGACGGGCTCCAGAAAGTTTTAGCAGCTCATCTGCCTCAGAGAAAATCATGAAAAACGGACTTAAAGCATGTGTTTTTGTGTCACCCTTCTCAATTTCATGAGCATTCTCAGCGGGAACTAAAGAAATATGGCTGAAATAAGTATGCTAAACCATAAAAGAAAATAAAAAATACAGTATTTATTTACAGAAAGAAGGTATACCAAGGGACAGATTGATTGAGGAAGGGAGTCTAGAAACTACAACTGCAGGATGATTTTGCACTCGAGCAAGAAAGTCTGCAGGAGGTTCAGGGAAAACAATCTCATTGTAGCTCTCGACCACAACCGGTTTTTTGATTGACTGTGGTCCACTTTCATCTTCGGCATACAACTTCAAATGGTGATACCTAGATAAAAGCACAGAGAAAATGTGAAATATACTATAAAACTAGCACACTTAGGATATTCAAAACAAATGACAGAACAAGTCACTTACAAATCTATCTGCTTATCACAGACATCGTCGTGGAAGAAAAGGGAGATAGCGATCTCAAATTCTCCCCAACCACATTCTGATAGCTCAAAGGGTGGTGACTCAACAACTCTAACTGGGTTATTAAAGCTGGGATGCAATTGAAATACAGCTTTCTTAATCACCGCCCCAAGATTCTCATTCTTCGCCCCACGAACATATACTGTCCACTTATGTGACTGAGTTCTAAATGCAAAAAAAAAAAAGCCATTTGAAACCCCACTCAAATCAGGAAGAAAGGTAAAAAATTGGTAACATACAAAACATTGTAATACGCCCACCACGGTTAAACACTTACTCGCTAGCTTTTTTGCCAAGCCAAAATGCTATTGTTCCATAAACAATGGGCACACACACTTCAACATCTTTGACCCTCTTCAAAGCACTCTGTAAAAGTGCCCACAAAGCTACTCAGCAAATATGATTCGAAGTAAAATGAACAAAAACCAACTCCTTATTGAGTTATCCCAGAAGAAAATTTTGAACTTTAGGAGATATTTAGATCTTATGGTACTCCCTAATTCTAAACCCGTGAAAACAACACTAAGCATAAAACAGTGGAAACCAGTAAAGGTAGCCAACTAAACAAGAACAAACAAATTACACGGAACTATAATCGCTGATCACATTCAAGAACTCTAAAACACAAATAAGAGAAAGATTTATGGTTTACCTTCTTATCCGCATCCTCAGAAGGCCTAGTAATTTTAAGGCGTTGAACTTGTACCTTGGGGGTGGACTCATTGCCATCTTGCGGGGGTTCCGCTTGCAAATTTTCAGGCATTACTTTGGTTTCTTTTCGAAGAATTGCCTGATTATGTCCCCAATTCGGTGGTTTTCGCTGAAGTTTTAACGAAATTAGGGTTAGGGTTTTGGACAGGATTCTGAGTTTGGTGTTCTAGCAGAAGAGGAAAAAGAGTCTTGTCGTTTGTTGGGGATTTGGGGGGTTTTAGGTGGATTGGCTCTGGCGCTAATTTGAACCGTTCGGCAAGATAATTTTACAACCTAAAAACTTTATAGAAAGGGGTAAATGATTTTCCAAGACATCTGGTTTTCTTTTTCGTATGTATTTATAATCATAGTAAAAAAAATAAAATGAGTACTTACTATCTATTCCAAAATAATTGTTTAGTTTATATTTCTGAACTGAAAAAAAAAATTAAATTAGACAAACATGATTGTGTAATTTAGATTTGAACTAAAAATGAATATTCAAATTACACAATCATTTCAGGATAGAAAAAATAATTTAAAATATTATTCTTTCAATACAAAAAAAGGAAGTAAAACCTAGAAATTTCATTTAATATAGTACATATATAGGATAACTTAGAAATTTCATTAAATATAGTACACATAAAATGCTTGGTTACATGGAGTTTTAATTATGATAAAATATTTCTCAAGTAGTGGATTGTAGGGGCAGATAAGTAGCTATAAAATGTTACTATTATTCCCTTTTTGGAGATGTCAATTTTAAAATATTTAGATGTTGAGTTTCTTCTTCTTTATTTGAGCAAGTCCAGAAACAGGGTAGAACACAAGAACAGACCCATTGTTCCATATGTGGAAGGTTATGGAGAAAACTGATATTAGCCAGATGAAACGACAATCACTATCATTATTGCCCAAGCACAACAGTAATACATCACAACTTCTACATTTGATTATTGACATTATGCACTTCAGTGAAGGTCAACAGTTTCAAGTCCAAGATTAGAACTTTGCACCAACATCAACTAACTTCAAGCATTCGTAAGGAAAGCGACAGAAGAAAACAGCAACAGAGGTGCGAAGCCATGTCAATGGGGAAGGAATCATTCCCATTGCAGGCAGAATTCATCTGCAGAGGTAACCGGCATCCACTGAAGTTTGGCGCAGGCGGTGAGTCATGTCAAAGAAGAAGAATGATCTGGGCGACATAATTTGTGAGCATCCCAAATTAGATGTTGGAAGCACTCAGTGCCATAACCTTGCATTGCTCATTCATGGCCAAGAGTTGGGCCTCTTTCTTGTCAAGTAGAGCGCTAAGCTTGACGTTCTCTTCCATGAGTTTCTGAACCTCAGTCTCTTTCTGCATCTTCTCTGTCTCTAGTTGACTAGTCTTTGCAACTAACCTGCACATAGAAATATCAATCACCCATCAGGACTACCATGAAAATAACTGAAAAAGGGGACTATATGAGAGGCATCATGTCATTTCAATCCAATTTTGAACTTTAGCAACCTCTAAATCACAATTTGCACAAGCAGTTACTAAATTAGATGGATCTGAAGTAAACGACGGATTAAATCCAATCTTCTGCTGAATGATTTGAATAAAAAACTGAGCATATAAAGTGTACCATAGAAAGAGAGAGATAAGACAAATAAAGAAAAAAAATTCTATGCAGCCATTACCCACATGTTCCATTACCAGTTGAAAAACCAAATATAAATTATCCAGAAATAACCTACAATATCAAAGATTTTAAGACAAGAATGCACTAACCGCTCGAAAAGCCTCTCGATCGTCTGGAATTGCTTTTCGGAGGAAAGAAGTGTCTCTCTCACACTAATAAGACTACTGACATAGGTTTTCAGGGATTCAAAATCTCTCTTAACTCGGGCAAGCTCCAGCTCATTCTCTGCAGCTCTTTGCCTCTGTCGAGAAGTTTCCCCAACCAACTCTTCCACCCTCTGACGCATCTCATTCAGAATGCAGTTTGTTCCCAAAGCAAAATTTTCCATCTCCTCTAACTTTACAGACATGTTCTCGATTTGAACAGCCTTTCGTTTTATCTCTTCCTGCCCTACAGTTACCTTCTCCTTCTCCATAGCAGTTTCGGATTCTGCCACTATAGCCCTCTTGACAAGACATTCCATGACATCTGTAACCATTTCTACCCCTTTCAATAGCTCAACAATGTAAGCCCCATCTTGTTCATCAACACAACCATTCTGACTACCAATATCCAACCAAGTTCCCTCCCCTAAATCTTCAAATGGAGTAAGGTCCACATTTCTTGACCATCTCGATAATGGTACACCATTTTTGTCGACTAGTCCAACTCCATCCAGCTGCTTTATACCACATGAAGTATGGGCCAGATGTGGAACAGCCATGATTCTAGCTTTGGATTTCAAATACGTTAACATAGTAGCAGTAGTTTTAACTCTTCGCCATAGAACATCTAACTCCTTCTTTGTATCTTCTTCGGAACCTTGTACACTTGCCTTCACTTCCAAAAGTTTTGCTTGCAAAGCATCCACTTGCACCTGATTTTTCTCCATTTCCTGTTTCCATTCAAGCTGTGTTTGGGTCAACTTAGACCTGAAACCTGACAGGTTTACATCTTCCTCTGCCATCGCCTTCAAGAACTATGAACAACAAAATAGAAACTTAATATATAAATAACACCAGAAAATCAGCAAATAAATATAACTGGACCAATCTCAGGAAAATTTTAGACTAGACTTTAAGTGAGAATCGTCACTAATAGTAATCAGTAGTGAAAAATTTCAGGTTTCACAGGGCAGCGAAACGAAAATCTTAGAGATGAACTCCCAGCACCACTCTCAAAGCAAGATCTTTCCTCAAATCAAGTGAAGAGATTTATTATTCAAGAACATAAAACTTTAGCATTTTGTCAACAATTCGAGGAAAGGGCAATTCAGAAGCTATCCAATTCAATAAAGCAGGAAACTTTGGCCATATGTCAGGAGCCATCCTATTCTAAGAACCTTCTTAATAACTGCATCAGTTTACAATAATTCAGTAGCTAGCAGCAAAGAGAAATAGACAAACTAATAAGCTGTCACTTGAGCATACATTATCCAAACTACATTATGGGGGCCATGAACCAAACAGGTGCCCCGAGAATCTCCAAAGAACTATGCTACTTCACAAATAAACAACAACATCAAGTGAAAAAAACGAAGGATAACTGCCCAGCAGAGCAAACAAAGAAAAATGGGGAAGCACTTCAACTAAAAATTCACAATAATGATCATTATAAGCTAACAAACCCTTACCCAGCAAAAGGGAAAAGCAAATGAAAGGGCATCGTTTAACTTTAATTAAAGCGGTTAACACAATCATCACGAAGCATAACAAAGGAGCTGTCTTAGCTACAAAATTTGGACGCGGGAGGGGATGCGGATTCCTTTAACAAAAGAGATAATAACCCTTTAACAACATTCAGTAATTTCCATTTCAATTACTATGAATACGCTTATAGTTAGTTACACGATACGAAACCAGGATCTTTTCAGCACTGAAGTTGAGGAATATCAATACCTGGGTTACCGAATTGCGCACCAGATCAATCAACCTAACTTTCCGTAATAAGTAACAATTGAAACAATTGATACAGCTCAAGAGTCAGATTATCGTAACTACATCAAGAAAATCCTAACTTCCCCAATAAAAAGTGTAGCATTGCGAACCCAAAATCCCCCCAATCACGCCAAAATACCCAAAGCAAGAAAGAAGGAGAGAAAGGAAAGCCTCACTAGATTAATTAACCTGATGCCTCAAGCCAACAAATATACGCGAACATTATAAGAATTTGAAGTTTACAAAAAGGGCCAATTTTCCAAACGCAATAAAGGGCCCCAAAAAAGTCGATAAAAACAATTGGAATGAAATGAAAAGGAACATCTGGATGGAGAATTGAGAACCTACCCGGTAAATTTTCAGAAATATCTGGAAATTGTTAATATGTTTAAGAGGAAAAGGGATGACGAGGACGAAGATGAAGACGATGGTCCAAGGACCAACACGCGTTGTCTGAAGACTGAAGAGAAACTTTGAAGAAAAAAATGAAGGAAAAAAAAAAAAAAAAAAGGAATTTGGCAGTGGCCACAGTGGGGAAGGCCAATTGTTGTTGGCTTGGTGCGCTTTGTTGTTGGTTTGCCGTTAAGGCTTAACCCTTTTTGCCACTTTCACCTTTTACTTTTTGTTTCTTTTGGAAACTTTTTGTACAGAATGTGGTAATTATTGTATACTTCATGTGGCTTTTAATAATTACATTTAAACTAATTTAGCATGTTCTGGTGTTCATTAATTAGGTCTTTACCTTTTGGCCCCATAACTTTTGTGAATTTCTAGTATGGCATAGAAAAAATTTGCAATTCCTACTGTTTCATGGTATTTTAAGCATTGGTATGACAATCAATGTAAAACTTACAAAATACTGACTCTTCGAAGAAGTTGGTTGCTTGACTTGTTCATCTACCTATTAACTGCCACTAGAGGGTTCATGACAAAAGTCAACAAAAGTTAAAATCCATTTTCTCTTATAATTTTTCCAAAAGTTAAGAAATTTGTTGATCTTTAAGACAAATTATCTCTGTCTACTTTTTTGTCGATTTCAAAATGTCGACTACCTCTAAAGATATGTTTTATATAATTTTGAATATTTGTTAGTCTTATTTGTAATATTTTGCACAATAAATATATGGTAATCAATAAAAGAACTCGTCGAATACTGAATCATTGAAGAAATTATTTTCTCGACTTGTTCGTCTACCAAACAACAATAACGAGACAGTTCGTGAAAAAGTCAACAAAATCTAAAAATCTCTTGTGATTTTCAAAATTTTTACATGGCATGGTAATTTTTAATTAATTAAGGTGTCATTATTGACATAAAACTAAAAAATAACTTGTTTTATAGCAAAAATTATTCATATCAACTTATCAAAGACGGCGAATAAGTGGACGACATCTTTCATATATGGTTTCCTGTCATCTTCATATGCTAAGCAGTAGTTAAAAAATTTTACTTCTCTAAACACGAGCTGCAATTGATTTGTTGGTGTTAGCTGCAATAACATTATTTTTAGATAATTTTATGAAAATTCTATAGTCGATCACAATTCTGTATGAATGCTAAATAATTATTTAACCGCTCTTGGTTTTTAATTCATCTATTATTATATGCTTTATATATATATATATATATATATATATGTACTAGATATTAAACCTGCGCGATGCGCGGGATTTATTTATATACATTATAAAAAATCTAAAAAAACATATAAAAAAGTGTAAAATGAATTTTACTATTTTTATTTATAATCCATCAGTAATGTAGGTGTTTTGGAGTATATTTTACTATCCAAAAGTGGAAATAAATAGAGATAAATTGGGATTGATGATAATTGATTATCCAAAATTTCAGTGATAAAGATAAAGTTTATAACAACTTTTGAGATATTATTAAGAAAAGATTATATTTATTTGGGTAAATATGATATTACACAAATAAATGTATTGGTTTTAAATTCAAAAGATAACATTTAATTATAGTTAAATCCCATCCTTTTAATAATAATTGAAGACAAGTTTTGTACCTTTTTTTCTTTTTTATTGGCGAAAAATACAGAGCCATGTTTTTTAGAGAAGATTTTAAAGATAACATTAATGTTGAATGATTGTTTTTTTTTTTTTTTGAATTGTAGTCTATTGATTTACATGATTGGGAGGGAGATTTTTTTAAAAAAAAATTAATTAAATGAGTCCAGTAGTAACTTTGGGGATTCTTTTAGGGAGGAAATAATTATGGTGCATTAAAGTTCATTAATCCGGGCAATTAAGTTTAATTAATTTTTATTTTCCTATTTTAAATTATAGTTTTAAATGTCATTTGATAAAATTTTATTTACATAAAATTTGAAGGACTATTAGTATAATTGTTGTAAATATTTTTTGACTCAACCATTAGAAAAATGACACATAAGATTTTATCCTATGTGGCACCTTTAGAATTCTTTTTTGTTTTCTCTCTCTGGTTTCTCTCTTAGTATAATTAGTGATGTCTGGTCGCGCAATGCGCGACCCTGGCCCAATATATCTGTAGATCTTTGAAATATTTGTATTTAAAAAAAAATATTTTGTATTTGGCCCGATATATTTTAGAAATGTTTGAAAAATTTAGAAATGTTTTATAAGTGTGATCATATAAATGTTTGTATTTGGCAAAAAAAGAAATTATATTTGGCCCTATACGTTTTAGAAATGCTTGAATATTTTAGAAATGTTTTATAAATGTTACTTATTAAATATAAATAAACTTGATTAAGTATATGTCTTGAAGTAAATGTTAGACAAAATATAAAAGTATCCTAATAAGTTTAAATATTAGTAAGATGATTTATTGATGTTTTCCGTTTGTCGTGCCAAATCAATACTTAGTTTTGGAGATTTATAATAGTTTTGTAGTAAGCTTCCTCCGAATGGTATACGTTTAATTATTGGAACTGTTTCTTCCAAAGGTTTATAGGTAGTAAAATATTAAAAATATGATTTTGAAACTGGTTAATTGTCGAAAGTGATTGATCACAAATATGAGAATGAAAATTAATGTAAATTTGCATAGGTTTCAAGTTATAGCAAAAAAGAACTCACCTCACCGTGGCAAATAAAAAAAAAAGAAAGAACGCAAAAGAACCTATTAAAAATTGAGAAATTATTTTTTTTCCTGTAGGTAAAAATGGTGTATAAAAACACAAATAAACGTAAAAACATCATTCCTTCCCTCTCCACCTCAAATTCATAAAAGACTTCCCCATAAATTAGTTAGAAGAAGTGACCTGAACTATTTATATGATAAGGAAATCAAAAAAGTCCAAAAATCAAATCCAAAAAATTATATTCTTGAAAGCCCAAACACAAAAAAAAAAAAACGAGCTTCATTTGCAAAAAAAAAATAATAATAATAATAATTGATCAACTGCGAGTATGAAACAAAATCAAAAGCATTTAAACAAAGAAAAAATACAGTTCATAACTGACCATGTAAAAAAAAAAAATGAGACTCCATAACAATTAAAAAAAGAAAACCACTCTAATTGAATGAAACATAAAAAAGAAATTAAAAAAACCACACTTTGTAACAAAAACCCAATTGATCAATTAAATCCAAACAGAACTAAAATCATACATAAATTCTAGGCTAACTAACCATATAAGAAATCACATCATATTACCTTGCAATGGCTACGGTAGCTGTAATGGGTAGACGCATAAAAATAATAGTAATAACACTATTCTTGAACGGAAAAAATAAAAAATAATAAAAACCGTATAAATGATCTGTGGATATAAATTCATTTAAATTTTAATATCTGTAATGGCACCACGACAATGAGCGAAGCAAGATCAATGAAAAATTAATTTTTTTTTCCTTTGTGTTTATATAGAGAAGTAAAGCGAATATTTTTTGAAGTCGAAATTTTATCCGATTAGGATGTAGTTGATCATCACTAATGAAAAGATTAAACATGCTAATAGGAAAGGAGTATATTTTACCACATATTCTCAATTGATGATTGATGAAGAATTTTTTTTTTTTTTTATTGTGGAGATGGGATTGATTAGGGAGTCGATTGTCCAATCATTAATATGATCTTGAACTATCCAATCATAAATAAAAATAGTCCTACATACATATTATAATTCCTAAAACTACCCGTAACCGATGCAATATGTTCCTTCAAATAACATGAGTCTCCAAACTCCTCTATCGCCTAATCATCCAAAATTAAACAGTTAATATTATCCCACCGAACCAATCAATTGGCTGCTCCGGCAAACAAAGTTTTATTGAGCCACAGTAGGTTATTGAATTTTCAATTTTTTTTTTGTTTTCCAGACTTAATGAAAAATTAGCTGACCGCAACAATTTTCATTAAATTCATTAAGTTTCCTAGGTTCGAAGGCTTTTCAGTTGGAGGTTGGCTTATTTCTGTGCCACCGTTAGCTTCCCCGATGGTTTCAAAAAAATGGCGATAGTGTGACGAATAATCTTCTTGAATTTGGGTTTTTTATGAATCTGTGGTTTTTTTTTTTTTTGGCGAAAATAGGAGGTGGAGGTGGATTTGGACTGCATTTGTCTTTTAAGTCTAGGAAACTAATGTGTAAATAAAAATTTATTTAAAAAATATGATGTGGAAATGCCACATGGCAAATGGTGGTGTTTTCTATTAAGTGTGATTTTTGTTTCTAATATAGTAAGATATACTATAGATAGATATCAACATTAAGTTCTTAAATCTCATTATTGAAAAAAAGAAATTTAATTACAAAGACAGCCCCCTGAGTTTCATTAATCTGCACTGTTCCCCAAAAAACTGGCCAGCAACTAATTACTATAGCTGTTGACTTCACTGAGATCTTCCGTCCTTCGGTGAGGACGAAAGAATAGTGGGGAAGAACCGGAGAAAGGCTTTTACTTTGTCGTGCCGATGAGCGGAGGCGGAGGAAGTGGAGGTAGGGAAGGGGATTGGGAGTGCAGCGGCTGCCGGAATCGCAATTACGCGTTTAGGTGCTTTTGTAACCGATGTAAGCAGCCCCGACTTCTGGTCGACAGTAAAACCCCCGTCGATTCCAAATGGCTTCCCCGCATCGGCGATTGGATTTGCACCGGTAATTCTCTTGGTTTGGATTACCTCGTAATTTTTTTGCTTGTTTTAATTCATGGTGAATTCTTGGATGCTTAAGGAATTAGGATTTCTTGTTAACGATGGAAGAGTCGTTATGATCTTCCACGCAACCTCACTCGCTCTATACCAAAACGTTAACCTTGAATTGACTATTTTAATAATGAAAACAAAGCTTATTCCTGCCTGTTTCTTACCTGAACTTGGTCGGTTTTAGTCTGGAGCTTTGCTACATCTGAGAATACTTCTGTGGTATTCATGCCCGATACTGTGTAGCTCATATGTATCAGAGAAGCTTAAATGGAAAACCTTTGATTGTATTTTTACTGGCCAAGTGTTAACTTTCGCTGGGGATTGCAATCAGATATTGGTAGAAGGTTTTTAAGTGTACACTATTCTCAGTTGGGTAGACTTCAATACATTCTCTGTGCTTATGGTTTTTTTGTACTAGTATATTCTATTGGAATTTGGCTACAAATTTAGGGGCAAACTGTGGAATTCGCTTAATTAATTGACTGCCATTGATCATTGTGTTCAATTTCGTCTTTGCCTTCTGGTGTAAACAGGCTTCAATCATAACGTGATAAGTTTTTCTGTCTGATTTAATTTGGGTTCATTTACTGTTGTATATAACTTCATTGATCAGTTGAAGTTGCCTGTTCATTATCTAGTTCTTCCCTCTTTCTGCCTTTTCATCAGTTGAAGTTGCCTGCTCATTGTCTAGTTCTTCCCACTTTCTGCCTTTCGAGGTGTTTGGCTTAATTTTCAGTTAGGTTGAGTACTAAGTTTTCATTTTCTTTATGTGTCATTTTGTATGGATGGCATGTTGGCGTGTGTTTCTTGGGTTATTTCATCTTCGTGGCTGCATTATGGGTGCGTGTGTGTGGCAATGGATTGATAGGTTGCACTAACAACAATTATGCATCAAGAGAAAAGTGCAAAAAATGTGGGCAACCAAAGGAGGTAGCAGCAATGCCAGCTATGGCCATACCTGGAGCTTCTGTGCCAACTTATCCAAATTATTTTGCCAGGGCACAGACAGGACTGGAGCAAAAGGTGAACTTGGGATTATTTGGGAGTGGAGGTATTCAACAGTTGCTTCCTCTCAGCTCTAGCTGGTCAGGTGGGGCTGATATCTTTCTACCGCCACCTTCTGCTTGGCCTGTGGGTGGGACCAACACTTCTGGGGTAATGAATGCAAACATAGCTAATCAGCTAGTCACTGCTCCAAAAGGTTGGCGTAATGGTGACTGGATCTGCTCTTGTGGCTTCCACAACTATTCTTCTCGTGCCCAGGTGCCACTACTCCAGATTCTTGTTCAAGTTTGTACTTTTCCAGATTTCCTGAATATGGATGTTAAACTAGGTATCTAAATTGGAAATATCTGTAAAATGTTTTGCCAGTGTAAGAAATGCAATGCTTCAATGCCAGCAGCTGTACCTCCTTCCTTGGTCAGCACAACTTCAACAGGTTTGTTCGTTTATACTGTGGCACTATTCTGCATTCTGCATTGGAATTTTGCCCAAGTTTTTGCACATGTCTAGATTGTTTTCTTAGCCCCATATTTTGACATGAAATCTCTTGATTTTTATCCCTGGAAGCTCTTGGGACAAAGCGACTAGCTTCGGAAGAACTTGTCCATGAACTGGACTACAAGAGACAAAATGCTGGACAGGTTAGGATTCAGTTTTCACATGTAGTATCTATCTTATTACTGCTTCGAAATGTTACTTTCTTTCTGATGTTTAACTTGCAGACATTAAGTCTGCAGCAAACATTTTTAGGACAAGAATCTGTTGTAGGTTCTGCTTCCAGTTTGCCTGGTCTCAGGTACTCAAACTTTCCAAGTGGAAGTTCAGCTCTGGCTTCAAACTTGCAATTTAACCTGCAGATGCCACCCCCTCCTCCTACACTTCTTGGAAAAGGGTAGGATATTGATGAGATTATTCTTTTTCTGTTTTCCGTTTTTTTGTTGACTAAAGTCATTATATAGATGATAACTGTATATGCCCACATTTTTTGGTGTTCTTATGACTAACTGACGGTATACATTGGGATTTCAGTTACTCTTGGGTTCAGAGTTTATAATTTTCTTTTCCTCATTTCGTTGTTGATCATCTCATATCTAATAATGCTGATGTCTGAGGATTTATTTTGTTGTATGGGATTCTTTTGATTCTTCAACTATTTCTGGCAGGGCAAAACAATGGCGTGATGGGGATTGGATGTGCAGTAACTGTAACAACCACAATTATGCATCCCGATCTGAGTGTAATAGGTCAGTTCACACAGAATTTTGCCATTATTTGCTGAATGTCTTTAACATTATGCAAATTTGCAAATCAACAGCCATCCCCCTCCCCGGATCTTTTGATATTCATTGATGCATCTAGACAACACAAGTGGAAAATAGGAACATTGAAAAGATTTGTGTGAATGGGCTGGATTCTGATTTCTTTGTATTTACAGGTGCAAGACGCATAGAGAGGCAGTTGTTCAGCCCGTCAGTGTTGTGTAACTGAGAGAGTGGAGAAACCACTGGAGTTTTTCTCTGTTTGCGGATTTCATTTGCCTGATTCTTTGGTTCATGTATGTAACTTGTTAGGTGTCTTCGGTGTACAAAACTGGGATCCATGGATCTTGTAATGATATAGTCAAATGATAAAAACAACAAGTGGTTGCAAGTAGATTAGTGTTGGATATACTTTTAATTAATTAGCTGGGGGTTAGTTTGAGTTTATTGATCTCGCAGGAGGTCTGACATTAGTACAGAATGAGATGAAAATGTAGCTTTTCTGCAACCTTTTTTCAGAATGCTTGCACTGTTTTTAAATGGTCATTAACTCATTATCTATTCAACATATGATATATAACTGGGATGCGAAAGAGCGTTTTACAGAGAACTTTCCCCTCTTCCATGTTTAGAAAAACAACAATGTCTACAAAAACTGGTTGGGTTCTAATGTAAACTAGTGTTCTCCTCATGAACCTTTGAAAACTGAGGTGGGTTCTAAGGGAGGAGCATCCAGCTGGTAAAGATTGAGCGCAGGGCCAACAAAGCGAAACACAATCCAGCCGCCAATAATGATGAAGATGGAAGCGTAAGCAAATTTGTTGAGCCAGAACAGAAGACCTTTCTCTCCCATGTACACCTCCACTGCCTTCTCTGTAAGTGTCATGGATTCCCATTCCTTCTTTGGAGCGGCAGTCTTCATTTTGAACTGCCCATCATCATCATCCCGTAGTTGCTTCCTTCTTTTCTTCGAACCCCTTTTGAACCGGATTTCCACCGCGTCCGGCGGTGTGATGGGCGGCGGAATCGGTGCAGATGTGCCTCCGTCGGTGTTGATGGTTTCACCGTTGCCGGCATCGCTGCTGCTTCGAATTGGGGGCAGCACAAGAGAATGAACATGGTGGAGTTGGGAGGAAGAGAGGGAAACTGGAGCAGCAGGGATTTTGTTGAAACCAGGTCTTGGCAGTGATAACATGGCTGAGTTCATTGCTTCTTTTGGGGATCCGCTGGGATAGATTTTCTTCTTATCCTATTTATCCTTCAATTTCCATCAAATAGTACTTTTGAATAAAAATCTTACATAAACTCCTTTTTTTTTTCCCTTTTCTTTTTTTTAAAAATAAGTTTGATTATTGAATAATTTCACAGATAAATTGCTTTTTTCCCCCCATTTACTTATTTAGTGATCTGAAGCAGCAAAATTATTTATCATTCATCTCAAAATGATAGTAAGAAGTACAGTACTACATAATTTACCACTAATCATCATAGAAAGAACAAGTCTTGTGCTATTTTGAAATAGCAAATGGTTAAGAAAACAGCTTCCGCCTTCTCTAGGATTTACATCGACGTGAATGTTTAGTCTTAAAAAAATTAAAATTAAGGATATACTGAATAGTAGGATAATAAAGTTCAAAATAGTAGGATAATAAAGTTCAAAATTTGATATAATTTGATTTTTTTTTATAAAAAAAGTTATTCTATCGAAACAGCATACCGGTTAAGTTATGGACAGAAAAAGTCTTAAAATTGTTAGTAATAGTATTAATACTCTCTCTGTTCTAAAATTATTGTCCAACTTGAGATTTCACTTTTAATATAATTTGAACTAGAAATCAAAACTCAAACTGGACAATAATTATGGGACGGAGGGAATATTTCTTATACGTGTATAATGTTGGAACTTAGAAGTTTATGTATGTAAACAGTTGTTACTCTGGAATTGAACATTTTTATATCTTGCAAATTCATTGAATTACATATGCATGACCATGCTGACATACACACACGACATTCGAATCATAGTTAAGCGGTTCGAGCATTGGATCAAAGTTTAGTAGTACTCCTACTATAAATTCACCACTAATAAAACTTGAATAAATGAATGTTTTTTTTTTTATTTATTTTTTTTGGGTTTATCAGTAAGACAAGATTTTGGAGAATGGAAATAAAACTAAAAAGTAAAAATTATTAATTCTAGGAGATTATTACAAAGGGCAAAATATAAACATTGATGAGGAGAGGACCAAAATTATTTTGCTTTTACTCCTACTATATTTAAGATAAAAATTGGGCAGGGGGAGGGGAAAAGCTGGTCAGGACTCAGGAATCTAGAGAGGATTACCAAAATCTGATTGTTGCAAAATTTGTAATAAACAGTAGCCTGGACCTGACTATTCCGCCGTACAGTTGTAGATTTTCTCTCTGACTGACTTTGCCAAAAACACAATCCAAACAATACTTCACCGCCGTAATTCTTACTTCGGTTCTTCTTCTTCTTCTCCACCTGAATTTCCCCGTCTCTGATCGAACGGACGAGGACAAAGGGATGGCCAACCACCACCGCCACCACCAACCGGGAATTCTCAAGGATCCCTTTTTGCTTAAGTACAACGCCGCCGACCTCCGCATAGCCTCCACTTTTCTATCGGATTGGCTTCCCTTCCTCTCTCGCGGGCTTTGCCGCCGTTGCACCGGGATTCTGTCCGACCGCATTGGATCACTGGATTCCGGAGGTACGGTTATGTCTGGACTTCAATGTATGTGATAAAGTTAAATTCGCCTGTCTTTCAGTCGGCGGAGTTTTTGTTTGGAAATTCACCGTCTCGAATTGTTGATGCTAATCAATATTGATTTTATCCTTGTTTGATTTTCAAGGGAATAATTATTTACCTTGTGAGCTGCAACATTAGCAAAGTTGTTTACTTTGTTGGTTGGCAGGTGTTTTGGATTATGGTTGCTGCCCGAAAGGGGAATAGGGTTTATTGTGGAGAATTTACCATAAACAAATTGAATTTGCGAATTTACAGAGATTTAGTCTACTGCCCTAAAACACTTAACAGAGAAAGATCCGTGAAAGATCCTTAAGTCCTTTTTAAGATAAAGACTGGTTACTAGGCATTTATTTATAATAACATGTCCATTCGCTGAAAATGTGGACGTTTATTTTGCCCTTTTATGGTGTCAGTGTTCTGTATTCTTGTTTTGTCTTTTGAAACTTTATCATGATGATATAGATCATCTGATTCTAGAATACAAGATTATCTGATTCTAGATTGTTTGTGACATTTGTAACTCTATATTTCAGCGAATGTTATCTTGGTGCACTATTACGTTGCGGGGGGCTGAATGTGTGGTTGGGTGGGGGAGTGGCTGAGGCTGAATATGTGAGGGTGGGTGGTGTAGTGCTCACTCGTAAATTTAGTATCTTGGTAGTATAGCCAATTTAGAAATCTCTGATCAACATGAATTTTCTATCTTGCTACTTCCCCGGTTGTTTTTGACTGGATTCTATGTGCTTATGATTTCAGATGCTGATAATGCAGAACCCTTGAAACAAGAAGGGGGGGTGTTTGTTCCAACACTTGGTAGTTCAGAAACAAATGAGTGTGATGAAAGCCAGCACAACTGCGACTCTCACTCACTTGGAAGTTGGAAGGATGAAGCTGATGTGAATGATATTGCCGATACCAACTCTCTAGGGTCTTGGAAAGATGGGGAAAATGGTCCTATGGATCATATTACTGAGATCGAATATGAGGCCTCGGCCAGTGAAACTTCAAGCTCATTTCCTGCACCCCTTGAAGTTCCTAGTGTGAAAATGTCATGGGCTGATATGGCTCAGGAAGATGAGCTTGACATGGAGGAGGAGGACAATGAAGTCACCAGTAGACAGGTGGTTGGTGAGAATGGTATTGCTGAGGAGGGTTTAGCTGTTGAGGAAGCTAAACCCAGGACACAACTTCCAAGGGACCAAAGAGAGTACATCCGGTTCACTAATGTGCAACGGAAGAAGGATTTTATATGTTTGGAGAAAATTAAAGGCAAGATTGTCAATATCCTTGAGGGCCTTGAGTTACATACTGGCATCTTTAGTGCTGCTGAGCAGAAGCGAATTGTTGACTATGTGGAATCCCTTCAGGAGATGGGAAGGAAAGGTGAATTGAAAGGTAAGTAATTTCTTTTATCTGAGAAACTCATACAGCTGAACTCCTATTGATACAGTTGCTGGGTAAGTTTTTGTGGACTGATCAAGTTAGATGTTGCATGATTCGTTTGGGATAGATATGAAAACACGATGTTAAAACATCTAGAAGGGTGTGTATTTGTGCTTGCATTCGTATTTGTTACATGTTTTGGAGATTATCATTAGCTTAGCCTTGGAAGGCTTATTGCATGTGTGAAAATTGATTTGAGATTTTTATTCTTTTTTTAAAGTTGCGTTCAGATTTAGTTGTTTTCTTCATTTTGGATCTCTGTGCTTATAGTCAATGCTGTTATAGTTTAACATATGATGCATGGGCTTGTGTACTTTAATATTTTACGGCAAGTTAGACATTTCTTTATACTCAAGTAAGCCTTATAAGCTTTTTAAGATTGCAAGATGCATAGAGTGATAGCTTTCTATAATTGTATCTTGTGTAGTTTAACCTTGATGTTTAGGAGTTTCTATAAAGGTCAAGGAACTGATTGCCGTGTTTTTTATCTCAGGGCGCTCATTTACCGCACCTCAGAAATGGATGAGGGGTAAAGGTCGAGTTACTATCCAATTTGGTTGCTGTTACAATTATGCTACGGTATTTTCCCTTTCTGCTGCTCTTGTTGTATTTTCACCTACATTTTGTGCTGAAGTTAACCCTTGGTTATGAGGAATTTTGATATTGTTGGAAAGCTTACAACTTAATCATTTGTTGTGGACAGGATAAAAATGGTAACCCCCCGGGTATCTTGAAGCGCGAGGTTGTGGAGCCTATACCTAATCTTTTTAAGGTCATGATTAAAAGGCTGGTCAGATGGCATGTCCTTCCACCATCTTGTGTTCCAGACAGCTGCATAGTCAATGTTTATGATGTGGGGGATTGCATACCACCACATATTGACAATCATGATTTTGTCCGCCCGTTCTGTACTGTGTCATTCCTCAGCGAGTGCGACATTATATTTGGGACAGAACTGAAAGTTGTAGGGCCAGGCGAGTTTTCTGGTTCTTTCGCGATTCCCTTGCCAGTTGGGTAAGTTTCGTGTGTTTTTTGTCATCCGTAATTTGACTGATGCGTTTGGTGCTGGTGATCATTTAATTTTATCATTAACATTTTTTTGGGCTGAAATTTTTCTCCAGATCTGTTCTTGTGCTAAATGGTAATGGAGCTGATGTAGCTAAGCACTCTGTTCCTGCTGTTCCATCAAAAAGGTACATGTACATCAAGCTTTTAGAAGCTATTGTTTTACTCTTTCCCACTTTGTTGAGTTGCTGACACCTTTTTCATTGTCCCATTTTCCAGGATATCAATTACATTCAGGAAGATGGATGAATCAAAATGGCCGATTGGTTATGTTCCTGAACCGGATTTGCAAGGGCTTCAGCCGCTTCCCTATGAAGTTGATAGTTCCAAAAAAATAGATTCTCCCAAATATAGGGGCCCTGGTCGAAGGCAGTTTAATAGAAGAGAAGATAGGGAGCACAACAGTACTGAAATGAGAGGATCAACACATAGAGGGTCAGAGCAGCGCCATTCATATCGTGGCAAACGAGATGATAGGGAAGGGAACATCACTGAAGGGAAAGGATCACCCAGAGGGTCGGAGCAGCACCATTCATATCGAGGTAAAAGAGAGGATAAGGAGGGCAACAGCAGTGAAGTGAAAGGATCAACACCTAGAGGGTCAGAACAGCGCCATTCAAATCGAGGTCGAGGGCCTATGGACAAGTGGAGGGTCAGGTCATATTTGGAAAATTAAGGGGGTTATCTTAGTCAGTATGTGGATTTGTTTGACATTGCGAGTGAAAGGAAGCCGGCATTTATTATATTTCTCTTGTTCCAACTTGGGAGTTTTAGCATTATGCCGCTTGCAAGGAGATTGTGAGGCATCATGTGGATGATTGTTCTGTGTACCTAAATTAGTGAAAGAAGACTGGGGTTGGTTTTGTATGGCAGTGGATCCAGTTTAAGTTTGATGATATGGAAGATGTGTAGCAGATTGTAAAGAGATCATACCGGGTAAAGAAGTTATCTGGCTTGGTTTTCATAAGCCAATAAACTGTCGTTGAGTATTGGCAGGGGCGTTTGTAGTTGCATATACAAATACAGTGAATGTTACAGCTTCAATACAAGAGGAGCTTTGTAGGTGATAATTTGATTAGGCAATGGGTGAACAGGTGGAGTCATGGGGGAAATGAAGCTCTCCTTGATTTACATTTCCCCACCCCCTCTTCAATTTCAGTCTTAAAGGATTTTGATCAATGTAAGATTTTTATTTTTATTTTTTCGTTTATTCGTGGTTATTGTTGTTTGTATCAACTTAACTATTCTTTCGACATAATTACAGATTTGTTTTTTTTTTTTCAATTTTCTTTTTTTGTTTAATGATTCTTGCTGGGAGTCCTATTTTCTGGTCTCTGATTCTAGCAGTGACCCATTCTCAAGGAGGATTGAGAAGATTTGAGGTAAAATCAATTTCTGAACAGCTTGACCCAAAACTCATCATCCCTATCTTCTGTAGTTAGTAACTTGGACAGTGTCATTTAATTCTGGTTTTGACCATGAACATCAGATAGAGAAATTTAGGAAAAGGACCGTAACCCTCTGTTAAGTGGTCCTTTTTTTGATTATTAGTTCTAAAAGTCTGTATACATGAAAATAAAATCCCCACCCAAAAGGAAAAAAATGAGGAACATCTTGCTCTGCAGCTTGTGGGGGCGACTGGTCCTGGGTCTAAAGCAAATCACGCACAGAGATTTGGGTCCTATGTGTTAAAACCCTGAGTTCAGATAGCCCCACCACCTATGTTGCTCTACTTACTAGTTACTACTACTACCTAGCTAGTGGGAAAAAGAAGACTGAAGACCGAGGTAAAGAAAGTATACAAGTGGGATCTACTCAAAAAAAACATTGAAGAAAAAAAGAGGATGAGAGCAACCTCTGGCAATATCACAGTCGTCCATATTCCCTTGTCTAAACGGCCATTGGCAATATGGCATATTACTTGCAAATTTGTACGTAGGAACAAATCCATTCTTGGTAAGTTTGGTTCCTTCACGCATACCAAGTAATGCCATCATTTTGGTATTTTCTGGCCTTTGATTTTTTATTATTATTATTATTATTTTTTAAAAACTTTTCCCAGTTCCAAAACTCTTCAACAATTTATTACGGTAGTACTAGTATGCTCCCTTCCTTTCCTTTACTAGACAATACACAACACAACAGTGGATTGCTGAATTGTATTGAAACCAAACAGAAAGCAAATGAGAAAAATACCATAGTACTAGTAGTACAATATTGTGAGTGTGTGTGTGTGTGAGAGAGAGAGGTTGGAGCATGATGATGATGATGAGGGTGAATCTTTGGAGATATGGGAGAGAACAACACAGCATCAGGGAAGATGATGCATGATAATTACCCGAAAGAACTGGGGTGGAAAACAATCTAGATTGGCAATTTGCAACCTTTAGGTACTACTACATATATATGGTTTTAGGTCCCTCTAGTAATATTATATAGTACTCCCTCCGTCCCATAATTATTGTCTACTTTACCAAAAAAAATTTTGTCCCAAAATTATTGTCCAATTTGACTTTTTATGGATCAAGTTACACATTTGTCTTTAGTAAAAAACATTATCCATAAAATCTTAGTGGTTAAACAATTACTTATGTAGGGGTATATCCGGTTGTTTAAGGTAAAATATAGTTAAGTTTGATAAAAAATAAAATCTTTCATTTTAGTAAAACTGGGCAATAATTATGAGACAAAGGGAGTACTTTATACATATGTAAGCAAGGTAGCAGACAGAGGTGTGTTTTTTTTTTTTTCAGATGTATACATAAATTAAAAATGGGTGTAAAAGACACAATATATAATACTCAGATTGAAAAGAAATAAGCACCCGTATATTTGCGTGTGCTCATCAAACATCAGAAAAAGGGATCATCGTCACGAATGGGAATAGGAGAAATTGTTAATGTTACGAAACTAATGAGAATGCATAAGACAAGGGATAAGTAGTCATGATTGTACTGTCAAGATCAAACCAAAAATAATACAATCTCAAAAGGTGTGTTCCTACCGAAAAGCAAAGAGGGGCGTCTGTAAAAAGGGTCAGAACTTTAGGAGAAAATAGAGGGACGAGACTGTAATTGAGGGGCTGAATATTATGAATTCCAGGGAGAAAAGCAAAAAAGAAAAAAAATTTAAAAAAAAAATGAATGAATGAATAGTTGTATTTAGTTTGGGCATGAACAGCAGTATATCAAGTTTTAAGTCCCAACAAAAACTACAGCCCAATCAATCATAACAATAACCATTGCCCTTTTTAATGAATCAAAAACATGCATTTATTCTGCGGCGAAACGGGCAAAAGCTGGTGATTAAATAGAACCATTATTAAACGACGGCATAGGCTCAACCGCGACAATTGAGATCAAAATAGGATCATGTACTTACGTAATAGTACTGCTATAGTAGTTTTAATAAATGTACACTTCCAAGTTCCAATGTTATTAATTAATGCATGTGAGAATTTCCTACACAGAATCTCGTACGCGGCTGCTGTTGATACTGTCCTCTTAATTCCTTCGAATTAATCTCCTTCTGCATGCCACAAAGTGCCGGAACGGATGTCGGAATACAGGATCAGAAAAACCTCTCGGAACAGGATGTGGGAAAATTCCCGGAGACCATCTGGGTGGGCCTGCGGAATATTCCGCACCACCAACCGGACTGTTTCTGGAATTTCACGCAGATACTGTTCCACATTTTTCAAATAACCTCTCTGCTCTCCGGTGATTTATTCCATTAATGAAAATGGTTTTTTTTTTTCCCAGGATGTATTTTCTTGATATTTTTAATCCATTTTTACGTTCCAAGTTAATGTCCAATACAAAAAGAATTAGAACAAAACGTTTATTCTGGTTTATTCTGGTCTTTACTCTTTAGTCTCTCTCTTTTTTTGGTAAACGTTTTTAATCTCTTTCCACCATTGTGTGTGTAAGAAATGATATGTATAGTGTATTAAACTTCGTCAGCATCAATTACTTTAAAGTTTAAACACCATTTTGTGACTACATATATCCAAAGCTAGCTTTCAGCATGTCAAGAATACGAGAAAATTAAAACAAAATAAAAATGGTGACTAAACCTAAACTCCCGTATCCTCCAAAAGCAGGAACACCAAATCATTTTAGGTGCTTGGAAAAAAAAAAAAAACCCAATCCTCAAAATAAGTGTTCTTTTAGTTAGGCTCAGTGGCGGAACCCTTAAAAAAAAGCCCCTCCAGTCGGCCGGAGAGTTCCTTAGATGTACACATGGTTGACCTCCTTCCGTGTTTGTCCGATCATTTTTTCTGATCATGAACCTATAGTTAACCCTCCAAACTTGAGTTGTTGGTTTCGCCACTGGTTAGGTTGTATTAGTGGCTTAAATAATTTCTTTTTGTACAAAAAAAATAATGCATTTTTTGGAAACTAAACAATTTAATTAAGATAGATTATTTTTGTAGGACGGTAGGTATATATTGCATTAAGTGGATATACTACGATAACATCTCAGTGTAGGATGTATATTACACACCGAAAAAATAAATAAATAAAAATGGAAAGATTAGACGAAGAAAATGAACAGTACAGCCAGCGTGCATAAACATGAAGAGGAAAATCTGCAAAGGAGGCTGATCTTCATAGCCTTATAGCTAAGTACAAAATTTTAATTAAAAAAAATTAAAAGAAAACAACACACATTCACACACCAAACCTAGACTGATCTATAAAGTAGTACTCCTTCCTTTTTAAATTATTCTCCAGTTTAGATTTTCATTTTTAGTTCTATAATTATTTATGAGACTGAAAGAGTATTATATATTATCAATACTAATCAGTGGGTGGCTGTCTAGCTAGCTGCAGAGACAAATCATCGAAGAAAAAGAATGTGAGAGACATTAAAAAGCAGTCACAAACTGCAGCTGTAGACAGAATAATGGAGTAGTATTTGGACGGGATTTTTTGGGAGATAGAATGCGGCGTTGGAAAAGAACCCTCCCCCTCCGTGAAAATGATGCACCTTTTTTATTATCTTCTTCGCATCATCATCATCATTATCATACCCTCCCAATTTTATTTTTAAAAAAATATACTGTATGAATATTTGAATTTGAATATTGCATGTTCTGTTCCAGTACTATATACAGTACTTCCTCTTGTTATTACATTTCCGTTATTGTATTTTTCTAATCAAATATAGTACGGAGTACATGAATATTTGAATTGGAATACTGCATGTTATAATGTTCCAGTATCATACAGTAGTCCCTCGTGTTCTTATTATAAAGCACGTTTTAATTTATCTTAAATTTTAGTTATTATATTTTTTAATTGAAAATTAAAATTATAAAATATATTTTCATCTTTATTGTATTCTTTTAATTGTTATAAAATTTTTTTAAAATTTTATTTTTAATTAAAAATACGATAAATAAAACTTATAACAAATTAAAATATCTATAATAAGTACAGAAGAAAGTAGTAAGCGGAATTGTTAGGAGCGTACCATCTTCACTGCTTTACGTACCACACACACATTGGCCCCCTTTGGCATTCAATTCTACCAACGCGTGCCTTCATTTGTTTACTGTTTTATTTTATTTTTTTAAGGATACCACAATTTAAATTTACTACCTATCTCCACCCCTAAATTTTTGAGTTTTAATTGAGTACATAATCATGGTAGAGTATGCAATAATTTCTTCTTCTCAAAATAAAACTAGAATCATGAATGTTACTTATAATTATTGTGACCTTTATCTCATGTCGTACATAATGAGTTTGTAAAAATTACTCCCTCCGTCCCATAATTATTGTCATGTTTGGGTTTTTACTTTTAGTACAATTTGAACTAAAAATAAAAACTCAAACAGGACAATAATTATGGGACGGAGGGAGTATGATACAAGACGTGAACGAATACATTTTGAAGGATTGAGAAGTGCAATAAAGAAAAATTGGATTGAGAAGTGCAATAGAGAAAAATTACGGACATGTAAAAGTGAGTGATTAATTCAACTGTGGCACATTGAAGTATAGGCTTTAAATTCCAGGCTGCTGCCCTAACGTACGCTTCAATATTTTTAACAGCTACCTGTAATGTCTTAATCGTATCAATTTGTTGACAGTAATATCGTTTGTTGTATGAAAGGCCAAAAGAGTTAACATCAAAACTCAGAGCTACTTCTACAACATCAGTACCCCCCCAAGTTTGAAAATGAAGTAAAACCTAACCAAACTGAGAAGAAGGTAATCAATAGATATTACTTTCTCTATCCTAAAATATTATGCACTTAAAATTTTTATTTCTAATATAAATGGACAATAATTTTTAGACGATAGTAGTAATACTTTTTCTTATAATGTTGAAAATTTTATAATATTTGAAAACAAGAAGTATATTTATGTTGAATTATTTTATTACAATAAATACCACTTTTATGATTATGTTATTCCCTGCTGAGACTATAAGAATAGTAGTTACTCTGGGTTAAATTTTGCGAGATATGGCTTTTCTACTCATTTGAGCTAATATTACATAAATATATAATCTCGGGTTACACATAAAAGGAAAGAAGGCTTCATTTATTAACCCCAAAGTTACTTTTTTCCCCCAAAGAGCCATGAGAGGTAATGTACTCTCTAGCATGATGAGCATGAATATGTATTTGAAAGCTTCTTTTACAAGAGAAGATACTTATTCAATCTTAGAAAGTTAAAATGAAATTAAAAAAAAAAGTGTCATATTATGATTTAAATATTCTTTCCAATATTAACACTATCTGTGTCATCTCAAAATAAGAGAAAAATCTGACTGACAAAGAGCGTATATATGTGTATACAATTGCCCTTAACTATAATTTAAAGGGAAAAAAAAGGAAAAAAGGAAAAAAAGTGTTGTATATTTACCATCAAGACACACATAATATGAGAAATTTTCATTCTAGAATCAAGACAGAAGGACAAATGAAACAAAAGTAATAATTGGAGTTACTGGGAAGTATATGACATTTTTCTCTTCTTTTTTTTTTTTCTGGTTGAAAGCATATGACATTTCATTTCATGAAGAATTTTGGGAGCATTCATTCATTCTTTCATTCTTCATCACAGAGGAAGCCTTTCTTCTCTAGCCCCCACTTCTTCTTCTTCTTCTTCTTCTTCTTTTTTTTTTTTTCCTTTCAACCAATCAGCACAATATCATCAAATCATATCCTTTCCTTCCACACATTCTTTCACCAGAAAGCATATCATAATGAAACAAAACTAACTTGATCATATTATATTTGCCTTTTCACCCAAGCAAACTTTCCCTCTGAACCAAAAGAAAAAAAAAAACCTTTCTTTCTTTCTTTCTAGTCCCTCATTTGTCCCTTCCTTTTTGTTTATCCCTCTCTTCTGCTCTGTCAACTTCAGTCCTTCTCCCTCAGATTATATCTGATATCCTCTCTTTATCATCTCCATGTGCCATCCCCCCTCCTCCTTACCAACCCCTTTTTATACTTGTCTCATTCTCTTAACTTTCTATTGAACCCAATCTCATTCTCAGTTCTCTCACCAATAACCTTTCTCACTTTTGCTTTTTATCTGCAATAATTCTCATAATATAGTTTTAAAAACATTAGTCCCTTGTCCCCAGCTGCTGCGCTTTTGTTTGCTTCTCTTTGTATCCTTTCTTTCAGTTCCAATCCAACCCTTTTGATCATCATCATCATCATGGAAGTTGAATTGCATCAACATCAAAACCAACAACAAAATAATGGGCAGCAGCTACTTCTGAACGAAGATGGTGGCAGTAACAACAAAAGCAGCAGTTTCTTGTGCAGGCAAAGTAGTACGAGGTGGACTCCAACCACTGAACAGATCAGAATCTTGAAGGATCTGTACTACAACAATGGGGTTAGGTCTCCCAGTGCTGATCAGATTCAGAGGATTTCGGCTAAGTTGAGGCAGTATGGGAAGATTGAAGGCAAGAATGTGTTTTACTGGTTTCAGAATCATAAGGCTCGTGAAAGGCAGAAGAAAAGGCTTACTACTACTGATCATGTTGTTGCCCAACCACCTCCTCCTCCCATGCAAAGATCTGGTCTTTGGAGGCCTGATGATCAATCTTTCTACCCAACTTCTGCACCATCCAAGTACCCTAACATCACTGCTAATAATGGTTATAATTATTTCCTAGCACTTATTTGATCATTTCTTCTTTAAAAATTTCTGATTCAGGAACAAGTTTTTGATGATCATTATTTGGAATGTTGATTCAATCTTTCTTTTTTTTTTTTTTCCAGGCGCAATACCCTCTTCATCAGGTTGTGCATCTGGACTTGCTGCTGCTTATAATAACCTGGTGGGAAACAATGTGTATGGATCTTTGGCTATGGAGAAAAGCTTCAGGGTGAGTGTTTTTTTGAGGAGTAATGCTGTTGGATCAAGATTATATACCTAGTTATGAATGCGTGAAAAAAAAAACTAAAGCTAATCTGCTGTTAAGGCCTTTAGATCATGAAGAAAGTCCTATTGAGTTTTGAGTCAAAGTACTAATGACCTAAAAGATACAAAAAGACATGATGTTTTTATACTGATGTTTAAGACCCGGTTCTCTATTGTTGTAAAGTTTTCAGATTTTCCTATTTATTGTTGTAAAGACATGAGTTTTGATCTTTTTGTTTTTAAGTTGATCGTGGGGAGAAAAAAGAAACCATTTTTCTGTGTTGGTTTCTTATGATTGCTCAAAAGCAACCATTTGTTTTTTTTTTCCATCTTTGACTCAAAAGCATTTTGTTGGGTCTTCAGGATTGCTCCTTGGCAAATGGTTTCTGTGGAGATAACAACAAACCCATGATGACCAACAGCTTCTCGTGGGCTGCTTCCGGGCCGTTGGTTGATCCCATGTACAATCCTTCCCCATATCCAATTTATGTCAAGAAAGATTCCAGCTTTGGTGAAGAAGAGGAGGAAGAAGAGGAAGTCCCTGAAATTGAAACCCTGCCTCTGTTTCCATTGCATGGTGAAGATTCTGGGTTCAACAAACAACAACCAAATGGGAATGCCTATTATTCTTCCTGGTATCCTCAGTACTCTAATGGCGGTGTCAATATGGCTTGTTCTCGAGCTTCCCTTGAACTCACCCTCAATTCCTATGGCGTCGGCTGGTCTTCTAACAACTAATTAATTATTAATTCCAATATATTATTGAAGAAAGGAAAAACAAAAAAATGGGGGTGTCATGCAGTTTCTAATTTCGATCTCTCCCCTTTCCTTAATTATGCTAAATTTACGTACTTAAGTATAGTTAATTAATTACTTTCTCTATTTATGTATATGATGTGTACATTTGCGAAGAACTGCTCAGGTTTCCTTCTGATAATGTTGCTGGTTATGTGATATAGTAGTGTTTCTGTTAATGTATGATTGATTTATTATGTTTCTTCTAAACGACCCAAAAAGGAGAAACCCACATAGTTGTACTTGCTAATGAAACTAATCCTTGATTAATTTGTCTTGATTAAGTAAAAATGATAGTGTAATAAGTACTGCCCAGAAGCCACACAGTTGCCGACAGAGATTTTGGGTAGGGACCCTCCTCAATATCGGAAATTGGTTCTTTCTGATATAAATTCTGATACTGAAGTGAAGCCTTTGATAGGAGGGTAGGGATTGGGTAAGACCCACACTAAGCCGCCTAGTTCATCTTGATATCTGAGATGAAGCAGCCAATTTACTAATTAAAAAGATAGATTATAAAAGCAGTCAGGCGGTCTCCAGTAGTAGTAGTAGTAGTACATGAACATGAAGATTTTCCAATGATCATCATCAATATATGGCCTTGGAAATTACAAAAAGGTTCTTTACTTTATAGTAATGTAATATAGTCTGAAAGGAAAACTGATGAATCGAAAAAGAAAGAATGAAAGATGATACAGCAAAGACAGAAAGAATGATACTACAACACAATGTGTATCTTTTTTACTTTCTTTCTTTTTGTGACTTGTGTGCGGCCGTCAGTTATCACAAAATCAGTTCTTGAACAGTTCTCTTTTTCCGATCTTATTCCATCCTGGTAGAAAATGATGAACAATTTATTCTGTGAAGCGGAACCCAATTCACCTTTCCTAATTCTATTCAGACTTTTCTATTGGAAATTTTCCGAAAAAAAGTTGGCCTGGTCACTATAGCTTTATGTGCCTCTATATATTCATAAAGGTATAAAGTTCAAATTATGTCAAAATGCATTAGTACGAGCATTTTTTCAAATTCACACACAAAAAAAAAAAATGGTTAGGGGGAAAGCCCTTTTGCGCTTTGCACTTTATAAGAATCACAATAACAATAACAAGACAAAGAAAGCACGGTTTCTTCTCCCTGCATAAATTCACTAAAACAGGAGCTATATACACCACTTTGTTCCCTTTTTTTTAGATTGCGATGTTTCATCAATTGATGAATCAACAAAGTAGAAAATGTGCCAAATCCCAATCCCCATGGCCCAACCAATTTGACTTGGGAATACAGACAAATCCATCCAACTGACATTCGGATGAATTCATATGGACGGCCGAGATCAAGAAAAAAATGTCATTGGCATGTTAAAAGGTTTAATAAGAAGAAGAACGAAGGAGAAGCAGAATCATTCACTCAAATAGAGTAACGGTACTTCATTTCCCCCTTTGGCCCACTGTTCTCAACAGCTTCCCAATTGTAAAAAAGTCGCAATCCACAAGATTTTGGGAAGATGCTTTTGCTACATTTGGTTTTAGAATTACTCACACTTTTTGGCATTTTGATGACCCCTAATGTCATTTTGGGCATTGAGTCAACAATATGTAAAGGAGAAAGTGAACAAATGAGGTAGCAATTGGGAAAGCTTATTCATTTCGCAAATGGATACACAGAGAGGCTTTGAGGTGTGTGTGTGTGTGTGCGCGCGCGTACGTGGATGATGATCCAATCCAAGATGATCTTCAACACTTTCTGAGACTCCAAACACGTAATGTCTCATATAGTAAAGTGAGGACAACTAGTGGCATCATGCCTTTGTAAAGGCTCCTTTCACAAGTTGGTCAGTTATTTATGTTGATCACAACATTCCATTTCACGCTCTCATGTACATTTTTCTCTGTTGAGTTCCACATGCCTTTCTGAATTCCCCCCAGCAATTTAACCACGGTTTAAAAATAGAAAGAAGTTACAAAGTAAGAACAACTCTTCATTCTACCAAGCTTAGGTTTTAACCCTTTAGTCAGTCTTTACAAAATGGTAGGTAGCAGACACTTCGATACAAAGTCTTTTACTGCAACAAAACAACATTATGCAGCAAAGCAAGGACACTTCTTGAAATAAATTGTTAGCTGAAAAATTTGAACATTGAGCGAGCAAAGAAAAACTCGGGGCAGATACTGCGATTGACGAATCGCAAAATGGTGAAACACAGAGAGCAAGAAAGAAATTGGAGAACTAAAGACTGGATCAAGGGAACTGCTATTCTAAAAATATGATGCATGCACTTTGATCTTAATTTGATTTTTAAAAAAATCAATTCAGAAATTAAAAGGTTACCTTAACTTAATGGTGATAACAAATTAGTTTGGTTCAACAACCGTAACACCCATAGCTACGCAGAATATACCCAATTACAGACCATCAGGACACCCTAAAGGTTGTCTCAATGCAGAAAATTACAAGGCAGTTGAACAGGACCAGAGTAGTACAACTATGTACAATTTCAGCCTTCACTTCATCCACAAGATTCCTAAACGAGCACCAACATCTAGCAGCCCATATCTATACAAGCAAAGATAGCCATCCATCAATAATACATCTAGCTCAAAGCATCAAATTTTGAGATTTGATCTGGGGACAAATTTCTTATTTTGGAGCAAGAATGCATCCCAAGGCTTAATAAAGTTAGATAATTAAGAATCACTGGCTGATAGAATGCAAAAAGTTGTTTACCAATTTTGTACCAGATAGAAAAGAACAATAATATGTAATTATCAGAATCTGGAGTTATTAACCTGATCAGAAAGTTGACTCCATCAGAAAATATCCCAACACGGTCTCTACAGGGCTGGCGAAGAAGCAGCTTCAAATTGGCAGGTAAACAACATTTTCATCTCACATACAGCACAGCGGGACCAGCCAAAAATTATGCTGGCGGCATTAATGTACAAGAGATACCAGTTTGAAATATAGTGCTTCTGGAAAGCCAAAAGAAACCCAAAAAAAAAAAAAAAGACGAATAGTTCATAATGACTTGACAAAGTTTCAAGCCTCACAAATAACTGTAATCTTCAAATGCCGGAAAGAAGAAAGAGAGAGAGTTACCAGCATTAGCTATCTACTTTCTTCCGGCAAAAGAGGCTAGTTTGGATAAATCTGGAATCCAAAATGATAACTCAGAAGAGCCTGTGGCAAACATTAAACTTCCAGGAGCCCATTTGATGACAGGCGGTTCCATTTCATTACTCAACCAGCTGGAAACCTATATCACTCAGAAAACAGGAACAAAGCGGCATCGTAATAAGCCTTTTATTGAACAATATCTAATGCAAGCTAAGGCTCAAATTGAAAAAAATAATTAGTTCGCATTGCTCATCAAGAAACTCCCAAATTCTATTCAATGAAAAATAGAACCCTTATAAATTAAGTGACACTGGACACCTTGTCCTTGGACGGCAATTAATGGTTTTTCATTCCAAACATACCAAATGCTCCCCAAGATCAGAAATATTTTGTTTTTTTGGAGGCCAATTGAGCACACCAAATATAAAACACAACATGCAGGAAGCAACGTGAATGATTGCTGCGGGCTCTCACTAGCTTAGAATGAAAGTCAATGCAGCCTAACAATGGGAAGATCCCTTGGTTATACTATCAACATGAACATATGCATATGCATATGCATTCAGAAAGGTAAAACATAGAAATATAGGTAAAGAGCTGTAAAAGGTACCTCTTTGCCACTCCGAACACTCCAAGCATAAACACTGCCATTTCCGCATCCTGCCAAATAGTAAAACCCAGTAAAATCTTCCTGAACCACTATAAGCAAAACTCACAAGATCAGCAGGAAATTTCACAGCACAAATCAAGTAACTTTCTACATTCTTAAGCACCAAATTGAACAGGAATAAGATTCAGAGGATCACCCACTGAAAGCAAAATGAGGACTGGCAGCTTAAGTAGGCATTGTTATGGACAAAGATTAAACAAAAGATAATGCATTCAGACTTCAAATATATATTTAAGGAGGATACTACCAAGCAGTATAACTATTAAAAGAACCTAAGAGCACCGAAAGTATAAAAAAGTTATAGGTAGCATAACTCAATCTAGAATGCTATAATATTTATTTCAAGTGATTAAAAGCAATTTTGTCAGACCATCTAATAGTGATTATAAACAAAATTGCAGACAGTTAAAGAATCTGTTACAGTCTCTTTCCTCCCAGTGAAAATTGGAAGAGTGCAAAAAGGAGGAAGGGTAAAGGCTAGAGACGACAAAATTTGTTACAATCCAATCGCCCAACTCACATCAACCACTAGTCACATTGAAAACAAATGTATAAAAGACAAAGTGTGCAAAACGGGGTAAAAGTTATATCTGTCATGATCCGAATGTATAAGTGGCAAGATATACTTATCAATATGAAAACCTTGTCAAGCTGGGATTTTAAAGAGGAAAAGTCAAATGAGTGAAGCGTTCATGAAATTCTCCTAGAATGTTGACAGGTTCCTTAGTAAACATTACCTGAGATAACAAACATTCCATCTGGACTAAAAGCAGCCTCCAGTGTTGAAACACTTGATGCAGACTTAACTTTGTATGTTGATAACTAAAACATAAATAAACCTCGTGTCAGATCCGAAACTCCATAAACGATTGCGCAGTCCATAAAGAAAGTAAGAACCACACCCCAGAAGTTGGAGGGTCACTCACAAGTGTGCCACGGAATGAGTCTAACACATGTATATAACCATCCGAAGTTGTCAAAAGCATCAGTCTTCCATCGTTACTAAACTTGACGACATTAGCATCAGACATATCTCCTCCAACGGAAAATATCTCGAAAGGCCCCTTCAGAGAATAACATCTCACAAGGATTAGTTTCATTTGCAAATTTAACACTATTCAATAAGACATCATAATGTTTGGCATACACAAGTGCCAACCTTTTCATATTTCCGAGCATCAAACATTCTTATATATCCTCCATAAGCTATGGTAAAGACAAGCCCTTGGTCATCATAAGTAGTGGCAGGTCTTCCCTGAACACGTAGAAGACCCTGAATATAACAAGCATACTAGTCAGAATACTTGGGAGGGATAAACAACTGTCATGAAACAATGACCAGAAAGTCGCAAGGCCTATACCTGGCACTTCTCGGCTCTTTGGTCCCACAGCAAAACAGTACGATCCAGAGATCCAGATATAAAACAATCACTGCGAGAACACAAGCTAAGAGACACAACCCTAGCAAATAGAAAAGCATTTTGTTAGTGATTTTAATACCTTTCATGCCAATCGGAGGGTAACATAAAGGTCATGACACTCAAATTACCTATCATGATGTCCCTTGAAGTATCGCAGATACTTATTATCATGCAATGAAAGGAGTCGCAAAGATTCTGCATCAAACAAGTTACTTTAGTGATCCTAATTACCAAGCTAAACAGCAGACATGCTGTTCAAACTACGTACCATCCCAGCCGTTCTTGGAGGAGTATATAACAGTGGTCGGATGAGAAGTAAAACAAACTAGTTCAACCCCATACTTTTTGCTGTTGATAGTCTTCAAACATCTGGCAATGACATTTTTAAGGCTTTTAGTATAAAAGATACAGTGCCACAATGAAATTTAATAACAATGGCACACTTGTCAACCTCTATGACACTGCTTTGAGCTTAATGCTTGAAGTTCGAACACGAGTTATCTTGGAACTATATATATATATTGAAAATGGAGGTCAGAGCTAGATGCTTACGTGGCACTAGCAGTATCATAGAGCCGTAAGGATTCATCATCACTAGCAGTAACCAGATAGGTGCACGTTTTATGGAAATCCATCGAAGTTATTCTACAATTCTGCAAAAAGAGACACAAAAAAAGAAAAGAAAATCAGTACGAAAATAATTTAATGCTTTAAGGCAGCAAAAAAATACTAGGGTCCTCAACATGGTTTCTCGCGAGTGCACATCTTCTTGGTTGCCGAGGGCAATACATTCAGCAATGGCCCATTCTCCAGCAACAACAACCAAGAACTATCACGAGAATTGCCAGACATTGTTTAATCGTGCATCAATAGCAATTAATAACTATCCAAAAGCTAACATTTATTCTCCTTAAACAACAACCGGCTCACTTTTTTTCTCTTACTTAAACAAATTTCAGCTCAACCCCGCTTAACCCATAAAAACTCATACAGTAAAAATTTCTTCAAGGGTTACTATAGTTTTAGCAGACTACCAACGCAGAACAAAATCAAAAGAACAGGAGACCATCCCCCGACTTCAGTAACATAATTGGATTAAAAAAAAAACCTCAATAGCGCACAATATACATATATCCCCTGCAAATTTCTGCCTTTACTTCCATATAATCATATTATGCGCATAAAGCGAAAAACGAAAAAACAATAAAATAAAACACGTACATAATCTCGAAAATTCACGCCGACTTCCATACTCTGTAGAATTTCTTCAGTTAGCTCCAGCGAGACCTTAAGGTCTTTCTCGGGTTGTACTCCTGAAGATTCGATCATTCAGCTTACAACTAACCAAATTAATGAATTGTAGTTTCAAAAATTCTAACGACGAAGGGGGATCAACTTACCTGCCATTTTAATCTTCGAGAAATTTCTTGGAGAAATTAAGGATTATTTTGTGTTCTTCTCTTCTCCAACCCGCCATATCTGTGTTTTGTTATCGAGCTCAGTTGTGGGCCGATGAACTTTGGGTTTTCTTTACGGGCCAATTGTATAAGGCTAATAATGCTTTTTCTAATAGTAGTAATAAAAATAATTATTATTATATTATTATTGTTAAAAGTTTATAATAGAGTGGATGGAAATTATTAAAGATATAATACTGGACAACTGAAATATTGGAAAAAACATTGTCACAATCAAATTATGGTTCGAATATATTTGTTCATTGAGTATTGCGTAATTTTTTTATTATTAATTTTGGGAATAACTTCCTTTATTAATGTATAATATTGGAAAAAAGAAATGATAAGGTGAAGTATTATTATTATACTAATAAAGTTACGTTGTTAAAATAAAAATATCATTTGAAGATTGATAAACTGTAAACAGTGTCGCATCAACTTTGAAAATTGATAAGTATAAACGAATTGACTCTTAAGACGGAGTTGGCATAAGCCTTATGCAACCTCTTTGGTTCAAAAAACGCAAATACTCAATGTCAACTTGTTGGTGAGTTCATCCGTTAAGGAAGCCCTGATAACGATCACAAATTCTTAGCTAAAAATCTATCCAATCTACTGGGTTGCAGCAACTCACCAATTAAACTTCAAAGTTCAAAATTGGTAAAAACACACATACAATTTACACTACGTATAAAGTAAACAAGGCAAGACGTACTCTTGCCCCCCGCTGTCAAACATCAACAAATATTGTTACAAAGACAAAAAAAAAAAAAAAAAAACCAAAAAGAAAAATTACAAAGCTAAAAAGATGAATTCTGATAAATCATATATCCGGCCGGAAGATGTCTAACCACGTCAATGTCGTCGTCGTCGATCGAGAAGCTGGCGGTGGAGCTGCGGTTACCGTCGGTAAAGGCTGACTTCTTTATAAACTCTATGCAATCAGCAACGGCTTCACTGTGGTGAGGCTCGTAGGCTTTGTAGTAAGCCTGCTTCTGTGCAGATTCCGGTGATTTTCTTCCATGGCTGGCGGCGGCGGGCCTGGCGGCTTTAGTGAACGCCGACAACACAATCAGCCGGAAAACGGCTTCCCGGAAACGATCGAGCAATGACATAGGCGTAACCCGGTTGGTCTTCTTAGTCCACCGGCTGTTTTTCATCCTGGGAATACAAAAAGGGCTACCCATATTACTATTGTCAATGGTGTGATTTTATGTTATTGATATGGAAAGTTGAATTTGAAGGGAAGAGAGAATCTTTCTAGCGAAGCACAAACGTATAGTAATATTTGTAATAAGGAGAAATATTAATCTCTCTTAGTTGGACGGTCTGAAGATGATGACAAGTTCGTGGAGAATTTAAATTTTTTAGGATATATATATATATATATATATATATTTGGCTTATAATATATTAATGTATTGGCTGAATTAGTGAATTCATTACGTGGCTTTGTTGACTCGACAACATGCAAAGACCTAAGAATTTGGTTTATTATTTACAAATTTTATTTACATCACTCTGTATTTGGTTCCCACCACTGAGCAAATGACACCAGAAGATGAATGGTGAATCTAATTTTAGTATATTGTCATTGTTCGGGGGAAAAAAAATGACTTATCATTGTCTCTTTTTTTTTCGTTTGGATTAGCTTGACTAATCAAATTAATTAGCAAATGGATTAAGTTGAGAATCGTCATCCTGCTCGACTAACTTCGGAATTTTGATGACATCACATTTTCATTTTAGAGGCCTACTAACAATTTGATATGTCCCAAATCAAATGAAGTACTAGTACGTATTACATCAGAGAGATGCCGACCATTCCATACATTTAATCATCAAATGGGTACATACATTGATTGATTGATACTTGAAAGTTGAAGGGGACAGCAAATCAGCTAATTAAGTATGCCTGAAAATACTCGTATGTTTCGAAATTTTGAAATGGAAAAGAACGATTCAAATTAGCATAACGGGCACATAAATCCGAAATTATGAATTCTGATAGCTATTTTGTGTTTTCCAATAAATGTTATATATCAGCGGAATCCATGGAAATTAATCATTGAACTTAAAACCATGCATAATTTGAGTATGATTATTGGCAGCATTTTTTATATTTTATTAAAAATAAAAAGAATTTATGGTTTTTTTTTTAAACAACTACAGTACTTATAAGTCCAGCAAGCAAACATAGTGTTCCCGCAAAACATGGAGTAACAAAATTGTTTATGGGGTATTGGCATGTGCCTCACAATCCAACTAGTCCCAAGTTTTGTAATAGTTTTAAATCAAGAGATCCTACTTAATCAAACTTAAGCAAATAGTAGCTCAGTTCATGCCTTCCGGGCAGCAGTTTATAAAATGTTTGCTCCGCTCTCCGTGAATCCAAATTGATTGATTCCACATGCAAACATGTGACTAGCTAGGTTCTTCTTCTTCTTTCGCATTTCGTTTTGATTCTTCGTTCTAACATTATTTATATGTCTATTAAGTTTGATAATGTTGGGAGCAACATACTTACATTACTTACAAGATTAATGCCTTAAGCTTCTAATCAAATTTCAACCTCGTTTTTAAAAATTTATTACACACACATATATATATATATGCACTATATTCCACCGACTTACCGACCATCTATTAATCTATAGATATAGATGATATAGACTTCCTTTGTCAATTATATTGGTTAACCTTCTTCGGGATGGCGACTCCTTAGCCCCTTCTGTTTGTGTATTGGCGCCATTCAAGAAGCGACAGTCAAAAAAATTAAGCGACAATCAATACACGAATAATAATTTGTGATTTACGAATAATATGTAAAGGGATCAATACTAATGCAAATTAACTGCTCCAATAGAAATTAAAACAGCTGAAAAGTTGAGGATATATATATATATATATATAAACGTTGACTACAACAAATTTACCTATTGTAGACGTTGATTGATGAGAAAAACAACGTACATGACAAATTATTCATCTCGCAAACGGGTAAGATTTGAAGCTACTTACAATCTCGACGGCTCTCTCTCTCTCTCTTTTTTTTTTTTTTCATGTAACTCAAAAGCAACAATTTGAGCCTAATGAAGTAGTAAAAGATTAGGCCCGCAGCGATTCAGCGCCATTTTTTTGGTGTCCCTTCTTTCTTGAAAACAAGAATCCCAACACAGGAATCAGTGGCTTTCTCTTAGGCTTCTTCTCCGTCGCATTGACCGAAGGGCTTGACTGCATTTCCTGATCATCTTTGCTTATTATGACTCGAGTGAGTAAAGGTGGACTAGCGAACTTGACTGACCTTTTCTTCTCCAGCTCAAATTGATGATGAACCTGATGATGAGGTTGTGTTTTTGCTTCATGAATATCCTTTTTTGTGGTTGAATTTTCAATGAATTTGAGCTCTTCAATCTCGGTGCAAATCTCATTAACCGGATCGGGTGGGTTAGGAATCTTGAGATGATGATAAAGATGATGATTATCGGATATTAATTCCTTGGAGCTCTTGAGTTGTTGTAGTTCTTTCTTCGTTTCTTCAAGCTCTTTTCTAAGTGAGCAAAGATAGTAAGCCATGAGTTGATTTTCTTCTTCCTTTGATTTTTCCAGGCTTTGTTTCTTTGTCTCTTCAGGCTCGGCGGGTTCTGCCGACACGACCGTTTCTATTTTCGGTCGGGAGTTCTTCTCTTCACCGGTGATGTTGCCCTTGTTTGTCTGCATCTGATCATCAGAAAAATCAAAAAACACATATGTAGCTATAAAACCATTGTAATAAATTCCAGAGATTAATTGCATTAGAAGCTCAGATGTATGAAAATACGTAAAAATAATAAAAAGTTGAAATGATATTAATAGCTTTGTAAATTAATTTAGAGAATTCCCACATTATATATATCTTGCAATTTGTTCAAAACGTATCAACTGGATTTGGTAATATATACTTTCTCTGTCCCAAAATTATTGTCCAATTTGAGATTTCACTTTTAGTACAATTTAAACTAAAAATAAAAACCCAAATTGGACAATAATTATGGGACGGAGGGAGTATATGCTTTGTTACTCCACATAAAAAGGTATCAGGACAGCTGCTTATGTACTTTATCACAAAATGAAAGCTTTTGTGACAAGCAAAGAACAAGAAACAATAATCAACAGCGCTTAACTCCACTATACGATCCATCAATCTCCAATTTTGTTTTTCTTCCCAAAGGAATTATAAAGGGATAAACAACACCTGTAACACATCTTAATAGTAGAAGAAAATCACCTTGCAATTAACAATATTCCTTCTGTTTTTTTTTTAAATTATTATTAAATATACCTTGAAAATGACCTTTCATTTCGTTTTATCCATATATACACATAAACGGAACTGACGCCCAATTCAAATTCCAAATCTTTTATACATGATCGATATATATATATATATCTCTAATACGACCAAGGATGGATGATAGATGACTGTAGAATAATCACACGACTTTGCTCAAACTCAAAGTTCTGAATAATTTTATGCACACAAAATAATGAACAGTACCCAAAAGGCAGAGAAGAGAGAAAAGAAACCTCTTTGAGTTTATTGGCGTAAACTTCACCGGCAAGAACTTTTTCTCCGAAGAGAGACACTGCTTCCTTGACGGAACGAAAAGGTTGCCGCATGTCGATTTCGACACGTCCTCTCACCACCACCCCTCCTTCCTGAAGATGATTCATCCCCATATTGTTCATCTTCAATTATCCTCACAATTAAATCCCAGCAGATCGATCGATCTACTGCATGGATTTATGATTATGGGGTACTAGCCAGGATATGTATTCAAATGGATGATGATGATGATGATGATGATGAAATTAAGGTCGACGAAGAAGACCTTGCAAATTTAGGCTTATCTATATACTCTGGTTGGGATAGAATAGAAGAGAGATCTGCTAAAAAAGAAGCTGCTGGTGTAATTAATTTGGTTGGTTATAATGGCGGTGGTAGAGTCGTCTAGTGAGTGATATTGGTGTTGTGGGAATGCAGAATTTCCGTGTGATGAGAAATGGGATGAATTGATTAATCTTAACCAAAAGTAAGTTAAAATAAAATGATTGTAGTTCCATGATTATGATGGTATAGCTTGCTTTAGTACTACCGTGTGTGTGTGTGTGTAATGCGAGAAAAATCAAAATCCATTTCTTCGCGTCCACTTCACTAGACATATCTGTTAATTGACGCTGATATAAGTTAGTTGGGGGGTTTTGGCCATCCATCTCTTCCTTTTTTGCCTATTTTACTATGATCATTTCTGTTGCTAAAGCATACTTCTCACACTAAAGATGTTGTTCAAGCTTACCGGAAGTGGACCTTTCTTCGGTCCCAATTTCGCCTCTCTTTGATATCGACTCACCTCCTCTTTTGTGGCTCCCACGCTTTTTATACACACACACACGTATATATATTTTATATATATACATAAATTTGAACCTTGCATCTAGCTAATTATACAATTATTGGACGTAGAGTTAGGCATATCCAAAGTACTCTGTATATACAATATGGTAGTATATATAGTAATTAGGGCGGACTTGATTTCAATTGGTGATTTCATCAAGGATTTAGCTTAATTTGAAGTGACCATTCTAGTTTTAGGCAAGTCGAAACTAAGGGAGGTAATGAGAGTTTTTACCACCACTAATGATATTTGAAGCTAAGAGATATACAAGTATATATTCATAGAAACTGTACGTTAATTACTATATATATATATATATATATATATAGAGTGATAATACAGCTTTTGAATATAGATTTTACTGAACATCATCAACTTCTAAATTTTTGTAAAGGATTAACACTAACCTCACACCAGTTGCAAAAATAGTTATAATAATGCCAAAATAATAAATTGATTTGATACGAATGCAACATAACTTGTACAATACTCCCTCCGTCCCATAATTATTGTCCAGTTTGAGTTTTCATTTTTAGTTTAAAATCTATAATTATTGTCCAGTTTGAGTTTTCATTTTTAATTATGGGACGGAGCTATAAACTAAAAATGAAAACTCAAACTGGATAATAATTATGGGACAGAGGAAGTATTAGCTAAAGTTGTCACTTTCTCACAAAATCGCTTGAATTATTGGAGACTTCCGTGCATATGACTTCAATGAAGTAGGTTCAATCTAGCGAATGGAAATTGGAAAGGAGATATCAATTAATTAAAATGTTGACGTGAGTTTAATTTCAGAGCAAACCTGGAACCCAGATTGGCGGGAGCTGTGTCTTGTTAGGACACGAGACAACCTGATGATGGCGAGAATTAGTACTAGTCTGGCCATGCGAGTCAAAAAGAAATAGTTGGAAATCTTACGGCAATATAACGTAAGCACCAGAGGCTTTGCACATCTCGTTGACTGTTAATTACTAATTAGGTGCCGCAAATGGTCTATATATACATCGGGTGGGATCCTCCGTGGTCCAACACTATGAGGATGCATAACTTTCATACTTTGCGCAAATTGATAGTATCTTAGAGAATAAAGTTTTGTACTAAAATAAATATTTAAACTATATAATTAGGGAGATAGATGATGGAAGCCTTGATTTTCGTATCAAAATTTCAAAAATTTTAATTTTGCCCTCACTAAGTGATTAATATGTCATTTGTTCATCTATTATTAAATTTCTGGCTCTACCACTGATTATTTCGGGAAGGAGAGAGTATTTCTTATATAAATTTTCAATACGGATAAGTGATTAATATGTCATTTGTTCATCTATTATTAAATTTCTGGCTCTACCACTGATTATTTCGGGAAGGAGAGAGTATTTCTTATATAAATTTTCAATACGGATAGTGTGCTACGAGGAACAAATGAAACACCGTAAAAACTCAAATTGAAAAATTATTTTAATAAAGAGGAAGTTATTATTATTATTATTATTTATTTATTTTGTTAAGAGTACTCTTTCTATTATAGTCTATGCTATTTATTTTCTTTACACTTTTAGTAGATGATAAATATGATTTGGGCTCTTTACTAAGGATGTTAAGGAACCAAAACAATGACAAATAATAATAAAAAAATAAATGAACGATATTATAAACGTTAATATCAGATGAAAATTTAAACATAAAACAATGACCGATTTACATCAATATGTTTTATTATTACTTGATACGATGAACTTGCTTTCATACATATAGATAGGGTTATAACGCTATGTTTTATAATCGTACTTATTATAACAAGAATGACAAAAATACGAAACAGACAACCTATATTAATCTCGTCACGAGTAAGTACGGATAGATATTATTTAAATGTTAATTAAATGTTGTAGTTTAATGAGCATCATACTACATGAATTTTTAATCCTTTTCATTTCTTGTTTAAAATAGATATGTAAAAAAATTTATTATGTACCAAAGACCTAAGAGAATTGTAAAATAGGTACAAATAGATAAACCAAAAAACAAATATCAGCACTACAAACTACTACTAATTTTCTTTTTTCTTCTTTGAATAAAATTGCATTAAAAAGTGAAACATATTGAAAATACTTCAGAAAAAGCATGAAATTACACAACCTTGTTGGGAAAATGTATTTTCAAATGGTCTTAATTTTAATTTTATTAATTTTATCAAAAAATAATTTTTATTAAATTTCGCAAGGACAAAAGGACCAAAATAAATAAAAATTAAATCAAATATATATATACCCCAGTGGCACAGTTCCGATGTAGCAGAAAAAGCCCCCTTCTCCTCACGGAGGGAAACCAAAGTACTCGAACCGAAGAAGCACAGTCGTCGTGCTTCTGTTCACCGGAACCCCTCTTTTGTCCGATCGCGCCTTTGAATTCTGCAAAAACCTAATTCTAACAAATTCACCATTCTTCACCGTAATTTTTGCCCCCGCGTTTTCTCCGTTTGCAAAAACCCTCCTCCTCCTCCGCCAAGCAGTATCTTAAACCCCCTCGTTGTTCGCCTTCACTTCCCCACTGTACAGTTTAATTTTTCTTGCGTGGACGATGTTCAGGAATTGTTCCTGTGAAGTATAGACTACCAAATTTACCGGAACAATAAATCATACTCTCCAAGATGAGTCCTGTTCAGAATTTCGAGCAGCATTCTCGTCACCTCGTCGAGCCCGACCTCCGTAATTACCCTTTGTTTCCTTTCTGAATTAGTGATTTCGGTTCATATTTTTGTTTGCTCTTGTGAATTTATTTGGTTTTAATTGTTTTCGTTGGTTAATAACAGCAATTCAGACGAGGCTGCAGATGGTCATGGAGGTACGGGACAGTTTGGAGATTACACATACAGGGGAGTATTTAAATTTTCTTAAATGCTACTTTCGGGCCTTTTCTGTGATTTTGTATCAAATAACGAGGCCGCAATTCACTGATAACCAGGAGCATAAGCTTAGAAACATAGTGGTGGAAATTCTGAACCGTTTGCCTCATAGTGAAGTTTTAAGACCATTTGTTCAGGAGCTCCTTAAAGTGGCAATGCACGTCCTAACCACTGACAACGAAGAGAATGGCTTAATCTGTATTCGTATAATTTTTGACTTGCTTAGGAATTTTAGGCCCACCTTAGAAGCAGAAGTTCAGCCCTTTTTAGATTTTGTTTGCAAAATTTATCAGAATTTTAGGGTTACTGTTAATTACTTTTTTGAGAGCGGCGCTGTGGCTGCTCCACCGCCTGTTTCTTCGGGTTCACTGGGATCTGGATTGATTGGGGACGATATCAAGCCGATGGAGGTGTCCGATCAAGTTGGTTCCACGGGCTCCCACGTTGCTCAAGGGCAACTCAATCCAAGTACTAGGTCGTTTAAGGTGGTCACAGAGAGTCCTTTGGTGGTTATGTTTCTGTTTCAGCTGTACAGCAGGCTTGTTCAGACTAATATTCCTCATTTATTGCCACTTATGGTGAATGCGATATCTGTTCCGGGGCCTCAAAAGGTCCCTCCTCATTTAAAAAATCACTTCACCGAGCTTAAAGGCGCACAGGTCAAGGTATAAAATTACAAATGTTTATCATTACTGCATTTGATGTTGCACTTGACATGTGACATTAAGGTTTTTGGTAATTTGGTGTGCTGCCATAAGATCTTTTGTTGTTAGATCAGGGTAAAGCTGAAAAGGGTGGGTTGGGTGGGTGTATGAACATCTTTATTTTCTAAGGAAATTTGGTCACTCTTTTTATTGACATAATTCCTTTTTCTTTGTTTAAAATTTCATCAAAGTACATTTTCATTATCTCCACATGTATGGTGTGTCGTGTCTATTGTCTCCTTTAATTCTCCATTGCCTAATTTGTCAGTTGCGCTTCATAATCTCACTGGTGTATTTTAGGATACAATACATTTGCTATTGTACTCTTAAACCTTATTTGTTATTGTACTCCATTGCTGAATAGAGTTTGTGCATATTTCTTTCACCATATCTGAAAAGTAAACGCCAGATGAATGTGTATATGAGTTTGAATGCGAAGATATTGATAATAGGTTAAGGTAGATTGCCACATTGCTCGTATTATGATTTTGTTGAATTACTTGGAGATGGATGAATTCCTCTAGTGAATCCATCTCTGTAACTGCAATGTCTTGTCGTGAAGAGAAGAATCTATATTTAAGATCCTCTTTGTTTCTTTTCCCATTTTGAGTTTATATACTGGTTGTGCCTGACTAGTTTATTTCATATTGTCTCCAGACCGTTTCTTTCTTAACTTACCTGCTGAAAAGTTTTGCTGATTATATAAGACAACACGAAGAAAGCATCTGCAGAAGTATTGTTAACCTGCTTGAGACATGTTCTGACTCTGTTTCTATAAGAAAGGTGAATGCTATCTCGTATAGTCTCCGCTACTCCTCAACTTTTCTTTGATTATCTGATAAGTTTAATAAAGTTGCATGCTATCTGATAGTGTCCCTTACTCATTAATTGACATTTCCACGGATGTTTACCTACAAATGTGGGCTACAGGAGTTGTTGGTGGCGCTCAAGCATGTCTTGGGAACTGATTTTAAGCGGGGCTTGTTTCCTCTTATTGACACCCTGTTGGAAGAAAGGTAACATGTTACTTTACAGTTGATATACCTTGAAAATAATCTCCTCGGTTCTTCTCTCTCTCCTCTATCTCTACAGAAGTCAAAGCCAAAACTAATGTTATTTGTTTCATTCGCATCTGGTTCTTCACTACTAACACTGTTTTAACCAACAATTTGATGTAAAGAGACACTTAAGAGCACAATATTTGACCGTGTATTTTAGATTGTTTGGATAATTGATTTATGGATCTGTTCCGTGTATCTTCATTATCTTCTGTTTATGTGAATCCCTAGCTAGCATCTGTAAGTGGAAACTACATATAATTCCACTGTTTCTGTCAGAAATCATAATCATGGGGTTGAATTTGAATTCAGGGAGAGGCTAAGGTGTATAGTGCTTTTATAATTGTCTGAGTATGAGTTCACAAAAGCATTTCATGCGTAACTGTTGTGGTTTCTGATCAACATAAGGCGGTAGGTGCTTTGTTTGTTGTTTCTCACTGAAAGCTTTCAATATCGACGGAAACTTTGTTTACCTCTTCAAACTGATTGAATGCTTGCTTCTTTTGGATTTTTCTTGCGGATGATGCTTGGCAATGGCATAGTCTTGGTTCTCAATTTGTCCTCTTTTGACACGTTCCTTGTTTAATTGGTGAAAGTTACTGTTGATCCTAGTTGCGCTTGTTTCCATGAATGCATCAGGGTCCTTGTTGGAACTGGTCGAGCCTGCTTTGAGAGTCTGAGGCCACTGGCCTACAGTTTACTAGCAGAGATTGTTCATCATGTCAGAGCAGATCTATCTTTGCCTCAGGTGTGATGAGATTAATACCTCATTATCAATGTTTCAGAGTAATAGCTTCTTTATTTTTGCATTACATCGGGAATTTTTTGCATTACATCGGGAATTTGACTTAAGAATGATACTATGATTTTTAGATCCTCTTATATGGAGTTATTATTGTTGCAGGCAGGAAATAAGATTGATTCTGTACTTTGTGGTCTCAAATATGGATGGTTTCCTCATATATTGATTCATTTATTCCTTGTTGTGCAGTTGTCAAGGATCATTTACTTGTTCTCTAGTAACATGCATGATGCGTCACTGTCACTCAGCATTCACACTACATGTGCTCGATTAATGCTGAATCTGGTAACCATTCTCATCTCTTATCAAACATTATTTTGCTAAATTTCCTGGTAGGTGGAATATGTGGACATTAATCTCTTTAATCTAGTTGTTGAACGATTATCTTCTTTACTTGGTTATTACAGGTAGAGCCGATTTTTGAGAAAGGTGTCGATCAGCCATCAATGGATGAAGCAAGGATTTTATTGGTTAGAACCTTTACTTTCTTTTTGGTTTATTCCATCACTTGTCTCCCACAGTTTGTCGTTTGGAGTGTTGATTGATTGTGTATTTATGCCCCCATTTTGTTCAGGGTCGAATTTTGGATGCCTTTGTTGGCAAATTTAACACTTTCAAGCGTACTATTCCTCAGGTATTCAACCTTTTCGGCTGCTTTTTGATGTTATATTTGTGAACTTCTTACTACTTACTAACCCCCCACACACACACACACGCACACACACACGCACACACGCACAATGGTTTGTTTAAAAAATTGTCAGTTATTGTGCAATGATTGCTTGCCATGTTGAAAAAGGGGAGGGGAATACTGAATGGGGAGGGGTAGAAAGGACACGAGACGTTTGAATCTAGACCAGGATATGTGTTTGACAAAGTATGATGGCATACTATGATCCGTATCCGTATATTTGACACATCTTAGTGGGAGTGCGGGTAAATGCTTAGTTGCTGCTGCTGTATAGCATATGCGAAAGCCAAGTTGTGTATTTCGATAAGCATTATGGAGATGCCTAATTACAATGGTCATTGTTTTGCCTTCTATGATTCTGTAAATTGGTTGATCAATGATGTGTTTCATTCGTGTTCTCTAGATCTTTTCCCTTTGGCATGTATCTAGAATATTGGTGATTCAATATTTTTCCTCCTTGATGTTTAGTTGCTGGAGGAGGGAGAGGATGGAAAAAGTAGGTCCACTTTGAGATCAAAACTTGAGCTCCCAGTCCAGGTACTTCATGGATTTTGTTTTGTATTTTTGAGTAGGATTTCCGTTTTCTGTTACTTTTCCTTTTGGCCTTTTTGCCTGTAATTTAAGTAAAATGAGTTCTTCAACTAGAGATGTCTATGATTCATTTTTCTTTGGGAGGGTTGTGGTTGACTTTGTGGGGAAAACCTCCAGCTTGGTTGTTTCATGAATGTGGATTTACAGGGATGGTTACATAGTTACACGTACTGCTACTGATGAGTCGTGTGACCACGATAATAGTATCCTTTGGTAAATTTTTGTTTTGTTAGATAGATTCTTTTGTTTGTTAAATATTTGGTTATTACCTAAACTTTTTATCACTCGTGTTGGTTAGTCTGAAACGCTGATGGGTAGTTACATCAATGTTTGTTTTAGAGAAAAAAAAAAATACTTCCAAGTTTGGCAAAATTTTGAAAAAGATTTGTTCTGGATGGTGTTTGATGCTGAGGGGGAGTAGGAACTGAAGACCTCACATGTAATTAAGGGATAAGAGGATATAGGTTTCTGGTTTGCTAAGAAAGTTATTTTGCATCAACATCTAGAGGTGTTCCTGGAACAAGAGTGACCTACTACAGTTGATCTGGGGATTCATGGGATTGACATAAGAGCTTTTTATTTATTTATTTTCTTTCTTTCTCTGCTATGATGATTTAGCCAGATGCCTGTAACACAGAACTTGGCTTGAGTTCCAACTGTTATATTAGATAATATTTTGTTACTTGCACCAATTCTTGGCTGTGAAGGGTTGTGTTGTTTTCTGTCTTCATACTCAATATGCACATGAATTATATTTTGCTTTTGGGTTTTCCTTTCTTCTCTTATGGGATAAACTTTTGTAATCTTTCTAAACAGTCGGTAAATCTTGCAGGCAGTTCTTAATTTGCAGGTTCCTGTAGAACACTCCAAGGAAGTTAGTGACTGTAAGCATCTGATCAAGACATTGGTTATGGGTAAATATCCCTCTTCTTTGTTTTGTCCTTAGTGTTGATGGCATATGTAAATTTTTAGTCTCTTAAAGTTGATGCATGAACTATTTTGGATTGAAAATTATTTGCTTATTTTATTTCCGCGCCTCCTCTTCAGGAATGAAGACAATTATTTGGAGCATAACCCATGCACATTTACCTCGGTCTCAGGTTTTCCCATATTCATACTTTTATTTGCACTGGAAAAAACCTTCCTTGTTATGAGGATAATATTTTGTCCCTTTAGGTTTCACCGTCCACGCATGGTACGTCTCCCCAGGTGCTTGCTTCTACAGCATCAAATTCATCCTTGCCACAACCGTTCAAAGGAATGAGAGAGGATGAGGTCTTCTTTTCATTCCCAACTTTACCTTTGCATTCTGTCCTTTGCTATTACTTACTTAATAATTCAACAGGTGTGGAAAGCTTCTGGAGTTCTGAAAAGTGGTGTGCATTGCTTGGCCTTGTTCAAGGAGGAGGAGGAGAACATGATTAATCTGTTCTCACAGATATTGGCCATCATGGAACCAAGAGATCTGATGGATATGTTCTCCTTGTGCATGCCGGAGCTATTCGAGTGCATGATATCCAATACGCAGCTGGTCCATATATTTTCAACACTTCTACAGGCGCCTAAAGTTTTCCGGCCGTTTGCAGATGTTTTGGTGAATTTCCTTGTCAGCAGTAAACTTGATGTTCTGAAGGAGCCAGATTCACCTGCTGCAAAACTTGTTTTGCATCTTTTCCGATACTTGTTTGGGGCTGTTGCAAAGGCCCCTTCAGACTGTGAACGCATTTTGCAGCCACATGTTCCTGTCATCATGGAAGCTTGCATGAAAACGGCTGCTGAAGTTGAGAAACCAATTTGTTACCTGCAGCTCCTACGTACAATGTTTCACGCGCTTGCTGGTGGCAAGTTTGAACTTATTCTGAGGGACTTAGTTCCCATGCTGCAACCCTGCTTGAATATGCTGTTGGCCATGCTTGAGGGTCCTACTGGTGATGATATGAGAGAACTTCTACTAGAGCTTTGTCTCACTCTGCCTGCACGATTAAGCTCATTATTACCTCATCTTCCACGGCTTATGAAGCCCCTTGTAATGTGTCTGAGAGCAAGCGATGAGCTGGTAACCCTTGGTTTGAGGACACTCGAGTTCTGGATTGACAGCTTGAATCCTGATTTCCTGGAGCCTAGCATGGCAAATGTTATGTCTGAGGTGATTCAAGCATTATGGTTCCATTTGAGACCTGCTCCTTATCCTTGGGGTGGGAGATCATTGCAACTTCTCGGTAAATTGGGTGGTCGTAATAGACGTTTTCTCAAAGAGCCTCTTGCTCTTGAATGTAAAGAGAATCCGGAGCATGGACTTAGACTGATTCTAACATTTGAGCCCTCTACACCATTTCTGGTGCCTCTTGATCGTTGCATAAATCTTGCTGTGGCTACTGTGATGCACAAAAATGGAAGTGTTGAGGCTTTCTACCGGAGACAAGCTCTGAAGTTTCTTCGTGTATGCTTGTCATCCCAGCTTAATTTGCCAGGAATTGTTACCGAAGAGGGCTCAGTAACTAGGCAGTTGTCAAGTCTTTTGGTTTCTGCAACCGACCCTTCTGTGAGAAGATCAGAAACATCTGAAATAAAGGTTGATTTTTCGCTTGTTTGATTGTCATATAGGACCTGATGAATGTTTTAGAACGTCTAATCGCTTTATCCTTGCATGATTTTGCTGATTACTCTTTCCTAGAAGCTGTTGAAAAGAATTAATTGATTGAATATTTGGGGGTGTTACCTGCCTTGATCTTCATTAATGATGTTCAAGTGCTGGTTTATAAAATAAGATGTGATAAGAACTTGTTCATGTGTGGCGTTAACATAGGATTATCATTTTGCGACTTCATGTGGGGCTCAGCGGAAGTATAGGATTAACTTAGTTTCTACCTCCTGATAATTCAAGTTACCTTCATTTACTAATTTTTTTTCCCTTTTTTTTGGCTGGATGAGATTTCTCTTTTATGTGACATTGTTTGCTGTTGATCGGGCACTTGTGGATGCTTAGTCCGGTTTTTTGTAGTTATGTTAGTTTAGTGGCTAACTGAATTATTTAGCCTGTCTGGCCATCATGCTTTCTCTTCCTTTTGATATTTCTTCTCAAATCTTTCTACTCTGTTCATTCTTGAGATCATCTTGTTTTTCTTCTTGGTGTAAGGGCATGCTTGTTCCGTTTTGTAGAGCATTGATTTTGTCTGTTTCTACTTGATTCAAGGATTTCTATGTTCTCGCACAATTTTCCCGTGTATGGTTAGATCAGTTTTGGTATAAGTTGTCTCTAACTTTTGCAATGTTGAAATACTTGTGTAGGCTGACTTGGGTGTGAAAACGAAGACCCAACTGATGGCTGAGAAATCTGTGTTTAAGATCCTTTTGATGACCATCATTGCTGCTAATGCGGAACCTGATTTGGTTGACCCTAAGGATGAATTTGTTGTCAATGTTTGCCGTCATTTTGCTATGATATTTCATGTGGATCACTCGCATACAAATATATCAGTCTCTGCCTCTTCGTTTGGTGGTCCCCTTATCGCATCGAGCTCCAGTGGTAGTTCTAAATTGCGGCATAATGCACCTTCTAATCTGAAAGAGCTGGACCCGTTGATCTTTTTAGATGCTTTAGTGGAGGTATTGGCAGATGAAAATAGAATGCATGCTAAGGCTGCTCTTGATGCTCTCAATGTTTTTGCCGAGACACTTATATTTCTTGCTCGGTCGAAGCATTCAGATACTCTAGCCTCCAGAGGAGGCCCTGTTACACCTATGGTCGTTTCTAGTCCTTCTATGAGTCCCGTTTACTCACCGCCTCCAAGTGTCCGAGTCCCAGTTTTTGAGCAGCTTTTACCTCGCCTTTTGCATTGTTGCTATGGTAGTACCTGGCAATCACAGATTGGGGGAGTGATGGGTATTGGAGCTATGGTTGGAAAAGTTACTGTTGAAGTTTTATGCCATTTTCAAGTGCGGATTGTTCGGGGGCTGGTTTATGTTCTTAAAAGGCTTCCAATTTATGCCTCCAAAGAGCAGGAAGAGACCGGTCAGGTGCTAACTCAAATCCTGCGTGTTGTGAATAACGTTGACGAGGCAAACAGTGAAGCACGAAGGCAAAGTTTCCAGGGAGTTGTAGAATATCTTGCAACAGAGTTGTTTAATTCGAACTCATCTGTTAATGTCAGAAAGACTGTGCAGTCTTGCTTGGCACTTTTGGCAAGCCGCACAGGAAGTGAGGTCTCTGAGTTACTTGAACCTTTGTACCAACCTTTGCTTCAGCCTCTTTTCATGCGACCACTCCGGGGAAAATCTGTTGATCAACAGGTAGTTGTCAACTTTCTTTTATCTTGCATATTGTGTTGTAGGCCTGAAACATTCATGTGCCGATATAACTACGGTAAATTTTTCTTTTGCAACTCCTAGGTGGGAACGGTCACTGCTTTGAATTTCTGTTTAGCTTTGAGGCCTCCTCTTCTGAAATTGACTCAAGAACTGGTCAATTTTCTCCAAGAGGCTCTGCAAATAGCTGAGGCTGATGATGCTGTTTGGGTTGTCAAATTCATGAACCCAAAAGTGGCATCTTCATTAAATAAGCTTCGCACAGCTTGTATTGAACTTCTTTGCACCGCTATGGCGTGGGCAGACTTCAAAACTCAAAACCATGCGGAACTGCGAGCAAAAATCATTTCCATGTTTTTCAAATCTCTAACCAGCCGAACTCCTGAAATTGTTGCTGTTGCCAAGGAAGGTCTAAGACAGGTAGGTGAAGCTTGAGATGAAATCCATGTGTCAGGAATTAAAAACATTAAGAAACCAGAACTTCGTGATGTCTGAGTTGTAGTTTATCTGTTTGAAGTTTCTAGAATGTGTTGCACACCTATGATTTCAATCTTATTTTCTGTGTTTCTTTGCTTGCTTAAAGTTCATTCTGGGACCCTGTGCTAATCCCTTGCTATGACTTTATTGTTCATACCTCGCCTTTTTGCTTATTTATGTCAATGAGTTACTGCTATTTCCAGAGTAATAGTTCCTTTTTTTCAATACCATCACTCCCAAAGTATTATCATCTTGCGTGCAACTTGACAAAGTGGATTGCTCTCTTAATCTCAGCCCATTGTGATATCTGGTGGTTAGTCTTATCTAGGTTGTACAATAGGTCGTTCCATATCTCTTGTTGAAATGTTATACAGTGTTAGCTGTTTCAAAGATGCAGTCATTCTAAACTGGAGCTTTAATTTGGGACATGGGGCTTACATATTCGCATCTGTGATGATAATCCCGCTAAGTAACTAACAAGGGCTTGCTGATCTTTTGTTGCTAAAGTTCTTTTATGTGTAGTTCTTTGGAACTCAATTGATTATCATGCTTTAGAGTTCTTTATATAACTTTTAATGTCAACGTATTTTGTGTTGTTTTGAGGTCCTTTTTTTTTCCCTCTCCCTCACAGATCATTTACTCGAAGTTGTCTTTCAAATCTTTAGGTTATACTTCAGCAAAGAATGCCTAAAGAACTTCTACAAAGCAGCTTGCGACCTATCTTAGTTAATTTGGCGCACACTAAGAATCTGAGCATGCCTCTCCTTCAAGGACTGGCTCGTCTACTTGAACTTTTATCCAACTGGTTCAATGTTACTTTAGGAGGTAAATTGTTGGAGCATCTCAAAAAATGGTTGGAACCTGAAAAGCTCATGCAGGCCCAAAAGGCTTGGAAGGCTGGTGAAGAACCAAAAATAGCGGCTGGCAAGTATTCTAGTTTGCTTTCTTCTTGCCAGAGACTGATTTGTTCCTTGAATGTTTAATTTCTTTTATATGTTTGTAATTTCTTTTGTGTCTTCCATCCTGCAGCAATTATTGAGCTTTTTCACTTGCTCCCTTCTGCTGCTGGGAAATTCTTGGATGAACTTGTTACTTTGACCATTGATCTCGAGGCTGCTCTTCCACCTGGTCAGTTCTATAGTGAAATTAACAGTCCTTATCGGTTGCCCCTCACAAAATTTTTGAATCGATATCCTGCTGCGGCTGTTGATTACTTTCTTGCTCGATTGCGTGAGCCAAAATACTTCCGGCGGTAAGATTTATTCAACAATTTGTCAATCTTGGTTGAAGCCTGTATCACAGTTGTTTCACTATTGCTTACAATTGATTTCAGGTTCATGTACATTATTCGATCTGATGCTGGCCAACCCTTGAGAGAAGAACTTGCAAAGTCACCTGATAAGATAATTGCTAGTGCATTTCCTGAATTTTCACCAAATTCTGATGCATCAACAGCACAGGGATCTTTAAATAACTCTAACGCATTGGGGGGTGGTGAAGGAGCTGGTAATCAACCTGAAAGTTCAATGCCAACTTCAGCCAGCGCAGGAGGAACAGCTGATGCGTATTTTCAGGGATTAGCTTTAGTCAAGACTTTGGTTAAACTGATGCCTAGCTGGCTGCAGAGTAACCGTGTTGTTTTTGACACATTGGTTCTTCTCTGGAAGTCACCTGCACGAATTAACCGGTTACAGAATGAGCAGGAATTAAATTTGGTACAAGTAAGTTTGCTGTTAATTGGGAAGGTTATTGTTTTTACTTTCAATTCCAATTTAGGAGAACTGAACACGAATTACTATATCTGCATTAGATCAGGAGCCTACAACATTGATCAATTTTGTCTGCATTTTTCTTGGTTTACTTTTTATCCATTGCAAATGGAGCTGGAAGAGTCATTATTGACCATTCTTTCAGCTTTGTGCTAATAGTGGATTAGAGCAAAATGGCTCATTTTAATTCCGACGCTTCTTAATTTGGTGAAGTTGCCGGAAATCGATACATCAATGCACCAATGCATCTCGGGTCGTACTACTTAAACAGCCTCTCTGTATTGAAATACAGGGGTAAGGCTGCATACATCTTGACCCCCCAGGACCCCAACCGAGTTGGGAATATACTGGGTATGTTGTTGTTGTTGTTGTTGTTTTCTTGGTTTACTTTTCTAAATCTCTCTTGGCAATCTTTGAATTTTTTTTTTTGCAGTAGTTTTTGAGTATATAGCACCTCGTTTAGCCCATCATTTGTGTTCTTTCATTATTCCATTTGTCCTAGTTTAAGTTCTGCTTGAACTTCCTGATTAGTAGGGGAGTAAGTGAGAGTTAACGGTGAAAGATTTTAACCTTTAGTCTGTCCACTGGCAGAGCAACATACAGAAAGTTTGATATGATTGCTTTTGTACTTTACTGAGACTGTTGAATCATTGTTAAACTCTAAGTATCTCTGTAATGCAAATAAGTTGGAAGAAAAAGAAAGTTTCTATAGTTTGCTATATTCATGGAAATGTACTTTAGGAAAACTATGAATACACACAGAAAGGAAGAACTTGCCATGCTTAACATGGGGATCTAGGTTCCTGTCGCAGTGATTATCTGAGTTACAAAATGGAGAGTGACTTATGTGATGAGAAGTTGATTGGTTTTCAGGCTCTCCAATATTCTTTTTTAAAGTTATAGTCCAACAGTAATACTTTTTCTCTGGAATCTTGAACTTGCACCGTGTTTGTGACATTTACCATGCATTTTTTTGCAAGATGTGTACATGCAGTAACTGATGCCGTAGAGAAAAAGATGTTCTCTTTTTTGGTATCCTGAACATGCCTGTTTTCCTTTTATTTTTTTTTACAAGCCGTTCTAAGCTCATTCCCTCCTCACTTTCTCACTCCACCAATTTTTATAGGCGTTGGGCATGTAGAGAAATTAGTGGAGGTTACCGATTGAACTGCCTTTTTTTTCCTTTAATTTTTGTTGAACTGTCCTTTTATGTAATATATGACTTATTTTCTTTGAAATTGAACAACAGTTTCATAATTTGACCATGAATAAGTTAGACAGGCTTCTTTGCGTTCCTACTTTTTTAGGTATTTTGATGAATGGAAAATCTGATCATGCCCCGCTTAATAATTTGAAAATGCACCCCCCCCCCTCCTCCTCTTCTTTGTTTTGCTCCAGATGAGGATGGTAATGCAATATGTTACTTGTTGTGAACCTGCTCACCCATGTTAACATGATATTTCTTTTGCAGGTTAAAGAAAGCAAATGGCTGGTCAAGTGCTTTTTGAATTATTTGAGACATGATAAAAATGAAGTCCATGTTCTATTTGATATACTATCAATCTTTCTTTTCCGGACTCGCATAGACTTCACGTTCCTTAAGGAGTTCTACATTATCGAGGTTGGTTCTGAGTGTTTCCGTTTTAGTTCCTTGGATGATAGGTTACTCTTCTGTTCTCTTAACTTGCAATCAGCTATGTTTAATTAACAAGTTGTCATGGTCTAGGTTGCTGAAGGTTACCCACCCAACATGAAGAAAGCTCTGCTTCTGCATTTTCTAAACCTTTTCCAGTCTAAACAACTTGCTCATGATCATTTGGTGGTGGTCATGCAAATGCTCATCCTTCCGATGTTAGCTCATGCTTTCCAGAATGGCCAGACCTGGGAAGTTGTGGATACTGCTATAGTCAAAACAATTGTTGACAGGCTTCTTGACCCCCCAGAAGAGGTAAAACTTATCAGGACTAAGTTTCTTATCTAATTATTATTCTTTCATCTAGCCGACTTCTTATCTGTTCTTTGTAGGTGTCTGTCGATTACGATGAGCCCCTTAGGATAGAGCTTCTGCAGCTTGCAACCCTACTTCTGAAGTATCTTCAAGCCGACCTTGTTCATCATAGGAAGGAGCTCATCAAATTTGGGTGGAATCACCTGAAACGTGAAGATAGTGCCAGTAAGCAGTGGGCATTTGTCAATGTCTGCCATTTCTTAGAAGCTTATCAAGCCCCTGAGAAAATTATATTGCAGGTAGCTTTATAGTCATATGGTCTAATGTCAAAGTTTTGTGCAAAATGCGTTATCTTTGTTGAACGACTTCATCTCACCGGTCTGACAACATTCCTTGATTAAAATGCACTGATTTTGTTACTCATGGCTGCATTTAGAACATTTTCATCAGAAGTAATAACACTGCAAAAATTCAACTTTCACTTCCTGAAATACATCATCCACTTGATTGATTTCTCTGGGTAACGGTGGTTGTGTTTGTTCTATAGTAGTCTATGTTCTTTTTACATTGGACTCTATCCTGTAATTGGTTGATCTATATCTCAAAAGTTTTTTTGATGAGCTTATCACCAGAGGAACTGCTTTAATTTTGTGCATTGTATAAATTTTCACTTTCTACCAGTGAATATTTAATCTTTAAAAGCTAGATAAAATTAAGATTACATATTTTGTTTGTTTTCTTCATTTGTAATCTCTGTTCTGAATTATTTGGCCATTAAATAGTTACTTTCTGCTCCTTGTAAGTTGAAATTTGTTTGAAAATTGTCACTGGCTTGATGTGTTTTTGTCTTAAAACAACTTCATGAGTTGAATTTCAACTTTGGGATGTATTAGTTTTATATTCAGGAAAAAGCCCTTGTGATTGCTATGTCATATAAGCTGACTTTCTTGCAATAATGAGAAATGCTGAGAAAAGTTTGCAACTGCAGGTTTTTGTTGCCCTTCTCAGAACTTGCCAACCGGAAAATAAAATGTTGGTAAAGCAAGCTCTTGATATATTAATGCCAGCACTTCCTCGAAGGTTGCCGCTTGGTGACTCTCGTATGCCAATCTGGATACGCTATACTAAGAAAATTCTTGTTGAGGAGGGTCATTCGATCCCTAATCTTATTCATATATTCCAGCTGATTGTTCGACATTCAGACCTGTTCTACAGCTGCAGAGCACAATTTGTTCCTCAGATGGTCAATTCGTTAAGTCGTCTTGGTTTACCATATAATACTTCTGCTGAGAACAGACGTCTTGCCATTGAGCTTGCTGGATTGGTTGTTAATTGGGAAAAACAAAGGCAAAATGAAATGAAAGTTGCTGCTAGCTCTGGCAGCATTGGTACCAACACTGATGTATTAGTTCCCACCTCTGCTACCGCTGACCCTACTCAAGCTATAGATGGTTCTACTTTTTCTGAAGATTCAAATAAGCGAATCAAGGTTGAACCTGGCCTTCAATCCCTTGGTGTCATGTCTCCTGGTGGTGTCTCTTCAATACCCAATATAGAAACACCGGGGTCCTCTGGCCAACCTGATGAAGAATTCAAGCCAAATGCAGCAATGGAAGAAATGATAATCAATTTTCTTATAAGAGTAAGGCTTTTTGACAATTTTATTATTTATTTACTTAAGGTAGTTTCCCATTTGCTATCAGGGCTCAGGCAATAAGACAAAATATTAGTCTTGCATCCTCATCTAAGAAATCCAGCAAAATGATCGTTCCTTGTATATTGAACTGAATAGGACGTGATTGTGATGTATGATCTATAGAGCTGAACCCACACTGGTTCAAGCCTTAATTGTTGTTGTCTAAACATTCACAGTGCTTAACTTGGCCTTTTGTACTTGGGATGTCTTTGTTGTCCAGGAATTTAAGTTAGGAATTGGAAATGCCATTAATATTTTTACGATTGTTATGTTTGGATCACTTAATATTTTTATGATTAGGTGGCATTGGTGATCGAGCCGAAGGAAAAAGAAGCAAGCCTTATGTATAAACAAGCTTTAGAGCTGTTATCACAGGCACTAGAAGTTTGGCCAAATGCAAATGTGAAGTTCAATTACTTGGAAAAGCTGCTTAGTAGTATTTCACCTTCTCAGTCAAAAGATCCTTCTACTGCTCTTGCCCAGGGCTTGGATGTGATGAATAAGGTTTTGGAGAAGCAACCACATTTGTTCATTCGGAACAATATTAACCAAATTTCTCAAGTATGTGGTTGATACTTGTCCTACTTTTTTAGTTATGTTTACCAGTAACCCCATGTTTGGTTTTTAACTGGGCCTAATTTCTTGCAGATATTAGAACCATGTTTCCAGAATAAGATGCTTGATGCTGGCAAGTCATTGAGCTCTCTCTTAAAAATGGTATCTGTTGCATTTCCTCCGGACGCGGCCAGTACACCGCAGGATGTTAAAATGTTGTACCAAAAGGTAGAGGAGCTGGTTCAAAAGCACCTTGCTGACATTGCAGCCCCCCAAACTTCAGGAGAAGATATTTCTGCTAGTATGATTAGCTTTGTTCTCCATATTATAAAAACGCTAGCTGAGGTCCAGAAAAACTTTATAAACCCTGGGAATTTGGTTCATGTACTACAGCGCCTTGCACGAGACATGATAACCTCTAGTGGTTCTTATGTGAGACATGTAAGTGCCTTGCTTATTCTTGTTTACTGCACATCCATTGATGATACCATTTGAGTTTCGTTAGCTTTTCAAATGTGGGATCTTTTTTTACTGAAATAGAACATGTACTGGATTTTAGAATTTATGGGGTGGGCATTGTAGATAAGCATACCTTGAGCAACACTGAAATGACCTCAGAAGTGAGAGGCAAGAGATAGAGAAGGAAGTTATTCAAGTGTCCAAAATATTGTAGGTTTTAGGAGTGAGGGAAGGGAATGCTTATGGTAGGTCCTTTTTACTGGTTGAGAATGGCTGGGCAAGAAATTATTAACTGGTGAAAGGCTGTCAGTTGGCTCAATCAAGTTTACTGCCTTAGAAACTGTTCTTATCTTGACTTGATTCCTCATTTTGGTTGAGAAAGACTGGGCAGGAAAGTTATCAGAAGCTCTCGGAAGGCTTATGTCTGTTTAAATTTTTAAAAGTTGTTCAAGTCCGCTTCATAACTTCATGTGGATGGCATGCTTTTGAGTTTGGTTAATCGACACATTTTGATACTTTGTGATAGTTAGGATGAAGAATTTACTCACACAATCGCGCACACACATGTTTGGCTCTTAGGTGATGTTTGTGTTCAGATTTTGACACATGGCTCCATAACCTCTTAGTATTAATCTCAATTTTCATATTTTGTATGTTTTGACGGCCTGTTACCCTTTTTTTCTTGTTAATATTCAATTCTTTGGAATATCTCAATCCCTAATCAGTTTCTTGGATGCTTGTTTAATTGATTCAGGGTCAGAAATTTGATAAAGATTCTGCGGTTACTTCATCTCGGCAAGGCACAGATGTTGGAGTTGTTATTGCTAATCTTATATCTGTGCTGAAACTGTTAAGCGAACGGGTGATGCTTGTTCCAGATTGCAAGCGAGCTGTGACACAAACTCTGAATTCATTACTCTCCGAGAAGGGAATTGACCCTTCTGTACTTCTTTGCATATTGGATGTGATAAAAGGATGGATAGAGGACGATTTTGGCAAACCTGGGATATCTAGTAATTTTCTTACTACTAAGGAGGTGGTTTCTTTCCTCCAGAAACTTTCACAGGTTGAGAAGCAGAACTTCTCTCCCAGTGATGTTGAAGAATGGGACCGGAAGTATCTTGAGCTTCTTTATGGGCTTTGTGGTGATTCAAATAAGTATATACCTTTGCTCATTGTTAAAATTTCTGTCCTCAACAATTATTGTGATTGCATTAACACCATTGGGTCTGATTTTCAGGTATTCTCTTTCTCTGCGTCAAGAAGTTTTCCAGAAAGTGGAGAGGCAATTTTTGCTCGGTTTACGTGCTAAAAATCCTGAAATGAGGATAAAATTTTTCTCTCTTTATCATGAGTCTCTTGGTAAAACATTGTTTGTGAGGCTACAGTATATCATCCAAGTTCAGGACTGGGAGGCATTAAGTGATGTTTTCTGGCTTAAACAAGGGCTTGATCTTCTCTTAGCGATATTGGTTGAGAATAAACCTATTACTTTGGCTCCAAACTCAGCCAAGGTTCCCCCACTTTTGGTATCCAGTAGTGTTCCTGATTCATCTGGGCCTCAACAGATGTTAACTGATGTCCCAGATGGTAGTGAAGAGGCTCCTCTTACATTTGATTGCCTTGTACTGAAGCAATCACGCTTTCTAACGGAAATGAGCAAGCTTCAGGTAATTATGTCTGAATGGGGTTCTTTCTACCTTGAAATGATAAAACATCAACCTTCGTGACTGATGTTGGTATTCTTTTTCCTGCAAGCCATTTTTTAAGCTTTTCTTTCTTCTTTTTTTTTCACATTCTTTTCGCCTGGCCAATTTTTAGGTTGCTGATCTTATCATTCCGCTAAGAGAGCTCGCTCACACAGATGCCAATGTTGCATATCAATTATGGGTGCTGGTGTTTCCTATCGTATGGGTTACCTTGCAGAAAGAAGAACAAGTGGCACTTGCCAAGCCAATGATAAATCTGTTGTCCAAAGATTATCATAAGAAACAGCAGGCACACCGGCCAAATGTTGTGCAAGCTCTTTTAGAAGGACTCCAGTTAAGTCATCCTCAGCCTCGCATGCCTAGTGAACTTATCAAGTATATTGGGAAGACATACAATGCTTGGCACATTGCACTCGCTCTCCTGGAAAGTCATGTGATGTTGTTCATGAATGACACTAAATGCTCTGAGTCTCTTGCTGAGCTTTATCGCTTGCTCAACGAGGAAGATATGAGGTGTGGTTTGTGGAAAAAGAGATCAGTCACTGCAGAAACTAGGTCCGGTCTTTCACTTGTCCAACATGGTTACTGGCAAAGGGCGCAAAGTCTCTTTTATCAGGCCATGGTTAAGGCTACCCAAGGCACTTACAACAACAATGTACCCAAAGCTGAGATGTGCCTTTGGGAAGAGCAATGGCTGTGTTGTGCTAGCCAACTAAGTCAATGGGATGTGCTGGTAGACTTTGGCAAACTCATTGAGAATTATGAGATATTACTGGATAATCTTTGGAAGCAGCCTGATTGGGCTTATTTGAAAGATCAAGTTTTTCCTAAGGCTCAAGTTGAAGAAACTCCCAAACTTCGTATTATCCAGGCATACTTTGCTCTTCATGAAAAAAATACAAATGGTGTTGCCGAAGCTGAAAATATTGTGGGCAAAGGTGTTGATCTTGCTTTGGAACAATGGTGGCAATTACCTGAGATGTCTATTCATGCCAGAATCCCTTTATTACAGCAATTTCAGCAACTAGTTGAGGTTCAAGAGTCAGCTAGGATTATAGTGGATATTGCCCATGGTAACAAACTTGCTGGGAATTCCGTGGCTGGTGTCCACGGTGGAGTTTATGCTGATCTGAAGGATATCCTAGAGACATGGAGGCTTAGAACACCAAATGAGTGGGATAACATGTCTGTCTGGTATGATCTCCTTCAGTGGAGGAATGAAATGTACAATGCAGTTATTGATGCCTTTAAGGATTTAAGTTCAACAAACTCTCAGCTGCATCACCTTGGTTACCGGGACAAGGCTTGGAATGTCAACAAGCTTGCTCACATGGCTCGTAAGCAGGGATTGCAAGATGTTTGTGTCACCATATTGGAGAAGATGTATGGGCATTCGACCATGGAAGTTCAGGTTATATTAATAATTTTGATTTAGTTATATTTAGTCTTTCACTGTACGACATGGCAACCTGATAACAAAGAAACTTTGCATGGAGAACTCATGGGTTTCTACTTTTAAACTTGCAGGAGGCGTTTGTGAAAATTAGGGAACAAGCGAAGGCTTATCTAGAAATGAAGGGAGAGCTTACTAGCGGTCTGAATCTGATCAACAGTACCAACTTGGAGTATTTTCCAGTTAAACATAAAGCTGAAATATTTCGTCTCAAGGGAGATTTCTTGTTGAAACTCAATGACTGTGAAGGTGCTAATCTTGCATATTCACACGCTATCAGCTTATTCAAGAACTTGCCAAAAGGTTGGATTAGCTGGGGAAATTATTGCGACATGGTATGCATTTTTCTATCTGATTCATTACGCTCATCTTGTAGATATTTTCTAGTGGTTCAAACTGAAACTATTGCAGGCCTACAAAGAAACGCATGAAGAGATGTGGTTAGAATATGCTGTGAGCTGTTTCCTTCAAGGCATCAAATTTGGAATTCCTAATGCCAGGAGTCATCTTGCTCGTGTTCTGTATCTTCTGAGTTTTGACACACCCAACGAACCAGTGGGAAGGGCTTTTGATAAGTACTTGGATCAGATCCCACATTGGGTGTGGCTTTCTTGGATTCCACAATTGTTACTTTCATTGCAGAGGACGGAAGCTCCTCACTGCAAACTTGTTTTGTTAAAAGTTGCCACTGTGTTTCCTCAGGTAATTGTTAGATTGATCTGTTGTAACTTCTTCTGAAGCTTATACTTAACAATCTGATCCATGCATTTGTATGTGTAGGCTTTGTATTACTGGCTGCGGACATATCTTCTTGAGCGCCGAGATGTGGCAACTAAAACTGAATATGGTAGAATGGCGCTGGCTCAGCAAAGAATGCAGCAAAGTGTTTCTGGTTCTGGTCCATCAGGTTCCTCTGGCTTGGTTGATGGAAATGCTCGAGTAGCCGGTCAAGTTGGGGGACAATTGGCATCTGACAGTCAGGTACATCAGGGAACTCCATCTGGTGGAGGTGTTGGACCTCATGATGGCCATAACTCTCAGATGCAAGAACCGGAAAGGTCCGCCACTGAAGGAAACATGCCTGGGACTGACCGTTTACAGCAGATTTCATCTTCAAATGATGGGGGTTCAAATGCAATGAGGCGTGGTGGTGGAATGGATCTAGTTGGTTCCGCAGCCAGTGCTTTTGATGCTGCTAAGGACATAATGGAGGCCCTCAGAAGTAAACATAATAACCTGGCCAGTGAGCTTGAGGTAACCACTTTGATCATCACTTGTACACAATCATTTCTTAAGGGCGGGGCAAGGTTGCATTTTTCATCTTGTTCCATTCTAAATTTAAAATTTGCTCTAGGGAGAGTAACTTTCTTATTTCTATAGCAATCAATGAGTTCTGTTTCCTCAGGTTTTTTTTGTTGTATTCCTGAATTTTATAAGGCTGTTGATCTCATAAGCTTCTTTTGGCAGATATTGTTAACGGAGATAGGTTCAAGATTTGTTACTTTGCCAGAGGAGAGATTATTGGCAGTGGTTAATGCTTTGCTTCACCGTTGTTACAAGTATCCTACAGCCACCACTGCAGAAGTTCCGCAATCTCTTAAGAAGGAACTTTCTGGTGTTTGCCGTGCCTGCTTTTCACTAGATGCCGTGAACAAGCATGTTGAATTTGTAAGAGAATACAAGCAGGACTTCGAACGTGATCTCGATCCAGAAGGCACAGCCACATTCCCTGCTACCCTTTCTGAATTGACTGAACGGTTAAAACATTGGAAAAATGTTCTACAGAGCAATGTTGAAGACCGTTTTCCAGCTGTTCTTAAGCTGGAAGATGAAAGCAGGGTGTTGAGAGACTTTCATGTTGTTGATGTGGAAGTTCCTGGACAGTATTTTACTGATCAGGTTTGTATATTTGTACTCAACAGTTTATTCCGGGTTTTATTCGTGTGCTTTTCCTTTTCATTAAGTTTTATTTGCATGCCATTGTCCCAAGAAGGCTCTCTTGAGTTGCACTTCCTTTTTTTGGTGTGTTTTCTGTTAGGATGCAGTTTTCATTTGGAAATGATGTACATTAATATAAATCTTTTCTGTGCAATCTTTTAGGAGATTACCCCTGATCATACAGTAAAGCTAGATAGAGTTGGAGCAGATATTCCAATAGTTAGAAGACATGGCAGCAGTTTCCGACGGTTGACACTTATCGGTTCTGATGGTTCACAACGTCATTTTATCGTTCAGACATCATTGACTCCCAATGCTAGAAGTGACGAACGAATCTTGCAACTTTTCCGTGTTATGAACCGAATGTTTGATAAGCATAAAGAGTCTAGGCGTCGCCACATATGTATTCACACGCCTATAATCATACCGGTGTGGTCGCAGGTGAGTACAGTATAATTACTGGACATTAGTTTCTCTCTTTTCGTTTGTCAGGATTTTTGTTAAAAAATTTCCTGATGCAGTATCAGGTTTTTTGCTAGATACAGTGCCGATGAAATCCGTGCCTTTAATTATTTTGCATTTACTTCCCTTGTATTTTCTGGCGGCGATTGTTTGTCACAATCGGCTATGTTGATTGAAATTTTGTATTTACAGAGCCAGTCTTGACCTGTTTAACCTTCATTAACATCTATAATTTTGTTATGCAGGTCCGTATGGTAGAGGATGATTTGATGTACAACACATTTCTTGAGGTTTATGAGAACCACTGTGCCAGGAATGACAGAGAGGCAGATCACCCCATTACCTATTTCAAGGAGCAACTAAACCAAGCTATCTCGGGTCACGTATCACCTGAAGGTGTTGTTGATCTCCGCCTCCTAGCTTATAATGACATCACGAAAAATCATGTGAGCGATAGCATATTCTCACAGTACATGTACAAGACTTTGCTGAATGGAAACCACTTGTGGGCTTTCAAGAAGCAATTTGCTGTCCAGTTAGCACTGTCAAGTTTTATGTCTTTCATGCTGCAAATTGGAGGAAGATCCCCAAACAAGATTTTGTTTGCTAAAAACACGGGGAAAATATTCCAGACTGATTTTCACCCAGCATATGATGCAAATGGCATGATTGAATTTAATGAACCTGTGCCTTTCCGTTTGACAAGGAATCTTCAAGCTTTCTTCTCTCATTTTGGCGTGGAAGGGCTAATTGTCTCTTCTATGTCTGCCGCAGCACAGGCTGTCATGTCACCTAAAGTGAGCTTTATTTAAAGAAATATTAGCTAAAGAGAACTCTTAAACTTTGTAGCAGAGCACTGACGTGTTTTTCCAAATCATTTTGCAGCAAAGTCAGCATCTGTGGCATCATCTAGCTATGTTTTTCCGCGATGAGCTCTTATCTTGGTCTTGGAGGAAACCTGCAGTGATGCCTATGGGCCCAATGATTGGCGGTGGTGGTCTGAACCCTGTTGACTTGAAACAGAAAATCACTACAAACGTCGAGCATGTTATTGGCCGGATAAGTGGAATAGCTCCTCAGTATATCTCAGAAGAGGTTTGCTTTTTTGCCTTCTCTTGAAGCTATCTCTTATTTCATATATAGAACCTTTCCATTCTGTTCTCTAAACCTGTTAATCTGATAGGATCATTATGTTTCTTTCTTTTGGCTTTTGGTCACGATTGCGAATATGAACTTGAAGTTTTCGTATGATTTTCAACTGATGCATTGAAAGGCTGAATCTCTTAATGACTTGGGCTGTGTTGTTTGTTCATTAGGAGGAGAATGGTGTAGATCCTCCACAATCTGTTCAGAGAGGTGTGGCCGAGCTAGTTGAAGCAGCCTTGACTCCCCGGAACTTGTGCATGATGGATCCAACATGGCATCCATGGTTTTAATGAGTTGGCTTTAGTAAAGTTAGAAGCCTCTGTACATTGAAGATAACTATATAAATTGTCAGGTTTAGCTGCTTAATATGATGTACATATCTCGAACTTGGATGGTTATTTATTTTGCGTTGTAACTACACTTTTGAGCAATGAAAGCAAACAGTTAATCTTCAAGTTCAATTGTTCGTGTCAGCGATGTTGGTTCCTTTTTGGTTTAACCACCCTGGCCATCCTGATTTTCGTGTTTAAATTCCTTTGTTTTTTGTCCCATTGTCTCATCTCCATCAAGCGAAAAAGCAAGTAGAAATGAGCCCCCCTCTTGATTTCGTTCTTAACTTTTCAGAACCTTAATCGGTTCTAAATCGTAATCAAACAAAGTTGTTAACCTTTGCAGTTACAGTATCTGCAATTTGTAGTTACGCTACCGGCAGGCAAGGAAGGACGAGAGCCTATATACTGTCAAGGATCAGTAATATAAATAATGGTTAGTGCAAGGAAAAAAAGACAAAGAAAAATGACAAGGAATTGATTATAGGGGTTTATTTTTTTAAACTTTCCATTTGGGGTTTAAGCATTTAAGGTTAGGGCATAGTTTTGATGAATGACGTATCATTTCTTGTAAGTTTTCCTTGTAATTTTTCCTTGTACCTATCACCATTCTATAAATTTTATACTTTTCGACCAAAAAAGCAAATCTAAGAAAAGAAAAAGAAAGAGGATTCTGTAACATGTTCTAATTTTCACTAGATAAACAGGATGAAAACAATTGCCAATGCCTACATGAAAGTCTAACATATTCCTGAAAAAAGTGTAACAGAAAGCTGCAAAGTAATCTGTTTACCAGTGAAAATCTAAGATGAAACCAAAAAATAAATAAACAAATAACAAAAAAAAATGCCAATATCAGAGCCCAATGTCATCTTTAAGTCATTTACCTCAGAAGTGAGAACATTAGGCGAAGTGTGAATGCTTTGGCAAGCTAATATATAGTACTACTGAAATTCAAAGAAGGCAAAGAAGCCAGTTGATATGACATTATAAGTGTAGTAATATTGGGCGAAAACTCTTAAGGAAACAGTAGTACAAAACAACTTTCTAACGTTGTCACAAGTTAGACAACTGAGGAGCAGAGCTGATAACAAGAAATGAAATAATAGAACTTTCAGTCTTCTTCATCAGGGAATCGAAGGTGTTTCCCTTTTGGGGTTGGCAAGCCTTTCAAAATGAGAGCTGAAGGTTCAGCTTTGACAGAGGAGTCCTCCACCTCTCCTTCAAGTTCATCATCACTGTTAGGTTCAGCTTTGACAGAGGAGTCTTCCACCTCTTCTTCAAGTTCATCATCACTGTTATAGACAAACCGGATGTGCTTGCCGGCAAATTTCGCCATGTTACCTCCTTCACCATTCACATTGATCTGGCTGATTGCCTCACAGAGATCATCAACTATTCCAGACTCATCTTCCTTCTCTTCATAGTCTCCTTCCTCATAGTAATAGTCATTGTCACAGCTTTCTTCTTCAGCCTCATCAAGACCTTCCTCCTCATCATCTTCTTGATCATCTTTAGTACTTGCATTAACCTGAATGGACCAAATAGATGCATCATCATCCTCAGTAGTAGTAACTGAGGACCCTGCCTTCCCTTCAGTACCTTGACTTGTCACTTCAGACAAACACTCAGATGGAGACGATAAAGTCCCTTCAGAAGATTTCTCAGAAAAATCCAGCAGCAGAGATCTTGTAATCATCAGATTCTTATCAGAGTCGTTACCCTCTTGATGGTTATTTCCCTGAAAAATCCCATTAATCACCTTAAAAAACCCACAATAGAAGAACATAGTATACAATTAGGGACAAAACTCTCAAAGATCTAAACAAGAAAACTGACATAAAGAATACCATAAAGAATATACATTGAACAGCAAAATACCTTAGAAATCACAAAATCATCTTCCACAGGACGAGTTTGAGCGGGATGATCCATCCCATTGACAGAGAGATTCAAAACCTGTGGGGTATTGGCAGGAGTTGGGGCAGCAAAAGCCGAAGGAGACTGAACAAAACCTTGAATCTGAAGAGAAGGCCGATTCTCAAAAGTCAATTTGGAGAGCTCGGCTTCTTCTTCAACCTTCTGCAACAAAGTCTTGACTTGGCCCCTCAAAAGTGCCTCCCCTGAACCAGGAGTCCAATCGTACTTTGTTCTACTACTGAATCTCTTCTTGGACATGGCCGCAGATGACGGTGTCCCCAAACTTCCCATAGCAAGCCCAACAATCGGAGAATCATTCGTTATATCAATCAGCGGCGATCGATCGTATTGGGCCTTCCCGTTGTTTCTTTGTCTTGATTTCGTCACATCAGATTCTTCAGATTTTTCTGAAAAAAAGAATTAGCCCACAAGAATTAAATTAACCCCACACACAATCATGATACGGAAAATTCAAGAACTTTTACTGTATGACGAATAGGAATTGAATCGTTGAATCTTAAACTTACTCAATGCAGAAACTCCGTTTTGGGGGTTGTTTGAAGCAGCCAGAGTCTGCGATCTTGTCATCCTCCTGGTTGATGATGGAGTCTCCATTGAATCGTTGACAATCAGGGAAAAGATTGAACTTTTGTAATCTTGATTGCAGGAAATTTGATTTTTTTTAATTTTTTTTCTCTGTGATTAGGGCGTGAATTGATGCTGAATGGAAAATAGTAGTAAAAAGGGGAAGAAGGAGATTGTAATTGGGGGAAAAGGGGAGAAGGTTTTATAGATTTGGTTTGGAAAAAATTAGGGATGTGGATACGGTAAATTTGACCGTTAGAGCGTGTACATGCGGCGTTATGAACTAGCCGTTGTGATTCGAATACAGGCTGGGCCGTCCCGTTTTACGGTACACTTTTATAAGCCCAAACGAAGAACTTCATAAGCCCATTACCTTAAATCTCATAAACTCATAAGCCCATTCCAAGTTCTTTTTCAATGAAAAACTTATTTTTAATATTTTTGTGCTTTTAGTGAATTGATAATTTTTGTGCTTATAGTGAATGACAACTTTGTTTATTGGTCCATTTTGAAGAGACTAAATTAAACCTTGTATAGGGTTTAACAACAAAATGAAAAAAAAAATGTTTTAAGAAATAATATATGAGAAATTTGATACATGTTCAAATCATTAGATCACAATTCATTTCTGATAAAGAGATCAAATTATTGTTTGAACCATTTCTCAGTAAGCCATAAATAATTAATCATATTCTCGTCAACAAAAGGGAAATAATCTTATTTATAGTATTATTTTTATTCGAAGGACAATTTTTGTTTTATTGCCACTGCAAAATGGCACCAACTATGTATCAACTGAATAAAGGAAGAAAAAGATTCCATCACTCTTCTAATTTTTTTTTAATTTTATTTTCAGGGAAAAAAAAAAAAGCAAGAGAAAAAACTAAAAACTGAGTGCTAACTGATCTTATATGGAAGATGAAAAAGGTCCCCGACAGACCACGGTTGCCACCGTCACAGAGCCAGCTGGTTCTTAGAAGGCGAATATCATCTGTGCCCGGTTTGGTTTGACAATTGATGCAAATTAGAGCATCATCCCAATGCTTTGCATTCAATTCTAAAACAATGAATCATGGGACGTACTTCTTCCATCAATTCTTTATTATTAGCAGTAGTACTACGTGATGTGTTTGTCTGGTGGTGGACCTCAGTTTTGACTCATCTTGGACTTATGCTGGTGTTCACACATCACCTATTTCTCGTAAAATCAAATGTCAAAACTTTCGTTAATTTATTGATTCTAAAATAAGTATCGTGTTAATAAGTTATCATTTTAACAAAAATAAAAATTCAAAATTAAGTGTATGACTCCAATGCAATTTTTACATCCAAATTTTTCAAAATTATCTCCAAACAAGATCTATTTGTAACGATAATTTAATTTGATGGGATAGGCTGAGTAGATTTTAGTAATTTACCTACTTTATTTAAAAATGTTATACACTGTATGTAAATTGTTTAATAGAGTAAGATTTATGCTAATATGGAGGGAGTACTTTCTTTTGATAATGAGGGAACTGCGGCAGTTACATAGACAAATGTGCCAGCCCAATTGTATTATATCTTTGGAGACCTAGCGGAAATTCCCTTTTATGCTTGCAATATTACTAGTAATCGATTTGTGTAACTCTTGCTTTGCGATAAATTTAGTGGACAAATTCACAGTTTTGTTTGTCTTACTTTTGGGGAAAGGAATGACGATATCCGGACTGGGGTGATCCATGCATAGACGGACAATGATCAGACTAGCCCCGCCTACTTCACGAGCAACATTATGAGGTGTTTTTTTTTTCACGTTTCGGATCCGTCAGTCAAAGAATAAAAACGGCTGAATTGTACGTTTTGCGTGTTTAAAGTAGTAAGAACTTCAGAAAAACGTACGTTAATAAATCACCCAAAAACCTAAATGAACAAAACTGCAAGCATACTGGAGGATACGTTTACCATTTCATGTAATTCAATGAACAAAACTCGCAGCATTACTATTTGATTTGTCTCTGCCAATTACCGCACCGAGTTCATACCCAAAGGCAGATCAATAATCAATTCGATTGCCACTTGCCCTTGGGTTTCATTACGAGGCTTACAGGATAACAATAGAAATGTTTCACCATGTGGGACGTTACATGAATGCTGCTGCTGCGCCCATTTACTACTCTGCTATATAGGAGTACTATAGTTTATTCATTTTTCAATTAGTGAGACCAAATGAGTCAAAGACCACTGTTTTGTTTAATCGTCTGCATTTATTCCCTTAGGATTCCGACCAACTAACTAACATAATTAGATGTTTTCTTAAATTCATTCATTAAAATAGTCAAGCATTATTTTCTGATGATGCATTTGGATTGTTGGGCTCGGGGGGATTATTATAGATTCTCCAAGTTTTACATTAGTTAATTGGTTTGAGGAAGTTAAGTGGGAGTTGGTAAAGGATCTCTGACACTAGGCATATGCTACCCCTCTTCTCCCCTGATGGCTGGCTGATGCGGCAACAGAGTTTAATGAATCTTCCTTTTCACTTCAAAAGTGTGCATTGCTGTTAATTGTTAAAGAATGATGACTTGATATATATATATATATATATATGTATTATGATCGATAGTTTGATACACATACCAGAAAGAAATACCAGTATTACATAATAAAGGGGTTGGAAACGAATATAGGTTGATGATAAATTAACAATACAAGGATTGGATTGATGAAGAACATAATAAAACAGGGGAGGGGAGAGGGAGACCCTCAATTCAAGATTCAAGACTCTTAAAAGCAAAAAAAAACATCATATAATTAAATTAAGTAATGTCGAAACACAATAAGATGATGGATGGATTGATGGAAGGGGACGGGGTTGGGTTCAAGGACATTTGCGTTCGGTGTCGTTGTGAGTCTTGAGGTTGAAGTAGCAAGGACAGTATTCATAGTTGCCGTAAGTGCCAGGTGGAACGCAATTGCAGGTGTGGCAGCAGCTCCCACAAGCCCTCTTGCATAAACGGGGCCTCTTTGTCTCTGAGCATCTCCTCCCACAAGCAGCATCACAATCTGAGAGAGTACCACCAAACACACAGTATTCCTTCATTCATTAATCTCAACCCAACCCAAAATAAAAATAAAAATGCAACAACATCGTACTATTACAAACACACACGAGAAACGATACCTATTGGGGGACCTGGTGCCGGTATTGGTGCCTTTGATGGTGCTGGGGACTTTGCAGGGATGGGGGCAGTTGCCCCTTGGTAGGCGGCAGCGGCGGCGGCATCACTGTCGTGGAGAATCAGAACACCCAAAAGAAGGACTAATACAGCACAGCTGGCTCTGAGGATTGACATGGTTTTTTTGTTCTTTTTTTTAATGAGCAAAGGAAAGAAAAGAAATTGGATGCAGAGAAAGGAGGAGGGAGGTGAGAAAAATGAGATTGTGATGAAATGAGTAGAAAACAGAGTGATGGTATTTATAGGATTTTTAGCAGAGGGCGGGAAGATTCTAGGACTACTAAAGCAGCTTACAGCTAATATCGAGGTTAGGAAACTGCGGAGAAGGTTTGATTTGTTTTGGCAGATCAATTTGACTAAACCTAATGATAACACTGAAACAGTGTGTTGAAACTGTAAAATAAGCAACTTTACTGGTGAGGGTAGTAGTATCATTCAGGGGTACAAAGTTCCAATGTCCTGTCCTGACAAATGGATACAGTGCAATACTGCAATGGGAAACAGGGATTTGAAGTTAAAGACTGTTATAAAAAATAAAAATGAAAAAAAAAATGTGGGGGGAGTACAAAGGTGATGAAGCAGCAGCAGTGCAAACTGCAAACTGTGCATGGCAGAATCTGCGAAAATTGGCATCAATGCGTTTAGCCAACCTCTTTTTTTTTTTCAAAAAAAAAAAAAAGTTTATTTAATTACACTTACTAGGACGCTAGTATTATGAACCGTCCTCGAAAATCTGGTCCTCTGCAAATTGCAAATGACAGCCAGATTTTGTTTATGGGATTTGCCTCCAGTTTAGTGAGTCATTGGACTTGCAAAATATTCATCTCCCAAGATGGAACCCCTTTCGCCTCCCTCTCTTTTTTTTTTTCGGTTTTGTGATACAAACTTTTTTTTATTTTTAATCGACGACGAAGAAACACAATGCTAGATAACAAAGCCTCTTTAATTACAGTCACGGATGATACTTTATCTCTGGCTAAACTTTGCCTCACTTTATTTTTAGTATATTACGCATTTGATGTTCAAAATTATTATTCCGATTATTCTAGATTCAAGTCGTTCTTTTTGGGAAATTAAACTCTCCCAATAAATATTTTAATCCATATTTATACCCCAAATTTGATTCAGGGTCATACTTGAATTGATTTAATACTAGGAAGGCCGTTTTTCACTTTCGTTTTCATTTTCATGGGTGAGTAATGAGTAGTGAGTTCATCATGGAAGACTGTACAAATGGCCCAAAATCTGGATGGCGGCTAAAAGTGGATTACGATGTAGGCCAATTCCTGACTCTTGCTATTTCTTTTGTTGGATCAGTTCATTGAAGGCCCAGAGGCCTGAGATTACGTCAACGGTCAACCCACTTTTGGTTTCTTGAGATCTGGTGGAAGAGTAGAGTAATAATAGTAGTACTCCCTCCGTCCCATAATTATTGTCCAATTTGATTTTTTATGGATCAAGTTACACATTTGTCCTTAGTAAAAAACATTATTCATAAAATCTTAGTGATTAAACAATTACTTATGTAAGGGTGTATCCGGTTGTTTAAGATAAAATATAATTAAGTTTGATAAAAAATAAAATCTTTTATTTTACTAAAACTAGACAATAATTATGGGACGGAGGGAGTATTAATTAATGAGGTGGTAAAATAATCCGGACCAAACAAAATTACAAAAGATTTACAAAATCTAATTGAGGTAACCGAATACTTTCAGATTAGGCTGCAGCTGGATCCCAATTTAAGAAAATATGTTGTGTTCCGGAAGCGGCGAGGCAGCTGAAACTAGCATTGGCAAGAGGGCACATGCATGGTTGATGGGTGGTTGGGAAGTTCGATTTCACGAGTCACACGCTTTTACTTACCCATCTCCAATACTACAATCCGAACTCATGAAATCACCATTGCATACACTTTTTGCTTTGATTTAGACTTCATCCCCTCTCAGATCCATATTTTTCTTGTATCTACGATGACTTCACAAAATTCGATGTTTCCAACTCTTTGCTTCTTAATTATCTGTTTTCTTCGTATAACTTTTACCGTTACTACTAATCACTTGTTATACTCTTATTATTCATGATTGTAGTTTGGGATGGAGAGAGTAATTGAGTAGTAATAATAACTAACACCAAATATAGAGGGAGTAAGATAAGACAGCATTGCATGATTTCATGCGGTGAAACTGAATTGCCAATTGCCAAAATGCATGAAAACGTAACTACACGTGTGAGAGTGTAAAGGTTGTTGGTCTTAAGTGAGAATGGTGGATATCTGCATGCCACGCCATTCCTTTGTAATCCCCCGCCGTTGGTTCTACCTACCCGAAAAATTAAAATCCTCTGCAACTAATTTTACTCTGTAACCTCCCAATTCCAATTCCATCATCGACCCAGGGCGCTATATATCATCATCCAAATCCACCTCCTAATTCCCCCAACTAGAACAGAACAGAACAGAACAGAGTGGCCGTGGAACAAAGGCTAATTTTTGTATTGATCATTGGTCCTCTGTCCAAAAAAGAAAAGACCCACAAAATTGATGGCGCCTGCTTCAACCCTCACAGCTCTAGCAGAAGAGAAGACACTGGAATCCAGATTCATCAGGGACGAAGATGAGCGTCCTAAAGTGGCCTACAACCAATTCAGCAACGAAATTCCTATCATTTCCCTAAAGGGTCTCGACGACATTGATGGCAAGCGAGCTGAAATTTGCAAGAAGATCGTGGAAGCTTGTGAAGATTGGGGAATCTTCCAGGTTGTTGATCATGGTGTCGATGATAAACTCATTTCTGAAATGACCCGTCTCGCCAGAGAATTCTTCGCTCTCCCCCCTGAAGATAAGCTCCGATTCGACATGTCCGGCGGCAAGAAAGGTGGATTCATCGTCTCTAGCCATCTTCAGGTATTAATACCCTTTTCCTGATCGAATGAATTTCGTGATTTTCCTGTTTTTGTTAGCAGAGAGGAATTTACAAATTTGGCAAAATTTTGATCTTTATTATTTGAGCTTGATCTTTGATGATTCTTTGCAGGGAGAAGCGGTACAAGATTGGCGTGAAATTGTGACGTATTTTTCCTACCCGATTCGGGCAAGGGATTATTCAAGGTGGCCGGATAAGCCGGAAGGATGGATTGCGGTGACGGAGAAATACAGTGAGAAATTAATGGAGTTAGCTTGTCAGCTCCTGGAGGTTTTATCAGAGGCCATGGGATTGGAAAAAGAGGCCTTAACTAAAGCTTGTGTGGACATGGACCAAAAAGTTGTGGTCAACTTTTACCCAAAGTGCCCACAGCCTGACCTCACTTTGGGCCTCAAACGCCACACCGACCCAGGTACCATTACCCTCTTGTTGCAAGATCAAGTTGGTGGGCTTCAGGCCACCAGAGATAATGGCAAGACTTGGATCACTGTCCAGCCTGTTGAAGGTGCTTTTGTTGTCAACCTTGGTGATCATGGCCATGTATGTAAAATTCCTCTTTTGTGTGTTGTTTAATTCTCTTTCCATCTCAAAAAATTATTTCACTTTATTTTTTTTTTTGGGACGAATGGCACTATTGAAATGTGATGGGCCTGTTTGTGGGCAGTTTTTAAGCAATGGGAGGTTCAAGAACGCGGATCACCAGGCGGTGGTGAACTCAAACAGTAGCAGGCTGTCCATAGCCACATTTCAGAACCCAGCCCCGGATGCGATTGTGTACCCGTTGAAGATCCGGGAAGGCGAGAAGGCGGTGCTGGATGAGCCCATGACGTTTGCTGAGATGTACAGGAGGAAGATGAGCAAGGACATTGAGCTAGCCAAGCTGAAGAAGTTAGCTAAGGAGCAAGATTTGCAAGCTGCGGTTGAGAAAGCCAAGTTAGATGACAAGCCCATTGAACAGATTTTTGCTTAAATCATATTATTGTTCTTAGAATTTTAATTTTCATCCTAATGTCTTTTAGGTAAGAAAAAGACCTCAAATTCCTGCTGTATTTCCTATGATTATGATTGTCACCTAAACTGGATGGTAGATGTCAGCGAGGAGTAATAATAAGTAGATTTACAACTGGGTTGCGTACGAGGGTTGAGGATTAATGGAAATGAACTTCAAGATTAATGGGATTAGAGTGTTATACGACTCCTAAGATAGCATCATAACTCGGGAAAAATGGCCGATTAATCCAAATGGATTAGATAAAAATGAACGTATCAAAATTCGACGAATCATTATATAGTGCAACGTCAAAGTTTAAATGTCCAAGATTCAGTTCTGAGCCGTTACTTATTTTCCACAATCCACATCCAATCAAGGTCCGAACACTTTAACCGACAAGAGAACAAAAACGCTTCCGACACAGGACCGAGTACAACAATTTAGAGCCGCTATTTTAGTTAGTGAAATTGTTTCTTCCACGCCATTTAAACCTCTTCTTTTTGTAACAGATGACCGGAAATTCAGTCCCAAAATATACACTTTCCAAACGAGACACAAAAGAAAAAGGAAATGGAAAAGCAACAGACTACGGGAGAGTTGACGCGTGAGTCGTCGTCGCTTATGAACTCTTGCAAGTAACACAAATTGGGCCTTTTCTTGCAAGTCAACACAAAGTTAACACACTATAAGTTCTATTAAATTATGCAGCATTTTCGGGCCTTTTTTCCCCCTCTATAATAATGCCGACATATGATGATCGTGATTTGTACATTTTGTAGTATAAGAGAGGGTTGCATTGCACGTTGTACAATCATGAATTGCGCGGATGGCCGCAATTTCATACTCTATATGCAAGATCCTTTTCATATTTAGAGACTTTTTTTTTTGTATTTATTAGATTTACAACCAATAATTGTTATAAATGATTATTCTAATCTTATAACTAGCTTATATAGCCTATTAATAAAATATATTGGTTTTAGCTAGCTGCCAACAAAGATATGTAAATCATTACAATGGTAGAGTGCTCCACAAAGTTAGGTAATCATAAGCCACTACTTTACTGATGATGAGACGGCAAATGGCGATCCATATTCAATATCTAACTCGTAGGCAAGACAACACAAGAATATTGTACCATGAAAACAATGACATTGATTGATTAATTGTGGGTGAGTAGAAGAGATGTAATCATTCTTATAAAGTTCTGAGTATTTGAATTTCATCTTGTAACATGAAATATACTTTTAACAAATTCTCCCATGTATTGAGGTTACCGCCACCAAAATTAAATAGTCCTTACCAAATAGTCTACCTGGGAATTTAGAAGAATTTTATTCAACTAGATTTGTCTATATTGGGTGTTCTTGGTAGTTTAATCACGATATTAAAAGGATGTCTGGTCCTAAACACATTTTCGTGTATGTATTGAAGTGTTACAACAAAGTAGGGGATTGATGAAATCGATAGCATAATAAGGAAAATGATACGTGTGTGTTAATAGAATTGTCTGTAAATTATGGAGTTCTTTTGGTTGCTTTTACGATCTTATTTTCTATAGGTAACATGAAAGTGATATGGACAAGTTATCCTATAAGTCTATAAGATAAGATATTAACTTCGTCGTAAAATATTAGTATGTTTTAAGACTAAGCAACATATCAAAATATTCAGCAGACCTCGTATCTCCAAAGTCATTAAAAATAACTCCATTGAGACCTGAGATGAGAAACAATGACAAGGTGCATGTGAAAGAGGAATGTATAATGTGAAAATGAACTAAATTAATGCTCCTATTTTTTCAGGGAAGTGAACTAGATTATGCAATGAGTATGACCTGATGAAGGGAAAGGAAAATATACGGGAGAAAACGTTATAATTATCGACCCGACAAAATTATACTCCAAATTCACACATCATAAAAGTAACAATTTAACTCAAATATGTGCCATACTTTTCACTCATATAATTGCTGAATAACTCAATTTAAGCAACCTTTTTTTTAAAAAAAAAAAAACTCAATTGAAGCATGCTAAATTTGCAAAAGCGGGTTCGCTATAAAGCTATCCACATATATATATCAATTTGACTTTTAAATCTAAATGGTTGTTACACCCAATTTTTATTAAAGAAAAACGAAATATGACAATGAACATGTGAAGAGGAGAAGTACTGTCGATTTAGAGCCTACTACTATTTAAAAATCAATTCGGATCAACTAAGCCAAAGTGTGAAAATGATTTTTTCTACCCTTTTAAAACGTTGAAAAAGTAGCAAAAATGACACAATATGGAGGCGTCACCCCATTAGAAGACGAATTCATCTATAGTTTATTATAATTTTGCTTCAGTCTAGTCAAGTCTACTAGTGCGAGTATTTTATTTCAACCTAGCTTTTAATTATTTTTTTCTTCTTAATAATATGTGAGTCAATTTCAACTGGTCTTTGGTAAACTACGAGTATCAGTGTTGAAAACTCTAGGGTACATAGAAGGAATATTCTGGCAAATAGCTAGGCCCTCATCCATATATTTTCAACATATTTACCGTGTGAATGTTTTCATTTATTTAGCTTTGCTTTTATTCATACAAAAATAATCCCAACAAATTAAAATAAAAGTTGGCCATTAGCATTTTTCCATATATATATATATATATACACATGAAAAATTCAGTAAAATTGTTTAACTTGGAGTATAGTAACGAGTTTTGAGTATTTTTTTTATATGTTTAGCAGTAATAATTGAGTTATTTCATTAGGCCCGTTCCATATGTATACTTTTTCTAGGAAATTAGAGGACTGTTCATCATTGAGAACTTTTTTATATCAACGTCGGCCTTGTGGGGGGTCAAATCTTAATGAATAAATATTTATGCATAATTTTCCTAGCAGATCAATCTTTGTCCTTTTAAGAACTTGCACTTGCTCTCTTTAATTTATTCTTCCAAACAGTGATAATATTGTTCTATAGAAATATAGAATATTTTCTTCAGTCTTTTAGTAGCTAGCTGTGATTAAGAATGTTATATATGTTTTTTCTTTTTCTTTTTTTTTTCTTAAGAAGCAAAGTCATAAAACATGCATGATGAAGGGGGGACATGTTTGAATTAGTTCCGAACCAAACGTTAGGGTTAGTTCGATTTTCACTCCTCATATTGGACGATGTTAATTGTATTGTACGTCCTTGTCCAAATACTATATTATACGGTAATTTTCTCTCTATTCATAACCAACAAATTTAAATTGAACTTTGATTTGTAAATGGAAGCAGAGTGATTAGTATACGTGTACGTGCAGGTGATTGGAAAAGGAATAGGGTTTTTGAAGAAGTCATCAAGAGACCAGGTCAAGTCTCACGTACGCGACAACGGTAGAGACACCATCCTAATCCAGTGACCACAATTTTTATAACCAAAATAATTTAGCAAACATAATAATAATAGTAATATCTCCATTATTGAGTTTGAGTAAAGCCATCTCCTCTCTCGTGAATGCCCGACTCCATTATACAAGCAAAGATGATCTCATTATCCAACATTAAGATCTACAACAATAAAACGTTTAAAGAATTTATACTATTCTCTTCTGACCAACATAAAAGTAACGTTTACTGTGATGATTATTATGACTTCTGTTTTGAGACGGATAAAATATTAATACACAAACTATTTAATTTTTTCCTTTTTCAATAATTTTGGTTGATTAATAGTTGTATAAAACTATTTCATAACCTTGGTTCCGGCATCATGAAATGTAATTGACATTTCCCCTTTGCGCTGCCGAATTATTATAGAGGCCTCTATTGTTGTATGGAATTGACGAAGCAACCTAAGTAATTTAATAAGACGAAAATACCTTATATTGTAGAATAAATAAAATGTTTTGCTGTGATGTAAAATTAGCGTAAACTAGTTATCAATTAACTTGGATGTTTACGTGGGTAAGGCTGGCTGATTACTTTTCAATCGTTATGTTGCAATATGAAAGGAACAAACTGTTGCTAATTAATCACAATTCCCTAAGAGCAAAACCGGTCAAACAAGATACAAAAACGCGATTAACTTAATTAATCAACTAGTCTTTTGTTTAAAAATAATAAACAAATTTTGAGAAATCATAATCATGATCAATATGTGTAAAATGCAAATATATTTATATATTTTAAAGTTCACGAGAGACTTGCACATAGATAATAGAGATAAAGTGTTTGGAGATGACACTTCAATCCAATTTCGTATTTCACACCATAACCAAAGTGCACGACCATGTTAATCCCAGATTAGATCAAAAGATTCAGTCATAATTATACTCATTAAAACCCTCCAAGAATGTTTCCCGAAAGGCGGATCCGGCCGCGGGCTAGCTATATAATATAGCGCGCCAATTACACTTCTTATAAATTAAGTGACTAAAAGTTTTATTACTCTCTCCGTCCCATAATTATTGTCCAATTTGAATTTTTATTTCTAATACAAATTGAACTAAAATTGAAAATCCAAACTGGACAATATTTTTGGGACGGAGGGAGTACTGCAATATGCAATATGCGCACACACACACACAAAGAAAAATAAAATTAATACTATACAAATTAATTTGGACAAGTCATATCTCACACAATTAAATTTTTAATTTGGTTAAATAGTTGTGATTCCAAACGTAGTAGTATCATTCAATTACTCCATTACTAAAACTGCGCATTAACAAAATTATTATTTAGTGATCAAACAACACTAACGAAATGGAAAGTTTAGACTTTAGTTAATTATTTATTATTCAGGACTATGATTTTTCATTCCCTTATATTTTTCCTTTTCCTCTTAAATGAAGAGAAAAAAGAAAATCTTCCAACTGGCTTTTTCAGCACGCACCATACATTTTTCTTTACTGCGTAATTTCTCTCCTTTTTTTTTATATATATATATATTGAGCTATACAAATTAGAAACTTTTTTTTCAGGAAAAAAATTATAAATCCAATTTGCAACTTTTTCCTCATGAAAAATCACATGTGAAAAAATCAGAAAAAGAAATATCAGAAAGAAAGAAAATAAACAAAGAAAACTGCCAACCACCCTGGCCCCGCCAAACCCAGTCACAGCTCCTCCGTCTCCCCCCACTTTCTCTCTCTTCAAAAACTTCATCCCTCAAAAAAAAAAAAAAAAAAAAAGAGAAACAGAAAAAAGAAAAAGTCTCTTTTGACCATCGCCACCACCACCGCACCTCCCCATCTCCTTCTTCCCTTCTTCCTGCAACCTTTCCCCTTCATTAAACAAACAAAAACACCAATCAAATTAATCAAATAAATTATATCCCTTTGCGCCATTACTCATTTCTTCCTATCATATTTATAGGGGGACATTAAACCTTTTGCTTGCATTTCCACATGTATATATGATTATGATCACCAGTCATTTGTTGTTATTGACTTGTTAGGATTCTTTTATCATTTTTATTTAATTATACTGTAAATTTTTTGTTATTTGTTCTCCACCATTGAGAAGATTGTGAAAAGTTGGGTTTTTTCTCCATTGAATTTTATAATGGGTAGCTGTTTTTCGACCACCAAGGTGAGTGGTTCTAACAGCAACACCCCTTCCACCACCACCACCACCACCACCACCAACGCCGCCGCCGCCTCCTCTGCCGCCACCGTCCAGCACCACCACAACAGAAAGGGTACAACAAAGCCTTCCACGTCCGGAAATAATAATACCTCGTTAATTCCCAAGCAGCTGGGATTGCATTATAAAGGGAAAGGATCAAATGCGAATCAAACGCAGCAGCGGAATTCTAAGCCTGCTTCCCGGAGGCAAAGCGGGGTGATCCCTTGTGGCAAACGTACCGATTTTGGGTATGATAAGGATTTTGATAGGAGGTATACGATTGGGAAGTTGTTGGGTCATGGTCAATTTGGCTACACATATGTTGCCACAGATAAGTCTAATGGCGATCGCGTGGCAGTTAAGAGAATTGAGAAGAACAAGGTATGCTCTGTGTCTTCTTCTTCTTTCTTTTTTTCCTTGTTGAGCTTGTTGGCTTCTGATTAGGAAAGGGTACTGGTCATTTCTTTTCATCTCTTACCGATTCCGTCTTGATAGTCTTTGATTGGCGTGGTTTGAGGTAGTTTGGTTTCTGTTATTGATAATTGGAGCTCTGTAGGGGGTTTTTCAATTGCTCAAGGAACCATGGTCCGTTTCTAATTCGTTGGATAAAGTTGGGTCTTCTATGTTTTTGGGAATCAACATCATTCAAAGAACCAAAGAGAAGTTAAACCACACAAACTTTTTTCTGGGAATTTTTATCATGGAAATGGGGAGACCATAAAGTTCAAGGAATCAATGCTGTTACCTTTTCACTTTGCTTTTGTCTTGCTGATGGTTTCTGGGTTTTACAAGTTTGGGGAAAAAAAACATACTCCAGCTTTATCATGTCTCTGTTAAGCTTTGATTTGCTAAGATGATCCCTGTTACGTAAAGGATATTTTTCGAGATTTAGAGCGAGCTGCAGTTGCAAATTAATATGGCGTTTATTTAGTAGTTTGTACTTCATAGGAGAAGAATCAGTCCTAGGTGAGCAAGATAAATGTAAGGAGATAAAGTGGAAAGAATTTTGTTGTTCCATGTTTTGGTTTAGTAAAAACCTCAATGCTGATCATTGTGGACAGCTTCTACTATTGGCCTTTTATCTGCTTTCTTAAGGAAAACAACACAAGCTAGGGTGTTAAAAGATTCCAGCAGCAAAATTGTATTATGCATAAGTTGGAACAACAGACAACGGCCTCCAAAACACAAAGATGATTAAACTTCGACTAGGGAAAGTGAAAGAAAGCAGAAACTAAAATGAAAGAAGTCTCATATTCTGCTATGCTACTGCACTTGCACCTGCAATTGAAGTTGGGATTCAGTTAAATTGTTTGAGTAATCTCAATTCTCATGTGCTGAATAAATGTGTACTTTCCTTGTAATTGGTTATCCTACGTTCTTATACCTGAAATAGGGATTGTTTTTAAATTGATCAAGTGTGGACTGCATGCATGTTTTCCTTTAGTCTGTTTGAATCTTCATTCTTGGTAATTTTTAATGTACCCATGAATGATTGTAGAATCATCATACTGATTCCTCCATGTAGATGGGAGAGCAAGGGTCACTTGTAAGTGGGAAGGGTTCAAGAAGTATCAATTACCGGTTTTCAATTATATGGCATACCCCAGGAAGATCAAAGCATATTGGTTTTATTTGTTTTCAGATCCATAGTTTTAAAATACATCTGTCGACCTTTGTGCAGATGGTTCTTCCAATTGCAGTTGAGGATGTCAAACGAGAAGTAAAAATATTAAAAGCTTTAGCTGGCCATGAGAATGTGGTGCAGTTCTATAATGCTTTTGAGGATGAGTCATACGTGTATATTGTGATGGAGTAAGTTTTAAGAACTTCTTTTAAAAAGAAATTAATGGAACTTGTGCTTTTACATTCCTTTTCCAAAAGCTTATGCCAATTAAAGAGGTACTGAATTGTTGTCCTTTACAGGCTGTGTGAAGGTGGAGAATTGCTTGATCGTATATTGTCCAAGTAAGCATCCTAGGCTTATGACCATACTTCCACATTGCAACTGATGGATATAGAAAATCCATTATTGTCGAAGAGTATATTTATATGGCTTAACCAAGAATTTAATGTGATCAGGAAGGATAGCCGATACACTGAGAAAGATGCTGCAATAGTAGTACGTCAGATGTTGAAGGTTGCAGCCAAATGTCATTTACACGGGTTGGTTCACCGTGATATGAAGCCTGAGGCATGTGAAGTTTTACTGCATTTTGTATTCTTGTAACTAGTTGTGTTCCTTCAGTTCCTCATACATCTTTCTCTTGCAGAACTTCCTTTTCAAGTCGCCGAAAGAGGATTCCTCATTGAAGGCTACAGATTTTGGCCTCTCAGACTTTATCAGGCCAGGTATTTCCATGTTCTTATTTCTTCATTCTTCCTTGTTGTGACTTGAAATGACATTTAATTCATTCTATTTTTGTGCTGTAGTGCTTGTTTGTTGTTTTTTCTATTTGAGTTGTAGTAGTTGAAATATAGCTATATCTTTTAGAATCTATTCTTTTTGAAGGGCTACACCTTGGCTAAATTCTTGCTTTTGAGAAAGCTGGGGCAGTAGGCATAGTAAGTAATTTGAGTTGTCCGTTCTAAGAAAGACATCAAAATATTGGACTATTACAGTAATGTCTCTTTAAGTTTGAGTTTGTGCTCCTTAAATGTTCTTTTGTCTTTCGTTGTATCGGACTGATTGCTGAATTTTCCCTAGAAAAGTCTGGAAGTGAGGCAGTCCAAAATGTTAAAGGGGCTAAGCTTTCCTGTATGAGTATGTAGTGCCTCTAAAAGAATACTGTACCAGATTACCCTTTTTCTAATATCAGTTTATTTATTTGTTTTAATGTTGCAATCATTTAAACAATCAATGTAGGCAAGAGATTTCAAGATATTGTTGGTAGTGCGTACTATGTTGCTCCCGAGGTACTAAAGCGCAGATCAGGTCCTGAGTCAGATGTATGGAGCATTGGTGTTATAACGTACATTCTGCTCTGTGGGCGGCGCCCCTTTTGGGACAAGACCGAGGATGGCATATTTAAGGAGGTAAGGATGCAGGAACATTATCTTTTCCTTTTTGATGAGTGAATAACTATCTTTTGATCATATTCATTTTTCTAGATTGGTTCTGCTTGTTTTGCTTTTCTTTTCTTTTCGGTTTCCTGCTTTCCAGCTGCATTAAGACCTTTCTTTCTGTTATCTTAATGAAGATATTCGTCTTCGGTAGATATTTTTATCTTCTCATCTTTTCTTAGTAAAATTGATTTCTAATGTGTAGTCTGGTTGGCATTACTTTTTACCTTCTGTGATCAGTTAGACTTTACCTCTTATATGGTATGTGACTGTAGATTCTAATACTTTCAGGTTCTCAGGAACAAACCTGACTTTCGTCGTAAGCCATGGCCAAGCATAAGCATGAGCGCTAAAGATTTTGTAAAGAAATTATTGGTGAAGGATCCTCGTGCCAGACTTACTGCTGCTCAGGCCCTATGTATGCCCTGTTTATAGCACTTTTTTGTTTCATAGTTACAAATGGGTACTAATCTTCTAATTTGATTCAACTCTTCCAGCACATCCATGGGTTCGAGAAGGGGGCAATGCGTCCGAAATTCCGCTTGATATTTCTGTTCTCTCCAATATGCGGCAATTTGTGAAATACAGTCGTTTAAAGCAGTTTGCACTTAGGGTAACTTTCTTCTTTGTTTCGTTTTAACTTGTCCTGGAACTTACCAACCAACTCATACAGGACAATATTCATAACTCCTTTTTGCATTTTTTGTTTTTTGAAGGCTTTGGCTAGCACACTTGGTGATGAGGAATTGGCTGACCTCCGAGATCAGTTCGATGCCATTGACGTGGACAAAAATGGATCCATTAGTCTGGAAGAAATGAGACAGGTATTTTTCACATAAAGGAGAGGGTTTGTCCCCATACTTTCTAGTCTAAAAGTTTATATAGTTTTATATTTTATGTACCACAATGTATGCGCTTATCTATTTTTCCCATTTATTTCTTTTCCGTGCAGGCCCTTGCCAAAGATCTACCTTGGAAGATGAAAGACTCTCGTGTTCTGGAGATTGTTCAAGCGGTGAGCCTATTAATTTTAGGTTACAGCATTTAAGCATTGAAACGATAATGTTAGGATGTTTTGATTTTTATCTGCTGCTGCAATCTCTGTTTGCATCCATTGCTTCAAAGTAGAATTAACAGACGTAGATGTAAAATTTATTAAAATCTGGAAACAAAAAAAAAAAAAAAGAGAGAGAGAGAGAGAAAATTTTGATGTGAATACCACATTGCCTAAATTAATTATGCTTCAGCAATTGTCTTGGAGCAAAAGTGATTTCGGTAGGAGCGATGATGTTATTCTGCTGGGTTACTTCAGTATTTTATCTGTCTGCGCGATTTCAGAATCTGATCTCATGCTTCTAAATTTTATTGGACATACAATTTTGTTTCAATCTTGTCATCATGCTGGCTGATAATCTATCTCCTTTGTTCTTTTGGAGCAGGTAGACACCAACGCTGATGGGCTAGTTGACTTCTCGGAATTTGTTGCAGCCACCCTACATGTTCATCAGCTAGAGGAACATAATTCCGAGAAGTGGCATGAGAGATCACAGACTGCTTTTGAAAAATTTGACGTTGACAGAGATGGGTACATAACACCGGAAGAACTTAAAATGGTTAGTGGTTGATGTCATCACTCTACTCAAATCTAATGCAGTTATTATCTTTATTAACAAAATTTCATAGTGGGCTGGCCTTGGCTTTTACCTGGGATATTAATAAAAACTCAAAAACTAAGAATAACTAGTCTATCATATTCCCCAAGATTTTTTCTTTTTTTTTTACCTTTTGCTGCCATAATTCTTTGAACGAAATCAGGATGCTTTAGTTTTGAACTTTTGTTTGTTTGAAGTTCTTCAGTTCTCATAGATATTTGTATGTTTTGTTGCCATAATTCTTTGAACAGAATCGGGATGCTTTAGTTTTGAAATTTTGTTTGTTTGAAGTTGTGTTAGTATAGAATATTTGTATGTTTGAGATTCCTGCTCCTGTACCATAGCTAAGATGGTTATATTTTCTTGCAGCATACTGGTTTAAGAGGTTCAATTGACCCACTTTTAGAAGAAGCAGATATTGACAAAGATGGAAAGATAAGCCTAGCCGAGTTCCGCAGACTCTTGAGAACTGCAAGTATGAGTTCAAGAGCCGTCACAAGCCCAAATGTAAATAAAGAGTCCCGGAGGTTATAGATTTCTACTAGATATTGTTGTTGTAATTTTGGTGATGAATGTGAATGCTGAGAGGTTGACATTTCCTGTTAAGAACTCGGTCTGCTGAGGTCATCCTTGTGTCTGCTCTAATCTGCTCCTCTGTAAAGCGGCCATTTTTATCGCTCTTGTCAAGATGTAGCTGTTAGAGGAAGGTATACAAGTATGGTGTTGAAAGCAAGGGCGGGAGCAGGACACATTTTTAGTTACACGGTACGGGTTGCCTTCTTGTACATTCCTTGTTAGTAGCCTATGAATCTCTGTGATTTCTGCTGTGTACCATTCGGTGATGTGGTGTCAACTGTCAAATGAAAAGTGGGTTGTTAGATTTTAATATACTGGTTTATTGGGTTTGCACAGTCGCCCTAAGACAGGATTAGGTTCGTGTTTTTTTATTACTTTTTCCATGCTAGAAAAAATAGTCATGAACAGTTGCAGTAAATGGGAAAATGGAGGGACACAGGGAGTCACTGGCCAGTTGGAAAACAGCATCGCATGAGAGGCCACGAAAAGAAAATAAAAAAAATGAAAGAGAGCTACGGAATATTAAGGCCAAATCTGTATCACCAGTACTACAGATTCGAAGTCTCCAACTCATCACAAAATGCCATAAACCATTTAAAAGACCTAAGGACCAGAGTCTGCCTATGTTGAAGAGGTTGCTGGCCCTCATCTCCCCATAATTACTGCAAAACACAAACCACGGTTAAAATGCTGAAAATAACAAACAAAACGCATTTGAAATACATTATGCTGTTATTTAACTAAGTACTACAAGAAAGTACAAAACTGAAAATGTGGATCCTTAGGCGACGCTCCTTGCAATCTAAGCTCCAAGTCAGTTACTACGTCGCAGGAGTACTCATCACTCTCTTCGCCGTGACCACTTCTGTTCCCACAATATGACCCATTGCTTGAATTCCTGGATGCTGAAGCATTCAAGGTAGATGCCAATTCCTGATTCTCAAAGGACATTGGCCGTAGAGGTGTATAACCCGTTGGATACGGAACCAAATGGGCAGGCAGAACAGCACGGCTTGAAGAAAAGGGAGGAGTACTTTGATCCACAAGCCGTGGAAACATCAAACCGAGATCAGTTTGGCTATTATTATTATATTGGACTTCTGAAAGAGCCTTAACATCATACCGTAGAGAGGCATTCTCTTTTTTCAACTCCTTATTCGCCAAGCTCAGCTTCAATCACAATATATATTTATTATCCACATATATTAATGGAACCAATTTCAATTTGGGACAGCTTATTATAAAATTAATTCTTTATAAACCAATTTGCACTGCTTGGATTGCAGTGACAAGTATAGTTTCCGAGCCCCTCTTGGCTTCACCTGGGTGGAATCAGTGTGTGATTCATATATTTAATTTCATTCACAAAATGTCATACTAGCTACAGTAGGTAACAAAGAACCGAAACTGGTATCATAATAATTACCAAGAATGACCTGGGAAACTCAAAACTCAATGCAGATTTTTTTTTTTCTTTCTTTTCGGGGACATTAGCAATACTAAAAGACAATCAACCCCTCAAATGTATTTGGAAGCTTTAATACCTATCGCACGTCTCAACTGTTGATAATACCCTTTCATCCTCGCCCTTCTCAACCTCTCGCGGCGTGCTAGCTCCTTTTTCCTTTCAGCATCTTCATCCATCATGTTCACACCACCCTCCAACCTGCAAGAATAATGCAGCATGAAAAATGCTACGAAGAAGGAAGACAGCGCGCGAGCATTTGATCTTACAGTCAAATCTGTGAAAGCAAGATAGATGAGTTGTTTTCATCTACTGAAGCATTAATTAGGCAACCAAAGCACCTGTTTATTGGTAGTTTGGTATTGATGCATTTGACGGCCAAGATCATGACAATGCCTTTTCCTTGTAAATCATGATAAATAAACTTGAATTCCAGTAAGATGAACACTAATGGTAAAAAAAAAAAAAAAAACCATTTCATTGTAGAAAAAGAAAACAGTCACTCCCTCCGTCCCGAATTATTATTTAGTATATATTTTCATTTTTAAAAGCTGAAAATTCAAACTGAACAATAATATAGTACCGAGGGAGTAGTACGTAGGAACAAAAACAACCGAAAAAACAACCTTTTCAAGACAGATCTGCTATTTCCCTTCATATATGTAGCACCCAAAAGTGTTACTACTATAAGCACTTAACATAGTAGACGTACAATACGGCCGTCCATAAAAACAAAGAAACGAAAACGAAGGATCATGCGCGCGGCTTCTATGATACGTACTTAGTTTGGAACTCAACAAGAGTCCAAATAACATACTAGTATCAAATTAACTAAACTCACATAACAACATAAGATCCACCTTTTTCAAAAAAGAAGCATAACATCCACACTCAATAGATTAAGAAAGGGAAAGAAAAATCACTGCACCTGTGTTGGTCGGTCTCCGTTTGACTATCACGACGGTCCATGATCAAAGTTAAAAGAATATCATCACTAGGGTTGCTTCCAGGGTTCTTGGAGAAAAACACGGACGACACGAAATGATTTTAGTACATTTTTATTACTACTACCAACAATAAATATGTACGGCGTTGTTCGGACATGGACCGTTGTAGTATGGGGGAGCAGCCAGGGCGTAAGTCTGCTCCAGAGCTAACAGTGGGCCTTTGGTTTGCACCAGCCCAAATGAAATATGCTCAGCTCCCAATAATAGGAGTACTAGTATTCTTTTTTAACCTTTATTACACGGATCACTACAGTTAAACGACATAGTTTCACTCAGTAATTTTTGTTCCGTTAACTTTTGCCGCCGATTTGGCGGTTTCCACTGCCACCCAATTCTTCTTCCGCCATTATCGTCCTATTTCATTCACTTCGCCTTCTGTTTCCTTCAGGCCGAGTTCTTTATCCCATCATGGTTTCTCCACCCCCCCCCCCACCCCCCACCCCCGGGTTTAATTATGTATTTCCAGGGTTAAGATTTTAAGAACGTGGCAAAAACCCTACTCTGAATAGTCGTGGAAAATGAAGATCGTGACTTACAACATTAATGGCTTGAGGCCACGTATCTCACAGTTTGGCTCCCTCCGGAATCTACTTGATTCCCTTGACGCTGATATCATCTGTTTCCAGGAGACCAAGATCTCCAAACCAGAGCTCAGAGCCGATTTGGTTAGAGCTGAGGGTTACGAGTCTTTCTTCTCTTGCAACCGGAATTTCGACAAGTCCCGTGCCGGTTATTCCGGTAACTTTTACTACTATTTAACATCTTAATCTCACATTCGAGAAGAATCCCAGAAGTTTTGTTGTGGGCATTTTTTCCTTGGTGGTGATTGTGAAGTCTGGAGCTTTAAATGTTGATGGAAAAAAAAATGCATTTCTAAGCATTCCTGATTGTTGACTTTTACTTGTTTTGGTTTGTTGATATTTTTGTATTTTATGCAGGCGTTGCAACATTTTGCCGTGTGAGGTCTGCATTTTCGACTGACGAGGTGGCTTTGCCAGTTGCTGCAGAGGAGGGCATTACTGGTCTTATTGATAGTTCTAGAGCATTGGGATCTCAAAATGAGGAATCCCCTTCAGCTACCGAAGCGCTTCTGGAGTTTTCAAGAGACGAACTTTTGAAAATTGATAACGAGGGGCGATGCCTCATCACTGATCATGGCCATTTTGGTAAGTTGAGATCGTCTCCTACCATCATTTATACTTCATTCTTAGTTCAGTTTCTTCCTATTGTATATTTTGAAAACTCTATATCTAGTTGACCGATCACTTATTCTGGTGAATTTGTTGTTTTCTCAGTTCATGTGATTTTATATTTATGGATAGACATGCAATCTTCATATTGTTTTATCTGCTTTTTTATGACGTTGGAGCTTAATGGCACCCTGTTTTTTTTTTTTTTCAGTTCTTTTCAATATCTATGGGCCTCGAGCTGATACTGACGACACAGAGAGGATTCAGTTCAAAAGCACATTCTTCAAGATTTTACAGGTAATTAAGGTGGTAATATATAAACTTCAACAATTACTGCTGTAGCTGTTTGAATTACTTCCTGAATTTGAAGTTAGGAAGCTCCTTGTTCTGCTACTCATATTGACAACTTTGTTTTAGAGAAGGTGGGAGTGTCTTCTGCATCAAGGACGGAGGATAATTGTTGTTGGAGATCTTAATATTGCCCCTAGTGCTATAGACCGCTGTGATGCAGGACCAGATTTCGAGAAAAATGAGTGAGTTATTTCTGTATACAGTCCTCTTTTTCAATTAAGTATAAGTCCAATCAATTTGTGGATTCCTTGATCACAAATTTTTGCTGTAGGTTCCGGAAGTGGTTTAGATCTCGATTGGTTGAGAATGGAGGGCAGTTTATCGATGTATTTAGAGCAAAACATCCTGGAAGGTTGGGTTATTTTCTTGGTTCTCTTTTGTTGTTTTCTCTTCTTTTTGTGTGTGTCTGTGTGTGTGTGTGTGTGTGCTGGGTGGGTGGGACAGCGGTTTGAATACAGGAATTTATGTCCTTCATGAATTATTTGTCAGCACCATTCCAAAAGAGATGTCAGTGTAAGTCTAGATAATTTACTCACCATTCGATTACTTTAGCAAATTCTGTTGCACAAGCCGCATTTCAGTTTGGACTTTGGTATTAGCTGATTATTAATTGTCGGGTGTGAGTATCATCATGATTCGTTCTTGACTTACTCTGCAGAAAAGAAGCCTACACCTGCTGGCCGACAAACACTGGTGCTGAGGTTTTCAATTTTGGGGCAAGGATTGATCATATTCTGTGTGCTGGATCCTGCTTCCATGAAGGGTCAGATCGTGAAGAGCATAGCTTTGTAGGTTGTCATGTTGAAGAGTGTGACATATTGATCCAATTTAAGCGTTGGAAATCTGGGGATATAGCTAGGTATGTGCAGTTTCCTGGCTTCCACAGTGAAGCGCTCATTCTTTAATCTATTCAGCAGTGCAGATAAATTTTGTTTCTTTTCCATTGAAAACAAAGTAGATATTGTGCTTAACGATAAATGTAGATTAGATATGCGTTTTTCATGCTTCTGTAATGCTTTTGTTGCCTGAATTGAGGATATTTTTTTTGCCCTCTTAGCCATAGGTGGAAAGGAGGAAAAGGCATTAAATTGGAAGGTTCAGATCACGCTCCTGTCTATATGACGTTAAATGAAATTCCAAACATTCCACAGCATAGCACCCCTGCATTATCTACTAGATATTGCCCCCAGGTCTGTGGATATCAGCAAACCATAGGTAAGCATCTTCTGATTCAAAAAGTTGCCAAAAGTAGCTGAATAGCTTGTTGATTTAACTTTTTTTCTTTGGAATTCTTAAAATGATCTTATCTTTGTCAGTGTCATCGTTATCCGGTTCTCTAAGTTGTTAGTCTCGTGGAATATTTTATGGCTATAATATGTTCTGAAGTTATCCTTTATTTTAGTTTACAATTTGACCGACTTGACTGTAATTATTGTAGAGACAATTGTGATTGTTAGCGTGATAATTTACTCGTGAGGAAATTCTTTGCAGTATCTTTGTTAATGAGAAAAGGCTCGGATGGGAAAGCTAAGAACTCTGGAGATTCTATCTCATCTTCCGGTAACAATCTCCCACTATGTGATACTTAAATAAATAAATGATTCTGGCGGCTATGTTTTTCCGTGATACGTGACTTTAGTAGCTTTGTTGCAGGAACTCATGACTGCAGTGAAGGTTCTGTGGAGGAACCTTTTCATGGTGCAACAAATAGTTTGAAGAGTAATACTGCCAGCGCAGGGTCTTTCTCACAAGCTAGGAAGAAAGCAAGACAGAGTGGGGGGTCTCAGCTCTCTCTAAAATCGTTCTTCCAGAAAACTTCCAGTGGAAATGGGACTATTGAGAGCTCTTCTGATGGCATCAAGATTAGCCAGGAAATTGTTTCTTCTTCTGTCTGTTTGTCCAATGGTTCTCCATTACATTTTGATGAATTTGGTAAAAACAAGGATTGTGAATCAAGTGTCAATACATCTTGTGATGAAGAGAGTGATTGTAATGGTTCTCAACCTACAGAAAAGGATAAGTCTAGCATTGCTGCATTGGAGTGGCAAAGGATTCAGCAATTCATGCAGTCCAGCATACCTCTTTGCAAGGGTCATAAGGAACCTTGTGTGACTCGGATTGTAAAGAAAGCTGGCCCAAATTTAGGTCGCAGATTTTATGTTTGTGCTCGTGCTGAGGTACATTAAACTGATACTTGTTTTTCTCTTAAACTTAGATTTTTCCAATGTTGCATTGCTTTTTCTATAGGAACTTCCAATTTGTTCTTTGGCTAGTATTATACTTAATGCTTTCATCTTGTTAATAAAGCAAGGGCACAAAATAAGTCCATCTGTGTTATTCATTCAGGGACCTGCATCTAACCCGGAAGCAAATTGTGGGTACTTTAAGTGGGCTGCTTCAAAATCCAAGCAGTAACAATAAGACTGGCTGAGTTAAGTTGGCTTCGACTTTTCCAGTCGAGCTAAGAATAGAGTAATCTACTATGTGCTTGTCCTGGTCCGAGCCAGTTTGCCTGACTGCAGCAACTGAGAGGTTTCACTTTTGTTGCTCTAGAATCGTGGATAATACATATGTCTGATATTCTTTGGTATGGTCTCAAACAGATTTTTTCATTTCAGGATTCTGGCTCATCTTCACATGCTAACCTTGGCAGGAAAATTCAGGTGAGACCATGACATTCTTCTGACAGAAACATTAGACTGGAGCTTTGACCTTGTTCATTGTAAAGCTGACATTTTGTATCGGGGTGAGCACAACAAAAAGATCATGGTTTGAGCATGGATTTTGTACATTCGTATGCCCGCTAACTGTGTGTCGTTTTTTTCCCTTTTCTTTAGCGAAACCATTGATTTCGTGAGTCTTGATCTACATGCGTTTAACCGCTTAGAATAAGCTCAGTTCGCTTTTGTGTTGGAATACGATTTGATTCATTGATTGTGTATAACTCACTGACAGTAATCATAGGCTGATTTGAATATTTCCTTAACAAGTCAAACACGTCTTGGTACCATTTTCCCAAAAAAGGAAAAAAAAAAAAAAGTCTTGGTCAACCTGCTGAAGACGTATTGAACTCTAATTCTTTCCAGATTTCATCAACTCATCAAATCCTCTTGAGGTTCTCTTCCTTCCAAGTAATTGTGGTTCCCCATTAGGACGTGCTTAGCATAATAATCCCTTGTTACTTAATGAACAACGCAACGGATTGCTTTCCATTATCAGTGCCCAGTCTCACTCGTTTTACCAGATTTTTGCTTAAAGTTGCTAAAATTATCTATTGATGCATTGAATAAGGGCGCTGTTCAAAAGGTACTGCAATTACTGATTCGAAAAGACGAGTCAACAATTTCTACAAGTTTTCAACTCAAATTAGAAAAGCAAAAACAAACAAAAAATACAACTCTTTATTTCAAAATGTTCCATTTGCTTGTCGTACTTACTTTTTAGCGCATGGAAACGGGGGATCATTGCCTCATTGCACACCCAAAAAGTAAAAAGAACAAAAAAAAAAAAAAAGAAAGAAATATATTCATGTCGAGGATGAGTTGCATCAATTTGTTTTAGTAGTGGAAACTAGAGTTTTGTCACGTTTTTAATTACTGGGAATGTTTCTGAAAGTATGGTTAGCTGAATAATAAATTAAAGCCAGTTTATATCACATCTTGATGACAGCCAAGCGTTGTTGGTTCGATTAATAAAAAAGAATTACGTGACACGGCCAAAGATGTGGGAGTTTGACATGATCCTTTCTTAGAAAAAATTCATGCACAAATATGAATGGGGGAGAACGTGAGGAACCAAACTTTTAGGTATGCGTCAATTACACTGAATTCTGTGAAATGAACTTAACTACATGTATGCACATGCATGGACAGTCCCCAGAAGTTAGAACCATATGCATAATCCAATTTGATTTGGAAGAGTTTTTACATGTTCGCCACAAGACACAATGCAAACGCGCGATTTCTTTTGGCTTAAAGAAATTTGTGTCCTTATATTTTCTTTATTATTAGTATAATAACGATTAAAGAAAAAGTTTATTAACATTCACTAGAGTTAAAAAGAAAACTTGACTGGCGTGTTATTCACTTATTGTTTTAAAATAATTTCAGTTCGTATATCTTATAAGTAGGACCGGAGAAAATATTAAATATTAGAAGTGTTAATGAAACTTGATTACGAGTTGCAACTTGCATCCACATTCCACAGGACTACCTAATGAACAATACTACCCCAAAAATTAGTAGTATAGTAAGGTTAGGGATTAAGGGATGCCAAATAATTGAGGACCAAATGGTTTTGTGCGGTTGAGATTAAAAAGACAACCCAAGTGGCATATGGTAGCTAGGTCGAAGATCCAACGTAAACAACAAAGTTCAACACTTTGCACTTTAAAGTTTTAATTAGGTCAGATCATTGCGAGCAAATCAGAAAAACTTTAATTACATATTGGAATCGGACAAAACGAGTTAACAAGTGGGCAAGTGTTTTTTTTCCCCTTCTCAAAAAAACAACATAAATTTAGGCACTCTCTTGAATGCCGGTCCTAATCACATCAAATTCAAAGTGGGAGATGTACCAAATGAAACCCGACAATACTTTTTAACTTGTAAGGATTGCAAATTTCCGCAATTGATGTATTGTGTAAGTACTGTCTAACATTTTTTCCGTCCCAAAATAAAACGTTCAATTTACAAAATAATTTAAATTTCGAGTCAAAAACCATGGAGCAAATACTCCGAATAGGTGATCCTGTTATAGAAAAGTATGTCTTCAATCTAAGTAGGACCAGTAATTAGCAACTTGAAAGTCGGTGTCGCTTCCAAGTTTGCAACTTGCAGTCAAGATTCATTCACAGGGAACTGATCAAGTTGTGGGATTTTCGCAAAGGCAAGTATACGAGTATCACATACGGTATCCACAGATATTTTACACCACTTGCTTGATATTTCTAGATCGTCGAGTACAGTTATGTTTACATTAGATTAATCGTTGAAAATAGTGTTAATCAGCTTAATAGTTTTTTGTTTTTTTTAATTATACTTATAAAACTCTAACAGTTATTATCAAAGTGTCACATTAAAGGGATGTCAACTCTTGGCCATATCCAAAGCATAGTTTAAGAGTTTCATATATCAAAAAGCCACCGGGGGCAGCGTAGAGTCGCCTCCGTCAAATTGAGCAATTATTAATAAAATTAACACAAAAATTTGAAGAAGGAAGTCACAGTCATGGGGCACTTGATGGTGTGTGGTGCCCCTTTTAAAAATTAACGTTTTAATATGGGGTTGTCTCCTCCATGTCTCTTTTAGTATCAACTGGTCGGAAGAAGTGAAGAAGTAGCGGTTGAGGTTTTCGCTCTGCCTTTGGGACAACTAACATGGAGCTTTGTGTTATCTTATCCGGGACAATAGTTCTAGGAAAAGTATATAAGACCAATAAATCACAACTCAAAATGCTAAAAACATTAATTCGATAACAAGTAAAATAAGAAGGAAAAAAAGAAGAAGAAGTAAGAATGAAGTTTTTATGTCACGATCTTACCCTCCATGGCGACATGAATGTAAAGGATTTCCTTTGATTTCAACAAATTACTGACTTCGTCGGCGTATTGACATCTTTGTAATTTGAAATTTGAGTTTACCTGCATATGCCAAGAAAACAAAACCACATATGGCCAATAGGTTGAGGGGGACAAAAAAAAAATAATAATAATTGACAAAGAAAGAGAAGGTAGCAACTAGCAAGTGGGGAAAAGAAAATAGTTAATGCTCCACAGTTCAACGTATTTGGCCCTAATTATGCTTTGCTTATCTATATTCACTTAATTAATTATTGTTCATTCAAGCTCTCATTCACCGTAAAGCGAGAAAAGGACTTTCCTTTTAATCTTTTATACTACAGTGGATGGTAACACATCCAAATTAACACAATCTGTTCGTTAGTCTGATTTCACATTTTATTATGCCCACTTTTATTATTTATATTATGTGATGTTTGATCTCGGCCAGGGAGGTAAACTTAACCTGTTTATACCTTTACAAGGATAGATTGAGGATTAAAAAAAAAAAACTTTGAAAAAGGATAATAATGTTCATGTTTCGTTCGTCTCAAAACGAAATGTTATGTTATGACATTTTTTTTCTTCCTAATAATCCTATAAAGGCTCGGTTTATATGTTTTTAGATATTTTTTATATTTATTAAAAAAAGGAAACAAAGATATGTTACTTGTGCAATGATCTTTGGGGGAAGGGGAAAAGAAAAGGAAAAATGTCCAATTAATTTGGTCCGCAGAAGAACGTGTTGGGACCAGTCCCACTGGGGCGGAGATTGCAGAAACAGGATAAAGCCCCCGGCTTCGCTGACTCATCAAAATGGAATTGGATAAACCCTTCCGTTCTGTCTTTCCAATTTCCATATCATTGCCAGCCATGAAATCCAGGCTGAAGGCCCCATATTATTCACTATTTCCCCCACTGTTAAAACCTTCTTCTCACGTGTCACCACTGTCAAAACCCGTCCCAGCCTCTTCTATAAATACCCCATTTCCTCGGAGACCAACCATATCGCCAAAATCTATAACCGTTGCTAAAAGAGATTCTATCGCTTGCAAAATCCACAACTATGTTATCCTCCTCCAGTATCCGACCCTTTTCTCAATTTCCCCATAGATTCGCCGGCGAATCTTCCTTGCCGCCGACTTCCACCGTCACTTTCCGGCAATCCAGACCATCGGCGGTTGTTTGCTCTTCCGCTGCTACCACGATCTCGAAGCCGGCCTCTGCTCCGTCGTCGTTTTACGAGGTTTTGGGGATCCCGATGGGGGCAACGAATAATGAAATCAAATCGGCGTATCGGAAACTAGTCAGGGTTTGCCATCCTGACGTGGCAGCCATTGATGACAAAAGCTCGTCGGCGGACGAGTTCATGAAGGTTCACACTGCATATTGCACCTTATCTGATCCGGAAAAAAGAGCAGATTATGACCGTCGGATCTTCCGGAATAACAGGGGATCGCGGTTGTATTCCATGTCGTCGCCGACAATGCCCAGGTATTCCGGCTATGTCAGCCGGAATTGGGAGACTGACCAGTGCTGGTAGAGAGAATTTAGAGAATAGGAGTGATTAATTTTACTACTTTTTTCCAAAAATCAACCTAAAAGCAAAGTAACACAGTGTGAATATACTAGTAATACGACGACTGATTATAGTTTGAAAGCCAACATAGATTGAGATTTAGTGTTTAGGAGTGTAATTTTCTGCTCTGTTTTTCATTTTCCCGGCATGCACTGTGCAGAATGTGAAAAGTGAAAAGCAAAATGTAAAAATCTACTGTATTTACTGTTCATTATTAGTCTTGTTGAAGAAAAGGAAGACATCTGGTATCAAAAAGTTTGAGCGTATGGACTTAAAAATCTTTCATTGGCTTGTTGCGGCTATGGAGGTGATGATTTTCTTGTTGTTATCCTGTATTTCATCAATGTTAAAAGAATCAAGATTCATCAAATCGAATAGTAACATCGGATGAAAATTAAATCAATAATTTTCTTTTTACAAAAATGACTTCTTCCATGTTACAGTAATCTCATTTTCCACTGCGAATCCTAAACGGGGGATTTTGTCAGGTCAATGGTATCATTAGGTTTCTTGTGCTCAAACAAGATCCCCTCTTTCATTAGTAAATGTAGACATTTACTGGCATATCATTCAAAACTTTACGCCTATGATCGCTGAAAAAATATGTAAAGAGTGTTTTTTTTTTTTTTTTTTGGTTTACATCAACTTGCCGAAGTTCTATCGGTACAAAGGTGTGGCTTAACTTTTAGGGAGTTTGTACGGACCGACAGATTGACAGTGATGGTGACGTCCCTGTGGATTAGTTGTGTACTGCGATTGTGTACCCTCACTGTACCGTGTGTATATGTTGTGTAAAACGTTTGACGGCAACACCAGATTAGATAACCTATGATCACCTCCTAAACCTTCATTTAATTCGCTGATAATTCGATTTCGTTTCTTCTTCTTCCTATTTAGAACTTCTTTGTAACACAGTGAGTTTAAAAAATACTACTTTTGTCTCAAAGTTTTTGTATGAGTTTAAATTTTTTATTGTTAGTTTAATTTGTATTAAAACTTAAAATTTTAATAAATTGGACAATAGACAAAAGGAAGAAGATAAATCAGAATCAAACAAGCATGACAATAATTTCATGGACAAAGGAGAATTTAAAAAAATGTTATAATAATAGCGATCCAAACTTAAACCAAATACGTCATTTGGATTCATGAATCCATTATTATTCAAATCAAATCCCTCGTCATTCAAATCAAATGTGTTTCCTGATTCCGTTTCGGTTTCCAGATGACATAACAAACGGCTGCTGAAGCTTAAATTTGATGAGTGAGCGTTGGAATTCGGATTCAGTCCATCATCTGATCTGGTCTATTTGGGGGGTATCCAGTGTGCATCACAATCAAGGAACGACAATTGTGATTGCTATATTTTAAAGTAAAGAAAAAGTTGGAGTGACCTTCGGAGTCTGGAAGTTGGAACTACATCCAAAATTTCTGCTGAACCCATGGAAGTCAAAGTATGGACTATATCCATCACACATTCACAGAAGGGATAAATTCAATTGATGATGCAACTTTGCATCTATTGGGACAATGATTTTCTTTTATGAATAAATTTTGTAGTTTGTAGTACTAACTTTACCTATTCTAATTTCTCTCGAGTCAAGAAAATGAACTCCGATTGATAGATAATATATTTTATATTTTTCAATATTCAATTTCAGCTTTTGAGGTCTTTTGATTTCAAAATCCCTAATCGTAAATCGTAATTGACTCCTGCCCCCCATTTCTTACTCTTGGATGAGTTGACAATTGGCATCCTTGGATAGTTTGGATATTAATTTTGGTGCAAGTCTTTCCATTGCAACCCTCGATACAAAATGCAATACAATTTCCGGTACATTGCCTTTTGCCGTAGCTGATGACCGGAGTTTGACTCCTTCCCTGTTGAGTTATCATCACAAAGTCACCCGTCCCCTTATCATTTGGTTTCTGGTATTCCCTTCAAATGCTACAACACCCTTTGTCCCAAATTATCTCTGGATTTGCTTTTCCTCTCAACACTGGAATATTTTATTACAGAATTTACTTACAGTAGGCGACTACTTTATCATTTTCTTTTTTTCCTAAAGAAAACTAAAAATGCCCTCAACGTAACTTATATTAAACCAAAGATTTCAGAGATCCAATAAAAGGCGTATGTAACTGTATCTATCTCCATTCTCCATCATGACTGATGAATTCTCCTCCTCCAATGACCAAACATAATGAGAATGACTCCTTTTGGCCTTCGACTTCTTACAGCACAGAAGGGGCGTTTTTTTTCACCATTCTTCAACTAATCCGACAAATGACAAGACGTGTTTACTCATGCAATTATCACTATTTTTTATTTTCTAGTATTATACATATCGATTACGATATGATGCCCAAAACTGCCATCCCTGCCAAAAAATAATTATAATCTTTTGTTATAAAACAATAAAAGAGACCAAACTTTAAATCATGAAATGATACATTGCGTGGATAAGTAATTCCAACCAAATCGTATCTAATCGCAATTTTAATCTCCAACACCACATGAAACAAGAGTTTCTAAATAAATACTCCCTCCATTCTTCCAAAAAAAAAAAAGTTCTTTTCATTGAATTAAAACAGTGCAATAAAATTGACTATTTTTGTAGGATGTAAAAAGAGTATTGTCCAATCTCAAGTAATGTTTTTACTATTGCAAACTATTTCTAGTGTTTTTTTTTTTGTTGGGGGGTTAGATAAATGACAGTACGTTCCCACAAAAAAGTCTTTGGACTTCAGAGCATCGAAAATGTACAGGCCCAAAGAAAGGCCTTGGACCAAGATTTCGGCTTGATATAGGCTTGTATTCCTTAATAGTGGGCCGATATAGTTCTAGTTGCCGAAGCTGTAGTGGCGATCACTTATCACTACTCACGCTCACTCAGTGTGGGGTTGTGCTCCAGTGACATTTCTAACATAACTGATATGGATTTCCAATGATCTCATTTGATTATGCATTTCTAGCGTTTTAGATTTCTCAATTGAACCCACCGCTATTATGAAACGTCACACACACACACACACACACACACACGCACAGAAAGTACATCCTATTAGAAGAAATGTTCTATGAACAGAGCCACTGTCGAGAAGTAGGAGCCGCATCCGTAACCATAACCGGTTAAATGTTTTATGCACAGAGCAAGCGTATTTTGATACCCAAAAGGAAGGGTCTATATACTGTATATGATTTGAAATTGGAGAGTGAATTGGGTCCATAACACCATCCTTGGGTACAGTTTTTTGCCAACTGCATTTTTTGGTCAGAAGCATGAAATTGGAAGGGGGGCCAACGCAAACCCTTTTTATCTCCGAACCGCACGTACGGATTCACGTGGTACTAGCTGCGGTTGATGATGCATGACACCAGAATCCTAGATTACACTGTATGAGCACTCGAATTCCCGATTTTTCCAAATTGTAGTCTAAATACATTTTTACAACATAGTAAAATTACAAAAGATTAATTAAAAAAGAAAGAAGAAAAAGAAAAAGAGGCGATTTTCATGTGGAGGAATTTAATAACACAAAAAACAAATATCATACATGGTGCATCTCAAAACATCATGAACATTGTGCTCACCTAGCTAATACTATTACATATCCGATCGCATGGTTTCCCGGGCGCATCTCAAAACATCATGGACATGGTGTTCACCTAGCTAATATATATCACCAATTAGCACATAATCAGGTATATATTTCTGTATGTGACTTGGACATCAGCAAACGATGTCAGTATAACTAGGTATGAATGTGATGCTTTCGATCGTAATACCGCACGTACGTATCAATCACATCTGAAGTTTTGTGATGATGAAATTCAAAGAAAGAAAATAAAATGCATCGTTGTTGATGCCTGGCTTAGTCCATGCTTGGTTGGCGCATATTAATTTACCTGTCATGGAGAATATTTTTTCCAGGATGCAATTTTCGCAATATGGCCCCCAAATAAGATGATATAAAGGTCCAAATTCTGCCCTATGCATGTTTCCCATAAAAAGACACACCACAGGGGGTCGTCGTCCGGCATGCCTTCCGAATGATTTTTAGGTTGGCTATCCGTTCTTTCATGACTTTCTGCTCCAGCTAGGAAAGAAAAAATATAGAACGCTCCATGTCCAAAGGTTTTTTGAACTGTATATAAAATGCAATCCAATTTTTCGGCTGTTAATGTCGCAAAAATCTAAACTCAGTACGTATATTATAAGCGCTTATTTTTTGTAAGCAATGTAACGTATCAAATTGAATAAAAAAATGATAAGTGATACCACCATCTATGGTAATATATGGAGTATGGATCTAATGGTACGTGCATACACCATTTTTAAATTATTTGTCGTCCTCGGTGATCTTCAGAAAAGTTCATATGTAAAGAATGAAATTTATTGGTTGGATTGTCAACTTCGATGTTCCATTTCTAGGGTTGCTTCAAAGTAACGACGGGATATCGACGAAAGGATGCCAAAACACACGAACTTTCTAATATTTGCTCCATCAGGACCAGTGTGTGATAACATATTTGACATGTCCTGGGAAAATAATTTAAAAGAAAATGATTCTCCATATCTATATCATTTCTTGTCCTCAGCACATAATCATTTCGAAGATCGTCAAAAATGGACAAATTTAACCAAATTTTTGCATCTTCCTTCTTTGTTGTGTAGCATTTTATGACCCAACAATTCTTATTTCTTGGTTTATTTTACTTGACACAAACATAGATAAAATCTATGATTTAGACAAGCAATGTTACAACCATCGATCATTATGTAATTTTTGCAAACCTAAACTCTTTGAAGTCCTTCAATTATTGTAGAAGAATGAATAGTAAAGGGACATTACACGTCCATCTTGAAAGTGAAAACATGTGACAGTTCCTTGGTTAATTTAGGTGGGCTAGATAGTGCCATTTACGTATCTGTTCTTCAAGGCAAGTTTTTTTTTTTTTTTTTTTTCAGGTGGAACCTATCTGCAGTTCAATCCATCTTGAATTGATATTTGAACGGCTGCAATTCTGTATAATGCACATGCATGGTTATGCAACTTGAAACAGAGAATTTTGTGCGAGATTTACGAGAGCAGTCAATGATTGAATACCAAATTATATCGTCCTTGTATGTTTCTTTGTACCTTTTTTATTTTTTTTTCCCCTCTTTTTAAATTATCACGACAAAACAAATCTCATATTACCGTTCTTAACTTCTTATACCGTGGAATTGTGCTTAGAACACATCATAATCAATCGTTGATACCATAAATCTTAAAACTCCCCGGCCGTTTCATGATATAATGAAGGGACATTTGTATGCAATCTTACCAATTGCTCTTTAGAACACCTAAACTTTTAATTTTTAAGTACTTTAATGTGCAACGTCCTTCTATCTTTTTTTTTTAAAAAAAAAAATTATTTCTTTGTTTTTTAGGACGAACATTTCAATTGCGTGACATCTACAGCTATTTGGTTTAGAATAGAGAAGAAGCTTCACTTGTTATTTTCATGTCATAGTTCAGATATATCGATCCTTTTGATTGAAACGTCCGGTTAACATAATAACTCTCTATCGATCAATTAGTGTAGTGGAGTACAAAAAATGTTTTATCTTGACAATATGTTTCAGTTACTTATGGTAAACCATTTGGCCCACACTATAGTGTCTTTGATAGTGAAATTAATTAGAATAAAAGACAGAGCAAACAAGTACTTCCTTTGTCTCGTAAAAACAGTGCTCTCTCCGTCTCATAATTATTGTCCAGTTTAAGTTTTTATTTCTAGTTCAAATTATACTAAAAGTGAAATCTCAAACTGGATAATAATTATGGGACATAGAGAGTACATATTATAAATTATGATTGTTTTAGAATAATTTTTAATGTGAATTATTTTTGTGATACGAGGAGAACATTTGACCATTAATTTTTGGTAACCATCCAAATTCTCACAAGAAAAAATAAACAGAAAGCCAACGGCGCTTAAATGCATGTTGATCGTCTAAGATGCCAGGTCCCATTGTCAAATCCCTCCAACTCCAAGGATAGCAAAGTTGTGGCAGATGGAGCTGGAAATGGAGATGTGATTTGAAGATGAGATGCGCTGCAAATATCATCAGTATTATTGTTAAGCAATACATATACGACTAATACGAGACAGTTTGATGTAGAAATGTTCTATTTTACTAGGATGTTTTTACTTTTGACTAAGTTTTGTTTCCCCCCAACACTATCTATCATCATGATCATGAATTAATGATGATTAATTCCTTTGCTTTAGAAAATAAATCAACTTTGTGGTATTGTTTTAGTTTTAACGAATTATTTATACCTCTGAGAAAGGAGATCAATATCCTTCAACCGTAGCTATATGGCCTCAAATTATTATTCTTTGAGGGAAAAGAAGAAGAAGGAGATATTTAGACTTAACCGCAGCAAGAACTGATCAAGGAATGCTAAATGATCTAACCAGCAGGCGCCAGCTAGAATATCAAAACATGTCTCTGCTGATGCACAATTCAGATGATTAGCAATCACGAGTAATACAATTATCTTCCCTCCTAAGTCCCAAGTCCTAGCCCAACACTAGTACTGTCTAATTCCCTGAGAATCATTTGAGTATTTAATTAGTTTGGGAAGCATAGAACACATAAATTTGGGCAATAAACATTCATGTAACAAATACAGTCACGTTGATTAAGTATAAGTATATGTTCTCGCTCCAAAATAATTACTCGGTTTAGATTTTTTTTCATTATATTTTGAGACGGAAGGTCTCAAATTCTGAATTCCCTTTGTATCCATCCAATTGGAAGTTTGAAAAGCGAAAGTTGGCGGCTACCAATCAACCTTCCCTGCTGAAAAGTCTAAGTCCAGTGGAACTTGGTCAACGTCAAAACGGCGAGGCCTATGACTAATGGGCAGAACACATGGGCCTAATATAAGGTGCGATTTCAAGTGCCCAACCCATCTAAACCCCCCAATCAAAAAATAATTACCGTTTAATTGTACATAGTTGGTAGTCTTAAACCAAAAATAGTTGGGGATGGATTTTGGAATCAAATGTCAAAGTGAATTTAGGGGGAAGATTTGGATTCAACTGCAAGGATTGCGTTTGAGGAAATGGGAAGGGGAATGATGAAGATGAAGAAGAAGCATAATTGTATGCGGAATTGCCTGTCCTTTGATTTTGGAATATATTGTGCTCGCATTTTTTTGCGGCACTGATGGCGCCGGCAACCGCATAAAAACACACAATATTTACTTACGTACGTGCAAGGAGGTAACACCGCACACCCGGATTACTAAGCTCTTGCTTGCAATTTAGTTAAATTCTTGAAAAGATGATCTATAAATTTCTTATTTCCCCAATTAAAAGAGATAAAGGTTATGCGTTATTACTCAAAAAACAGAAAAATGGAAGGTATAACCACTTTTGGGAACATATTATTCGGCCCACCAGATATGTATATGATTGTAGGACGTGTTTTCTAAAATATTAAAATCATATCACATTCATATGTTCTATAAAAAAAAAAAAAGAGGATTGATAGAATTGTCCAACTACTTTCAATACCTTAGCTTAAAAAACAAAAACAAAAAACGAATTTAGATACAGCAGTTGGGGCATGGACCATCAATTATCGTATGGCACATAAATAAACTCAACCAACCCAATCCCGGTAACTAAGACACAGCACCAAGCAAGCATTTCCCAATTATTGCATAAGATGTGAAAAGAGAGGGGATAAAATGGAATTCTGCCAGGCCTAATTCCATTGCAGGGGATATTGAGACAAAGCCGCTCGTTATTGCAAAATGTACCTTCACATATGATATACAGATACATTTTAAGAAAATTGTGATAGCTTTTTCTAACCCCAAAAAAAAGGCACGAAGTGTATGTATACCATAAGATTATGCGACTTTAGATACTTTTGACCCGATAAGCATGTTTAAACTTTCTCATTGTTGATATTGCAACAAAGCTGCTCTTTCCCAATTGACACTGAATTAACATCTTTCAAATAGTATCTCTCAAGAACAATGACGACTCTTTAGTAGAGGGAAATCAAGTAACAGATTTTTACACGTCAAGTGCAATCAAAACGTAAATTCTTTCAAATAAAACTTCTGCAACCAACATTATTTATAAGCGTAAACGTGATAAAACTATCGTGATACTTACTAAAACAAATTTACTGGTATTCGAGCATTGATTTTGAACTGTAGGTATGAATCACCAACAAAAATTATTTTTACTCAAGTGTCATTTGAGATTTGACATTGACACCCTTCAAACTAAGACCGACCTCACAAAAACGTTTGTCACAAATGGCAATCTGGGCGTATTCAATATTCATAACAATTGTAAAAGAAGACATACATGTTGGAAACAATTACATTAAATGGCTGCAATTAATTTAAAAAGAAATGACAAATACTTGTAGATAAAATATTTTAATCACACGGATAACCGTAAACATCAATATTTTCCCAATTTCACAACTAGTATGAAATGAAATACGCACAGTTCAACATTATTAAATATTTTTTTGTCCTAGGGTGGAGGCCCATGCCAAAAGGAAGTTGTTAATATGACAGCCAATTCAGTTATTATAATATTGTTTATGTATCAGTACAAAAAATAAACGGATTTTCTTCTTTCCTTTCTATGATTCCCATTTACAAATACACAATCAAAGTACTACAATATTAATTTTTTTTTCCCAGTAAATATATTTTTCTGGAATACCACCAAACAGAGTGTACAGCAAGCACCATCAATAGCATCATCTGCTTCAGTCCAACCTGTCAGGCAAAAGATTTTCAGTATAAAATAGTAGTAAAGGGGCACTAGCTCTTATTCTCTGACCTAAAAAGAAAAAAAAAGGTTACCAAAAACCTTCCCTTAAACCGCGTTTGACCTTGTAAAACCAGTCTATTTTCTTACAAGTCATTTCCTCCATTTTTTTTTGCTCCAATTGCTGCATTTCTCTTTCCTTTTAACAAATGTAATAAACTCACCCCAAACACCATAACCGAAGAGGACTCTTCAAAGTCAATTCTTTTCCTCTTCTTCTTCTTCTTCTTCTAGCTCATCTGAGCACCATTTCAATTTTTTTTTGGATTCAGTTTAGGATACAAAAATCGAAATCCCACCTTGGATTTGATCTCGTGGGTGTTCCCCTGTCTCGATTTGTGGAAATCAAGGGAACTATTCTAGGAAAGATTCGAACTTGGTTGTGAAAGCTTGCATCTTTGACTTCTGATCTGGGCATTTGGAATTTGGTTCGCCGGCCTTTGATTGGATGGCGGATATTGTGCAAGAGATCCTTGTGAAGCCAATCCAATTAGCTGACCAAGTGTGCAAGGCCGCCGATGAGGCCAATTCGTTTAAGCAAGAGTGTGGGGAGCTGAAAGCCAAGACCGAAAAGCTGGCGGCTCTTCTCCGGCAAGCGGCGAGGGCCAGTAACGATCTCTATGAGCGGCCTACACGGCGAATCATACTTGATACCGAGCAAGCCTTGGACAGGGCACTTGGACTTGTGTTGAAATGCCGTGGAAATGGGCTTGTGAAGAGGGTTTTCACCATCATTCCCACCGCCGCATTCAGGAAGATGTCTTCTCAGCTCGAGAATTCCATCGGCGACGTGTCGTGGCTCCTCCGTGTGTCTGCTCCGGCGGAGGACCGGGGCGATGAGTACTTGGGCCTCCCTCCCATCGCCGCAAATGAGCCCATTCTGTGCCTAATTTGGGAACAGATCGCGATTCTGTACACCGGGTCGCTGGAGGATCGATCCGATGCGGCGGCTTCATTGGTGTCTTTGGCTCGAGATAATGACAGGTACGGGAAATTGATCATTGAAGAAGGAGGGGTTGGGCCTTTGTTGAAGCTGTTGAAAGAAGGGAAGATTGAGGGACAGGAGAATGCTGCCAGGGCTATTGGTCTTCTTGGAAGGGACCAGGAAAGTGTGGAGCACATGTTACATGCGGGTGTGTGCTCAGTGTTTGCGAAAATCCTCAAAGAAGGTCCTATGAAGGTTCAGGCAGTGGTGGCTTGGGCTGTTTCAGAATTAGCTGCTCATTATCCCAAGTGTCAAGATCTTTTTGCCCAGAACAACATTATTCGGTTGCTGGTGGGTCATTTGGCGTTTGAGACAGTTCAAGAACATAGTAAGTATGCTATCCCTAGTAAAGCCACATCCATCAGCCAAGTTGTTCTAGCGGGTAGTAATAATTCAAATGTGCAAAAGAATGCGAATAACAGGGGAGATGATGATGAGAGGCTACGGATTCCTCATCCAGGAGGAAATAAACAGTCTTATAATATGCATAATGTGGTTACTACTACTATGGCTATGAAGGATCAACTCAAGCAGCCAGCCCTCAATGGGGTGAATCAAGCTAATACTCCCAAGAATGGTGCCACTGTGAATGGAAAGCAAAGTCATGGCACCAACCATCATCAGCAACCAAGTCTTTCCCTATCTGGTGTTAACAATAAAGGGAGGGAATTTGAGGAGCCTACTACTAAGGCCTACATGAAGGCAATGGCTGCAAGAGCACTCTGGCAACTTGCCAAGAGAAATTCTCCCATTTGTCGCAGCATTACTGAGTCAAGGGCACTGTTGTGTTTTGCGGTTCTCTTGGAGAAAGGTCCTGAAGATGTACAGTTTAATTCTGCTATGGCACTAATGGAAATTACTGCTGTTGCAGAACAGGACTCCGAGTTGAGAAGGGCTGCATTCAAGCCCAACTCCCCTGCCTGTAAAGCTGTTGTTGATCAGTTGCTGATCATCATTGAGAAGGCCGATTCTGAACTATTGTTGCCTTGTATAAAGTCCATTGGGAATCTGGCTAGGACTTTTAGGGCAACGGAAACCAGAATGATCTCTCCATTAGTGAAGCTGCTTGATGAGAGGGAAGCTGAGGTTACCATGGAAGCTTGCATTGCCCTGACAAAATTCGCCTGCAAAGAGAATTACTTGCACTTGGATCACTCAAAGGCTATCATAGGTGCTGGAGGGGCAAAGCACTTGGTTCAATTGGTGTATTTCGGTGAACATGGTGTTCAGAGATTTGCTGCGGCTCTTTTATCCTACATTGCACTCCATGTTGCTGACAGTGAAGAACTTGCTCAGGCAGAGGTGCTTACTGTGCTAGAATGGGCATCAAAACAAGGGTTTGTGAACCAAGATGAAAAGCTCAAGAACTTGTTAATAGAAGCCAAAGAAAGATTGGAGCTCTATCAATTGAAAGGATCAAGAGGATTCCACTGAATTGGTCCACAATTTTCGCAACCTGTACGTTCCTCACAGAATCCACCCTTCTAGCACTAAATATATTCTTACTAGGATGGTTTGTAAATAAGATTAGTTGCTGTTGCTACAAGTGTTTAAAACAACATATTTATTTACCTTGCCATTTGGGGTTTGTGCTTTTTCTGCAACATTCATTTTTGTGATGTAATGGTATCTCATAAGACAGATTCAATAGAATGTAGAGATTCTTTAGACTCATTGTTAACTGTTTGCCAGTTTAGTGAATTTATCTTCCACCTTTTCCATAGGAAGATATGTTGTATTACTCTGTTCTCTTCAGTTTAGAGAAGACATGCTTAATTAATTTTGCATTATGAGTTTAGCTTCCATTAGTAAGTTTTGTATTGAACTAATTTGGATTCTACAAGTTTTAGTTATACAAGACTTCCTGCATCAATTATGGCTTGCTCCACTTTGTTAGGCTGTTATAGGATTGAGTTTGATCCAGAAATTGTACAAATTTAGGTTACATTCTGGTTGAAGTAAAGACCCGGGTGGTTTAGTTGCATCTGCATCTCGCGTCATCTATTTGGGTTGGTGAAAAACAACTATTGAGTACATTGGTCATCTTCAAAATTGTATCAGTGGGTAGATGTTGATCAGTTGACTGAACGAACACCTTTAAGGTAGACTTTTCAACTTGACTGTTCTCACTAGGTGAAGCTGCAGCTTCTTATAGTCTTTGGACATTAAAAAAATGCTGCAACTTCGATTATCATTCCAAGACTTGAACAGCTTGACCTCTGCACCAAACTCACGCACATTTGAATCCTGGTAAGAAAACTTCTACGGTTCTACGTCACCTCATTGTCATTGAGCCACTTAAACTTGAGCAGCCATCCAGTTCAACTGGTCAAAGCTGAATTCGTTTCCCGCCATAATTACTCTGTATGAATGCTCAAGCTGTAAACAAACGAATAACTAGCACTGTTAAATCACTAAAGCATATGGCGTTAATGAGCGTGATTGTTAATAAAAGCTGTTCCAGTTTGCTAGCATGATATTACACGAAGTTGTGAACCTGGTGACAGAAAAGAAACAGGGTAGAAGGGAGGAATCATTGTGATATGCTTACATAGTAAGAGAGGGCATACCATAGACCTCAATTCCTGAAGAAAGTTTGCAGCCCAGAGGCCTCAAAGTTAGCTGGCAACAGAGACATCTGTGTGAGGCAAGCATTTGGAGTATGGGCTGTAGGACGATATCGAGATAGTCCATTCTCTCCTACAGAAGCAGGAAGGAGTGCAGAATCTACTTGTTCTAACTGAGTATATTAAAGGTAATGATTTCCTTATGCAATAGAACTACTCTCCGTGAAAATGCTTGGAAGGGGTGCATTGTTACAATACAACTGGTTCAGACCTTATCTTCGGCGATGCTGTCCAACGGTAAAATGGTTAAGTTATCCTTTTTTATCTTTTCCTATCAAGAGTACATTTATAGAACACACAAAATAATATGCAGTGGATGATCAATTGACGGTGGGTTTATATATCATTTCAGAGCAATTTAAATTCGAACTGTGATTCTTTGGAGCGGTCTCTACGTGACTTCATTGGTTTCCACATATGGTCAATTGGTTGTCAATACCTTTATGATCCTTGATGATATTAGACCGTGATTCCAACATAATGTGATGAAAGTTACATTCTTTGGATATGTGGGGAGAAAATTAATGAAATTTCATGTTCATTTATTACTTCTTTTTATAATATTCTACTAATTTTTTTGTAAAAAAAGGTTCAAACGTTTTTTGAATAATAGTCCCAATAGTATTTCCCTCATAAAATGGTTTTGCCAGGGCACCAATTAGCTTATCAATCACACAAACGGATATTTCCTTAGGCGAATCACCAAAAGACCAAATAGAATAACAAGAAGGAGCTTTATAACCACAGATTGTGACTGCAACCTATTGAAATATATACAGAAGAGGAGCTGAGATTAGGAAATCAGAGTCGTAGATTTTCATATTTTCTTATCCTCACAACAGCCACTGCATTCCCTCTCCACTCTCATCCACCCAATCTACAATCCTCAACAAAAATCCACCATTTCCTGTTTCTTTGGTTTCCCCCTTTCTTCATCAAATTACGATCTTTACTTCACATTACATTCTTTCTTCTTCTTTTTTTTATCAGCATTTCACTTCTCCCTAAGTCTTTCCTCTTTCTTCTGTTCTTAATCATGGCTACTGCAGTCACTGCTGCAGTGTCTCTTCCATCATCATCTAAATCATCTGCTTCTCTTTCCGCCAAAACTTCCATCCTTTCATCAGAAAGGATCAGCTTTAACAAGGTCTGACTATGATCACGTTTCCCTTTTCCTTATGGCGCTGTTAAAGATTAATTCTTTCTAATGTGGGTTCGATTTTGTTCTTTTTTACAGGTTCCTCTGTACTACAGAAATGTGTCTACAGGTGGGAAATTTGTGACAATCAGAGCCCAGGTCACTACTGAGGCACCTGCAACAGTTGTAAAGAAAGAATCCAAGAAAGATGATGAAGGTGTTGTTGTGAACAAATACAAGCCAAAGGACCCATATATTGGAAGATGCCTTCTTAACACCAAGATTACTGGTGATGATGCTCCTGGAGAAACTTGGCACATGGTCTTCACCACTGAAGGTAAGCCTGTCAATACTGCAGACATGTCTGTTATTGCAGCATAATACATGGTGTTTTGGTTAATTTGAACTGGACCATATAGAAATGTTGAGTAAATATCTGATTGATTGAATTGACCAGGTGAAATCCCTTACAGAGAAGGTCAGTCAATTGGGGTTATCCCTGATGGAGTTGACAAAAACGGAAAGCCTCACAAACTGAGGTTGTATTCAATTGCTAGCAGTGCTCTTGGTGATTTTGGAGATTCCAAAACGGTAGATTTCTACCTGAACCTGGTCACCATTGCCCTGTTTCATTCGGGATTTTCAGAGATTTTTGCTTGTTAATCACCTGCATTTAGCTTACAATACTGGATGAATTAGAGTTATGTTGACCTCGCTGTTTTTGTTTCCATTACATAGTGCTAAGCCTTTTCAAATTTGTATTTTAAGGTCTCTCTGTGCGTTAAGAGGCTTGTTTACACCAACGATCAAGGAGAAATAGTTAAAGGAGTTTGTTCTAACTTCTTATGTAAGCACTAAGCCCTCTCTTGCTCGTTCTACAGATTTTAATGATTATCTGAGACAGGCTTTGTTGCTATTTGAGATGTTAAAGAAAGTTGAAATTGTTCAATTTCATTTATTGAAATGTGTCCGTGTGTTAGGTGACTTGAAACCTGGATCTGAAGTGAAGATCACAGGACCTGTTGGGAAAGAAATGCTTATGCCAAAGGATCAAAATGCCACCATTATTATGGTATTGTAGATTATGAATTAAGGAAAAGAAAAATGTCTTTAATGCATTTACATTTTCTTCCAACATAAACGAACATTGCCATGACCGTAATGAATCTTGCAGCTTGGCACTGGAACAGGAATTGCTCCTTTCCGTTCTTTCTTATGGAAAATGTTTTTTGAGAAGCACGCAGATTACAAGGTAATACGGGTTGCTGTCTGTCATGAAAATTCTTAACTACTTTATTGTTCCATCCTAAAGTCCACATCAAGGTTATCAGTGAAATGGAATTTAAGTCTACATTCATTGTGGAGAGAACAAAAAGGCATTTGACATCTTAAATAGAGATTGTGAAAGATTTTCAATTGCTTGTTTGCCTTGACAAACGGAACTTAAAGTTGTATGACATGTTTGCCTCAACAAATGGAACTCAAGTTGTATGACCATGTTGTCTAAAACTATTACACTTTGCTCTATGTTCCGATATGTGTTTGAAAGTAATGATGCAAATGGATGACCATGATAATGCAGTTCAATGGTTTGGCATGGCTGTTCTTGGGTGTTCCAACAAGCAGCTCACTGCTTTACAAGGAGGTAAGTGTGTTAAATGTAGCACTTTCAACATATCCCCCATTGGCATTCAACAAGAAGATTGATCAATTTGTGGGATGGTATATTATTGATGGGGTACAGGAATTTGAGTTGATGAAAGAAAGACACCCAGAGAACTTCAGAGTAGATTTCGCAGTCAGCAGAGAGCAAACCAACGAGAAAGGTGAGAAGATGTACATCCAAACAAGGATGGCTCAGTATGCAGAAGAGTTATGGGAGCTACTGAAGAAAGACAACACCTATGTGTACATGTGTGGACTCAAAGGAATGGAGAAAGGAATTGATGACATTATGGTGTCATTGGCAGCCAAAGATGGTAACATATCATCTGTTTCTTTAAAGGCTTTACATATGTCAACATAGTGACATCATTTCGGTGTAATATTTTTGCTTATAAATTCCTGGCTGCAGAACAAATTTTTTAAGCTGTTCTTTATTTGCTGGTTTTGCAGGGATTGATTGGATTGAGTACAAAAGGCAGTTGAAGAAGGCTGAGCAATGGAATGTGGAAGTCTACTAAACCTCTCTGCCTTCTCTTTGTACAAATACTACAATAAATCATCTTCATGTGATTTTCGCTGCCTTATTGTTAGATAGGTAATATATATATATTTTTTGGGGTTATAATTTTGTATTTTTCTTTTCTTTTCATTTTTTTTTTTCGTGGAATGACCACTTTGTACTGTTATATTTTGCCCTCAGAAAATTATTTTTTCCTTGGGCCGGATCGTGAGGTATACTGACACGAAAAAACTTGAATCCAAAATGCTTTCGGCTTTTCTTAAGCATTATTTTTTCTGGTGGTAATGTATTAATTTTCTGGCATTCACCCTCATTAACAATTTGGCGTTTACCACTGAATGAATATTCGACTTTTGTGTGATTAGAAAAACGTTTAAAACAGATTGTAATAGTTCAAGTAAAATACGGTGCAGCCAAATGGCCTTGTTCATAGGATAAACACAACCCAAAAACCTTCTTCTTTCCGGTTATCGCATCCTGCGACCCTTTTAGCTGCCGTGTTTAATTGTAAGGTTCGGCTTCCCTTGTACAAATAGTTACAGTTCTTTCATATTTGGGGAAATCAGGTAAATGGGCTTCGCCTTTTAGGCTCTGTTTGATAAGCACTTAATATAGTGACTTAATTTATTTAAGTAATTATCAAACAGACTCTTAATGCCAGATTCAGATTAAGTGTTAAGTGTTAAGTGTTCAGATTCAGACTTCAGTGATTATCAAACAGACCCTTAGTGCCAGCCATTTGTCAAGCATTACTAGGAGATTCTAATGGCCACAAACAACGGGATTATGGCTTTTTTTCTGTGGGGGTCCTAAAACTACATTAATCTTTGAGGATATTGCACCTTTTCCCCCCTTTAATTTGAACGTCCCTGATATTTGTATCTCTACTACTTAATCTTGAGCCCAATTTGTTTTCCCCGATTATTGCATCTACTATATTTAATGCATAACGTGGTTTTTTTTTTGTCACATCTTACTCATTAAACAGTCTAATTAAAAATGATTACTGTAATTTATTTTTTGGGGGCATTATTAAACGGGTACTTTAAACCAACAATAAAAAATGCTGTAACCATAATTTCCTCACCAGATAGCTGCCCCACTAAAACAAACCCCGAAAAATCGGCAAATAAAAAGTATACGGAATAAATTTTAGACTTTTTACTCTAAAATGTCCTTTTTACGAAAAAAGATAAATAAAAGAAAATTGGGAAATAAGAAAAGCAGAGGGCACAACCCTAGTCCCGCTCTCAGTTTCCAACTAATCCTCTGTTTATAAGCAAAGGTAGAGATTATTTAAGCGCCGAATTGGTTTTTCTTTTTAGGGTTCTCTCTTCCATCGTTTTCCCCCTTCCTATTCCACAGACCCATTGTTGAGTTCTTCTAATCTTTTTTTGTTCCCCTAATTTTCTTTTTTTTTTTCGTTTTGACAATCTGGGTTTGGGATCAATGGCGGAGGAGATCACGAGGTCGACGGGTGTGGTTTCCAAGTTTAACGATCAGAAGGGCTATGGATTCATCAAGCCTGATGACGGCACCGAAGATCTCTTCGTTCATCAATCTGAGATCAGATCTGAGGGCTTCCGCTCTCTAAGGGAAGGCCAGGTTGTGGAGTTCATGGTTGCCCTGGAGAATGACAAGACTAAGGCTGTTGACGTTACCGGTCCTAATGGAGTTCCCCTTGATCGTGTTCGTGGTAGGGACGGCGGCGGTTTCGGTAGAAACAGCGGCCGTGGAGGTTCCGGTGGATATGGCTTTTCCGACGGCGGGTATAACCGGAGGAATGGGAATGGTTTCCGTAGCGGAGGTGGCGCTGAGTGTTATAATTGTGGCCGTGTTGGGCACATAGCTAGGGATTGTGACAGGGCCGCATCTGGCGGTGGCGGCGGTGGTATGGGTGGTACCGAGTGTTACAATTGCGGCCGGATTGGCCACTTGGCTAGGGACTGTGGGAACGCTGTAGGTGGAGGCGGTGGCGGAAGCGGCGGGGCTTGCTATAACTGTGGTGAATTTGGTCACATAGCCAGAGAGTGTATGCGTGGTAGCGGTGGCGGTGGCGGTGGCGGCCGTGGTGGTGGGTCCTGCTTTAATTGTGGTGGGCAGGGGCATATGGCTCGGGACTGTCCCAGTAGCGCTGGTGCAGGATCAGGTGGTGGTGGTGGCGGCAGCGGTTTCTCGAGGTTTAACACTAGTGGAAGCAAGTGTTATAACTGTGGAGAGTCTGGACACTTTGCCAGGGACTGCACTAGCACTGCTGCTTGAAAAGATTAACTGGCGAGATCATAGTAGTTGTACATGATCTTCCCTTTTTTTGCACTGATTACCGTTCTTTTAGTAGCGTATAAGCATGTTCGTTTTTTCTTCTTTTCTGCTTCTAATGTTTTGGTTGGGATATATATACATAGCATTAGCATGTGGATTCTTATGCGGCTTAGTATCAGTTGTAGTAGTTCCGTTTATGATTGATTTGGCTTGGCTATCCACTATTTTCACTATTTTGGTTCTCTTTGGAAGGCAATTTTTCTTGAATTGATGATATACAAGTATACAAGTGGTGGTTCGGTTCATGATGAGTTCTGTTCTGCTATATAGATGTTTTTGTTGGTTTTGTTTATAAATTTTTGCTTAATTAGAATTGTTTCCATTAAGCTGATGCTGGTGGAATCAAAAGCTCATGCCAATGTTATCGTTTTTTTGATGACACGTTAGTGTTTACATGATCCTGTATTCCCTGATGTTTTGCTGAAAACTAATTGAGATTGCTTGCCTTGTGAAAATGAATTACTTCTAGTAAGCAGGATGGCAACTTGGTTTTTGTGCGTGGTGCGCTTCACTCTTTATTATATGTTTACTTGAATCAAAAGTGATCAAAGTGATTAAACCCCCCTTCAGTTCTGTACATTTAACTTTAGTCTTCTGCCTTAGTCTTCTGCTAAGCCTAGCATTAGGCCTAGTTACCAGTTTCTGCTGAGCCTAGTTACCATCAGTGTTTAAGTATTTCAAGTCGGGGAGAATCCGTACTCATTAAGTGATCTCTTTGATGTTGTTCCTTTATCAGCTCAGCAATTTGTGATATTTTAGTCTATTGATGTTGCTCTTCCCCACGATCACGCTCTTATTTTGTCATATGATTCTTGTGTTGTTACATCATTATGTTCATTATTTAGGGAAGCAGTTTTATATTTTGATTCTTTTACTCATAGGTTTGCCTTGTCCTACAGAAAACTCTCTTGTCATTTTCATTCCCTCGATTGAAACAGGCCATATATGATTCTGGTTTCAGAATCTTTTTCGATGATCAAGTAAATTTCTGCTCTGCAGATACTCCTATATACAAATTTGCGTTTTGCCCTTGAAGTTACCTTGAACTTTTCAATTTTGTGGTTTCTGAACCTGGACCAACAGCGGTTAATGCCATGAGCCCAAATCAGTCAGATTTGTAATTCTAGAAAGTTGGGACCTAATGTGTTAGGTCCAGAGGCAATTCTCAAGTACTTGTAGCCCAATATCCAAATACTTCAGCTCTTGACGGGCCAGTTAGCAACTTTAATCGAATTGAACCTTTTCCAGCCTATGGTAGAGTAAAATTACAGTCCGCGCTTAGACTGTGCAGATCATGTTCCACTCAGGTTTCCTGTATCCCACACCATCATAAACGATAAACCATCCATATTAGGGTCAATTCGTCCATTCAAATGGAGTTAGTTTATTCTACAGGTTGGACTGCTCTTCGCGAAAGGATCCTCAAAACTGATGAACAAAATATTTAGAAACCAAATGGTTCGTGATGGACATACCATTAAGGAGAGATTATATATACACATGAAAATGGGATTGAAATGCTGTTTTTGCTTTAAGAAATCAAATACTAATGTTGATAGTAAAAAGTGAAACGTGTAATCTAGTGAGGTAAAGGCATATGTTGTTTGTTTGTACTTTGTACCATATATATACATGGGTCTGTTCAAAATCTGCAAAATGTAATGACGTTCTGTGTTAGCTTGACACATGAATTTATGCCTTCATCAAATGAAGTCGGTCATCCAGAAGCTTTCCAATTTTCTTAGATCTGAAGACACATAAAACAGACAGCAGCAGGTTTTTACTTTATTTCAAGTCCGTTGGGCAGACCAAAGGCTAAAAACAAAGCATCTTGTCCAGAAATCATGTGGATGATGATGACTGCAACCTTTGTCCCGATTACACCACTTCCGTAACACACACATCCCCGGTGTAACTGCTGATCACGATGAGACCCCCTTTTAAGTTTTTGAAGCGTCGGAGAATTTGCCCCCCAATCCTAGTAAACGAATAACTTGATCAATGGTTCATCGTCTTACGTCATCAGTCAAAATGTACTAAACAATGAGACCTAAAAATAGAAAATTATTATCATCTATTTTCACAGACTTTTTAGTGAATTACAACTTGACCGCGGTCAACATCATCTTCGTTCATCATTCTGACATTTTCCCAGTCCCGTCCTTGGGCTGGACTCAAGAAATCTTTCTTCAACTTGGATGAATGACAAGATTGGAGCCCACCCTCGCTCTCTGCAGCATTCAATCTGTGTAATCTAAATTAGTGCTAAAATAAAAGAGCCAAATCGAAAGGTTGTAAATTTGTAGTAGAGTAAATTAGTACTAAAATAAAAAATAAAAAAAAAAGCCAGATCAAAGGATTGTAATAGAGTAGTTGAGACTCTTCTATAACTAACCATTAGTCGGTGGTTCGAATCTTCAATCACCCGTTCTGATATGAAGTGACTTATAAATTTTATTTTATTTATTTATAGTTGTTCTATAATTCAATGAGGAAAAGGAGAGTCATTGTTAACAAGGGTGAATACATGTAAACATGCAAAAATAAAAGAAATCAAAAAAATAATGGCCTAAATAAGAGAAAATAAAATTAATACAGCTTCTGACACCGTCCAATCCAGTTTTCAGTGTCCATTATTAAGTCACCTCGATGTTCACCATCTCTCTTCGCAATATCCAAGAGTCCACCTTATAAACAAACATCAGCAGTCTTTTTCCCTTCTGAAAAATAACTGACACCAATAGTTATAAGTTATGGTTAATTTGCCTATTTAAGGACCTCCGTCCTTCAGTAGTAGTACATCTGATATTTTTCTACCTTAATTTAATCAAACCATATCATTTTAAAAATCCTCTTAATCCCAGGCAGACTCCTCCCTCCTTCATCCTTGCCGACTTACAGACTTTGGCGGTGTACTTATTCTTCTTCATCTCGATCGCTTCCCCACGGTTACACCGCCACAGCCCCACGTGACCGCCTTCCCTTTATATATAAACTCACCGTACCGTACTATTCCGACCCGGAATCCGTTCCATCTGTCTTTTTTTTTTTTTTTTCTGTATCTGCCCCTTCAACAAACCAAAATGGCTAGACTTATTCATCATCATTACTCATTTCCTCTTCTTTTTGTAATCTGCATGTATGCAGCTTTCCTTTCTGGTAAGTAATAGTTTTTGGGTCTTACTTTTCTTCTTTGGTATTATATAATTTTACGAATATTTGTTCATTAACTGGTATTTAATGAAATGTGTTTGTAGGGGTATATTCTGCGACATTTACGTTGGTAAACCAGTGCAGCTATACCGTGTGGCCGGGGTTATTATCCGGTGCCGGAACATCTCAACTCCCGTCGACGGGTTTAGTTCTCAACCCCGGGGAATCAACCTCCGTTCCCGTCCCTGCCGGATGGTCCGGAAGGATATGGGGCCGGACCTTCTGCGGCGAAGACCCCACCACCGGGAAATTCACCTGCGTCACCGGCGATTGCGGCTCCGGTACACTCGAATGCAATGGCGGCGGTGCCGCCCCGCCGGCGACCCTCGCGGAGTTTACCCTCAACGGAGCCGGCGGGCTGGACTTCTACGACGTGAGCTTGGTGGACGGGTATAACCTGCCCATGTTGGTGGTCCCACAAGGCGGTGGATCCGGTGGGAACTGCACGGCCACCGGTTGCGTTAGTGATCTCAATGCCGGTTGCCCGTCAGACCTTAAGATGATCGGAACGGGAACGAACGTGGCCGGGGAGTGCGTGGCTTGCAAAAGCGCGTGCGAAGCGTTCGGGGACCCAAGGTATTGCTGCAGCGGAGACTATTCGACGCCGCAGACATGCGGGCCCAGCTCGTACTCTGAGTACTTCAAGAGCGCGTGCCCACGAGCATACAGCTACGCCTACGACGACGGCACCAGCACCTTCACTTGCGCCGCCGCGGATTACATCATCAATTTCTGCCCAACTCCAGCTGCCAGGTTAGTTAGTTTCAGTTAACTTTTGCACATTTGTGAGCGTAACTCAAAATGCACCTTTTTTATAAAAAAAAATAAATAGAAAAAGAACTTTTTGGATTAAAGTAATTCTTCTTTTTCACTGTTTGATTGCAAATTGGTACATAATTGCATGGCTTCTACATCAGTTCAACTTGCTCGGTCAGCTTTTGATGTTAAATACTGCTTGTAATTGCGTAAATGATTTTAATTTAGTCATCAGGACATTCCTGATTCATCTATATTTAGCTTTCAAGTTGTCATTTTGTAGGACTCAGCTTTCATGATGAGATTTTACTCACTAAGTGATGAAATTTTACTATGTTTTCAATTATTATTTGGTTGTTTGTTTGTTTGGATGGTGGGAGTTGAATATGGGGGATTATTATTGATGAAAGCTCCATAATTAATGATAGTTAAGAAACATGACATTATCAACAGTTAATCTGGCCTCTATTTTTAGTCCAACCCTTGCCCCTTTTTACCCTATCTGGAGAGTTGCTTTTGGAGGTCTTCAAAGTGCAATATAATAAACTGTTTTTTTAAAACAAAAAATGGAAAAATTAAAACACGGCTAAATCAGGAATCTAAAAGGTGTTTGCTAATTTGAGTAAAAATATTAGACAAAGCATGTGAAGTTTTATGGGTGTTGACGTCAAAATTCGTCAACTAAGTTAGACGTACCACACTGGGGGAGGCCTGATTAATTTAGATGATTGTGATTTGGGTTTTTTTTTTTTTTCCTAAAGTCGGCTACGTTGGAGTTATCTGTGTATCTCACGTTACGTACTAACAAAATTTAGTACCAATAATTCTATACTTTATGTGTATTGTCTATTTGTGTTTGCCGTCCAAATTAAACTGCCTTTGTACTCTTTGCTCAATTCTAGTTAGTTTCGTACTTTGCTTTTCTCATCACGATTATTGTAGTTGATTAGTAGTACAGAGATTTGTCTTTCTTTCCAGTAGTAACATTTTTTTGTTATGGCTTTGGGATTAATGCAGTCAAAAAACAAGTGGATCCCAATCGGTCCAAACCGGCGGTGGAGGAAGGGAAGTTCCATTGGTCACAAGCGGCAGCGATTCTTTAAACCGGAGTCCATTCTTCCGGTTTGTCCCGTGTTTCATCGCTACTCTCTTGGTGGTTTTGGCAGTTTTCGGCGGTTGAGCTGCCGATTCCCATTTTTGGCCGACCAGAAATTGTTAAACCACACTCATCATCGAAAAGAAAATGAATTAGATATTTTACATTTGGTAGTATACATACACGACACGAGAGGCAGAAGATATTTCTAAGCCCATTTCCACATCGGAGTAATTTTGGGCCTTTGTATTGTAAGGGTCCACAAGAGATTTGACGAGTGCAAGTGTGCAACATAGCCAGCTTTGAAGGTGAAAGGGGATTTTTTGTTTTGTTTTTTTTTTTTAACCAAATGTGAAATTGTCCCAAGGACAAGGAAGAAGAATATTGAAGAAAGAACGGGCTGCAGAGTTCAGACAAGTGAAGAAGGCCAACAACAACATTATCGAATTTGGAACCGTCAAAATGAATATGATGAAGAAAGAGGTTGACAATTTTGCCGCCATAGTTGATTTTATCCCTACCCTTTATATTAGTTGTCTTTCTCATCAATTATCATTGGTTTGGGATTGAATGGGGAATTGAAGGGAAGCAAATTGGACGATGGATAGGTAGGCGGCTGCAAGCTGGTGTTTAGCGAACTAATTCATTGCTAACTTTGGCTTGAATTTCTTGTCTTGTCCATTGGGATTGGCTGCAACTAATCAAATTATCTTCTCATTCTTTATTTTGGGTTCGGGACAACGATGTATTTGATGTGATTTATAAGAAGAAGAATCATCGATTTCTTTTCTTTTTTTTTTTTTTTTCAATTGAAAATGAATGTAAAATAATGTTGGTTAGCCACTTCCGGATATTTCATTGACTCGAATTCTATTGCACAACAACAAATTGTGATGACAATATCGTACAATATTCATTATTGCCAATTTGAAAACTCCCTTTCTTGTGTAGTTGTGTTGATCAATTTTGATGGAAAGAGGAATTCAATATGGCAACAATAACCAATGGCCAAATATCTGTTTTGAGCGTTCATTGCTCGGCATTTGAAGTGGTTCTCCAAAATAAGTTGAAATTTTTCTTCTTATTTTTTTTCCTTTTCTTTTCTTATGTTTGAGTAAACTTATACGCCTTTCATTTAACCAATTGTGATTCTTTTTGGAAGGGAAAGAGTGCAAAAGATTATTATTTTAATGAAAGAAAAACTAAAAAAAGGAATAAAATTATTTAGAAAAATGATATGCACAGTAATAAATAGAGAAAAAAAATAGTGCACGAGTTACCCATATTTTTTTGATATTATGCCGTAGAAATTATGTATCTTGTCTTTCTAAAATCACATTTTTTGTCCTTAATTATTGTGTTCATATTCGTCACTATAAATTTTACAGTTTTTTTTTTTCACAGACTCTATTACTGCTAAGTACTTAATTAAGAACATAAGCACCATCTCATCTCAGGTGATGTTGCCGTGGTATGTTTGATATAACCACATCAGAAAAGCGTGGTTTCCACACGATTAATTGTGTTGATAGAAGTTATTGATTTGACTTCTTTTAATATTGTAATTTTAATTCTAATGTTATATCTGAAGTCTGGAGTTTAACTTAAGTTTATTATTTAAATATGGACTTTGCATCTTGCGCAGCTTTGTTATGACGAGTTGACGATTGTTTTCTTTTTCTTTATTATTATTTTTTTAATTTTGTATATATCGTCATTTTCTTCCACTAATGACTATAATAATGATGACAATGAAGAAGATAATTCGAAAAATACACTTAATTAGCCCACTCTCTCTACAAATTGACATCATCATCCTCACATTTGTCTCCTTCATTATGTTTTGTCATTCTTCGATATGTTTGCACTTCGAATGGTTTTGAATTGCGTATTCCTTTGGGTTTTTCTTCCCCTTCACTCATACAAAAATTTGTCATTTTCCGTATTAATTAAGTTGATTAAACCAGTTGAACTTAAATTGCTAAAGTAGGAGGCATCTGGTTGCAAGTAGATGTACTTTTTTAAGTTTAATTATTTCAACTAATAGGGGGTCTAGACACAATAGGGTTTTAGCCTATTATAATGAATTTTGGTAATATTGTTTCTTAATTAAATCTCCACTAGAAAGATGTTAATTTGCTTAAAGATAAAAAGGGAAATGGAAGAAGATAAAAAGGGGCTCAATCTAGATGACAACATGATCATCAAAAAGTCCCTGATCATGAACTCTGATTTCCTGGTTTTTTATACTAAAAATGAACCCTAAAAAATCTCTTTCTATATAGCATGTTGTTTTGACCTTCCTCCATCGGCAGACTGTCTTTTCTTTGGCACCAGAGAAAAAATAAAAAAAAATGATAACGAAAAATATACATTCTAATGAGAATTTAAAATTCATTATACTTGCCTCCACGAAACGAAAGGAATCATTTGAAACTTCAAATTTACGACCCAATTATTTCATGATTGATAATAATGAAAATGTATGTTTCAAACTTTTGTTAATTAGTCTGCGGTTTCTGGTTAAGTAAGAAAATAATATCCTCTTTTTATTAATTAATAAAACTTTCTTTTTTCTTGATCTTAATTTGTAGACGTCATGTTTGAATAGTTAGAGCTCATGAAGCTTAGTGCTAAGAAAACCAAGCTGATTCGCCACATTTTGTGCTTGTTAATCCAGTGACATAAGAAAAGTAAACTTCTATATATGATACCACAGAGTTTAATTTGTTTAATAATCACGGCTCTTACATTAAAATAAAAAAAAAATGTACGTATCTGAACTTAGTCGTACGTATTTGCAATAATGGTGCAGGACGAATTAATTAAGGAACAATTTCGATGCACGTATTCTCAGAGATGTAATCTGATATGTGCAAAATGGAAATACTCTTTTTGCCTCCAAACAAAATTTCTGTTGGCTGATAAAAAATTACCCCCTCTGTCCCAAAATTATTATCCAGTTTGAGATATCATTTTTAGTACAATTTAAACCAAAAATGAAAGTCTAAACTGGACAATAACTATGAGACGGAGAGAGTATATATAATCACGAATTTTATTTTAGAACGGAATAAATAGTAGTTTCACAACAACAAAGCAATTGATACAGGATGAGATGCGATTGGAAAAAGATAATCAATTCCGACAAGAAGCGGAATCTCTTAAAATTTCTTTTAGAGCACCAATGTTGATCAGGTTGCATGCACTTCACAACTGAACTCGTAAGGTAGAGGTCATTTCGGTGCCAACTCCAGTTATTGCTTTAATTGTTTTGATGGAATTTGCATTATCCTTCAATCACTAATTAAGTGAACCTCAGTGCACAAATAAAAAGTGCTAACCAAACTTTAAAAAAAAAAACAGAAGGTCCTTTTTGTTGCTTTTCTCCAGTTCCATGCATATTTTGTAAGGGCCAATGAGTCTAAAATGAACACCTATTTTTGTGTCACCATTTACACAAACAAAGTCACATGTAAAACCCCCCCAACATCCCCATAATCAACATCAACAAATCCTTTCTAAACTGTTGTCTCGATCTATTGTTAGTTTCTTTCTTTTCCAAAAGGCATGCAGAATGAATCAGCAGACCACATGTATGGTGGCATTCAAACTCTCCCACATCCACATGGTTTTTTCTTTTGTTTTTTTTTTTTTTTTTTACTTCTTTTTGTAGGTCTACCTTTAGCAGTTAGTTAGCAAGGCAGTTGGTCAGGTTAATGGAGGTTTGCTTGGCCTGAGTAGTTTCCCATTTTTCCTAGTCGTGATGCCACCATGGAGAAGGGGATTGTCCTCTAACCCTTTTTGTCAGCATCCTATAATCATCAAAACAAAACACTATCTAAGAAAAGGGAATTCCATCCGAACTAAATACAGTGAGTTGTTAGTTCTGAATTCTCACTGACAAAAGAGAGATAGAGCAACTTGTATACCATTTGTTTGGTTGGGAACTTTAGATCCTGTAACTAACTTTATCTGTTCATGCTTATTGCTTAATCAAGTGTAATTTCAGAATACTACTATTAAGTACAATGTATAATTAGTAATATTACTTTCATGGGAAAAAATTATACTGTAGTTATATTTTCTTCTATTCAGATACATAAATAATGAATTTTATCCAGCACCACTATGTATCACTGTAGAATTTTATTGGAGAAAAGTCTCATCATTCTCTTTTCTTACTATATATATATATATATATAAACTAAAATTACTGCTGTATGTACTAATATTATTGTTGATGTTCCCCTAGAAAAAAGAAGTAATAGAGAAAAGGTTACACACCAATTGGATTGTGTATACATTGGGCCATTTAAAATCTTGGAACTGAAAATTATATCATAGTCCAGCCCGAAGTTATGATGACATGAAGATGGCCCATTACGACAATCTTCATCTCCGCACTCAGCAAAGCTTCAACTAAATCATCTCTCTGCCCCAGCCCTCCAGCGACGCCGGCCGTTGCCCGTCCACGTTCCGACCGATTGAAGTGAGCCGTAGCTTTAGTACGAAAGATCAAAACAAGAAATCTAACAAATGGGTTCTCTAAGAAATTTGTCTTTACTGAAAAGGAGGACCGTTTCAATATGGAAGTTTATGAATTCTACTACCACCGCGATGGAGAAGCCGCTTTTAGCTTCTTCCCTTTCCAATACAACTTATCATCTCCATCCGAGCCGTGCCCTGATTGGACCTAGCTCTTTTATTACCTATGGCCGAAATCTCTGTTCACAGTCTCTCGTCGATGACGCATCTCAAGGCCCAGCATCCATTGATTACCGGTATGATTAAAATTCCTTTTTTTTTTCCTATTGAATCCGCTTTGGGATTTTTTGGTTTGACGGTCATGTCTTTCTTTCATTGGCGCTGGAACTATGACTAACGGCAAGGAAGAGATAAGCATAGTTTTTTTTTGTTTTTGTTTTTTTTTTTTAATTATAACTAAAGGAGGGGGATAAGCATAGTTCATAGGTCTCTGATAAATTGAGAATTATGACTATTAGTGCTTACTATGGAAGCTTTGAATTTGTCCAATTGGATTTCGTTTGGAGTTCGCTAGTTTCTGACCTTCTAATCACCATATCAAGAATGAGAATGCTTGGGGGTCACTTATAATAGTTGTAAGCTTTGTCTCCAAATGATTAGGGGAGAAGAGGAACCAGAATCACCTGTAACAATATTGAAATGTAGGCTTTTGCTATAATTAATTGAATAGTTAACATGTACACTTTCTGGTAAAGTTAAGTAATGCTCGTGCAGCTCTCTTTTGCAGGAAGATGAGTATCAAAAGCTGGCAAATTCAACAATCCATGATCTTTTAGAGAAGTTGGAGGTATTCATTTCCGTAGCTAATTTAGAAACCTTAGTCCTGCATTTGCTTTTGTTCATTGGTAGCTACCATAGCACAGAACAAGTAGCTTGGCGCTACCGTTCTTCTTTTGCTGTTTGTCATTGGCTGGGTGCAGCTGATCATAATACTATCATAGTAAGTCATTTATAAAGTTTTTCTTCTATGCAAATGCAGGAGTATGGTGACTCGATAGATATTGATGGTTTTGACATAGACTATGGGGTGAGAACTGTTTATACTTGATATGCGTTGAATTTGTCTGATTTTAAATATACTGCTCTATTCAGAATGATTTTGCATTAACTTTACAGAATGAGGTTCTGACTGTGAAGCTCGGCGATTTGGGAACGTATGTGATAAACAAGCAAACACCAAATAGACAAATCTGGATGTCATCTCCAGTCAGGTAGACTTTGTACTTTCTCCTTTTTGAGATACTGTTGGTGCAATGAAGTATAGAGCAATCTTGAATATAAAACCGATGTACCAAGGTAAGGTGTTGGACTGGCGTTTTTTCCTCCCCATTTGGGTGGGTTGTTCCCAAAAGGGGAAAGCATCTACTTGTGAAATTGTGGAGAGAATATGTCTCCAACCTGTAAAACTATGAATTTCTGTGCATGTGGTAGAAGTCCTGCTCGCTGCTATCATCATAAATCTTTGAGTGTTTGTATATTTATCTTCCTTTAGGTGGTTTTATTGAACCCTATAACTTTTGCCATGACATTGAACTCCATAAAAAACTCAATTGATTGTTTTCGTGGAGAGTTTCACTGACCTGCCGACTCACTTATGCAGTGGTCCTTCAAGATTTGACTGGGATCATGATGCCAAATCGTGGATTTATCGGCGAACAAAGGCAAAGTTATTGGATGTTTTAGAGGGTGAATTAGAACAACTTTGTGGCCAACCTGTGAAGCTCTCTTGAAATGTTCCTTGGGTCTGAATTGTGTACCTGCTGGCTTTCTCAGTTCTCATGCACATATATGATCACTGTGTTACTTTTATGGTGGAAATGCAGAGTATCTTGCAACATTTTTTTTAATCTATTTATTACTAAAAGACCATATCGCTTGGTGATTCCATCTAGAATATAGTTTGTAGGAGTACTTGTGTTGTACGGATTTGTTTGGCCCCTTACTTCAGGGCTTCATATCATTCATAAAACTGAAGAGCGAATCTGCAACTGATATCATTTAGAGAAAAGAACCCAGTAGCTACAAATGATATGAAGTGGGTAGTTAGGTAGTAAAAAAAAAAACACTGTGATCTCAGGGCTTGGAAAACCCTTCGCCAATGGGCAAAGTTGCTGCTTCTTACGGAGAGAGTATATCTATAGACATGAAGTTCTAACATATTAACTTTTCCTTTGATAAAACATGGCTACTTCGGATCCTTGTGAGGTAGCATTGTGCACGGATATTCCCATCCTTGACTTCAAAGAGCTGGACATATCATAAGTAAGCAACTTTCTTTGCATTTGTTTACTAAATAATAGCCCGTTTGACTAGTTGATTTCGCCATGAATGTAGTTTCAGAATACCTATGTTGTATGGAACCGATCGGGCCTCAGTTTGCGGGTTACAAGCGGTCAACAAAATTAAAGAGCAAATCTGCTGCACCTGGTAAAACATTGAGAGAGAAGAACACCAATCCAAGAGCGAAGTAAACTAATTCCTTAGTCAAACCTAAGTTAATACACTTTGAAATGGCTGAAATTTCTAGTCTTCTCATCTATTAGCTCCAGAAACACAATCGTTTCAGCCTAGGTCTGCCAAACAACAATGCCATCAGCAAAAACAACAGATTACATTCAAAACAGCACCTCAGAACTAGCATTCCAAAAATTTCTTCATAGATAGTTGCTGCTTTCACTCTCATCTGAATGTGTGAGTAGCCTCAGCATATCAGATTCTCGCAAGGTATTTCAGAAAGGGGCCCTTGACAATGCTGACAAGGGTTGTTGCTACACTCGAAGATATAGCTTGAGTTCAAAACAACTAAAAGTCCCAACAATCAAGCAACGAACTTCAAACAACGAGTATCATTGTGAATAGTCCGGCACCTAATACAACAGAATCTCATCCCACATTGTACGCAAGTGTAATTAGCCGTAAATCCACAGACTGTGCAAAAATGGCGGCGCGAGGAAGAACTAGGAGGCCCTACCGCAGCTCTGAAGTAGGTAGGTACATTCGGAGGCAAAGATTCTAAGTTTGCCTAATCCAGGAAAACAACACAATCAGATGCAATTTTCCCACCAAAAAAAATCATGAATTGCAATCATCACAACAAGAAAATGACTCCTCCACAAAGAGCAATTCAATTACAAAAAATAAAAATGCTCAAACAGTTCAATATGTATCGATTGAAACCTCATTGAGAAGCTCAAGGAATGTTCTTGATGCCCTTTTAGCATTCTCCAGCGCTTTCGCTTGACGGGTTTTGCGCTTTGTGCCTTTAGACTGTTTCTTCGAATAAACTGAAAACACAAAAACACAGAACCAGATTATCTATTCAACTTCCAACACAAATCCCATTATCCGAAACCCTGAAACCCTGCGACTAGTGAGAATTAAAGGTAATAACCTTGGTCATCGTCGTCAAGGGAAGCTTCATCATCATCGTCAATTGGTTGTGCTGTCTCAATTGCGGCATTATCGTTCTCGAGAGCATCTAGCCGAGCGAGAATCGCCTGAGTTCGATTGTCGGAACTGGAGAGGGCAGCGGCCATCTTCGGAGCTACCCGGCGGGCCCGGGTTGACATCCGGCGGGCTGAGCTCGGCCCTTCCTCATCCATTGCTAAATCGAAGTAAACGAAGAAGAAAAAACCAAACCTTAAACAAACGACTAGATCGGAGCTTAAACCCTAGAAAGATTTGTGGAAGAAATCGCGAACCGGGAGCAAACGAAACTCTGTTTCCTGATGACTGATACGTTTCCATTTTGTTCCTGATAATCAAATAAACCGGATTATAGATTTTGAATGGACCATAAAGCCCATAGATGTATTGGGCAATAAGGGTAACGTCCAATAATAATCAAAGCCAAAAAGTATACACTTTTTGAGAAGCCCACAGATAGAGAGCAAACAAATTCTTCTGCCTCATATGGAGCTCACCTCCAAATTCTTGTTGATTTTAATTAACGAGTGATGATTGTTTGGCAGTTTATGAAGGCCTAATTCATACTAATATTTTAAAAAAAAAATCGCAAAAATGATGGGTTTTTGTTTAATGAGAACATCGTTTTATTTTACTTGTTCCTTTGTAGTACAGTACAAAAATATAGTGGCTGTCCCGTCAGAATTTCATTACTTCACCTTCATAGATGGGCAGCTGCAAAAATAAAAACCTAATCAGAATTAGTTTTTAGCAAATTATTTCACCTTCTTCCTGCTCTCAATGCAATTAGTATTTTTTTCAAAAGAAAAAGATAAAATAAAAAGGTTTAATAAAATAGTGGAAATGGAGCTTTTGTGATGTGAAAGTAATGCATTATTGCGATGTTTGTCTAAAATGTAATCGTGGCAGTATAAACTATTGAGAGTTTCATTAATGTTGTGCACGAGGAAGTATGGGCGCTGATAAGCTCCGCTCTTTATTTCAATTTATTACATTGTACTATGACAATTATTTATTTGTTTCAGGGATAACAATAATAGACCTTTAATGTTCAACAATGCTAAGGAATGATCTCACTTTCCACCTTTGTGAAATTGGGTACGCACATTTATTACTTCAATTCCAAACAAACTGGAAAAGCCGTATAGGGTTGTTGTAAAGAAAAGTGAGGAGAACTCTTTCATCCCTTCTTGGAGTTATTATTAACAACTTTATTCCTCCCTCCGTCCCAAAATTATTATCCAATTTAAGATTTCATTTTTAGTACAATTTGAACTAGAAATGAAAATTCAAACTGGACAATAATTATGGGACGGAGGAAGTATAAAACTTCAGTGTTACGAGGTCTTGATTAGAACATGTATAAATCATTTTTATCAGCATTTGAATCCTTTGTATATTACTGATATTTGGTGTACGAAATCACTACTCCACCAAATCCAGATTAGAACAATATGTAATATCCAGTGTTTAATAATATTACCTTCTAGCAGGGATATTACCTCCTCAATTATGCCCTAAAGAAAATATCGTGAGCCGAAAAAAGACATTTAAAGTGCAACTTTTACCGGCAAAAAATCTCCCGATAAGGTAATTATTAGTTCCCACATGTTGGTGTGGAAATAGTTTCGTTGTATCCCACTATGCTTTCTAAGACATTTTTCAGTGAGATTTTTTTTTCTTTGGTGACTTCATCACATATATGTTTTCTTTTTTCTTCGCAATTTTTTTTCTTCCAAATGCATAAGCCAATAACAATACCTTCTGTGTCCTTATCTGACATCTTTTGACTTCTTTTTAAATTTTCCTTTTTATCACAAAGCAAAAATGTATGGAATCCAACCTTTTACCTTCATGAAAAGATCACTCCAGACTATCCAAAAGTGTCAAAAAGACCCTGACAAACCCAGGAGGAGAATGTTTTTTCCTGCAGACATTTAGGCGTATGTGAATGCATATTAGAGTTTCAGTGGGGGATGACGCCATTCGATTTTTCATCAAGGTAGAAACGAATGTAATAAAAAAAAAGGTATGTTGAGATGAGACAGTTATTTGATTATTAGTAGTAAATGAATAAAGGTTTTGGACAAGGAATTGAAGATGCTGATCATAAGAAAAAGCAAATTCAAAGTTAAAAAATCTTATCTGAAGAAACTTTATACGGCGCAAGAAAAAGAAAAAAAAAAAAAATTCTCTCAACATGAATGCATATATTGATGGTGAGGTTGATGGAAGTAATTAGTTTATTCCGAAAAAAAAAAAAGAAAGAAAGAAAAAAGAGGTGAAAGCGCAACTTGGATTGTGGTGGATCGTTCTCCTTGTTGATATGTTATCAGGAACTTTTTAATCTGTTTATCTTGCTTTATGATAAGCCCTCATGAGTTATCATTAATTAATTAAGGTTAATTAAGATTAATGGAGAGAGTTTCGTATGTCAGGATTTGAGTTAAATGACGACATTGTGACACAGTGAATTATATACAGAGTTAGTGCTGTTTGATTAGGAGATGATTGTATTGTTGATGATGTGGGATTAGCTTTAAACCGTAAACTATATTGAAATTAGACCTATAATCTAAGCTAGCTTAGGGAGAGTTGGAATGCTGCAATTTGCTGTTAGGTTTTACTTTTGATCATCTCTTTTGTAAGTGGGGGCATTTATGGTAGACTAGAAAAATTAATGACGGGAAATACTTTGGTCAAGTACACGGATTAATTAATTTATCTTGTTGATGAAAGCACTTCTTTTTAATCTGCATGTTTAACAGTAAGTTTGTCCCTTTTAAGCCAAGTAGCAGCCAACTTGCACAATTTGCTTTGCAGCTGGAGTATGTAGTAACACTTTTACTGTTTGAGATATTTTTTAATTGCTTTGCAAGTAAAACAAACTAATCTATTGTCAAAGGTTCCAATAATCGCATGAATTTCTCAATCGACAAAGTTAGGTCAACGATAAATTTGATAGTTTAATGACGAAGTAGCTAGTCTTTCTCCAAATTTTAAACATAAACCCTTGTGATTTTGTCACCCTACTATATTAATGAAATCAATATATGTTCATCAAATACCGTCCGGAATTGATTTAAAAAATAGAGTACAAAATGTAATGAATAGGAAAAAATGAAGCATGGTCGGTGGCTGGGAAAACAACAGAGACAGGCATTGACCGTCGTAAACTAGTTGGGTGCGGAATTAACTTGATCCCAGAGGACCCAGACAACTCTGATCGAGTCTGAAGATTTACAATTAGGCCACACTAAACGGCACGTGTTTGCCTCGTATTCCTCCTCTCTTCTCATTTTCTTCTTTCCCTGTACAAATTATCAGTGTTGTCAGGCTCGGACCGGAACTCGACTCGACGTTGACTAGGGATCGAGTGAATCGGGAGTCGACTAGAATGACATCATAATGACGTAATAAATTAAAAATTATATTTTCAATATAATTTTATAAATTTTATATAGATTTGTTAATTATTCTAGTCAAATTAGTGCTTCATTACATATAGAACACAATTATGACATTACATATACGATTAGTTTAACTAGCTTTAATTATGATTAAAAAATTAATAAATTTGATGCACAATTGACTTTTATCATTAAAAATTTACATATTATGTTTAGTCAATTAACATGGCTATAATTTTTTGTTTGCTTTAATTTAAAATGATGAATGTTGATTTATTTATTTAGTTCGTAATATTTTACTTTAGTCTCAAATAATAATTTTTACTCAATTTAGTGTGTAGGATGTGGCTTGGATGGTTAAAATAAATATTTAGACCTATAAATTTCAATTTCAGGTGTTTAATCTCACAAATATACAAGTTATGGATCATTAAAAACATAGAAGATCTAATTGGGGACTAAAAGTAAAAAAATTAAAATTAAATAGACCTCAAAAATAGTGAAAAAAATTTTAAAAAATTTGAAAATCAACCCAAAAGGTCAAAACTCGGTTTGATCCGATTTTGACCGATTCTCGGTTCAACTGGGTTTTTGACCGATTTTGATCAAGTTTTAGACATGCGATTTTACTACTTGTTCGGCTTGACTTGAGGTCCGGTTTTCGATTAACCCGGTTCGACCGGCCGGTCCGAATCGAGCTTAACAACATTGCAGTTTATGGAAGGAAATCAGGAATTGTGACAACAAAAAAAAAAAGAAATCAGGAATTGTGTGGTTTTCCCCGCTCATAAACACTGAGATGTTCTCTTTGTGACATTGACATTTTAACTTCCATCTTCACTACTACTCTCCTTGGGAATTTTTTACTTACTAGTTACTACTAGTAGTTTTGCTAGACACAAGTTCAATTCTTTTTTTTTTCTTTTTTTTTTTTTAAAACACAGGAGGGCGGATAAAAAACTTGTTTCCGGGGGTAAGAATTTCAAATGGTTCAGTTCAGCCCACTATCATTGTCTAGCTACCCCAATTTGTAATACTGATACCAACTTTTGAAAGGGTCTTTCTTAGGGGTATCAGATCCCCTATGATCAACCAATTCTTAGTTCAATTATAATTTGGCAGCTCTTTTTTCCCAAGAGCTCCAAAGGTGTAATTATGTAATCCAATCCAACGATTTATTTGTCATCATTACTTAATTTTTTTTAAAAAAAAATAAATTCTCATGTCTTATAATAAGAAGTACACTCCCTTCCCTTCTTCCTGCACAGATTAGATTAAACCCCTAATGGCCTGTGATGCAAATTTTATAATAAGACTTGAGACTGTTAGAATGGCCTGCTATCTTTCTGATAAGATCAACAATTAATAGTTCCCGGCATTTTTCTAAAAATAGGCAAATCTACATTTTATTCGTGAAAGAATCTGCACATTTTAACTTTTTAGGTGCTCACATCTATCCTAAACCAATTTACCAGCGCTCAAACAAACAGGGCGGGATTCATTCACCGACTCAACTGTTGATGATGATGATGGTATGCATCCGGGCCGGGATTCGGCTGAACTGATAAAAAAATCTAACGGAATGAAACCAACGTCGATCATCATCAGCAGGAATCAGGATACTGTTTTTTTTTTTTTTAGTTAACGTAATTTGGGTTAACGTTGGTATGATTGCATGAGAGCCATTTGTCCAGCCTGACATAATTTCCATAGGTTCCCCCTTAATTTCAACTGACACGTAGAACAGTGAATTATGAGACCTCCACAGTTACAGATTTGCACTAAGCTCCTTTCCCATTGGTCTGCCAGAAAAATAACAGACCCACTGGCCCCCACCCATCTAATCCTTTGGGCAGCATGTGTTTATTTATATATAAGTAAATATATTCAACCCGAAGTAGAATACAATGAAATGAAGCAGCAGATAACCAGATTCTCTCCACCACCCACTCTGCTCAGTGCCCACTTCTGTCTTCTGCTGTTGTTTATTCACTGTCTGGGTTCTCAGCTTCATTGATTTAACTCCCACAAATTATCATCTATCATCAATCACCTTTACCCATCATCATCATTCCGCCATCCTCCAGTTTTCTCTTTCCTCTGTTTCTGACTTGCAGCTTTTTAACTTTGGTGATTTGCATGGGTGTTGGCAGTAAACCTCGGCTTCAACTGCAATTCTCCCAGTCTTTCTCTTACAGTTACAGTTACAGCCATTCCCATTCTTACTTCTGTTACTTCCTTGCCACTGAATTGCCATTAAAACCTCATTTATAGCGTCTTCATCTGCTCATTTGCACACTCTTGCCTGAACCCGGAATTCAATTAATCACTTCCTTCACTCGGGTCACAGGTGCAACTTTTCTTAAAAGTATTATTTTGTATCACAATAATTACAATGGGGATTAAAGAACCAGTTAACTTTTCTGGGATCTTCTGTACCAAGATCCTGACTCTGCTTCTCTTGCTCTTCTCCTGCAAAGACAGAGGTAAGCAGCTCAAATAATGTTAGTACATTACAACAATGATTTGCAGCTCAATTTTCATAGGTTAACAAATTCTAGAAAGTATTAGATACACACTCTATAGAATGAAAATTGAAGCTGAATTATCTCGCATAGAAAAACGAGAAGTTTATTGGATTAAATTATTGTTGTTTGTGCAGGTACAGGTGTATCAGCGACTACATTTACATTCCTGAACAAGTGTGACCACACTGTATGGCCCGGAATTTTAGGCAGTCCTGATCTAGGCAGCACGGGATTCGAGCTCTCCACGGGCTCCTCACGCTCCTTCCAAGCTCCAACGGGCTGGTCGGGAAGATTCTGGGGCAGAGCTGGATGCGAATTCGACGGCTCCGGACAAGGTTCCTGCAAAACCGGCGACTGCGGATCCGGAAAAATCGAATGCAACGGTGCTGGGGCGGCGCCGCCGGCGACCCTAGCGGAATTCACACTCGGGTCCGGGTCTCAGGACTTTTACGACGTCAGCCTGGTCGACGGGTACAATCTACCCATGCTCGTCGAAGTTCGCGGCGGGTCGGGTCTCTGCGCCACCACGGGCTGCACCCAAGACTTGAACCAGAAGTGCCCGGTGGAGCTGAGGATAGACGGCGGCGGCGCCTGCAAAAGCGCCTGCGAGGCCTTCGGAACCGCGCAGTACTGCTGCAAGGACGCGTACGCTTCGCCCGCCACGTGTACGCCGTCGGTGTACTCGCAGATTTTCAAGACGGCGTGCCCGAAATCGTACAGCTATGCTTACGATGACGCCACCAGCACATTCACTTGTACCGGCGCGGATTACACCATCACATTTTGTCCTTCCTCTTCGTCAAGGTATAAAATACAAACTTCTGGAATTATCCCAAAAATGAATTCTTTATCAACATTTGTTTTTAACATTTTATTTTATTTGTGTTTCTGCAGCCAAAAGGCTTCAAAATCAGAGGGAAGTGCGACAGATGGAACCGGAGCAGGAGCAGGAGCCGGAGCCGGGGCAGGGGCAGTGGCGGCAGGATATGGGTCGGATTCGGGCGGGTCACAAGATGCTATGTTGGCAGATGGGTCATGGTTAGCTAGTTTGGCCACTGGTGATGCGGTAAGAGAAGGGTATTCTTATGGGGCTGGCCTAATGGGAGGAGCTTTAGTCATGTTGAGCTTATTACACTTCAACTTGATTATGGGATTATAGTACTGTTTGTTGAAGATGGGCTACTGTCGGAAAATTATACACAATTGTAGAACAAATGTAAAACCAGTCAAATGATGTTTACAGTTGAATCGAAAAGAGCCGAAGGCTCAAGCAAATGGTGGCTAGTATTGTAGTAAGAGGAGATGAAATTCAAAGCAAACATGATTGCACAAATGTGATCAAAAGGCATATATTTATTCTTCTGCTTTACTTTTACGTTTCTTGGAGTCAAAACTATCATCATCACGATTGAGATGTTCATTTTGTGCCGCAGAACTTAAAAATATTAACAGATTCTGTGGAAAAGGGGGAAAAGAAAAAAGAGAAAAAGCAACGTCCTGTGGTGCATTTTTTTTAAAAAATTTTTCTAGCTTCTCAGCATCCAACAAAGAAATTTTTATTATACTGTAATTAACAAGAATTTAGAATGAGACGAAAATAGTTCTTTTTTTTTTTTTAATAAGTATATATAGACGAATAAGCTCTCCACTATAGGTCGGAAAGATGGCGTAAAATTTGTCTGCTTTCGCCTTTTGCGTTTTCTGCTATTTTTAAGCTGCGAAAGAGCTGGAAAGATGAAGATACTGCTTCCTTGGTGGTTTTTTAATACTTGTATTGATCTCTTGTGTGGGGGTAATTATTGATGACCACATGATGGTTGAGAAGTAATTAAGTATTTCCTCCGTCCCACAAAAATATTCCACATTAAGTTTTAAATTTTGTACTGTTTTTAGAACAAATTTGAAAATGCAACGTGAATTATTATTATTATTTTTTTCGGACGAAGATAGTATAATTTATGAGTTTAAGTAGTTCTTACTGTAACTGCTATCAAAACAGAGAGTACAAAAAGGTGATGTTGCACAAGCAAAAGGATGAAACTTGTTAAAAAGTGAAGATTTACAGACCAACCTAATATTGTCAGGTTGAGAATGTTGGATATCTAATGGGATGAAAAAATGACAAAAACATCCAAACTGTTTATTAATCAGTTCTATTCCGTTAAAGAAAAATCTAATGCAATCAGTTCTCTTCCTCTAAAGAAAACGACTATAACCGACAATGTTCATGTGTAATACATCAAGAAGTTACTATTTTACCTGATAAATTCACCCAAGTCCCAAGTCAATAGGGATTCTAGATTTTGAGTATGGTAGGTTAAAAGTGGCCATGATTCTCTAATCAATGGGGGAAAGACAGCAGAAGAGAAAGGCTCAGTTGCTCTTGAAAGAGTAGTCTATACTCTATACCATCCTCATTATTACCCTTTCAATAAAAGTGAAGTCTGTGGAACCAAATGCTGTTTAGACCCAAGATTTTTATTACTTGCTCCCTGAATCATCATCCGTGGGTCTAGCAACTTTCTGTCATTTACAGATAAATTTGTCATGACTAGAAAAAGCTTGTCATTTTCATTTCGTTGTTTTAATATTCATCAGCAACTTTCACATTTTCAATGCACTATTTTGGACCAAAAAAAAAAAATTAAAAAATTAAAAAAAATCCCAGATTCAACTTCATTTACTCCAATAATTGCAGTGTCCACTTCAAGGATTAGAAGGGTGATCTCTATGTTTTGTTCTGTTGTATGATCATAATGGAATATAAAATTTTCTCTGTGAACTGATGGAATGTGCCATTTTCGTTCGTTTGTGTGCGCAAGTATGTGTAGTCGGATCTCCCAATACGCAAGATGCCTGGTTAAGTTCGTACCTGTGAAAGTTGGCCCAATGCAATTTTGTGGTGGTCAGAATTTTAGAGAAATCTAACAATACATACCTTCTCTTTCAGCGAGAGCGAAATGAAGCTCTGTACGCCAGAATTGTTGGCACAATGATTACAAAAAATGTCAACATTCTGCTAGTGTCAATGACACTTTGCAAAAACAAGATCGCCAACTGTTCTTAAAATAACACGTTTATATAGTAGTGAACACAAACTTAAACCATTCATTTCGTTCGCTCTCACGAACCATCTTGTGAAAACAATGTTGACATTCTGACAAGAAAATCTGCAATCAGAGGAGCTAGTGCCAAGTAGTGTGTTTTCTCTTGGGCCTTTCACCGGCCAAAATGGTACAAAACATCCCTGATATAGAGAAAGCTGGTTACGAAAGAATCTAGGGATTCCAGAAAGTAAAAAAGTTCATCAACAGGAAAATAAATAGGAATGCAAGTGTATTCCATCTGAAAGGAACAAGATGACAGATGCTCAGCTGAGAGCTGATTCCAAGTCGTCAAATAAACTGTTTACGACTTCATGTGGGAGTCTCAATCTATAAATGCAGCCATTACATAGAAACAATCAGACATGGTTTCTCATACTGGGATAAGGCAGTAACGCATTTTGCAAGCAATGCAGAACAGAACAGAAAGCCTTCCTTATCTAAGGAATAAGAACATTGTACATAAAAGTGAAAACTACAAAGATGTGGGCCTATCTAGCAATGGGACGTTTTTTGTTTATAATGTCAGAAAAAAACTTCAAGTGGATACAATTCAATGGGAAACAAAGCTAGTGAAATGAATGAAAAATCCTCATCTTTTGTGAAAGCTACAATGTTATCCTAACCAAAAGAGGATAGCAGTGATCCTTGTCATAGTTAGGCCAGGATTCGTCGCCGTCCATAAAATTTTCATGGAGTCTCCAAACTTCTGAATTATACATCTCAGTTACGGTAAATTGCAAGCCAAAATTTTCTATTTCCAATAAAAACTTGTCCAATGAATCACCTCTTCTAGGGCTCAGCAATATGGCTTCGGAGGAGCTCTTCTTCTTCAACAACATTCTGATGGTTCGAGCAAGATCCTTGTGGAATTCTTTGAAGAAAGTACTGCCAGACAAAAAGTAAACAACTTATGGTTATCTCTTGGAAAATGATCAGTCGATATCAGTTAAAGGACATGGAAGATAATAAGAATCCATAAAGGACATGGATATAATAAGAATCCGATGAAAAGCCTAGCAGGATATGTAACAAAGTTTATAGCCAGCATAATCACCAGTCGCTGGCGACAATGATGTCAAAGCTGTTCAACATATCGATCTTCTCAGGATGATTCCAGTGCAGCACCATTGATTTCACTTGTGAACCGCCAAATGCACCAGAGTTTGCTTCAATACTCTGCTGTATATCTAGATCTTAAGGAACCCAAGTCACAAGAACTTAGTAAACCATGCAAAGACAACAGTGATGGGGTAAATGGTAAACATGAATTATAAGCACCATAAGGCAATAGTACCATTACGCTTATTACTCACAGACAGCATTCAGGGTAGCACGAACAGCATGGCATCAATTAATCAGAAAGCATTTTCAACCAACTGGGATTTCAGCATCCATATTCAAGATCATGCATCACAAAAAATTATAAAAGAACAACAAGCCAAAGGATACAGTCAACAACTTGAGGGTTTCCATCGGTGATGACAACCTCGAGTGCTTCTGTGACCACAGCAATAACTAAGCCGGCTAAACCATAGCCTGATCCCAGTTCAATTACTCTTTTATCTCTGAAAGAATTAGAACAGAGTCAACACAAATTTTAATCATATGATAATAGCAGGTGAAACCTAGAGACAAACATGGTAAATTGGACATAAAGCAGACCTGAACATATCAGTATTTGACAAGGAATAGTAAGCAAGTACATCTTCAGATGGCCACAGACCTGTTTGACAAGAAGATGAAAAACATCATAAGAAACGAGTGGAAGAACATCAAAATCAACCTATCCAAGAAATTGCAGCCCGGGAAAGCTCATTCAGAAAAGAAACAACAAAAAAAAAAATTAAAAAAGTCGAGGTATTTTATGAAGAAAACAAATAAACAAGTGTCCTTTCAAAGCTTTTGAGAAACCTCTCCGTAAACCCAATTTATTCATGATTCATCAGACAACATTATGTTCTAATTTAATCGCAACTTTAGAAGAGTGGTCTATTCATAACTTCATGGACAGGGCTCGAAACAGATTTGATTAATTCCTTAATATCAGAAACAATGTAGCACTCACACATTATGCTCGAAAAGACAAGAACTGTGACTCCAAATAACTGTGGTTATATTTCTCAGAATTAATTACTCTTAGCAAATACATTCGGCAGTTCTGTAAAAATGTGGGGAACTTACACACTAGTCCAGTATTATCAATATTATGTCTGTTACACACTTCAAAGTCATTTAGGTCCGCACCATCATCCACTCTCTGACTGCATTCCAAGACATTGACAACTAATGTAAATTACTAAAAAAAAAAAAAAAAAATACAATCAAACCTCTTGTATAACTAAAAATGGATAGCTGATAACAGCAGAACAATGTCTACTGGCGCATTTTAATCATTGTGAAAAAAATGGAAGAAAAAAAAAACACTTGCCCGCATTTGATTCTTACTTAATAAAGCATAATTCAAATTTAGGGAGACAAAGAGCAACCGCATGCATCCTATAAAAATTAGGATGAAGAAGAAAGAGGAAAATGAAAGTAAGCATACCACAGACGAATGTAGGGGGAGTTATGAATAGGCAATTTGTAGCACAAGAAAGCATCTTTTGAGCTTCCCAATAGAGTATTTCTGCTCAACAAAGTATCTGAAGGCTCTCCAGAGTGATCGTCCACGATAAGCCGAGGAATCAAATTGAAACCCTGAGTTGCCTTTCGCGATACCCGATTCAGACCCATGTCAGAATGGTCATCTGCCAAATAGTTTTGACACGCAGAATATATCAAGATTCAATTTTTTACACAACCTGAAGTTGAACATTATTGATACCAGTATTAACAGGACATAATTTTTCTTCTCTTACCTGGAACAGATGAATGTTTCCGAAGAAGAGCTCTGCGGAGAATTTTCCATCTCAGAGACGAAGAAGTTGGTGTTGAACTGCTGCTGTTCGTTGTGCTGGTGGCCTCCATTGTTTTTCACCTTCTTCCAGTTGATTTGGGATAAATGGATTTTATTTTGACTCTAAAAAAGTTAAAAGGGGTAAAAGAAAAACGTCTTAACGGGGTTTTTCCTTATATGTGTCTTTCAATAATTTTAATTTTATTTTATTTTTTGTTTTTTTTTTTTGAGCTGGTTGTTTTTTGCCTCTCAATCAGAAAAGTGTATCAATTTGAAAATTTCATCAAAAAGTTGATTTATAGCATGTGTTTACAAGGGAGCTGACCAATTACAATGTGAATTTTGGAACATTTTACTTACATATAATGGAATCCTAATATTCACTTTAAGGATATTTCTCGAGCTTACAATGAATGGTGACACATATTCACTCAAAATAATTGGAAGTTACTTTAAGGATGTGTTCCGTGCAATATATTTCTTCAGCTTCTTTATCTCATAAATCTTCATATAGAGATTCTTCGTCCTCTGAGCAAGCAACAAATCCAGTCCAAATCCAAGGATAGAGACAACAGCCATTATGATGAACACAAGCCTGTAACAATGTGGTCCAATGCAAGTGTTTCCAACTCCATCTATGGCAGTTGTAGCTTGGGCATCATACAAGTAACCAGCAAGAAGGCCTGAGAAGAGGAAAGAACCAAGGGGAAGATTCAGGATCAGAATATTGTACATTAGGCCGAAATATTTCAGGCCAAATAGCTCTGAGGCAATTGGTACTGTGACAGCCAATCGCACGCCGTAACACATTCCCACCATACTAGAACCCATGTGCAGAGATCCTGGGAATGGAAAAGCCATTACAACAAATCCAGCTGCCACTAGAACTTGAGACAATGCATTCCATAACGGCCTTGGTGTTGCACTTTTCCTGCATAAATATAAGCAAGTTTTAGCTTTGTTGGAAAAAGAAATGTACAGGAATGATTATGTTTGATGATCATAACAAATAGTACTAACCCAATGTAGTATTCTGATGCAATGCCTGAGATTATACGGCCAAAGAATCCCCAAATGCTGGTGAGAGAAATGAAAATTGAAACATCTGAGTAGCCGAGGGCTCGTCCCATTTGTCCTAAGTTGTTAAGCACACACATTCCAGTCCCTACTCCGCAAAGAAATGAAAGAAACAGCACCCAGAATTCGAAAGTGCAGCTTGCTTGAAAAATAGTATGATCCTCCCCAATAACAGGTTGCGGCTTAACCTCAATGCCATCCTCCACTTTAATTGCACTGTTCTTGTTGTCTTGGATCAAAAGTGATTGATTTTCTTGTCTTTCAACATCCACATTTGTGGTTTGTGTTGAAAACACAAAATACAAAGGGATGCACAATGGTGCAGCAAGTAGCACAAACAGGCCAGCAGCAAATACCAAGGAAACTATTCGGCCATGATTACCTGAGATATCATATGCTAGAAGATAGAGAGCCACTATTATAGCCATAACGTTAAAGAAATTAAGCATGCTTGACTGATTTTTCTCTTGAGCGGCTGTTGGTGGCATTTCCCGAAGAAAAATAGCTGCGATGAGGCATATTATACCAGGGATAATCGTCAATGTAAGCAAAAAGGCAGATGGATTGGCTGAAAAGAGGGCTGTGGACGCATCAGTAAAAATAGCTGTGCTGAGGCCTAAGTAACCTTTCAGGATTCCTGAAATTGGACCCTGGTTATTTTTGAAGTTTCTCATGCAGGTGACTAGAACTGCAGTGTTCATCCATGTGGTACTATTCCCTCCCAAACAAAGAAACACGCACATCTGCATTAGATCAAAAGGAAAAAAAAAAAAAACACAAAGTCAGAATCTAATTAATACAGGAAAAAACAAAGCAGAATGATCCCCACTGCTATTATCACACAACAGAAACATGCTAGCAAACCATAAGGGCTCAAACTGCATACCTGCCAATACGGAAGAGGGGCGATCTTCTGACTAACAACTAACCATTGAGCTCCATATCCAATTAGTCCTTGAATAGCTCCCAAGATGAGGATAGTCGAAGGCGGTAGCTTGTTGGAAGCTAAACCGGCTAGGATGCCGAATGCCTTTCCAACATCTTTAGCAACAGAAAGGTTGTTGAGCTGAAGCTGGCTGAGAGCCATTAGAGATTTCAGGGCATCAGAGTAGTTGGAAAATGTGTAATTGTTGCCAGCAACAGCTTGAACCCATACAGCACATACAAATCCTAGCCATTTGATGGCTGGAGAAGGTGATGACAAGAATGCTAAAAAAACCATTTTAACACCAGCGTCAAGAAATGATACAATGTAGATTTGTTTGTTTATCTCTTGTTATTTGTTTCACAATGTAGGATGCTTCCAAGTTCCAACTTATTTATACTCTCATTTTGTTCTTCAATTCCATCACCATGCGAGCCTGCTAGGTGTTTCTCCACCATTAAAATATAAACCTAGTCCATGGTATTTTGGTTTCAGGTTTTCAATTCGGCAACTGGTGAGGGACAATACACTGGATTGGAACAAAATAGGGCCCTTTTGCAAATTGAATAGAAAGGTCAAACTTCAGCCAAATTTGGATTTGTTTAGGCTGTTCAAATTTGATTATGGTTTGTCGAACAGAACCAAAGTTGGCCAACAAATATCAAGATCAATCAGGAAGTGGGGACTACATGGGATAATGTAAGCAAATGCAAAACATCTCCGGTTACTTCCTGCGGCGTCACCTCTTCCCAATTATTAGCAGTGGTATTAGACAACAGACAAAATTAGATTAGAGTGGTATTCAGTTATGTCAAGCTCAAGTAAAAGAATTAGAAGTGCTTCTCACTCATGCACTTTGAGTACTTTTAAGGGAATGTTTCCGCGTAAAATGAAAACTTATAAACATTTAGAAAGTAATACTCCCTCGTCCCAACATGATTGTCAGTATTTCTTGTAAAGAATAAGTTTCTTGAGCCAAAAAGGCCATACATAACATATAAAATGATGTATTGGATACTTTCAAACCTGTGTACTGTACACTAAATTACAACATAGACTCAAATAATCACAGGGAGTCTAGGATTACCGATCTGCTGCAGCTCAAAAAACTGGGCATCCCTTAACAATCACCCCTTCTGCAGTCGGGCAGGAAGCTAAGGGGCATCCATCTGCCTTACTTCCCCACCAGTGAAGGCTAATATGATTGATGTCCAAAGCCACGTAAATTAATACCCCCATGAAGGCTAATCCAGCATCAAGGGCCCCTGATAACACGTAATTGTTTCGACTCCACCAGTTGCGGTGGTATCTATAGGCAACAAAACCGGATAAAAACGCAATTATAATCCAGCTGTTGTAATTTACAGCAGTAGCAGGAGGCATATTTATTATTACAGCTAAGATCACAGGCACAGATATTAGTCTGATCCATTGATGGCTAGGAAAAGCTTTGTGCACAAGCCAAACTATAACAGGAGCTATAGCTCCAATCAAGAAAGCCCAATTCATAGCAGAATAGTAGCCAAGATCTCCAAAAATTCTCTGAGGTCCAACTAAACCCCAAATGACAGATGCATCATAAAATACATGGTCACCCGGGCAAGTCCACGGGCTGCCAGAAGGAAGTAATGCTCTGTCACAGATGTTTGGTACAGTTTCAAGCAGCCACCAAGCCGTTCCTAGGTGTACAAATGCTGATACCAAAGTGCCCATAACCTGAACACCAAAATTGTTATTGATGACATCAGTGACCAAGGGAAATTTCAAACCAGAAGTAATAAAAGGATCTCAGCATTGGTTTGGAAATACATGGCCGAGTTTTGATAAATATGAGATATCTCACCTGAGCCATAAACATTGCTCTGGGAGGAATCTTCATGTAGTGTCCAAGTTTGAAATCTTGAAGAAAGGCCAGCCCTTGTTTCATACTGATATACCCGTAGACCTTAAAGCACATGTTTGCAACCGGATATCCTGGATACAAGTATCCTATTATGTACTCGGTGATCACGTTCAATCCTGGCGTCTGTTGTGAAGAAGGAGATGTGTATTAGTTATCACAAAACACATTCAAAATTCCTTCTGGTTGAATAATTAACTAGTGGTGAGCTTAGCAGGTTCTGTACTGGATTGGATTTATCCAGCATGTGATCTAAACAACGATACCTATTTCATTTTCCAATCAATCTCACTGTCCCAAAACTTGAGGTTTTTTATTTTATTTTATTTTTTCCTTATGAAATCCTAAGAATTTGAACTTAGCCAATGTGTCTTAAGGTGTTCATATTGACTACTTAGCTGCTTGATTATTTCGATGTTTGTAAAACAGAATTCAGCATCATTTACAAATGCATCACATTCTCCGACATTTACATTTAATTGAAGCCTGACAACATTTCCTCCATAGAAACTGGCAAAAAAATGGAAGGATCTTATTCAGACCACCAAACCTCAATTAGCTTAGAATTGATCATATATATATGAATTTACCTGATTTGTTGTTGCAGTTATAACTCCAATTGGGAGGGTGAAAAAGAAGGCAACAAAACAAGCTAGCAATACGCCCCACCACGGCAATTGAAGCTGCTCATTATAGTATTGGCATATGAAAATGGTAGCAGCGATGTTTAGCAAAAGAATGCATGTGAACCACCATTCAGGAACTTGCTTGTACTTCCTCATGAGCTTTGTGTGCACATCAATTTTCTTGTCTTGGAAAGCAGATCTGCTTAGGAGCCATAAATCTCTAGAAAGTAGAATATTGGATATCAATAACATTGTAATTTAGTTCATTAAAAGTCACATCTTAATGATACAGTTCCATGGCACGAGGTGATGCCTGAAGAACAGAACTGGGTATGCGATAAAAATTAAGGGCTAAAGAAATTAAACAACCCCCAAAAAAAAAAAAAAGAAAAAAATGAGACCTAATGGCAAAAAGCTCCACCCAAGTGATTTAATAGTGTATAAGCCCAGGAAACAAAAGGTGCGACATTTTTGTTAATTTTGAGATGTCAAAGGCTATACAGTTTTATAGAACTCAGCATTCACATTCTACGATGCATGTTGCCTGAGTTTGTTGTTTAGTTATTATCTGCATGTCTGCATATATGGAAAATCCTATAACGGGATAGGTCTCGTCCCTCCTAAATCCTGCACTTTGGGCATGCTATTAATTTCAGGGTAAATTGCATCAAAGAACCCTGTACAGTTGCATACAAGTTTTAGTTCAAATAACCTTTGTAAAGCTATATAACGTGCAAGTGTAACAAGCAAGTCTAAAAGTAACCTGTTGCAGAAAACCATAAGAATTCAAAACGTGTAGGCGACTGCAGCAACTAACCTTCCATTGAAAAGTAGTACGTGAAACACAGTTGCAGCGAGGCAAGCAAAACTGAAAGCATAGGTAATGGCGAAGAATGTGCTGAGATAAAGGCGTCCCTCCTTCTCATATGCATTTAAATCAATGTGGAAGTCGGAATCTATTATAGCCGAGATATTGTAGTTTTGCCCGTTTGATGTAAAGAGGCCATCTGAGAATATTGGGAAGGTTTTCGCCTTGTACATATCAAACCAATATGCAATGGGGGTGATCACATACATCATGAGGATATAACCAACAGCAATATTAGCAGATGCAAACCAAGGACTAGCCAGAGGGCTTCCAATGTAGGAAGATATACTGGACCAATCAAGACCAACGGCACCAAGTCCAAGACCATGAAGCCCTGAACCTAGCTGCTGTGCGAGGACAGAATTAGGGAAAATCCAACATATCCAGGAAAGAGAGGTAAGAAGAGGAAAAAGGTATCCAGGAAAGATATAATAAGCAAAGCTGCAAGTAAGGGCAATGAGGAAGAACTCATTTCTAGTCAATTTGCCCTTGATTTTCTTTTCTTTCTCATCAAGCGCCCTAACAAATTTAACAACAAAACTGAAATCAAACAATGTAACCAGAAATAGAAAAGATGTCAAGCTAAGTATGAAGGCCACACTCTCCACTGAGTTTATATAAAATTAAGAAAAAGCTACCTGAATAAGGAGACTTGGACGAGGTTCTGAGGCCACCACATTTCAGCAGGCTCCACCAAGTAGCGCCGGAATATACCGGCCCATCCGAAGCCCAAGATTTGGGTGGTCAAAACAACCACCAATGCCACCCAGAAAGTCAACGTCTTCTTGTAAAACACCTTGACGGCGCTGACGATGTGAATCGAGTAGGGATTCGCGGCGCCGGAGTTGGCGAATATGGTGATCAAGACGTGTTCTTTGATGTTGAAAGGGCCGGGGTTCAAAGTGAACTCCCACTTGCTCCCCTTGAGGAACACTTTCTTGGGAACAGCAGCAGCCATTAGATGGCCGAGAGGGACGACGGCGATCTGGGCGGAGATTGAGCTGATGGACAGCGGCTCCCGCCGGAACCAGAAGAATTGGTTGAGGAAAGAGAGCAGAACGCAGGCCAGGGTCCCAAGGACCCACATACGGAAAGTAACCACGGGTAAGGACGGGTCATCGGTGACCGGAACCGTGAGTGCGACTTGCTCCACCGGAGAATTCTCTTCTTTTCCGGGAGGATTGCCGGAAGAAGAAGAGGAGGAGGGACCGTCGGCATTTTCTTCGGGAGGTTTGCCGGGCTTCTCAACTACACAAGGCGTCAACGAAATTTAGGATAAAGAAGAGAGATTACTAAAGTAGGCATGTAATCTTTCAACGGAAAGACAGTAAGATTACTTAGAGGAGCTTACTTAGAGGAGCTGAAATTTCGTCAGCTTCTTGTTTCATGGTTCGTAATCCGTATATTTTTGATTTTTTTTTCCGCCACCAAAAGAATCTGGGAAAGATGAGCTTTTGATTTTGGTGGGTCAAATTCTATATATGCATTTTTGCAATGATGAAGGGGAATGGGCCGCATCCAGGCTTCAATCCTAACCGTTGGAAAGACAGTAAGATTTGACTGTATTCGAGGAGCAGGAGAGGTTTCTACCGTCGGATTAGAAGGTGGGGGGTCAACTTTGAATTTCGCACGATATAATTTGGACATATTAGAATACAGAATCTGGGGACAACGTGGAAACTGAAAAGCCAGTAAATCAGTGTTTGTCCTACGTGGAATAAACGTTAGTTTTGGTACATTTTTTCATGTACTTGGACCATTTCGCGGGAAGATACTTCTACTTGAGTCTCGTAAGATTCTGGGAAAATATCAAACACTCTGATGATTGATTATCACCAGCCAAAATAGTATAGTACTAACAAAAAAGATTCCAACAAGAAGTGAACAGAAGGACATCCGAAAATTAATATGAACGTGACACATCAAAAAAAAAAAGAAGAAAAAAGTAAAATTCTTTTTCTTTGTGTTGGAATTTGGAAACAAATGATAAAATGAAACTGTTAGCTTCCAGTTTTGAACTTTAAAGAGAACTGATTTGGCAACTAGATTGGCGGGTGACTATCATTTGATCACCCAGTTCTGTCTTTTATGATTCCTAATCATATTTGGAATTTGAAGGAAACCTAATTTGGCAACCGGATCCATTTCTGCCATTACCACCATGCAATGACTTTCCAAATCCTAAAAGCTTCCTTCCTAATTGGCAACAAATGCCTACTTATTAACGTCCACCAATGGTAAATCTTATCATAGTATTACTTTGAAAACAACCAGCAGAAGATCACTGGCTCCTGCTTCTATGATTCTATCTACTGCGTGAAACATGAAGACGAAGCGTCGTCATCTTACTCAAACCAGAATCTCTAAACTGTGGGTCCCCAAGTTTTCCAACAAGTTGTGGAAGGATTTGGTAAATTTAGCCAACAACAAAGGTCACGTTTACCATGCCCTGTCTCTAATCATCTCCCCTGCATTCTCCAGAGAAAAAAGGCATCGTCCTAAAGATCCTTACAACCCGGTTCTCGCTCTCTACACTTGCGATTGTTTGTATCACACCCAAACACGTGAAAAACTCTGGAAAAGTACAGAAGAGTTAGTGTCGTCAATCCAGAAGAATCACCAAAACCCAGATCAGTGAAGAGAAACTGGAAAAAGCCATATCAGGGTTTTCAATCCTAGCATAGTGCAACTTTCAAACAGTCAAAATATGCAGGAACCTTGTTAGACATCATCATGCCTCAGGATGTTTTTTTGGTTAATGTGTGTTCCTTTAGTACTGAAATATATTGTTAGACTCTTTCTATGAGCTTCTTATATTTAGATGTTTCCTGGTTTAACATTGATGTCAAGATTTGCCAACCTGTATACGTGTAAAAGATTACTATTGTTGAATGGAAAACTTTTACTTTCTAAAACATGATCATGATATGAGTAATTTCTAAAGAAATCTAAAATTTCAGCAGCTTTAAATTTGGTGAAAGAAGCCTCAACAATCTGACCTTTTCAGCGAATTGAATACAAACATACTCTAATAGCATAAAGGAGATTTCTACTCTCAACATGTTTCCCTTCAGTTGCATCATTTGATCCAGAGCCCACAGTTCAATAAATCTGCAACTACATGGCCAATTTTGTGAACTTCGCGACGAAAAGGCCACTGGTACAAGAAGTGGATGGATCAAAGCGCAAAGTTTTAGGTATCCGCCCACTCCTACACGGCCAATCTTTTGCTGGACCAATCTCCACCAATTCTGCAAAACGAATAATAGATTGAATGTCTGACCGAAAGAAATTACAACAGAAGCCACCAACCTGAATTCAGCACAAACCTGCAGAAGTGTTTTGCGAAAGGAATTTCTCTACCACATCTTCATTCTGAGCAACAGTTAAACTGTTCCATCATTGAAGAAATAAGAAAATGAGATATTTCAATAATCTTAATGTCTACATGTAAGCAATATGTGACTGTGATACTTCTGAAAGGTACAAGCAAACTTACCTACAAGTGCTGTAGACCAGGGATCCATTTGCTTTGAGCAGTCTGAAACCATTGGTTAAAAGTTGAAGCTGCGACAGAGAAGATACGCAATAGGTCAGGACAAGAATCTAAGCAATAATTGCGATCTGCCTCACACAAAGACACAAAGACACAAAGTCACTAGAGCTTGGATGAACAAGGAAAAACATCAAACAATATAATGATCAGAAGCAGTAACCATCACGCTGACATATATCAAAGACTTCCAGAAACGTCCAAAAAGAGAAACAAGCAAAACCTGAAGGACAGTTATTTCGTCTGTCCTTTCTGCATCCAGAACACGGCGCTGAAGTGTTTCCCAGCCCCACTGTTCAAATTTTTGGATATGCCGAATTGAACCATCGTGTGTACATTCAGCATCAACAAGGACCTGAACATAAAGAAGAAACCAATCAATACCTAAACTATGAGGGAAGATAAAGCATCAACAAGATCCTCAGTTATTTCGATCATTTACCCACAAAAGAGGAGGGGGGGGGGGTGTTGGTGACAATGAATGCAGATAAATTTTGGTAAGTCTGCATAAAACTAACAATATCATGTACAGAGCAATTTCAATACCCACAACTATCAAGTTAACAACCAACAAGGACTGAAGAAATTGAGAGCCAACATTGTGAACAGGTAGTCAAGAACAGAGAAGTACGCAGACCTTGTCATAGCCACCTTCAAAAATTCCATCGTCAGTCATCTTTCTATACATAGCATCTTTACTCAGGCCAATTACCCCAGTTTCACTCCCGTAGAATATAAGCTCTGGATCTTCAGTCCTTGAGAATAACTGAGGACCAACAGTTTCTTTAGCTTTCAATGCCCTTTTCCTCTCTTTCCATGGTCTCCGAGAATTCCACTCCTTATAAACCTCTGAATTTCCTTCGAGGGTGGATTCACCTTGTTTAACCTGCTTGACATTGGAGAGTACTGCAAATCTTTAAAACAATGTTAAACGAATTTCTAGTGACGGTTGCCAAGCATTCTTAATCATGAATATCGTCATGGAGTTCAATCACAAATATTGCATGATTACATGATTTAGATTCCAAACAAACCCTAACAGGGGGGAGAGAGAATGTTGTTCCATCAGCCACAAAAAGACGGCAATGTTCACCAAGTTTGTATTTTAGCAGCATAGTCCGACATGCTGCTAACCGATGTTTGGCAATGTCGACACCAGTAACTGAACCTGAACTCCCAAGAAGGTCCAATATGAAGCAAAGTTTAGCACCTGTCAAACGATCGCAATGGAAAAGGCGCAATGAGAACCCCTTGGTGACATCAAAGAGAAAACTAACCGAAGCAAAGGTGAGAACGGTGCTTATTATGAGATCTCTGGTAAAATGGTAACACACCAAGAGTCTCCTAGATTGTTGGCAGAAATTCAAAAGGCAAGAGAAAAAGTATTATCAACGTCTTAGCTAGAGGAATATCTTTAAATGCAAAGTAGTTTGTTTCCAGGGACCAAAATGGAGTCTTTCCAACAAAACATAAGAAAGGACAGGTGGTCTCAAGTTAAAGAAAATATTGATCAAAAGGTAAACTGACAAGCGTGCTTTCAACTATTGAAGAAGGTATGGAATTACCAGGTGCAGCACAAAGGTCAAGTACATGGTCTCCTGATGAGATGCCCAATGCAGAAACAGCAGCTCCAGATGCGGCATCAATTCCATATATCTGAGGCCAAAAATTTATAAAAAAAAAAAAAAAAAAAAACTGTAAACGAGGACTTGGAATTCATATGTATAATGCATCCAAGAAAGCAACATACATTCAGCTCAAAAGGAACATTAATTAAGACTTAGAATCCTTAGTAAGTACAGTTAGTAGAGCTTAAGTGGAGACATTAACCCAAGCCACTAAAGTTCAAAATATAACCATTCATCTTTAGTTGAGGATTCCAAGATTACCTTTCCGTCTTGATACGCCTTGGAGCTGGCAATCCGAATGTCTGGAGGAAGAAAATAAAAGTTTGGAAGCCAGGACAACCTCTCAAGCGTACAATTAATCTCGGCTTCGATTTCTGGAACATGATGTTCCAAGCCTGGCTTTATCCTGCCAACATGATTGAGCCACCAATTCTTGTCATGTCAGCATAAATGTAAACACTATTCTAACCCTGAATCCAAAAGAAAGCTAACCCGGGACGAAAACAACATGTTGCCATATAAAAAATAAATCTTTTTGAATAAAGAATAGGAAATTTTAGCTTCACATAGAACCTCATCAAACACACAAGAATCATGGTCAAATATATGCAAAAGAGTACCTTATATAACGTGGAGTTGAATCGCTCTGCTTGTAGATTGCAGGGTCCAATCCATTCTGAATGAGAAAAGTAACAAATGAATCCGGCAATTGAAGCATCTTCTCTTCCGGGGAGGATTCATCCACCTCCATCACAATTAACCAACTATTGGCGGCAAAAAGAGTTAAAATTAAGCAAGGAAACCCAAATATTGCGCGCGAAAGAGAACAGCCTTTTTAAAATTAGTGTTGATTAGTCATCGTTTTTGGCGAGACCGCCGGAACGGGTTTTAGAGTCGCCTGAATCTTTCTGCGAGTTTTGGGCACCGCCGACCGCGTAGGCACTTACATATCAGATTTTGGAACCATCAGTTTTGGGCTTATTGAGTATTGGTTCGGAGAAAATATCGGATCATTTGGGTGGAAAATTGTGAAGCCCAGATAAGTTTTTGGGTTGCTTTTGGGCTGCGGATTTACATTCTAGTTTTCTTTTCTAAAAAAAATAATAATATAACCAAAGTGATTGTAGTGAAGTGGAAGGACTCTTTCACCCTTAAATATAAGTCGAGGGTTCGAACATCGTCATAGGCATGGAGCAAGGTGCTTACAATACAGCGAGGGAGATTAATTCAACGGTAAACACCCTGCAAATATGAAAAAATAAAAATAAAAAAAAAAAAATTAAAAGCCTCTAATGCAAATGAGTTCCCTACTTCCCTTGGAAAAAAAAAAAAAGAAAAAAAAAATCAACATCCACTTTTGAGATTTGTATTTCCTTGGCATAGGAATAAAAAAAAAAAAAAAAGCCCAAACATATAAAATCATGAATCAGTGACTGAATAATAATAAAGTAAAATGAATATGACTGGTATGTGGGAGTGATACATCAATCTTTTCCAACTTTGTGTGAAGAAAAAGTTTTTTCTAATGACTTCACGTAGGACATGATAAGGATGTGATGTGCATCACCCATCCTATTTTAGATTTTAGTGAGGAATGACTAATTTTTTTTGTCACCATTAGTTGCTGGTACTCGCTCTTTTTGCTCGCATCAATCATCCCTCGGCAGCTCGCCCCATTCTGATGAGATCTTTGTAACCATATCCACGATTCTTTCACAGGGGTTAGTGATATAGTAGTAATAATAAATAAGTGTGTAAATCTAATTATTTCTCAAATAATGAAATGGCAAATCATCATCAAATTCTGATCGGTATCGTTTGCAGTTTGCCTGCCACGAAATGTGTTTGCGACTGTTATGAAGAACGTAACAACAATGTGTAAATGAAGAACGTAGCATTTTGTTGCGAAATGTTATATCGGGACTGAATCAAGATATTTAGACACGATTGTATTTTTAGTCATAATGCATTGTGTGTTTACTGTTGACAATTAATAATTAATTGGTTCAATCAAAATGCGTGTCGTGTAACGAATATGAATATATATAACTTCATGTCATTACTCACACGCCAATTTATATGGTGAACCTGATTTACCATATATGGTACACTTGTCTAATTAATAGATCTAATTATGGAATGAAAATTAATAAAAAATACTATTGAATTGATTCATTCTCCCTCATCATTATTACATTTAATTATGAAATATCATGTTTTCAAATATAAATATTCTAATATTTCTCCTAATTCATAATTACTAACGTAACTTAAAAATTAGAAACAATTTAAATCCAATAAAAAATCATGAAATTTTGATATATATATATATGTATGTCATCAAATATATTGTTATAATTTATGAATATTTCATGGAATGTGTATGAACTATGAATACAAGAATTCCTAAATATTTTATTAAATAATTTTCTTTTATTCGTACGAAAATTTGCATAATTTGCATGAACATTGTCTCATATGGGTATGAATATGGTCTTTAAATTTCTTTTTTGCATTAATCTTCCAATTATCAAGAAAAATACTGTGAAACTTGGATACACGTGATATGAAAAGTATGATAGTTATTCATGAACATTTCATGAAAAGAGTATGAACATTTATCGTACACGTAATTATTTTATTAAAATTTCTTTAATTTGTGAAACTTGAATACACTTGATATGAAACGTATGACTGCTATTTATGAATATTTTATGAAAATGATATGAATATTTTATCGTATACGTGATTAATTTATTAAACTTTTCTAATTTGTATGAACATTTCACATAATCTTTATGAACAATCATAGTAAATGTATGAATGGAGGATTAAATAGATGAAAACCTTTAATTTGTGGTTATGTGTACAATTTTTCAATCAAAAGCTATGAATTATATATATATATATATTTGATATGAAAGATATGTTCATCATTCATAAATTTTTCATTGTATGATTATGAACCTTTAGTTTTTGTATGAATAAGATTATAATAATTTATCATTTTTTTTTGTTTTTTGAATTTTGTTTGTAATTACGTTGACTTGAATATATGATAACTGATTTTAAACATGGAAAGAGAATTAAATAATTTAATACTAGTAAAATCTTCATTAATTATTTATTCCATAAATAAATTTCATTAATTAGAGTAGTGCACCATGTATGGTGAACCATGGTACACCGTATAAGAATTGCACTCACACATGAGACATGGACTGAATCCACACGCAAATATATGCATAAATTAGCCAGTTTCCCACTCCCAGCCAGTCATACGTTACCAACTTAGCATCAGTATTAATAAAACCAACCAATCAAAGTATCAAACCAAGCGAAGAAGCCTATCTTTTAAAAAAAGACTTCCATTACTCTTCTCTCTCCCCCAAAACCAACTAAACAAAAAGCCAATAGATAGATTTATACCTTGGACTTGGAAGTTGGAACTTTGATTCCAGTCAGAGAGAGGTTCCGCTGAATCTGCAGAATCTGCTTGCCAACCCTCTTTATAAAATTCATCCGAGTTTTTTTCATATGGGGTCCGAACCCAGGTAACTAAACTATATTTAACTTGTTTGAGTACGAGAATCTTCTTTCTCTGTGACTAATTAACAACATTTGAGAACCGATGATGAACACTTATTGTCCCATTTTCTACTGTGGGTTCTTCCTCCTCTTTCTGTCCTTTGTTTGTAGTTTGGTAGCTGAGCCTGTACAAGTTGTTACTGTTGATGTTCAAGCAACTAAAGACCTCCTCCATTCCGGCCCTTACCGCTATCTTGATGTCAGGTAATCCGTAATTGTTATTGTTCTTTTCCCACGCTATGATCGTGATGTTTAATTATGCCTGATGGGATTCTGAGTCGGAGATTGTGTATTCGAGTTTACAGGACGGAAGAAGAGTTCAAGAATGGCCACGTTGAGAATGCTTTGAACATTCCTTACATGTTCAACACCCCTGAAGGTCATTTCTTCTTTAGCTTTCAAGTTTCAATCTTTTTATTGCTCTTCTGGAATCTGGACACAAAGAGAACAAAAAAAAGGGTGTATTGAGTGTAATTGAGTTTGATTGAAGTTTTTGTTATTTGTTGAGATTCAGGTAGGGTAAAGAATCCCAAGTTTTTGGAGCTGGTCCTGTCAGTGTGTAGGAAGGAAGATCATATTGTTGTGGTAAGTTTGTCTTCCAGAATCTTCCTTCCATGCCCATAATTCTTGATTCCAAAATCTCAATGAGTGAATTTTTTTTTTTTTATATGAGTGAAGGGCTGCCAGAGTGGAGTTAGGTCTGTATATGCAACCACTGATCTTCTTAAAGCTGTAAGTTCAGTTGATTGCCGTTTCAATCTGTTTTCCCTTCTGCAACTCTGATTGGCCTTTTTTCCCAAATTTTTCACTATAACCTGCAGGATTTCAAGCATGTGTTTAACATGGGAGGAGGCTATATTGACTGGGTGAAAAAAGGGTTCGCTGTGAAGAAGCAGGTTGGAGAAGCAGATGCTGCAGAACTCTGAGCATCTATTTAATCGATATCCCCCTTTCTAAATTGTTAAGAAATGTTCATTCTCCATACTCCAGAAGAACCAGAACAAAGCCCTGCTGGTTTTTTTTTTTATTGGGTAAATTAACATGTTCAGTTCACCAATGGAAGAAACCAAGAAGTGTAGCGCCTAGATGAAAGTATGAAACAATAATAGTACGTATATATGATCATCTGTGACCAGTTGATTTATTTATGTGTATATGTTTCCCATCTATTTGAAAAGTTTAGATGTTGACGCACTGAGTATTAAGAAAATCCAAACGGTGGAATTTAAAGATTATAATGCATCCTTCGTCCCTATAAATTTGTTAATATCATCTCGTTCATCAAACTCAGATAAATTGATCAATCCTCATAGTTTAAGCTTTCAAAAATTGGAGAAAACAGGGGATAACAGAGATGACTAGTCCTATAGAGGGTACTATAATAATATTAGTAATGTAAAAAAAAAAAACAGAAAAGAAAAACGAAGACATATTAGTCCACAACAACTTTTAAGGTCCAAACTCTAACATTTTAGCTCCAACTACAAATGCAAGACAAGAACTCGGTCAATCTGAAATGGGACAGTTGGGTTGTCACCAAATAATGTAACACCCCATGCACGTCTATATGACTATATCTATTATTGTAATTTATGATACTTACCAAACAGACAGTCAGACACACACATTCAATGCCATTATTGTTAAAGCCTAAGTTGTTTTTTGATTTTTCCAGCATCACACAAATCCCTGAGTTTGAGCTACTTGAAGGGAAACAAAGTCTCCCAAACATGAAATGGGATGTTAACTTTACCAAAATTGGCGACAGAATCAACTGTATTCCTCCAATCCTTGGTTAGTGCAGAAGGGCAGAGTTTGATTTGGATTCAGAACTAACGAAAGATGGAAACAAGTGAAGGAAGACCCTTGTCTGAAACTCCAACGTGGGCAGTTGCAACCGTTGTCACAATTTTGGTTGCCGTTGGCATCTTCATCCATGCTTGTTTGAAGAGGTTGACCAAGGTAAATGGTCTTTACCACAAATCTACATTTTTTACTTCTTATGGTCTGCAGTGGATTGTGTTTTCTTTTTTGTTAGTGGTTGGATGAGACTAAAAGGAAACCTTTATTAGCTGCATTGGAGAAGATCAAGGATGGTATGATTTAACACTGCCTGTGTAATTCTTTTTCTAGCGGGATTTTCCGTTGCATTTTAAAAATACCTCTCAGAGAGTTTGATTAATTTGAATGCTTGATGGTAATGGCATGCCAGAACTGATGGTATTTGGAGTGTTGTCATTGCTAATGGGTCATTGGATCATTTTTGTGGCCAAGATATGTGTTAAGTCATCGCACTTAAGTACTCGCCGGTTCTATCCATGTGAACCTAGGAAGATAAGTGTGAGGGAGAAAGCTTTTCTCAATCAAGCAGCCCTCTTGAGGGTAGTTCACAACCTGAGTTCTTCATTATCAGCAGATTTAGACGAAGAAAAGGAGCAAAGTTTTTGTCCTGAGGTAGCTAAATCTCCATCTTATTATCTGTGCTGGTAGTACATCTCTGTCAGGCATTGTAAAAACTTGGAGATATCAGGCATGAATCATTTGTAGCAGAATAACTGCAAGTTTCGGATGACTTCCATTGTTTTGTAGGGCCATGAATCATTTGCTTCTCGGGAAAGTCTGGAGCAGCTCCACCGTTTCCTTTTCATTCTCGGGGTCACTCATGTGTTCTATAGCTTTCTTGCACTTGCATTGGCCGTGTTCAAGGTAAATTATCTGTGTGAAGTTAGTTATCTTCTTGGGATATCAGAATTGATCTTCCATCAATAGGCTCTAAGTTGTTTAATGTCTTTAATGTGAAGAGCAAATTTTTTCAACACAGATATACAGTTGGAAAGCATGGGAAAATCATGCCAAGTCTGTGGCTCTTCGAATCTCACAAGGTGCAGATCACACACAAGTTTCTTTATATGGCTTCTTAATTTTTAAACCTTACAAGTGACTGCGATCTTTGAGACTTTGATTTTCCACATATAACAAGATTGCGATTTGCTTCGTGGTTGTACTATAGATTCTCAGGAAGCTAGTGGCACTGGCAGCAGGATGGCTCGTTTATCTTCTTTCGTCTCCAATCATACTTCTCATCCGTGGAGCAGCCACAGAATACTTGTTTGGCTGGTATAGTTGTTTATAAATGCCATATCCAAGTATTAGCTCGTGATAGACTTAGATATACTTTGTTATTGATCCAAATTTGAAATCGAGGATATTTTTGCAGCTTTGTTTCAGTCGCCAGTTCTGGAGCTCAATAAATCAAGCTGATTACATGGCTTTGCGCTTAGGTTTTATCACGGCAAGTTTTGTATTTTCTTAATGGTGATCCTTGTTCCTTACATTGTCTTTCTGATGTATGCATCATAAAGGTTGAAACTAGAACAAGAATCAGGAGGCGATCTGTCATTGTTCGCATGCAAAAGAAAGATCTAAATAATATGCAGTTTTCTTCTATTGCAGACTCATCAACTACCATTGACTTATGATTTTCACAAGTACATGATTAGAAGCATGGAGGAAGAATTCCGAGATACTGTTGGGATCAGGTAATGCAACAGTTTCACTGGATGCTTGGCTTTCAAAGGGTCTGATAACATCAGAAGAAAATATAAAAATTACAACCCGTGCTACTTCAATAGAATAGCTTCGTTAGCGATTACAGCTGACAAATGTTCTCTTCTTTTTCAGTATTCCACTCTGGATTTTCACCATATCATGTGTTATTTTGGGTTTCCATGGTACTTAATCCTTGCCTAATCTGGAATCATGACCACATTTTTGTCTTCAATAAGCCCCTATCATAAATCTTGACTTGTAATTTTGTATCGTTGTTAGGAACACATATCTACTTTTGGCTTTCCTTCTCTCCAGCTGTTGTGAGTTTCCCTTCACTCTTCATTCATCTCCATTTACTGGAAATGAAATTCAACCTTTCTTATGTTTCTGCAATCTTTCTAAATTTTGTTTCCGTTGAAAGTTGATCCTCCTGATGGGCACCAAATTGCATCGTATAGTGGTAAAGCTCGCTGTTGAAATCACAGAAGCAACTCCACAGATAGAACCTCATAAATTTAACCTCAGGGATGAGCTCTTCTGGTTTGGAAAGCCTAGACTTCTGCTACTACTTATTCAATATATAACATTTCAGGTGATTAAAACATTTAACAACTTCATTCAGGATTTATATGAGCAAACCTGCTATATATGTTCAAATAACCATAGATGTACAGTGGCTGATCATTAGTTTGTTTGATTTGCAGAACGCATTTGAGGTGGCAATTTACATCTGGTCACTGGTAAGATCTTGCATACATAATGAGCCCTAATTTACTTTAGGTCGGGTTATAAAATGACACGGCGATAACTATATCACTGGTTGATGTCTGAATGCTGATTTCAGTGGGAAATTAAGGGGCCATCTTGTTTCTCGGAAGAACACGCCTTTGTTGCCATCCGTTTGACATTTGGGTAATGCCCTCTCATCTCTGCAATGAACTAAACTACTCAAAGTTCGAGTTCCATTGACATGAATATTTTTGCTTACTGACTTTTCCACAGGCTTGTGTCTCAGTTTTGGTGCAGCTTCATCACATTTCCTCTCTATGTCATCATTGCTCAGGTTCCTTGATTTCCTTTTGCATCCAAAACACTCCATCTTGTTTCATTTGTTTTACATTTTTGGAGTTACTAGTGCAGATGGGATCCAAGTACAAGAAATCAATAGTTTCTGAAAATGTGAGGAAATCACTGCATGGATGGATACACAAAGCAAGGAACCAAAATGAAGGCCATTATCATTCCCTAGTAACAACTGCATCAGTCAACTCACTGGATTCCCTGGTGGATGATGATTATGATGGACATGTTGGTAGTAGTAGTAATAATATTGGCTCAAGCTAGTAGGATTTTCCTTATTTGGAAAGTTCGATTGAAGTTAACTGTATTTACATTTCATATCATAAAAATACTTCCTATATCTCAAACTTATTGTCCAGTTTAGATTATTACTTTTTTAGTAAAATTTGAACAAAAAATGAAAATTCAAATCGGACAATAATTTTGAGACGTGGAGTACGACCTAATAAGTAGATTATATGGTAAGTGTAACTGTGTAAGCATGTACATTTCATTTTCTTATATGGAGTTTGCAAAATTATAATTGTATGCGAATTTATAATTAAAAAAAATTGCAAGCAAGATTCATTTTCTACCTGAAGATTATTAGAAGGGTTCCAATCGCTTTTAAACTTGCATACCAAATACCGCATCATTAAAAAAAAAAAAAAACTCTATATAGTCCATTCAAAATTTATAGTATTTTCTTCAACTAATTATAAAATATTTATTTTTTCATAATGAACAAATATTTTTTTCAATTATAATACAAATATTTTGCCTTTTATTGCTCCTCAATCGACAAGACAAATTTTGTGATTTTATTACATACTTGCTATCTATGATATTGTTTTTAAAAATAATGTTTAAATATACCATGAATAATAAATTTTTGATTTGATCTATATGAAGGTAGAAACGCAAAATAACCCAGACAAACAAATGGAAAAATGGTTAGGGATATGAGGTAGGCAGCCGATCAGATATGGTTATGTTTTGCGTTGATTATTATTTATGGAGTGAAAACAGATTTTTTGAATAGTCAAGGGTCTAACTGGTAAAACCCAAAGTTGAGGGATTCCGTATTCTGCAATTAAACTATAACCCAAAAAATAAATATAAAACCAAATAAAAACTGGAAAAAGGAAAAGAGCTACTACTTATTGGGCACAATCAAAACAAAAGGTGTGCAGAACTGCTCAACTTCAATCGAGAAGCAAACTTCGATTATTCTTTCAACTTTGCCTTAGTTTTCTTCTCTCCGGTAGCCATGGTGCTCGAGGTAAAGACCTTTCGTTATTTCTAAGTTTGAATTTGATTCTATTCAATTGAGTATCTTGCTTAGGGTTATATATTTCTGTGCTGCTATTAGGCAACGATGATCTGCATCGACAATTCCGAATGGATGCGGAACGGAGATTATTCTCCTTCTAGGTTTCAGGCTCAAGCCGACGCCGTTAATCTTATTTGCGGTGCTAAAACCCAGGTACTTTTTACATTTATTCCGTAAGTCGTGCTGTTTGTTTTATGACTGCAAATTCGGTCCAGTTTTTATCCGGTTATGGTTGCTTAGGGTTTTGGCTTCCGATTTTGTGATTCGTTTTTTGATTTGGAATTATCGTGTAGTCTAATCCCGAGAACACAGTGGGAGTATTGACGATGGCTGGCAAAGGGGTTAGAGTGTTGGTCACTCCTACCAGCGATCTCGGAAAGATCTTGGCTTGCATGCACGGTTAGCTTCTAAACTTCTATATGGATACTTTTCTAGTTCGTGGAACTTGCTGCAATCCACTGTTAAAACTTGTATGATATTAATATTATAATTTGGAACTTTAGTTGATGAGGCTTGGTATACTGTTTCAATTTTGGGAGAGTATTTGATGCGTTTGGCAGACTGTTTTGGGTTTCTGGTGTTCATTGGGTTAATCATGTCGTCTTATTGTGGACATGTTGCAAGGTGTCTTGTGCTAGATTAAGGGTAGAATTTGCTGTCTGTAACTTGAATGCAGGATGTTTTGGTCTCTCATCTTTGGTAGGTATTGCTATTGTGGAACACGTTTCAAACAAAGTATGCTTTCCGCTTGTTGAGATTTTACCATATCAATCCAGGTCTAGAAATCGGCGGTGAGATGAATTTGGCAGCTGGAATTCAAGTGGCACAATTGGCTCTAAAGCATCGCCAAAACAAGAAGCAGCATCAAAGGATTATTGTATTTGCTGGGAGGTGGGCATCTGTGTCATTTAGTCTGTGCAATGTCTTCTTTATGCATATTATGGTCTTTCTTACCTACTTATCCACATGTTCTGCTTTCAGCCCTGTTAATTATGATAAAAAGGTTTTGGAGATGATCGGGAGGAAACTGAAGAAAAACAGTGTTGCGCTTGATGTTGTCAACTTTGGTGAAGAAGATGAGGGAAAGAACGAGAAGCTTGCAGCTTTAGTAGCTGCAGTGAACAACAATGATACTAGCCATATTGTTAACGTTCCTCCTGGTCCTGTTCTTTCTGATGTGCTTATTAGGTCTCTGTTCCTGCCAGTTTCTCACTTGCTTGAAGTTAAAAACTCAATCATGCATCAGTAAATTGATAAATTTTCTTTCTTTGCAGCTCTCCCATCTTTCTCAGTGATGGGGAGGGTGGAAGTGGCTATGCTGCTGCTGCGGTAGCTCAATCAGTGGGTGGAGGTGGTTTTGAATTCGGTGTGGATCCTAATTTGGATCCCGAACTTGCTCTCGCTCTCCGAATTTCAATGGAAGAGGAGAGGGCCAGACAAGAAGCTACTGCAAAGAAGGCTGCAGAAGAGGCTGCGAAACAAGGAAAAGGAGAATCCACTTCACAAGATGTAGATATGACTGACAAGGCTGGAACTTCTGAAAATGAAAATAAGGCAACTGATCTGACGGTATGTGTGTAAATACTGCATCTCAAGATTTCTTTGTAATTTTACTTTTCCTGCTGTTTATATATTTTATTATTTTCCGAAAATAATAGGCCTCATCACGTGAACTTGGACTTGAATAAGTTTATGCTGAATACATTTAAACATATCGTTCTTTCGTTTCTATAGATTTTTGGCCGTTGTCACTGCTTTCTGTGAGATGATTTCTTGTACTTCTGTTTGTTTCTGTGTGACAGTTGGGGCTCAAACCCCGTTTTAGGTGTTGTCATGATGGGTAATATTGCTGATGTTATATATTGCAATTAGTTAGACCATCTAGTTTCTACATTGTTACAACTCTGTGAAGTATCAAGTCAACAATGCAAGCAAGTTCAATGATTGCAGCTCTTAACTCGAACAGATGTTAGATACCCTTTTGGGGCTTCAAAAGGTAGAAACTAGTTTTAGAATAACAGTTCTGACTAGGTGGTAAGATTGCTGGAGAACTATTTCTCTTGCAACCATTCTTAGAACCTTTAGGTGTCTCTTCCAGGGACCTGTAGGCATCACTCAAGGCATAATAGCATCACACACTCTTCAACAAAATTAAACAGTGTAGGTACTTCTCTAAGTGAAACCTGAAATCTCCTTGTATAAAGGTACATTTATATATCTTGAAAACTGAAATTGATTGGGTTAAGGATTCATCCTCTCTGGACACAATTACTGGAAACATAGATTCCACAGAAACCTAGAGTTCAGGAAACTCCTGCAAAACAACATTATTAAAGAAACACGATAGACAACTAATATTTGTAAGACTGCTAAAAGCATTAAAAAATATTCCTCTGCTTGGGGGATGGCTCTTTCCCCTCATTTTCAATTCTATTGATTGCTTCTGTTCTATCTGAATCTGAAGACTCTTTTCCCTCAAACTGCTTGCAGGATGATGAAAATGCCTTGTTGCAGCAAGCACTAGCTATGTCAATGGATGATTCTTCCTCTAATGTCACTACTCGAGACACCGATATGTCAGAAGCAGCTGCAGATGATCAAGATTTGGCTCTAGGTATTGGTTTTGGTTACTAGATAAGCTTGTTCCTTTCTCTATTGCTCTTGGGGTTAAAATGATTCTCATCCACGAAGAAGTCCTATGTCAAACCTCCAGTATAATTCGAGATTACTTATACATTCTTGAATTCTCTTGGATTTATGTCCTGCTGCTTACAAGCAATGCTTTTATTTTTCAGCTCTCCAGTTATCTGTCAATGACAGCATGAAAGATGAGTCACCTTCGGGAGATATGAGCAAGTTATTGGCGGACCAGTCATTTGTATCTTCCATCCTTGCTTCTGTAAGTTTAGATGATTATTCTTTGAATCCTTTTCTTTTAGGCATAAATAGCTTCTTATAGTGTGTCATAGTAAGAAGTAAGAACCATGAGGGAGAAAATGCGCCATTTCTGACTGTTTTAATTCTTGCGTACAGCTTCCAGGAGTTGATCCAAATGATCCATCCGTCAAAGATTTGCTTGCTTCCATGCAAAGTCAATCTGAGGTTAGTTCTTCATAATGTTGGTGTAGTTCAAAGTCATCACATGTATTGTGGTTTAGTGTTGGTTATTTGTTAACCTTGTCTGATTTCCAATGTTTCAGTTTTCTTTTGACATTATAACATTCTTACATTTCTTCCTCCAGTTTAGAACTTCTGCTTCACCTTTGCCATATGGAGTTTAAGTGAATTTGCTGGATGTCAATATAATTCTGGATGTTATCTACATCTTTTTTGGATATCTGACTACTACTTTTACATGAATCTAGCAGAAAAAGCCAGAGGACAAGGCACCAGAAGAAGAGGATAAGAAATGATTGTGCAATGTAATTGCTATCAACTATCAGGTTTGCCTTGTAAATGCAATTTATGAATATATCCGGTTAAAATTCTCAGGGAAATCTTTCAATGAGTGATGTAGCATCTAGATGGCGCATAAGCTTCTATGCTCCAATAATCTTTTGCATTGTCAATGCAATGTCAATCATTGAAAAATTCCTCCAGAAGTTTTCACTTGGAGATCATTTTGTCTAAACTTAAAAGTGATCATGGGTTAAATGATCTCTTGCAGATGAAGCTGTTCTTCATGGATGCGAAGGGCTGCTTGCCATAAAAAATGTGTTCGAGAATGGGAAGATACCGATGTCATTTCTTGGGCTTAGATGTAGAAATATTTATCTTGGTTAAATGAAACCTTGAAAATGTTACATTATTCTCAGTTTGGACTTGACATTGTTGTTTCTTTATTTTTTTGTGAGTTTGGACTTGACGTTGTTGTTTCTTTATTTTTCCCTTTTTTTGCGGGCGTTATGTGGGTCTAACTCGTTTAATGCATCTTACGGAGAGCAAATTAATACTTTTATGTCTAATGATCAACGTTAATTTTCTTTGTTGTGTTACGATTGCATAGCAGAAATCTCGAAATCTGAAAATTAGAGGTTGGAAAAATGGCGAGAACTAGTGTTCCCTCGCTGGGTTCTGCGCTGAAAACAAAGCCAATTATCCCATGCAAGAAGTTCCACATAAAATTGGTAGTTCTGTTATCCTACTTGGTCTAGGTTAGCAGATTTTAGTATAGTTCTCCTGAGATTGGGGAGTTGTTATATGCCGTGTGGGTTGGGATATCATACCGTCACAAAAGCTATTCTAAATTTGGAAATGGTGGTTGTATCTCTGAAGCAATGGGAAACAGTTGGCGGAATGAAACACCTCACGGATATGTACCCATGTTATTCACCTTATCGTAATGTTTGATATGTTCCCTACTCAATACTTAATGGAGGCTTATACTTGGAATTAGGCAAAGGAAAATCATATAGTTTCCTCCACATTGACCATCTCATTGAGTTAAAGGCGATTTGTTTCGACGTATTGGTCCGTTTGGGATCCATCCCTACGAACCATTTTGGAAGAGCTGATCCATCAAAGGGAAATGCTACAATTTTGGAGTCAAATGACCTCGTGAACCAGCAATTCTGGCTGCAACTCCGATTCTTGGAAATCTCGGATAACCCCACTTCTGGGCTTCATATCTGGCTAATTCTAGGAAATGTCGAATGTGGCCGAATCGAGATCCACCAAATATCCTCCCACAAGATTGCTGTTCTTGGCAAAATTTGGAGTCTCCGTGATATTTCATGGGTTCTTTAGGATCAGATTTTTTTTTTAATATATAGCTCTTAAAACCAAAAGGAAACTATAATATATATTAAAATTAAGAAGGAACATTACACATGGTTTGGCAATAGGGCTAACCTATCAGTACCTCTATCTACTTTAATCAAGCAACATCTACGAAAACTTTTTGTTTTTGATTATACAAAGAAAATGTGTACATGCAACCATTTCATTTGGAGTCCAACTAAGTCATGGTAAGATCTGTACATTTCATATTAATTGTCGTCCTTGTCAAGAAGTGTTCTTTAAACCACGGACTCCTTTCCTTGTCACTTACTGGAATATTAATTGTTAGAACTTTCTGTTTTATGCAGAGCAATAAAGTATACTTCTTTGAGGAACATGTTTTACGATCGTCTTCTAGTTCATCGTCTACGACAATGAGAAATAGAACTGCAGTACAGACAAAAATCAAACGGCCCCTTGAGATCATCCATAGATGTGCTTGATCATTATATATAGTTATCTTCCGCGGAAGGAAAAGTACTAAAAAACTAACCATAACCATAACAAACTTCGTCAGCGAAAATTTTTGAATTGCATACTCTTATGCATGATTAATAGAGAAATTGTTTCTTTCTGAATATTTATTTAACCACCATTTTTGTCTTTTACCACATCGGGCCTGTAGTTTGACTATATTAATCAAGGCCCTTCTTCAGATTACACAAGGTTTAGTCTTTGAGGATGGAAATGGGGAGTTTGGTTGCTTCGTGTTCCGCTTTGCTCTGTGTTGTTTTTCTGCATTGTTTCCATGGAGAAGTTAGTGGTGCTGGAAGTACAAAGTATAACACTGGGGCTGGTATTGTTGATGGTAAACTGAATGTGCATTTGGTTCCTCACACTCATGATGATGTGGGATGGTTAAAGACAATTGATCAGTACTACGTTGGATCAAACAACACCATTCAGGTGTCTGTGTTTTGGATATGCCTATTTTCAGTTCGTGTTTGCCACTTTGAGATGAGATATTGGACTGGTCAATTGATTCATATAATTTGTTTAGCTCTCTTCTGACATTTTTTTTTTTTTTTTTGATGCAGGGTGCATGCGTGGAAAATGTACTGGACTCGGTGATTATGTCATTGCGCCGCGACCCAAACAGGAAGTTTATTTACGTTGAAATGGTAAAGTATAAAAGATTAATTCTGTCTTTTGTGTGAATTGAGATCATGAATGCTTGGTTTATGAGCTTAGGATTGACAATCAAATGGCCGATTCTGATTGATATGTTTGCAGAAGTTGTCTTTAACGTGTCCGGACGACTTGTGCTTTTGTAGGCTTTTTTCAACAGATGGTGGCGGACTCAAAGTGCAGAAATCCAGCAACAAGTAAGAGAGCTTGTAGATTCCGGGCAGCTGGAATTCGTGTAAGCTGCTTGCCCCTCTTCTGATTTTTGTTTCTTTTCTCTTTTGCAGGTTTATCTAACTAAAGTTGATTGTTCTTGAATGTAGAAATGGTGGCTGGTGCATGCACGATGAAGCAACCACTCATTACATCGATTTGATTGACCAAACTACTTTAGGCCATGAACTGATAAAGAGCCAATTTAACAAGACTCCTCGTGCTGGATGGCAGATTGACCCTTTTGGGCATTCTGCCGTTCAGGCTTACCTTCTTGGATTTGATGTAGTGGAATTTTACCCTTTTCTTTTAATTTTCTAACCCATGTTTTTGGATGCCTTGTTTTTAGTCTGCATCTTGCCTCTTCCTCATCCAGTCCAACTTTTCTTGAATAGCTTGGCTTTGATTCGATTCACTTTGCGCGGATTGATTATCAAGACAGAAGAATACGGCTGCAAAATAAAACTCTTGAAGTAGTGTGGCGTGGGTCAAGAACATTTGGTGGATCAAATCAGGTAGAGAGATACAGCCTTTTGGGTTTCCCAACAAGTTACTTTTCTGATATGGAGACTAATAAAATTTCAAACTTGCAGATATTCACAAATGCCTTTCCAAGGCATTATAGTCCTCCAGACGGCTTTGAATTTGAAGTTGATGGTGACTTCGTCCCTGTCCAGGTTTTCTGATTAGTTGACAAATGAATGAAAATGGCAGAACCTTCCGCATAATTTGTTGATCATCCTACTATTCCTTGTGACCATACTTTCTTTGTTGTTTGCAGGATGATCCACTGCTCTTTGACTATAATGTTGCACAAAGAGTAGAGGATTTTGTTACAGCTGCACTGATTCAGGTAATTGTACTGAAACTATGGTTATTGGAATAATTTAAAGATCCCAGCAGGTGGCTTTGCCATGGGGGTATTATGTGCTTGGTTCATAGGATAAAAGTGTTTAGAATTCTCTTATTGCCAGGCAAATGTAACTCGTACAAATCATATCATGTGGACAATGGGTGATGATTTCCAGTATCAATATGCTGAGTCTTGGTTCAAGCAGATGGATAAGTTGATTCACTATGTCAATAAGGTTGGGCAGTTCTCAGTTTTCTTTTTGCCAATTCAGCAAATGTAGCAGAAAGAAAATGTGGACTTCGACTGAGAGTATTCTGTCTTTTGCAGGATGGTAGGGTGAATGCTTTGTATTCTACCCCATCTCTCTATACAGATGCCAAATACAGTTCCAATGTATCGTGGCCCCTGAAATCCGATGATTATTTCCCGTACGTACCATCTGATGTTATACATTATTGTAGTTTCAAACTAGCAAGAGCATTTTCACTTTTTTTTTTTTTTTGGGTAGATATGCAGACAATACAGATGCTTATTGGACTGGTTACTTCACGAGTCGCCCAGCTTTCAAAAGATATGTCCGCATGCTAAGTGGATATTATTTGGTAAAAATTAGTGCCATTATTTTTTCTTCATATTCATATTGAGGTGATGGATTTTTTGATGTCCGGATGCTTCACCTTTCAGAAAAAGCTTGATAGATGATATAGTACAAAAAGTTTTTCATATCCTTTTGAGTTTTCCTGTTTAGGCAGCCCGCCAACTGGAATTCCTCAGTGCAAGAAATTCAACGGGTCTGAACACTTACAGTTTAGGAGATGCATTGGGTATTGCACAACACCATGATGCTGTAAGTGGTACTGCAAAACAGCATACAACTGACGACTATGCAAAACGTTTGGCAATCGGAGAATCTGAGGTGGGTTACATCTGCTTCAAATTCAATGTACCTCAGAAATCAATTCCAATTTCATTAGTAAATTTTCTGTTTTCACTCAGTCTCTTGTACTAAAAATTCCTTTTTCAGGTCGTAACTGTGGTCAATACAGCCCTGTCATGTCTTGTCACATCACAATCAAGCAATCAATGCAGTTCACCAGGATTGCCTTTAAGCCAGGTGATGCTTCAAGTATATTTTTTTAGTCTTCTTCTTTAATGGCTTTTGGGGTCTGAATCAGTAATCAAGCACTTTTGGAGTTTGGAGTGCTATTGTGTCCAAAAGTTGTTCTAACTTCTTACTCTATGCTTTCTGTCTTTTTCCATTTGTAAACAGTGTCAACTCCTCAATATAAGTTACTGTCCCCCAACTGAGGGAGATATTCCTGCAGGGAAGAGTTTGGTAATATTCCCTTCCCAGTTGCAACATTTTTATTAATGTGCTCTACGGAAATAACAAAAGAATGTAACTTGAAACCTTCCAGGTTGTAGTAGTTTACAATCCCCTCGGCTGGAATCGCACAGATATCATCAAGATACCGGTGAACATTCCATTCTTTCTACTGCAACTATCAAAATATGATTTAGGTGTAGTCATTTACTTTCTTCATGATTGGAATAATTGGGGTTTACTTGTTTGACAGGTGAATGATACTAATCTTGTTACAAGAGATTCTGAGGGTAACACGGTTGAGACACAATTTGTGGAGTTGGACAACATTACAGACAGTCTCAGAAGCTTCTACGTTGAGGCATATACAGGAATTTCACCAAAAACAGCTCCCAGATACTGGATATTCTTCCAAGTATCTGTGCCAGCTCTGGGATGGAATACTTACTTCATCTCTAATGCTTCACAAAAGGGTACATTGTTTTGTTTCCAATTTCATGAGCTTGTAAAAAAGTAGATGAAAATTTATCAGTCTAATTAGCGACCTATGTACTCAGGAAATTCTGGAAGCACCTATGTTCCTGAGGTAAACTTTGCAATGAATGAGACCATTACAGTTGGACCTGGAAATTTGAAGCTGTCTTTTTCATCAACATCTGGACAACTTGTGCGAATGTTCAATTCGAGAACACGGGTAACTAATTTATTTGTGTACGCATTTAGCCTTCATCCTATATGTTGTTTCAAATAAATGATCAGCATTTGTAGTCAACTGACAAGCATTTTGCGTGGTATGAATATAAGGTTGATATACCAGTGCAACAAAGCTATTTGTGGTACGGTTCAAGCCCTGGAGACATTGACCCTCAGGTAAATTCAAGTGTCTTTACTAAGGACGTTTCAGCTTGCTCGTGAATCAACTACTAATTTTGTACATCTTATTTAGAGTTCCGGTGCTTATATTTTCCGCCCAAATGGTTCTCCTCCAACATTTGCCTCAAGATCGGTGAGCCATCACTTCAATTCAGATGCAACAGCTATATTAATTTCATTTCATTATTATGACCATGAAAGACAGGAGAAGTTGAATCTGTTCTTGTGTAACAATGCTGCAGGTGACCATGAAGGTTATACGTGGACCACTTTTTGATGAAGTTCACCAAACATTTGGTTCATGGATCTATCAGGTACAGAGTTCTTAATCTTATGCAAGTTCTTCTCTTTGCTGTAATTATGACGCTTTTTTACTACAAGCTCCCGAAATCTATTATAGGACAACAGACAATCAAGCTCCTTTTTCATCTTCCTGTATCCCAATTGTAAAAATTTATATTTTGGACAAGTGTAATAAATCATCTAAATTCACCAGGTTGTTCGAGTTTACAAGGAAAAAGAGCATGCTGAATTTGAGTATACGGTAAGTACATCATTTCTTATAAGTCCTCCTCATTTTGTCAACTATGCTCATTTAATAATATGAGTGCGATTAAATGTCATAATTTTCATTCAAGATTGGTGAAATTCCGCTTGATGATGGAGTTGGAAAAGAGGTCATTACACGATTTGTTGCTGATATGGCCACAAACAAGACTTTCTATACGGATTCAAATGGAAGAGATTTCTTGAAAAGGGTAACAGGAAAAGACTTGTTACTTGGCTTGCATCCACTATACTGGTTTTCTGACTACTCTCTTTTATCTGTGCTAAATTATCTAAAACCTCTGTCGCATGTCAGGTTAGAGATTATAGACCTGATTGGCCTCTTCAAGTGACTCAACCTGTAGCAGGGAACTATTATCCAGTAAATAATCTGAACTAGCCTACAAAAAGATTAAGCAAATTAATGTGATTTCTCAATCATTGAGATTCATTTTTACATCATATGCTAAGTTTTAATTCTGGCTTTCAGATTAACCTGGGAATCTACACAACAGATAATCAATCTGAATTCTCAGTTTTGGTAGATCGTGCTGCTGGTGGATCCAGCATCAGTGATGGACAGATAGAACTCATGCTCCACAGGTCTAACCTAATATCTGCATGACTTTTTTTTGTTTTCATCCCTTGTACAAGTATTGGCAAACTACCATAGCCTAAAGCCTCTTTTACTAATAAGAAGGGCAAATTTGTGTGTGCCATAACCAGACGCATCCTTTTTGATGATGGTCGTGGAGTTGGTGAAGCTCTTGATGAGAGAGTATGTGCGGGAGCTACTTGTCAAGGACTGACGGTATTGTTTTCTCGACTATATCCATATCCGGTTTTCCATGTGCTGGTTAGTTTTACTGGAAACATGTCCATGCCTTCTAATATTGTTAAGTTTTTATCAGGTTCGGGGAAATTATTATGCCAGCATAAATCAGGTAGGTGCTGGAGCTCGTTGGCGCAGGACAGCGGGTCAAGAAATCTATTCACCACTAGTGGTGGCATACACACAAGAGGTAACTTCAGGTTGCCATGCTCATTAGATGAAAAGTCCATCCCGGTTAATTATATGCAATCTTGAAGAAAGTTTGGGGCATGATATTGCAGAATTCAGGGGAATGGAAAGCTTCCTACAAGAAAAAGGGCACAGCTATGGACCCAAACTACAGTTTGCCCCCCAATGTTGCAATGATTACCTTGCAGGTGATTGCTTGAGATTTTTTCTTCACCATAACGCATCTGCAATTTCCTAACAATAGATATGCAGGTTTTGAATGATGGAAGCGTGCTTATTCGCTTGGCGCATCTGTACGAGGTATTGTTTTCTATATCCAATTCTGCTTCCTCTTTCCGTCACATCACCACAGAAAGTAAGTCATGATAAAAATGGCGCTGTGCGTGGTAATTTTAGATGTCAAACTGAAAATATTGCCTCGGTTGCATTATGATTAGGCTGGTGAAGATGCTGAATACTCGGTACTTGCCAAGGTTGATATCAGGAGCATGTTTTCTGGCAAAAGGGTATGTCCTTACAAACTCTCTTATCATTTTGGCCCCATCATTGGATAATGCTTGATGCAAGTGAGGACCTATAATCGAATACTCCCTCTGTCCCAAAATTATTGTCCAGTTTGAGATTTCACTTTTAGTACAATTTGAACTAGAAATGAAAACATAAACTGGGCAATAATTATGGGACAGAGGGAGTACATTTTTATTCTCACAATCCCTTCTCTGAGAGGATCTTTTTTTTTTTTTCTGAGGACTTTGTTAAACTAGAGAAATTGCATGCTTTCTTTGTAAAACCCTCAACTCGCTTTTCCAATTTCTGCTGAACCGCAAATGCAGATAAAGTCGATAAAAGAGATGAGTTTATCAGCCAACCAGTTAAGATCAGAGATGAAAACAAAAGTATGGAAAGTAGAAGGTGACGGTGAAAACACAGATCCTCCAATTAGAGGTGGACCCCTAAGTTCCTACATTGTGGAGCTTGGACCTATGGAAATTCGGACTTTTGTACTAAGTTTTGAGTGACTGTATGTCTCTTCTGTATACATATCTAGTCTTTGTAAGGGGACTGATGAAATTTACACAATTTTGAAATTCACTTACAAAAGTAAAGCAATGTTCATGAGAGTTCCCTGGTAAAACCATCAAGCAAAGTTACATGATCAAGCTGTGAAATCACAATATGCAGTTCCCACCTTTTTCTGCCTTTTTTATATGTTTACGTAGTACAAATGCAGTTCCCATTTGACTTGGAGCTGGACAAGTCAACTCATTTAGCCTTGCAAGAAACAGAGCTCATACCTATTCAGGCATTTTATCCTAATCTGAAAACAGTAAATGGAACGTAGCTAAAGTCGCCAGAGAAGTTCGAACTTAAGATTTGAATCAAATTAAATTGATTTCTGCGACTTCAAAATTTGAAGCCAATAGATAAATGAAACATCAAAACTCCAGTAAGACAGTGTAGCTTACGTAAAATTTGCAATGGCTAATTAAACCCGTTGCATAGAGGAAATTCTGGTATAAATTTAATTTTGTACGAAGAGTCCTAATTAACCCCCATCATTTCGTATATGATCGTCAAAATAGACAAACAACAATGAGGTTTTTAGTCCTCGTTTGATCCATGGCATATGGCGGGCTAACAAAACAACTAAGGAAATGGCTATTTAGAGGTTGCAGTACAATTAATAAGGAAAAGGAAATTGTTGTTTAACAGAGATAAAACTTATATAAGCAATTAATAAAGAAGTGAACAAGCTCTCTGCTCTAACATGGCAGTGTTTACGAATTTGTTCCCAAGTTGTTGCTTCTGTCATTCAGACCATTTGCCATAAGATGTCTAGCTTCTATCTCTTTACACAATTGGATGGACAGTTCCTCTTTGCCAACTCGACAAAGTCCATTACAAAGCTCTGTTAAAGTGCCTGGATCAGGGGAAACAGATCTTTCTATCATCTCTTTCAAAATGGAAACAGCTCCATCATAATCTTCATTTTCAACCAACGAGGCTAGTAGAGGTGTAAATGTAGCTTCGTTTGGATAAAACCCGGCCCTTTTCATGCTTTTGTAGAGGTGGAGTGCACGCTCAGAGTTTTTTCTAACACACTGCCCCTTGATAAGAGCAGAGAAGGTAGAGGCATCTGGGACGAGTTTTTTCCTATCTAGCTCTTTGACTAGATATGCGGCTTTCTTTGTCTTGCCCTCTTTACACAGTCCCATAATCAGCGCGTTGTAAGTGATTATATTTGCCTGGAAACCATTCGATGCCATTTCCTCAAAAAGCAGACCAGCTGTCTCACTATCCCTTACTTGACTGTACCCATAGATCAATGTATTATAGGTAACTAAATCAGGAGAAACATTCATGTCTTTCATCTCCTTGAAAAGTTTGCTCGCGTCTTGCAACTTCCCTTCCTTGCAGAAGGCATTTATCAGTGTGTTGTAGGTGACCTCATTTGGTTCGGTTCCAGCCTTCTCCATCACAGTCTTCAGCTTCATACCAACACTTAGAAGACCCTTATCACAATATCCAGCGATCAACGTATTGTAGGATGCAGCATTTGGACTAACATTCATCTTCTCCATCTCTTTAAATGTTTCAAATCCCTTTTCTAGGTTCCCCAACTTAGAGAAAGCAGCAATAACCATATTAAGAGTATAAACATTCGGTGATATATGGGAATTCTGCATCTCTTTAAAGAACCCCAGAGCAATACCAAACCTCTTCAAACTAATTAACGAACTCAAATATGCGTTGCAAGACTCAACTCTGGGCAAGAATCCATATCCCTTCATAAGAAGGTATACATCTGTGGCATTCCTGAACTTCTTCATATTTGCATAAAACTTGAACAAGGCATCAAAAACACGAGGTGAAGAATCAGATATTCTATAAGAATAGACTAATGCGTCGAAAATTTGTGGGGGAAGATTCAGCGGGTCAGAACTCATGTCATGAACCCTCCTGAAGATCGTTTCTGCAGACTTAAATTTTTTATGTTTCGTCAGAATATGCAGAATAATCGACTGCGTCTGTAGAGTGATTGCACTGGGGTTCTTCAGCTCAACCCACTTGAAAAATTCAAGAGACAGAACGTGATCCTTGAGTGTTTTAAGAAGAACATGCTTCACTCGAAATGGTGTCAAACCAGAGGCTAACTTATCTAGCTTAGGCCAATCGGAGTGTACAAGATGACTATAAGCTATGTTCACGTAATCAAGGTCTTGGCCTCTGGGTTCTGGGAGGGTTCCATGGGGCACTGGGATTATGTCCCTTTTCCTCCTCTTTACAGTCTCAACTTCTGATAACGTAGAATTTCTAAGAGCTGAAAAACTACGAGATCCAAAGACTGGGAACCGCATCCTCGATCAACTTCTTCACTTACTAGTTTCTTTCACAAACCATATATCTCCGGGAATATGAATTCACAAGACAGGACCAAACGGATATTAGAAAGTAAACTATTACCTGTTCTCCATTGAGACAATTTCACAAACATCTGGTATGCATCCAGCAATTTCCCAACATAGCTAGTCCTGCCAATGGTTTCGAACCACCAAACCAAATTCTACCCAGGAAACAAATTCAGGCAACTGGCTTTTTGCATATAACCCATGGTACCATCAATCAGTTGACTTGGTTTTAAATAGTGTCTTTGGCACGATCCATTGAAATGGGGATAATGATAGGAGTTAGTAATGACAACGCCAGAACATGACCCGAAGAGAGCTCATCTCCAAATGGTGTTATACTGTCACCAGAGCATGACTCCCCAAAGTCCAAAGTAAAATCAGGCGGCAACCCAAGAACGATCGATGCTTTATGAAGTCTATTAGAACAGGGTGTAAATCCCAGTTGCAATATAACGCTTGACAATTAATTGGTTCAGGATCTTGCTACGGTCGCCAGGTAGAAAAGATATGACACTCTTATCAGTTTTTAAGAAATTCAGGCCCGCGTGAAATAAAATAAACAAGAAAGGAGTGATTGCAGAAGTTTTTGATCAATCAACCTCATTTAACAGGTTTCTATAAAACTTTATGGCATGGGAACGCTACGGTCCATTTCTGCAGGACTTTCATCAGTTTAAAATTTTCGAAGCCTGTGGACATGCCATTGTCCTGGTTCTGAAGATTGCAGAACACCAACGACCAATACCACAAAGTTCACAACAGTAGGAATTATGTAGCAGAAAAATTGAATAACGATAGCTTAGTACTTTTCCATTGTCAAACTGGCTACAAGATTCAATATGTAATATTTCGACTACCAGAGTAAACCTAAACAAAAATCACCCCTCATCAAGTGACAAAATGATCAAAAATATTCTGCAAAACACATTTCCATCTCTTCCACCACAATAACATAATCCAGAGAAGTTCTCAAGAAACTTATTTCTTCTTTCCAGCATCTCCAGCTTTTGTCTGCAACATGATTATAAATAATTCATGAATCAGCCCAAACAAATATCAACGCCAAAAACTACATGAACCAAACAAGGAATCTGAAAGAGAAGTTTCACATTCTCACCTTCTTAACACCACGAATCTTCTTGGCTCTGTTTTTCCTTTCCTTGAGTTGTTTCCTAGATTTCTCAACCTTGGTATCCAGGCCATTCTGCACAAAATTTCAAAGAATGAAATACCACAACCACCACATGCATTTTTTTGAGTGCAGATGACAACAAAATCAGTTCTAAGAACCAAGCCACTGACCACAGACAATAGGCAAGCAATTGCATCATGATGGAACAGAAAAGAACTACATTGGATGAGGAGACAAGATGTTTCTTCCTTGAACTTAAAGATACCTACCATCACTAGCCCTCTATGTAATGATACGTTAAATGGACCAATTCAACAAAAAGAGTAAATGGAATTACCCTAATGAGCCGATACTTGGGCTCGTACTTCTTGGCATTCTCAACTGAATCATAGATCAATCCAAATCCAGTTGACTTGCCTCCTCCAAAGTGTGTCCTAAACTTGAAGACAAAGATGGCATTTGGGTCCTTCACCTCGTACATCCTAGCCAATTTCTCCTTCAACTCGGCCTTTTCATGAAAAAGAAAACAATTGTCAGCAACAAAACAAGAGCAGAAAACCAACTCCACCAACTTAATCACAGAACAGTTGCAACATAGCATGTCAAACAGAAGTAGCTGGTGTTTCTAGAAATGAAACTTAAACCCATAAAAGAACAAAAACAAAAAAAGAAAAGAAACTGCTCAGTATTACAGTAATAAAACCCAAACAAAAAAAAGGAAGAAAATGATGCATCCTCTAAAGCTACAACCAACAATATCACTCCAAAGAAATGGATCTAACAGGTAACACTTTTATCAGCTGTGATTGCTAAGCAATTCATTTGATGTAAGTTACACAAGTTAAGGATTTCAATATCAAAATTCCAAGAAACAGAATGATGATTCAAATTTAAGGACAAAAGGCAAATGAGCTAAACTAAAGCATGAAATCTCAAAATACAGAATTCACAATAATGAAAGAACGAGTTGAAGAGTTGAAGATGGGAACACACCTTGGATACATTGGGCCTGCCTGGATGAAGGACATCGATAACCTATACCAAACACAGAAACAACAAATCTCATTACTACGATAAGTTAACTAAGCAAGTAAGCATACAGCGAATGGTCTCAGATAAAGATTTTAGGAACCCACGAATTGCTTCCTGGAAAGAAGCCGATTGGTCATGAACTTCCTGGTTCTGATCGTCACCGCCTTGTCCGCCATTGTTCCTCCGCCGCAGTCTGAGTCTTCTTCTGCCGCTTTCTGCTCTGTTCTCTCGGCGAGGGGTTGCCTTTCCTCTCTTCTCGACTTTGCAGACTGAAAAGCTTTCGGGAACTAGGGTTTACATAAATTTGATTATATACCGAACTGGACAGTTCACTTTGTCTTTTAAGCAGTCCAATTGGAATTTCACTGAGTTTGGCCCATTAAAGTCTGATGTCGAAACTAATGGGCCATTCTATTTTGCCCAGAGGCGAGAGATCTTTTTTTCTGTGATTTATTTGTTTATTTTTTAAATCAATTTTTTTAATTAAAAAATTAAGAAATAAGAAAAAAAAAATTTCTCTCATCCCGAAATGGTCATCTAATTTCGCATTTTATCTCAATAACTAATCCGTTATTTTCTTTGGTCCACTTCCATGTATCTCTCAAATTTTTTATTATTATTATTTTTTTTTGCTGTCTTCACTTTTTGCGGGAATGTAACTCCTAAATTATTTGTTTCCTCTATCTCACTTGAATAGTTCAAATTACTAAACTAAGCAATATAACAAAGTGTACTATTTAGGAGTAACTCTCATAGGTGATGATAGGCATAGTTTGGACCTTGAAATACCATCCCAATTAAATTGTCGTATATTGCACCAATTAATGTTGGTGCGTTATTTTTAAAAACATGATAATCAGGACAAAATTAAAATAGTATATTAGAATTTATGCTTAAGCTATATTTCTCATAGTAATAAAGATTTATGCAGTGAACTATGAACATTGTAAAGAAATCCGAAATGTGAACCTAAGCATGATAGCGCCTAAACATGAATCGATCATCGCCAGATAATATGTACATCAGCCTTTCAACCCTACAATAAAAGGGAAACGTGTTGGGATATAGGGTTCTCATTTTCTTCATATTTCTTTCACAATGCATAGTTACTATTTGAATCAACCAGCATGGACCACAAAGCATGAACGTCTTCACATGAACACGATTTCACATCTTCATACAATACATATAGTCCTCCTGACAAATCAATGAGAAGCCACAAAACAATAATATTATACTTTAAACTAGACAATTATCTTAAAACAGAAGGAAATAAAGACAAATATTTTTCATACGCTATGCACACAACAATTAATGAGTGATATATATTGAATGGTTGTGAAGAGTGATTGATGAACAACTATTGCGGTGCGATAAGTTACTGCGCAGAATAATGAAGGAGATATACCTCCAAAAAATCGCAGGAGAAACAATCATTTTTTTTTTATTACTCCCTCCGTCCCAATCCACTTTGGGTTTTTATTTCTAGTTTAAATTATACTAAAAGTGGAATCTCAAATTGGATAATAATTTTAGGACAGAGAGAGTATTATTTATTTTTCATTTTTCCATCTGTCGGATTGGGATGGCCCCTTCTAAAGATTTCTTTCTTACGTACGGCTGATCGGAGCCCCGGAGGGTCCAAAATTGAACTCCTCCCGTGGGATAACATACGATAAGCTTGCATAGCGGAAAAATGTCCAATCCGCTGTGTGTGTGTGTGTGTGGAAGACCAAATGATCATGAGATTGAGAAGAAATAATTAATCCAACATTAAGATGAACAACGGCCAAATTAAACAAGAATGCACAAACAAACTGAAGATAACATTGAATTGAAGGATATAAGGAAACAATTGCGACTTACGTTTTCTTCGGGTGGAAGGGAATTTGAGGCGGACCCAGAACTTCTTGAATGGATAGAAGAGGGATCGCAGCCACCCCATCGATGATATTTAGTAGTAGCAGTGTTTTGGGAGATCATGTTAGGTGAATGGTAGGAAGGAAATAATAATCAGGAGTACTTATTATACTGGCTTAATTAGTACTAGTAGTACTTGAAAGAAGAGTTCTCTTCTCTTCCATTAGGCAATAAAACGTGAAAAGAAAAAAAAAGAGGATGAATTGAACATCACTATTCCTCCTTTGGTATATTTATCCTGTATGTTGCACACTCTATGCATTCTATCCAACCATGCAAAACAAGAAAGCATATTCTCTTGGTGCAATGTCACCTTCCCACTCTGATTTTTTTTTTTTTTTAACCTTTTATATATATAGTCATACGACTAAATTTCAGCTGATCTCTATTTTCGTTTTTCCAAAATACATATAGAAAATGGATATAAATTATATATATATAATGATATAGACGGGTTATTTTATTAAACAAAAACAAAAGAATAATGATAATAATCAGTTCGCGTTGATTATTGGTTATTGGGAGCATTCACAGTCACAATTGCTAGCTATTGTGGTTGCCTAAAATGACTTTATTCGCCGGTGGCTAAGCATAATCTGGCATGGATGTAAATGTTAACAAGTCTTGCCCAAAATGCTTCTTGAAGACTCTTGACATTTCTTTATTGCAATTTGTACATACCACACTTCTAAGGACATAATTCTTTGCTGAATCAATAATGGAAAGGGTGTGGGAAATGAGAATTACACTTCAAGAAAAAAAGAAAGAGTAAACTTCAAGGGACGACACGATACTGTATCTTCTTCCAAAATTATTATACTAATAATAGCTCTAGAGACGCACTCTATCATTATTAACTCTACAATTTACCATTTGTATCATTCGCGTACACTATCCAATTTGTCTAGATCGATTCAATTTGAGTGCCACAGTGGTACATTTTACTGATGTGTATGAACATAATTTCATGACTATATAATTTATTAATAAATCATATCTATGATGAGTAGGCGGGTAGGAGGTCACCAAAAAAAAAAACAAAAAAGAAAAAAGAAAACGAAGAACATCAACATGCACACTCCTATACAAGAATTTCGTACAATACACCAAATTCGAATGAGCGATCAATGATGCAACTGCAGGGAAGTAACACCCCCAAGTTTTCTCATTATATATCAGGACTACAATATCGTACTAGTAATAATTCAATTTTATTTTACTGTTTCAATCCAACAAAATGAATATTTTTTTTAAAAAAAAGGAGGGCGTATCTTTTAATTGCACAGGGGAGATTTTATTCTTCCCGATCCAATGACCAAAAAGGTGGCAAGCGAGGAGTACTGTAATTTTGTGACGTGGTTTAAAAATACATAAAAAGTTTAAATACATTATTATCTCAATTGTTATAAAATTATTATCTATTTTAAATTTTATAGACATATGATATGAGTTAAAACTGAAAATTTAAACTCCACGATCATTTCAAAGAAGAAAGAGCATTTTTAGGAAAGGCCTAGTATCATAAATTGTGTTTGTATAACGATATTGTTTTTTTTTTTTTAAAGAAAAAGTTAATGCTGAGAATTAATCAAATATATATTCAAACCGTGTATTTTACAATTGTTATAACTAAAAAAAAAAAAATGCTACAAAACTTTGTAGAAAATCGACAAGAAAAAGTTTACCGGAGATTCATCGGATGTCGAAACGGAAGAATCCAAAAAGTGAAAAACACTTATTACAGTTTAATTGGTTCCCCGTACATCGGGTTTACGTCTACCCACAAAGGGCGGGAATCTCCATATAAGCAGTTAATTGGGAAACGATCATGCTGACGTGGCTACTTCATTTTCTCTCCACGTGTGCATTTCAGTTTGCCATTCTCTTCACCGTCCTCTGCTTCTTCCCCCAAAAAGCCAGAACGCCCTAGCCTTTTGAATCCATATTCAGAGATTCAACCACCGGCAATGGCGTCGCAAAATCGATCTCCGATGTATCCTCAGGTCGTCGACACTAATCACGATAATGCCATTCCTCACTCCTCCACTCGCCCCAATATGTATCCAACCATTGATATGAAAGATCTGGTGGAAAACCTCTTCCCAGACAATGAAGAATCAGCCCCTGGAAATTCCAATTGTTCCCCTTCCGCCCCTCCGGAATCCACAGAGGAAATCCTCCTCACCGTTCCCGGCGCCATCGTCCACTTGATTGACAAGCAATACTCCGTCGAGCTCGCTACCGGCGATTTGGTCATCCACCGTCTCCGGCAAGGGGATAATACAGTCGCTGTTCTGGCCAGCGTCGCCGATGAAATCCAATGGCCTTTGACCAAGGACTTGGCCGCCGTCAAACTCGATCAATCACATTACTTCTTCTCCTTCAGCGCGCCAAAAGAGTACGGCGGCGAATCAGACTCCAGCGATGAGGAAGAGCGCGGGAAACAAAAGAAGAAGAAAGATAAAAGTAAAAATAAAGATAAAAAGGAGGCAGAAAATGACTCCTTGAGCGTCTTGAGTTACGGAATGACGATTGCCTCAAAGGGGCAGGAGGATTTACTGAAGCAATTGGACGGAATATTGGAGATATCAACTACGTTTTCGGTTCAAAAATTAGATGAAAAGGCGGTGGTGGAGCTGGGCGGAGCTGTGGCAGGACAAGTGTCTCCGGCGGATTTGACGTCTGTGAAGAAGAAGGAAGTTATTGAGGAGCGTTGTGCGGCGTATTGGACTACTTTGGCCCCTAATGTAGAAGATTACAGTGGAACTGCGGCAAAACTTGTTGCTGCAGGTTCAGGTCAGTTGATTAAAGGGATTCTGTGGTGTGGAGATGTAACTGTGGATAGATTGAAATGGGGGAATGAGATTTTGAAGAAAAGAATGACCACAGGATCCAAAGCTGAAGTTAATCCTGATACCTTAAAGAGGATTAAAAGGTATGATCTTTGGGCTATTTTACTTGTCAATTATTTCATTCCTGAAATGGTAAAGTGTACAGGTTATGTAGTTCTTTGCTTTCTTTCTGTTTTCCAGGGTTAAGAGAATGACTAAGATGACTGAAAAGGTGGCACTTGGGGTTCTCTCTGGGGTTGTCAAAGTTTCTGGTTTCTTCACCAGTTCTGTTGCTAACTCCAAAGCTGGAAAGAAGTTCTTTGGCCTGTTACCAGGGGAAATGGTCCTAGCCTCTCTGGATGGATTCAGTATGTGTTCCATCTTGCTCCTTAACACTTCCGGGTTTTTGTTTAATCTCTTTCTGTTTAAATTTTGAAGATAAGTTGTTGTTTGTTAGACATCCTGATTGATTTCCAAAAGGAAATACGTTTGATGGATCTGATGCACTTGGAGTTATCGAAGGCTTCACTTTAGGTGGTCTCCTGATTGAAAAAGACATATTGCGACCAACTTGTCTTCTGACATATGAAATATGTCGATTCCGTAATAGATTGTGACTGCTTGTGAATAAAGCCATGAAGGATATGAACCTGTTAAGTGTGTAGGATCATTGCAAAGGCAGGAAATTAAACAAGTAAAATAAGAACACAACTAAACATTAAGATGGAGCAGTTTGGAGGTGGACTTCACAATTTATAACTGTTATGATGGTGTTCCCAAGCAAACCCGAATGTGTTGAAAGAAAAAAGAAAACGAGAAAAGATTTGCAGGGTCTGATTGAAGCAGCCATCTAATGATAAATTTTAGCGAAGTACATTGCTCATTGAAGTCGGAGGCAAGTAGGATAGTTAACATGTTGCGAATGTTTGTTTGAATTGAAGAGATCTATTTGCAAGTCCTCAATACCTTTACGTTTTAATTACCAGACTTTCTGCCGCTATATGAATGCCAAAACTGTATTTCTTTATTACATGTCCATTGTCATTGTAAAAATGTGTGATTAAGTTCCTCAATGCGATTGTATCTGGATGTGAGCTTACTTCATCATATTAGAGCTTCAAGGATCAGGCACCTAGTTTTATTTTCTTCTTCTTCTTCTTCTTTTTGTTTTTTTTTTGGGTAAATAGATTTAAAGTTTTTGTGGGGATTTTTACTTCTTTGCTTTTATCAGGTAAAATCTGTGATGCTGTCGAGGTAGCCGGAAAGAATGTAATGTCTACCTCATCCACTGTGACAACTGGACTTGTCTCCCACAGGTGATATTGACTTGTTCACAATTAAGCTTGCAAAATTAATGAGTAAACAATGCTTTACCTGACCTGATACACACTATCACTATCTCAGGGATTGATTATCCTTCAAGCTAAGATGTTAAAGAACATACATCTTCTGAAGGAAATTCTTTTGTTGCACTGTCACATTTAGGGATAAAATTCAGTTTCAAGTGTCAACTTTGTCTGATGTTGCTTCAGTGCACACATTGTTACTTATCCTGGAACTTCCACAAGCTTATACAATTTAGTCAAATTCTTTCCTTAGCATCCTTTACCTTCTTCTTTATCTGTTCAATAGAAAGAAAAACAACTCTGAAGTGTTCAATCTTTATTTTTCAGATTTCAAGTCTCAATACTGTTAAGCATATGTTGATGAGTAGCACTATGTAATAAGTTAATAAATTATTCTAGTAATTATTGCTTGTTTATTTCCTGTAACCAAATTCAGGCCACACATAAAGTATTTTTTTGGTATTTTTTTATCTTTTTGGTGTGCAGGTATGGGGAAGAAGCTGCAAAGGCAACAAGTGAAGGGCTTGATGCTGCTGGACATGCCATTGGAACTGCATGGGCTGTGTTCAAGATCAGGAAAGCCCTGAATCCGAAAAGTGTGTTGAAGCCAAGTTCCTTAGCCAAATCTGCTGTAGCCAAGAATTCTAAGTAGCAGCTGGCTAGCTGCTGGTTGTACTTGGATTTGCTATTCTGGTGATGTCGATATGCTAATGATCGCAGATAGACACAACGCTTAGAGTAGGTCTCCTATCCTTGATTACTTTTGCAAGTTAGTTATGATACGAAATCCTCTAGTTTTTCGTAAATGAAAGCTTTTCCATTATTATTTATCTGTAATCTATCTATTGTGATTCTGATTCAGGCGTTGAGCACCAATTTTGAACTTTAAACAGCATTAATTCACAGCTTGATGTTCAAAACCAGTAAAATGCCATTCGTTGATTGATTCTAATCTTCATTCTGAAACACATGATTCATTCTCGATGCTTTTTAATAATTATCACTATAAAGAGTGTGTTTGCTATATTTCTGACACATTCTGTGAATTAATGAGTTCCACCCTGCAATGGCTTGGTGGAGATTAGCTAAGAGGTTTTGACCTGTGGGAGTCTGATGACAGCAGAATGAACCAAAATAATATTCAGAATTTGGGTAAATGTCATTTTCATCAACAAAAGTTTTGTAGTCTTTCACATAAATAACATTGGACATGTCACATTCATTTGAGTGCGACCAATCTGGTCGGTACCGGATCGTGTCTTTAAACCATCAGGTTTAACTAAGCTGGTGTGTTTGTAATCAAACGATCGGGCTTACCTTCATTTTGCTCCTCTTTGGCTTTACTCTTGTACTGTTTCTCTTGGCCTTATGGTTTTACAAGTAATTTAGTGATGTCTTTTGTCCCTTACGGAATCATGGATATCATATTAGTTTGCAAACCTACGTCATCTGTAGAAAATTGTGTTGCTCTGTTCTAGAAACCCAAAAAGAAAGTTGGCACTTTGCACCTAATGGTGATAAGGCTTGGAACAATAAAATTTCCAAAGAAACAATCTTTGGAGATCTTTTGGTATAATTTTTCCCCTTTCTCTTGGCCTCTTGGGATTCTGATATGGTTCACTTATCCGTAGACAAAGATATATGATACGCAATCAGTAAAAAGAAGAAAACTATGGGTTGGTGCATTATAAGAACTTTGTTGCACCACTAAACCATAAAGATTAGATTAGTCTAATAGTACTGAATTTACTACTGATATTAAAGACTTTGGTGATTCTGAATTTGCACCGCAAGCTTTTCAATGGCATCAAAATATTTTTCTCTCTCTTCTGCGAATCAAATTCTTGGCTCCAAGCCTCCCATGCTGACACTTTGGTTAAAGTTCTATTCCTTTACTGGCAATGATGTATTCGTGGATTCGTCGGTAGGGTCTAATGATTGTCACAAGTTCTTTTTTTTCCCTCCCCTTAATCATGGCTTTTTACCATTGGAGTTCACATTCATACTTCAATATCATTAGTTTCCTGATGATTCTTAATCACAAATTCTAAATGAAATAGCAGTTAATGTTCATCAATTCACCATCAGACAACTAAAGATGCTTTCTGATGGTACATGTATTAGAGCATTGCCCTTCACATGAGCAAAATGCTCCATGAATGAATAACAAGTGCTAGAACCTCAGGATTGCATTGAAAAATAGTGGGAAGCAAATTTTTGTGCAGAGCCCATTTGTATTCAAGGCTGAAATCAAATGCTCTCAAATTTACCTTATTGTTTTAGTGGGTTTCATTTTTTAAAGCCACATCTTAAAAAAAAGCAACATGGGGTGAAATAGTTGGTGCATCTGGTTATGGATCCCTGATTTGGAGCCACAAACCTTGTGTTTTAGAGGCTGAAAGCAATTCCAACTTCAAAGTCAAGCTCATTTTAAAAAAGCTGTTACTTTCGGTCTAATTCATTAATTATGTAGCCGCCACCCCCAAGACAACTTGATTTCAGTATTTTAATATTACTTCCTCCGTCCCAAACTGTTTTCGGATAGAGGGAGTAAATAAGGTAGAAGTTTCTTAATTATCAAAAGCTACCACTAAAACTGCACTTGTCTCAACTTGTATTGAGACCAAGGATTGATTGAACCTCTTGAGTTTGCAGTAGAGAAAAATAATGCAGAGAAAATGAGATAATATATTGAGGATCTGATGTGTTTCACTACAATACAGCCGTACGGGACATCATCTTATTGCCTCACAAACCACTTCAAACATTCTTCACATTATCTTCTGTTCAGTGTTCAGTATATGTCAAGACAGACAAACACGTGTTGGTAAAAGGGTATCAGGAATCACAATCTTTCAAAATAAAGGCTTTTCTGATAAAGTTTAACGGAGTTTTTAATTGGTTAGTGCATTATCATTTCTTTTTGGGAATCTGATTTATGATTCTATTTAGCGCATTATAAGAAACAACAAAGAAATGTGGCATACGGCTAAAAGTCATTAGCTTCAAGTATCATCACATAGCACCACGGACTACGGTGTGGCCGAGTCTAAGGATCCAGTTGGTATGAGCATGGCCCCTGGTTCAGTACAGACAGGACTCATTACTTGGAACTTAGAAGCTGGATACATGTTTCTTCAGTCCCTTTATTTTCTTACTTTTGAAAATGATAATGACAAAGATTCCATGGCATGCATATAAAGTTAAAGAACCTTTGAAAGTATAAAAATAGCAGTGTAACATAAATTTTTTCCTTTCCAGTTTCTTGTTGGAAAAGTTGATATTGATGTTCATGATTTAGAGGGCTGAAGTGGGGTAGCTGTACATGGGAGATTTCCTTTCTTAGTTTTAGATACCGAAATGACAATTCAAATAAGTAAATTGCACAGTTGGGGAAAAATGGGGAATTTTGAATGAGGAATCAGTGAAGAACACCACACCTCCCACTTTTGCAAATCCAGTGCAAATGTGCATCCATAAAGAGGGAAGCGACAGTTATACACTAGGTGACAGATTTAGTCCACCACTATGTAACTTAGGCTTCAAGTCTCTCTCTCTTTCTTTTTCATAGTCCTTCATTACCTCACAACTTTTAAAAAATTACCAACGTTAAATGTCTGTCTTGATTGAAAACTTGAGTAGAATGTAATGAGTCACCTGGCAAGCTAGAGCCATCGTAAGCTGTCAATCTCCACCTTGTTTATTGAAGCAATGGTGTCGTTGCTGAGAAGTTTTGTTAACAGAACCTTTGGTTCTGCCCGTTGTTGTAATCGATCCCCTTGCATCAGGAGAACTTTCAATGGCGATGTAGAAGCTGAGGAATTTCAGGATGCAAGTACCCGTTGTTTGTCATCATACTACAGTGTGTTCATGGTTCGACTTGCAATCATGGTAGGGCAAGTAACATGAAACTAGATGCCTATTTTCTGCCTAACTTCCAATCAGGATAATGATTTTAGGTCTAGAAGGCACTTCTAGAAATAGAAGCATATGATATGACTAGTGATAATTGGGAAAGATGGAACTTACTGCATAAGAAGTTTTCTTCTTTTTCCTCTTTATAGTGGTGAGAGAACTCAGGAAGTCTGATGAGACATGTTAACTGTAATCAAGCAGTTTCATAGTCTTCCTTCACAGCTTCCATTTTCATGCAGGTCATGCTGGCAATTTTGATTGGGATGCTAACTCTTCTGACATGGCATTTTACAAGAGTTTACACCAGAAGATCTCTGAATACATTAGCCTATGGACTTCGCTATGAACTTCTTCAACGGCCATTACTACGAATGTGGAATATATTGAATTCAACTGTTGAAATAGCAACTGCTCAGGTGAATTTGTCAGAATATGTGATCAAGAGGTACAGCAAGCCAGTTAATCAAGCACAGCAAGTCGAGGTTGTTGCTCAGAGCTGTCCCTCGAAATTTTCAGATTCTAGTTGTTTTTTTTTTCTTCTTTTCTTTTTTCTAATTATCCTAATTTTCTTCTATTGATAACTCTGTAGCAGTTGTATGAAGCAATGAGAGATATGACATGGGCATTGTTTGCAAGTCGAAGTTCCCTTAATTCAATAACAATAAATTACAGAAATGGTTTTGTCCAGGCTTTTCACAGAGATCACAGAAGCAATAGCACATATTACATTTTTTCTGATCTCGTCAACTATTCAATCAGCGGGACATACTACACTGATAAGCTATCATCTCGCCAAGGGTGGAATGATCAATCCATTCAAGGAAACCTTTCCGCAATCTGGTATAGGGAACCTCTAGATCCTGGTACTGGTGTACAGATAGGAAAAGCCAGGCCGATACCACCTGATGAGTTAATCAATATTGCTGGCATTTCACAAGTTCCTGATGGTGCGGCATCATGGCATATAGCAGTAAGCAAGTATTCAGATTCCCCACTTCTCTCTGCAGCATTGCCCGTTTGGGACTCCAATGAAAGCATAGTGGCTGTTGTAGGTGTTACTACTGCACTTTATAGTGTGGGTCAACTAATGAAAGAGCTTGTAGAATTTCACAGTGGACATATATATTTAACCTCTCAAGAAGGTTGGCTGCTTGCTACTTCCACAAACTCTCCCCTATTGATGAATACAACAAAAGGGCCAAAGCTTATGATGGCTGTGGATTCAGAAGACCATGTGATCCGATTGGGGGCTGAATGGTTACAAAAATCGATAGCTGACAAATCTCCTTCAAATCATGAAGTTCACATAGAGAATGCACGGCTCGGACATCAGCTTTATTACATCGACTCCTTCTTTCTCAACCTCAAGAGACTTCCGATGGTAAATGAATCTAGACTTCCTCTTTTGTCCATATGGCTGCTTGTTCTAAAGCAGTCTGTAATGTACGGCAATATTGTTCTTGAGACCTAGTGAAAGCATGCTGACAAGCAAATCTTTGTAGGTGGGTGTTATCATCATCCCAAGAAAGTACATAATGGGAAAGGTGGATGAGAAAGCTTTCAAGACATTAGTTGTATTGTTATCAGTATCTGCCTGCATTATAGTCATTGGGTGTGTTTGCATCTTCTTATTGACAAATGGGGTGTCAAAGGAAATGAAATTAAGAGCAGCACTCATTAGTCATCTTGATGCAAGGAGAAAAGCAGAAGCATCCAGCAACTATAAGAGCCAGTTTCTGGCAAACATGAGGTAGTTATCATATTAAGCTCCATAGTACAAATTTCAGAGGAAAAAATTTTAGTACTGCAAAGCATGCTTGCCTGAAACTTTATCAGCAAAGTATGACTTCCATTTCATCTTGTCCTTGGTAGAAAGTAGAAGATGTCATTTAATCTGGAATTGTGTCACATAAAGCTCATTCTTTTCTGCTTATTGCAGCCATGAACTAAGAACACCTATGGCTGCTGTGATTGGACTACTGGACATTCTAATTTGTGATGACTGTCTCACCAATGAGCAGTATGCAAACGTTACCCAAATTCGCAAGTGCTCAACTGCTTTGCTCAGACTTCTGAACAACATTCTGGATCTAAGCAAGGTTCGATTAAAGATGTAGCTACCTTTTCTGTTTATGTCCTGATACTTGTTGCGTAGATCCTTGTAAAACACTGCAGAGAAATGCAGCTTTCTGCAGTTTTTGAATGAATGGTTAATGTGGAAATCCATTCCAGAAGCTAAAACAAGTAACAATGAACTTTCCTTCCACTCAGTAGATTATGTTGACAAATTATGGGAACAAAGATGCCATCTTATCCCATGTAATGAACTCTTAAACATATCTGAAACTTTTTGCAGGTAGAATCTGGAAAACTAGTGTTGGAAGATACTGAGTTCGACTTGGGCCGAGAACTTGAAGGGCTAGTGGATATGTTCTCTGTCCAGCGCATCAACCACAATGTAGAAATTATTCTAGACCTCTCAGGTATGCCAAAACATGTTCCCATATGAGTCTTAACTCTAGCGCTACAGATTTGCCTTACTGAGAAATATTGCTGTTCATTTGACGATTCGTAGATGACATGCCGAAAGTAGTCCGGGGAGATTCTGCTCGAGTTGTTCAAATCTTTGCCAACCTCATCAGCAACTCTATCAAGTTCACAACTTGTAAGTTCGAACTGTTCAATCATTAGAAATGCATTGTTGCACTGAAGAACAAAACAGAATTCTTTTTTTTTTTGGTAAATACAAAACAGAATTCTTCATTCACATAACATGTATTTTTAAAAGGGCAATCTTGCAACAGATCTACAACACCCTCATTCCACATGCAGATAATAAACCATTAACTCCTATTGCTACAAATCTTGAACAGAATTACATCGCCATCAGCTATAATTTATATGGTTTCCATAGATCAACATAGAATTTCAGAGGCTTTGGAATTGCTTTTTCCCACTCATCTAAATTAGGCAATGCACCTGTAAGTGCAACTGTGCTATCATCCTTCCTATTTCCAAGATTCAACACGAAAACTTCCCCGGGAAAAACCATGTTCATTGCCTCCAAAGTCTCTTCCATGATCAACTTCCCATCTTTCCTGCGGTCCTCAGGCTCAACACAGCTCCCACCAACATTCACCATTATTCTCCCACCTTTCCTTAACCTTCCCTTCAACTTCTCCCACGTTTGTGGAGCTTGAAGCTCAGGTATCACACACCCTTTACTATACAGATCAACTAGTATCCCTGAAAAACCATCCCTCACGCTAGCATCCAGAGCATCCCCGACATTGATAAAAAGCCTGTCTTTATAGTCATTCTCGAGCTTTGCAAGCCCAAAAAATTGCCTCCCAACTGAAATAACTGAAGGGTCCAGCTCCCAACCATGTATGACTAATCCGGGGTAAAATTCCAGTAGTATTTTTGCTGCAGTCCCGGCCCCAAAACCCAGTATTCCAACGGGTCCAGGCGGGATAATCGGTGGGATGGTGGCAAAAACATCAAAATAGGCACTGGTTAGGGTTTTTAAGAGATAAGATACGCTATGAATGTTACCGGGGTTATCCAGTAATAGCAATCTGGATCCCGCTAGTGGATGGTCTGCTCTTCTTGAAACCTCAAGAACCCGGATGTAATTGTATCTGGACTTGAATTTGACCAGTATTTTGACATGCTCAATTGGGATTCCATTATCATCTTCATAAGCAGTAGAGCTAGGATCCAACTTTTCGCGGTGTTGGGTTGATTTGGTTTGGGGATTTGAGATATGGGACTTTTGGGATTTGATGGGGTGTAGGAATTTGGACTGGGTTTTGGGAAGTCGAAGTGAGGGTTTTTGGTTGAGCAGAGTGTGGGCGGGAAGGAAAGTAAAAGATTGAGAAACCAACCATAGTTTCACGGTGGCAGACGCCATTAATGGCCGCCGGATAGGAAGTTTCTTAGAACAATTGATCGGTAGTTCTCAGGCCTGGCCAAATTTAAAGGGTGCATAGACTAATACGACGTAGTATATGATTCATATAACATTATATGCTTGGACATAAGAGGGCAGGATGATTTTGATTCAGAATGGTTTTTGTGCTTTTACATTAATCAAGTAGTATAGTAGTACTACAATATTATGTTTGCAAACAACAGTATAGTCCAGAAATTTCAAGAGAACTTCCAGAAATTTCAGAATGTCTTCTTCCTTCCTTCTGGCTTACAGCAGGACACATCATCCTGAGGGGCTGGTGTGATATGCCAAATAATGTTGTCACCAGCACCACAATGTCCCCAGTTGTTCAAAAGGAATTATGGGCAGTGCATAGGACTAAGTTGAAGCAAAATCATAAAAGTGAGGAAAAGAAGGTGTTCAAGAGCGAAAACAAAATGGTTATATGGTTTGAAGTTGATGACACAGGATGTGGTAGGATATTTTCAGCTTTGAACAGTTGAAACATTACATAATTACTGATAGACAATAAAATCAAGCTTTTCTTTTTGGCTTAATGAATATTGTAGGAATTGATCCAAGCAAATGGGAATCTGTATTTGAAAGCTTTGAGCAAGCTGATCCTTCAACAACTCGGTTGTAAGTAGACTTGCCCTAATAACTTCCAAGTATTCGGCCAATTAATGGTTCAATGTTCCAACTTAGATGATCAAGTAACAAACTAATTCACCACAGGCCTTTTCTCATCTTTTTTTTGTTTAAAATTTCAGGCATGGTGGTACTGGGCTTGGACTTTGCATTGTTCGGACCTTGGTAAGTTCTGATTGTAGTGTAACCTGATGAAACTTTCAAGAGACCACTTTCTCTTCTTCCGTTCTATCACTTTCCTTTTCTGTAATATATGGTGAGTGGTGCTAACAGGTTCAGAAGATGGGTGGAGAGATTAAAGTAGTAAAGAAAGATGGACCAGGTACTCTGATGCGATTTAACCTAATGCTAAGTACACCAACAGATCTCGATGGTGGGGGAAATAATTGCCAGTTCAAATTTGAAGAACATAAACCGATTGTGAGTAGATTACTGCTCAGAGGCTTTTCAATCTTCTTGCATAAGAGTTCTTTTTTCTTAGTAGCTGACAAGAAAACATGGTAAAATGCAGATGTTGCTTGCCCTTAGTGGAAGAATGGGTAGACTAATTTTGACCCAGTGGTTGCGGCAAAATGATGTTTACACACATGAAGCTTCTGAATGGAATGAGCTGACACAGATTCTTCAGGAACACTTCAAAGTAAATCATGGCCTTGGAAGTGAGGTTTCTGATACCGAGGAACAGAATACACAAGACATAAAGATCACGACAGCTATAATAGTCATTGATATTCGGCTTCTAGACTTGAGCACAGGTATTTGGAGGGAACAGCTGAGTTATCTAGATAATTATTGTGACAGAGCTAAGTTGGCATGGATTCTGAACCATGATACATCAAATACCATTAAGGCAGAGCTTCGCAGGCGAGGTCATTTGATAATGGTCAATAGACCCCTGTACAAAGCAAAAATAATGCACATTCTGGAAGCTGTAATGGAAGTCCAGAACCAGGAGGTGCAGCAGTATATGGCCACTGTAGCAGAAGGAAATTCAAGCGATTGTCATGAAATTGAAGCTGTTCACTCTTGTGCAGCCAGCTTTGCTGATTCGGACAAATCAGAGCAAGATGATCCTTCTCCAGCAAGTCCATCTCAGGGTTGGGGGAAAGGAAAAGAGTACTTAGCCGAGACCTTACCCTTCCAAACGAAGACTTCTGGAGCATGTTATGTAAATTTTGTGGAAATTAATCTTCAAAACAATGCTTGCAACATACGCCATCCAGGTAAAACTAGAACTGACGACCAATATTTGAGAACCAATTGCCTCAAAGAGCAAGATACAGACTGTACACGCAGATTCGTGAATGAACAAAAGTCTCTAGATGGATTAAGGATATTACTTGCTGAAGATACTCCTGTGCTTCAGAGAGTTGCAACCATTATGCTGGAAAAATTAGGGGCTGAAGTTGTGGCTGTTGGAGATGGAGTGCAAGCAGTGGATGCTCTGAAATTCAGGTCACAGACGATTGGATCTCCCATTGAAGATGACAAGATGGGGATCAGCCACCCCAGGGGACTGTCTCAGCTGCCATTTGACTTGATCTTAATGGATTGTCAGGTGAGTAAAACGTATGCGGGCATGATTTTAAGTTTTTGGGGTTTTGTGTATCCACCTTCTGGTATTAGACCTGGGAACATGATGTGAAAATCATTCTTATTCATCCAAGTGAATTGTATTGTATTGACAGATGCCGAAGATGGATGGTTATGAAGCAACAAAAGCAATACGAAAATTAGAAGAGAGAACTGGTGTCCATATTCCAATAGTTGCATTGACAGCTCATGCAATGTCATGTGATGAAGCCAAGTGCTTGGAGGTGGGAATGGATGCTTACTTGACGAAACCAATCGATCGCAAGTTGATGGTTTCAACAATCCTATCTTTAACAGAGAGAACAATCGAACAGTAGATCCAAACAGCAGAATATGCTGCTGTTTTCCTTTCGCACATTCTCAGTTTTATAAGAGAAACAAGCCAGTTGAAACTGTATGTTTGAGGAAATTTTGGAGTAGAAACTTTGCAGATGTGTACAGCTTATGGTGCAAGCCATGTGTTTACAAAGAGTTGATCATTTCAGGTTGCAACGTAGATAGGCCAGATGCATTCCAGATCTCCTATCTACTCGAGCCTTTCCAAATTACGTACTGATGTACTCTCTCCGTCCCATAATTATTGTCCTTTTTGAGTTTTTGTTTTTAGTTCAAATTGTACTAAAAGTGAAAACTCAAACTGGACAATAATTATGAGACGGAGGGAGTATAAAATTTGTTCTTTCTCTTGTATGGAAAACTTTGAAGTGCAACCATATGAATACGGCATGTTTAACTTCAGCCTTCAGAATAGTTCAGATAGAGGAGATAGTTATTAGGACTATATTCTCAAAAAAATAAAATAAATAAATAAATAAAAATAGGACTATAAATCTAATTCTTATACAGTAGACAGTTTTCCTGTCCACTAGCACGTTAGAGAAGTTATATTAGGCAAAGAGGCTATAGCCTGCCTATAGAGGCTCCGGAAAACAGAAAAACGGTATGCGGATTGCGGAGGTTATAAAAATAACGTCCCGCGTCGACGATGCATTAACCAAGAGAGGGGAGACACCGTAACAAAACATAAATTTTAACCCTTATAAAACACGTTTTGAATGAGCAATACCGGAAAAACATTTTCGACTCTTTATCCTTACAGTTTGCCTGCCCTACTGAAATACACATTCAAAAATTCCATTCTCATCGAATCCCAAAGTTCTAATCCGTGAATATACCAAAATCATCAAAATTTTGAACCTATCTTTGTTTATGCTATAACTAGTTATCTTCTGGGCTTTTTCTACTCTCGGAAATGTTATATTCAAAAAAAAAAAATTTATAACAATGTCATTGATTGTTGATATTTAAAAGATGATTCATGATTGGAGTAGTTATAAAATATTTGGGAAATACTTCTAATAAAAGAATCGATATCTAAGTGATCGACATTATTTAGTGATGTAAAAAATAAATGTTTTATAATGAAATAATATTTTTTTTTCTTTCCAATGAAATAAAGTTGCTAGAAATTATTAAGACTCACAAATATGTTGAACAAATACTTTTATTTAATGAAAACAAGAGTAGTCCAAATACCAAAAATTAAGTCACCTGAGCATGCGGGACAAATTGATCAAATCCTGGTAGAGTCTAACTCCAACTAAACTATAAAGCATAAACACACAAGAAATCAAAATGTCAAATACATTAATGTCCAAACTAATAGGAGCTGATTCAGTAGCATTATAAGCACCTAACATTCAAACTAGACATCTGATTTTTTTCCCTTTTAATCTTCAAGTTCTTACTTCTATGTTCTCTTTGGAGAAGGCAAGAGCTGACTCCATAACGGGTATTGAATACAGCAGGGTATTGGCTGTTTCTTTCTGTAAATTTTCTGCTCCATTTTCTCCAGTGGGAGGCTCTGCTCCATTTTTGAAAGTCTTTCAGATATGCATTAGCTTCTATTTCATTTGATTGCTTTTGTTGGATCATTGTTTCTAGATGCATTCGAGTCGGTCTCTGCAAAGACTTAGTTTATGGCGTGTTAAAATATTGGTTGATCAGTAATTATTGATTTGCTGCCTTTTATAATGTCACCCGATTTTCCTTGCATTTGTTTAAATTTCCATACCACTCATGTACCACGAAAATGAGAATGAGTGACTCTTTATTAATTAATATATTTACTTTGAAGGTTTGTTTGCTTGTCTCTGTGGAAATAAAGTTTCAATAAATCTGGTGAGTAAATGTTTTGACTATGGGAACATCTGTGTGTTAGACTTTTAGTTTTTAAGGAAGTGAGATTTTGTTTCAGATCAGGTCACGTTGCACACCACTTTTAGCTGATATTTTTCAATTAATAATGGCTGCAGGAATACCCAAAGAATTTTGAGGATACTGGTTGTACTATAAAACCATCCTGCTAGAGTTATAACTCTCTCGGGTTTGAATACTTTCCACAATCATGGGCCTTTCATGGGAAAAATGTGGTTCACTGCTTACTTGTATTGGTGATATTGAATGTAATTAGCGTTATGCCAAAATTAATCTTTATTCTGCACTTTCTGGCTATGCAAGTTTGTTCCATATATAAGGAGTATAAAAGCAATCTTTATTCTGCAGCAGTTCTTATGTGTGTTTGGCTATTAGGCTCTCTGTAAACAAGGCTGTATGGATTCCTTTCTTATAGTATAATTCAGGTAACAGTTGCATCAATGGCTTCAGTCTTCAATGCTTTGAAGAGCCAATTTGAGACACGCATTTTGTCAGGAGTAGTGTGCTGTTTGCTTCAAATTTCAAACCATTGTCTCATTTGTCTTTTGTTTGCACGGATTTTATTGAAAGTTTGGCATTTAGGGAGAATTATTATTAATATATTACTATGCCGATTTGCTTGTGTGTTTGATACTGGAAGTGCGAAAGTCAATGATGATTGCCGTTTTGGAACTAAGAAGACATGCAATGATTCTTCTTCTTCTCCTCCCCCTGTGATTGTGTGGTGCTTTGGTTTTTAAATTTCAACTTTAACAATAATTTGTCTGGCACCTGTATGAGGATGATGCATCTCCTCAGTTTTTTAAGTCTCGTTTTCAGAGCAGTCTTTATGTGGAGGACTGGAGGCATATCCCTATATCCCCATGTCTTGTTGTTTTCGAATTTTGTTTGGTTATGGTGCAATATTCTACTTCCTGGAAATACTTGGGACCGCTGTTCATAATGGTATGTGAAAGCTTAATTAATAAAATAATTAAGTTACTTTAGTTGGTACTGAAAACTAAATTTTTCAAGGCTTGGTCAATTTGTCATCTAATTCACGTGGAATAATTGCTTCAGATACTCATTTCTATCTTGATGGTGCATAGCAAAAGTGGCAAATCTTTTTTATAACTAGTGCTTTGTGTCGTTTCTAAAAGGACTGAAAGTCTTACTTTAAGATTATAATATGTAATGCAAATTCTCCTAGAAAGCATGTATTTTGGCTGTAAGAAGTTGATGATGGTCATAAGTCAATACCATGTTCTGGCCTACAAGTGACACCTTAGATTTAAGAAAAGTTCCTGTGGGATCTAGGAATTAGAAGGCAGAGCTCCCTGTTTTTTTGTATCATGAGAAATAGGTAGGGCTAATAATGATCAGATAGATTACTTCTTGGCACATGTAAACATTTGCTGATTGGATGCTACAACCTCCAACCAGTTATGCAAAATATGACTACCTTGTGGAGTATGCGAAGTGGGAAGGGCACTATGTTGTTTCCTCGGCACCTATGTTCCTAGACATATCATAATGAGTAAATATGTCTGACTGTGATGAATGAATGAGGACATTTCTTCTTGCATGCTTGCTACGATACGGATCCCATGCAGTATTGCTTTCTGGAGTTCCTTTCTTACTCCAGTTGTTTCATCGCTTTATCCTGTATTGTTTATTCAAAATAGATTACACAAAGGAACTTTCTCACCTTCGTACATTTTTGTCTAATCCTGTTCTTCAAAATTACTGTAGGACCTGATAGCTTGATTATTTTACGGGGCCATTGAGGGGCAACTATGTTCATGATTTGCAACAATGCAGCTCAAGGGATATCGTCACCCTTTTTTGTTAAGATATGCAGTTGCATATACACAACCTACAGTTCTGATTCTGCTAAGAATAAAATGTTGAAATGGTCCCTTACATTTGCCCTTACTTGAATTTACGTCCCTTACATTAACATTTCAATATTTTAGTTTTAATTATTTGTTAAATTTTATGATACAATCTAAAGTCTATTGAATTAAATTGTAATACATTAAAGTATACCAATAACTTCTTTTTTAATCTATGCTAAATGTGTTATTTTTTTTGTGCAAAATTAGTTTTAGTTAAATAATCTTATTCTTTAGATTGAAAAAAATGGATTAAAAAATAATATCATTACCGTTAAACAATATTATTAAAAAATATAATATGTTTATGTAAATTAAACATGACTTACAAATATCAAATTATAAATTTGTATATTAGAGTTTAAAAATAAATAATTTTTTTTAAAGTTTATATAGTATATTTTTATAATTATGAAAATATTAAAAAGAAATAAAAAACCAAAAAAATTAAACAAAAACTGAAAAGAGACTGTTTTGTTATTTTTGTAAATTTTTGGGGTCATTTTTATATTATTAAAATTATTAGGATATTTTTATAATTAAAACACATAGAATTCCGTTTTAATTTAAATGGAAAAGAGCAAATTGGACAAAATCGGCTAACGGTAGATAGCTTAAGGTAATATTGACTAATCGAAAAAGAATAGAGTAAAATTGACAACGCATGTAAAACTTAAGGTAAATTAGCCAATTTTTTCCAGATTAGAATATATACCCTAACTTTCTCCCTGTGTATACCCAAGAAAAGTTTAGAGTGCCCGAGACTTTTTCTTTCTGCTTTGACTTGGAAATGAGGGATTTTTTTTGTTAACACTTATCTCAGCTCGATCTCACGTGCCTGTTCCATGTTTCTTTTATTGGGTGCACGTGGGGGTCTCGCGGTGGGTTAACGGGTCAATAGGCACAAGCGGGTCACGTGATGGGCTTGGGTAAGATGGTCAAAGGTCAACAAAAATTGAGGCCCAAATGCCCTTGACCGTAGTCACGTGAAAAACACACCTCCGCTTATATATTCAAATGGCCGTTGGATAGAAAACTGGAAAAAAATGACTCCCGAACTTATGGTGCCAGATAAATTTTTTTTGAACCTTTATGGGAGAGTAAATAAATATACAACCCCAACTTATGATACTTTTGAGATAAATTATTGTTATTATATGGAGTATATAGAAATATATAGGATTCGGATCCTGGACTCGACCCTCACCCAACAGGAAAACCTTAACCTTTATCAATTCTCATCCTGCGCAGCGTCTTTTTCACCCCCCGCCAAAAGCTTATAAACTGAAAACAAAGTAAAAAATAAAAATTTATCTCCCTTTCTATTTTTGTTCACAGATCTCAGCTATGGCCGACTGTGGAGTCGTGGTTTAAACTTAGGACGGTGGTGCCAAGCTCTCGTTATACGACATCGAATCTACAGCTGCCACCAAAAGTGAGTAAAAAAACTTGTTCCTTCCTTCCAAGACCTAATTTTTACCTGTATGCTTGTGCCGTTTTTCCTATTTCCCCTTCATCTGATTACGTTTTGATAGGCTGGAAACGACATTGATTCTGTCCATATCGGAATTTTTAAATCAAGTTAGCTTTTTCTTCTGTAAGAACTCTGGAAAACCAATAGAACTAAGCTGCCAATCAATAGCTGCCATTGCTGAAAATTCTAATCTTGAAAGCCTCTGATTTCTTTTAATAACTCGGAAAGATAAATCAAATTTGCTACTGCCGTCGATAATTTTGAACTCAAACTATCGGTAGATTATTAGGTGAGATTGTAATGCAGAATTTTTACCCTCCTCCCAAAACTTAAAAGCTTTTGCTTTGTTTTTTAACAAATTAAGTTTTTCCTCTATAAAGTTTCTTAATGCTTGCAATTCCTGTCAAGATTAAATTTTTATTGGTATACTTCTATCGTTTCTCCTGTTTGACCTTTCATACATTTATGTTTTGAGATAGAAGAATCACGTCATAGTTATTGGTTCATTCTGTCATGTTGAAATATAAATAAAATATTTTAAGAACTTTGCAAAACATTGTACTTTCTCAGACTCAATAGAACCTTTACCACCAGAGGTTTCTTTCCAAGGTCCTGTTAATATCTATTGCAGATTATAGCCTTTGAGCAGTCTATGCGTTGGGTGCGGTAATTTTTGGTTTGATGTTTCTCATTTTGATTTTGAAGGAAATTTGATAACTAGCCATACGGTAGTTATAATTGCTGAAAGCTCTCCTCTCGATGGCCGAAAAGATGACATCTGACTTCCGTCTCAGAAAGGTAAGCCAAATTGCTGACAATTTTGATTATTGTGAATTACAAACTATTGGTAAATTAGTTGGCGGCTTGGCGCATTTTGATGGCCTCTATGTTTCATTCTTTTTTCTTCCTCTTGTCCAAATAGTGTGCTAAGAAAGAGCAGCAACTTGACTGGATCAGTCAGCTCCCAAATGAAATGCTTCTGCACATCCTTTCTTTTTTGATGCCTGATGATGCTGTAAGGACAAGCATTTTGTCAAAAGTTGGATTGATCTTTGGTTGAATGTTGCTACACTCAATTTTGACTCCACAAATATGTGGAGAGGGCTGGAAGGAATCGACGAGCTGTCATATTCTGAAAGGCAAACGTTACTTGAGCCAAAACGTTTCGAGTATATTGAATGGGTTAACAAGGTGTTGCAATCACACAAAGCTGTTGTTCTGGAGGTGTTCAGAATTCGCTTTAATTTGAACAAATATTCCAGATTTGATATTGATAGATGGCTTCAGCATGCGTTAGCTAGGAGAGTGCACATGCTGGAGTTGGACTTGTCAGACTCTAGGGGACAGTCTGATGGACCTTTCTATGAGTTTCCTAATGAGCTACTTGGCCTGAATGATGAGAATTCTTCCTGTGGGAATGGCTTCAATTCTGATGCCATATTGTTTGACTTTAAATCCCTCAGGACTTTGAAGTTTCATTGTGTACACGTGTCAGGGGAAGTTCTTGAATTTTTTTTGCACAATTGCCCTTCTCTTGAGCATCTGCAAGTGGTATCCTCAAATCTGGAAAAGGTTAAAGTTTGTGGTCCATCTCTTGCACTAAAATATTTAGAGATAATGTACTGTTCCAGTTTGTCATCTTTCATTGTTTGCGATTCAAACGTCGTTTCACTTAGAACCACTGAAGGTCACATTTTGGTACTGAAGAATGTTCCGATGCTTGTGGAAATTTTTGTTACTGGATTTAACTTTCAGAACAATGGATATGCAAGCTTGGTCCATACTACTATTTCCTGGATTTCTTGCTGCCTTTCAAAGTTGGAGGTTCTTACCTTAGGAATCAGGAGGACGCACGTGACATTTGTTGGTCTCATTCTCTTGTTCAATTTTTTGGGTCTATTGTACGTGTTTGAATCTGAACTGATTCACTGTCTCTGTTTGCCATATTTTTGTTTGGTCATCCCAGGAAAGAGATACAAATGTTGCACTTCCTCAATTAACTAAATTGAAGCAACTCACGTTCATTATGCATGCAGCAAATGGTGACAAGAGCCTGATGCCTTTTACTTCTCTGATAAGGGCCTCTCCTAACTTGGAGAAGTTTGTCCTGAAGGTATCGTGTCGTGTGTATTTTCGGGTTAAATATATAATCTGTTTCTGCTGAATGTCTTGGATCTATTATTTTATGTGCTTTTGCTTCTCCATATGCCCTGATATTCTGATTCACGGGGCTAAATACCTGTGACTTGGAGACAAATGTTGCATTTTCTTTTATTTTTTAATTCCCCCTGTTGACACATATGCTGTTCTTTTTTTCTCCAGTTGGACCGAAAGGGTGATGTTGACATGAAACGTAGCGTTTCTGAGAAAGGCGTAGCGTTCCCCCTCAAACATCTTAAAGTTATAGAGTTATAGGGATACTCTGGACGTAGAACAGAAGTGGAACTAGTTGAGTATTTCGTAGAAATGGGATTGCTTTGGAGAGAGTAATTATTGAACCTCGTGATATGTCATGGAAAAGTCTCCTTGTGGATAATCCGCTGGATGACTCAAGGTTTAGGAAACTTGCCAAGAAGCAGCTTAAGGGATTGTTGCCTGAAAATGTTGAATTGGTGCTTCTTTAGATGGGAGATGGGAGAAGAATAATTGTCGTCATCAGTTGCTTTGGGCTCAAGTTCTACTATATTTCTGACTGAAGTTGTAATGTAACTTATTATTAGTAAATTGAATTATAGGTCGAAGCCTTGTTTGAGTATGATCTTAATTGAAGTTATAATGTGTTGTTTGAACATTGATTATTATTAGTATTATATCGTGTAGGAACCAGGCAGATTACTTAAAAAATTTTTGACAATCACATGTTGATGGGGAAGTTTATTAGTTTCAATTATCAGGTTACAAAGTCTGATAGATCCATTCTACTCAAAAGGATTCACAACAGTGCTCTGAGACTAAGGTACGTGGCTTTGTGAACAAGACACACTAGAACTGCAGAGATTATATAAGTTTTTGGTTGGGTGGTTTTTAGTATTAAAGAATTGAGAATCATCAGATAAATTTGGGAGTGATGGAAGATGATGGTACCAGAAAAAATGAAACAAAATTTAAGGAGGTTTTGGTCTGGGTTGTCAGAAATGAATGGTGGTGGTTTCTAGTGGGAGATAATCCACAGTGTGGTTTGTTTGCACTCAGAACGAGTCCACCAGAAGCCTCTTCCAATGCTTTATATCAGGTATGAACCCCTATCTTGGATGGGCATTGTCGCGTTCACCCTTCCAATGCTTTGGATTTGTTTGGAAACATGGACATTCCCAATTAGTCCAATTACCATGAGCCTATGACGCAGGTACCGATATGGTTGGAATCAATGTGTTCAGGAGAGGAGACCCTTTACAATTCCAGAGTATCCCCACTTCCTAATATTTCAAGGGTCCAGTATACGCTTCCGAGCTTCCAGCTGCAGTCTAAAAACACTGGTTAATGACATTTAAGGCAACCAGAAATTGTTATAGTAGTGTTTGCTGGACACCATCAACAGCCAAGAAACAAAGAAAAACTAAAACATGAGATCATTATTCTTCGGTCAGAGAATTCAATTTTCCAATTCATGCAATGTGTTGTGCACCGCATTGTTAGTTCAATAGTTCTTAAGTGCCTCAATTGATTGATGATACATTTTTCATATACAGTGCAGTGCCCACATTGCATGAATTGAAACCGAATTCTATTAGTGGCAATGCTAATGATACCGTAAGAAGTCCGAGAACATCTATTCTATTCCACATCAAACCTTCAAATGGTTGACGCCATGAGAAACAAGGCCAAGGGCAAGATTCCGTGATAAGCATAAGTTCATAACATCCACCTAGTTCCAACAGGTTTCAGTTGCTTCTTCCCGAGTATATACATCACCGGCTTACTTTTCAAGCTTCACGTAAACATTTACAGCACCCTCAAGAATTTCGAAAGCATCGGTATTAAAGGTAGACAGCTCTCTCAGGCACAACATCTTCTGTTTCCCTAAGTATAATCCACTACGCCACATTGAACTTGAGCTTCTTTGCTAGTTTTGATGCACTACACCGTAATCCAAAACATTTGAGTCCTCAACATACTAAGAGATTGTAGCACGAGACTAAATCAACTAAAGCATCAAGTCTTGTAAGATCAAATCTGTAGGGTGCTCTGTTTTCCAAGAAACTTTTGTACAAAGAAACTACCGCATTTAGCAGAAGAGTAAAATATTGAAATGGTCCTTACATTTGCCCTTACTTGAATTTACGTCCCTTATATTAACATTTCAATATCGTAGTCTCAAACATTATGTTTTCACACTTTTTTGGTCTCATTTCACTGTTTCGACCACATTTCCGTCCAATTCGATGTTGACCGACCGTTGACTTGCCGGGGTCAGGGGTATTTTTGTCCTTTCACTTGATTTGACCTTTCATCAAATTAAAATCATTAAAAATATTAAAAAATTCATATTTTAAATTATTTAAATAGTACTTATTAATTAAAAATATTATTATAATATTTTAAAATTTATATTTTTTAAAAAATAGTTTTTCATTTACTATTTATCTTAGGTGAAAATAAACAGTAATTATTCTACATTTTAATTCCGGACCCACAGTAAATTTACAATTTTACCGGGCTACAGTGAAAAATTTAAATTTAAAATTTAAAAAAAAAAAAATTAAATTCGAGTTTTTAACCCTACAAATTATTTAAATTCGGGTTAAAAACCCGAATTTAAATTTAAATTTTAAAAAAATATAAATATTTCTAAGATTTACAGATAGATTGGGCCAGGGTCGCGCATTGACATCACTAGTATATATATAATTAAGTTTCCTCTGCCCGCAATGACTCGTAAAGTATGTGATACAACATGATTAGGCCGCCTGAAGAACAACTTTTGGATGGTTGCAGGTTAATCACCATCTTGAAACTAGATTCAAGCAAGGAGTTTGCAAATGGTTTAGTGAATTACCAAATTTAATTAGTTACATTATGTATTTCCGAATCGGTGTGTACATTTAAACTACTTCCTCTCACTCACATCATTTGATTTTCATCAGGACAATATTTTACACTCCTCTTTATCTACATCAGAAGCGTCATCTCAACCCCCCTCCTTTTTTCCTTCATCTAATTGCACCTTAATTTCAGTGTTATTTTTATACTCCCTCTATTCCGAAATTATTGTCCAATTTGAGATTTTATTTTTAGTGCAATTTGAATTAAAAATGAAAACTCAAACTACATAATAATTATGGGACAGAGGAAGTATAAGATATTTGCATAACACAGTCTATTGGACAATTCTAATCAATGAAGTATATTAGTTCATTTCAAATCATATAGGAAATATTGATAATTTTTAAAAAGGGCAGGCGTTACAATTTTTTTTCCATTCTTTAATAATTATTTGTCTTTTCTAATACTTACTACTTTATCCTTCCTTTATCTGACGTTGATTTTACTTGTTCTTCTCCGCCAACGGTAATTGACGTCTCTCTCCAAAACACCGAAAAAGAAAAATAAAAAAAGATCAGCCTCTGTTCTTTTTCTACTTTCGAGTAAGAGCTTTTAGAATTTGTTAAGTAATTTGGATCCGAAATGTCTTTTGATTATTCGCTATTTAATTTACCCTTCATAATTTTGGTTTTTGAGTTTAATAGTGAGAACTTGAACTTAGTTGGAGTCCTAACTTTGATTAGGAATTGATAGCCACAAGGCATTCAATGATTTTTTCGGTGAAATCTAGTTTTTTTGTATAAAGAGATGACCTTCATCAATAATGTAATAGGAGATAGTACCTTTTTAAAAAAATTTTTTAAAAAAAGGTTATTGAGCCTCCTAATTTTTCTGATTTGGGTTAATTACAAAATTCCATGAATTGATTATGTGGAAAGACACATTGCAATTAATAGAAAGAGCTAGCCACAATCACAAACAAACCGAAGCTATAATTCTCGCCATTAAAAGAAATAATAAAAATCTTATAAAGTGCAAAAGCGAGTGAGGGTCGCTGTTAATTTTAAAGAACAGTCTATATATATTCCAAATAATGACTATGCGTTATTCAATTTTGATATATCATCTTTAATATATCCTTATTTTTTTGAGAACGATATCCTTATTAGTACCCAGTGTGTATTATATAGTTAATGGAAGTGAGTAGCTTGTTAAATTAATTAAAGAGTTTAGATTCAGATAAAATCGCAAGTAAAATTGAGTTTACAAGGTTCAGAAAAGGAAACACAGATGGTGCTGTTAGCCATACGTACAAATCAAGCAGCAGCTGGTGGCTTACTAGTTACTACGTGATCAGCAAGGCCTCTGGATAGTTGGTTTTTTGGCTAACTTAGGTTCATGTGACCCCCTCACAACAGAACTATGGGCCGGCTATATTCCATGGCTTGCAGATGGCGTGGCTACACAAGTATAAAAAAATTCAAGTTGATTTGGATTGCCTAGTGGCAGTCCAACTTTTGCAAAATAATCATGAAGCAGACTTGCCATTTTGTACATCTTTTGACAAATCCCCCTAAGGGGATTATAGATCTAATGTGTAAAGATGCGGTAAATAACACTCATCTCGTTTAAAAACCGTAGAGCAAAGGTCGAACTAGTGGAGTTTCAGAGCAAAAATAAACATGCATTAGTGAAAGTTCCGCAGTGGGGTTTCACAAAAAAAAAAAATAAACGAAAACAAAAAACAAAACTCCGAATGGCCCATGCAGGTCTCGAACCTGCGACCTTCGCGTTATTAGCACGACGCTCTAACCAACTGAGCTAATAGGCCGCTTCTGGAGGTTAATCCCAAATTTAAAATTAAAAATAATGTACTAGACTAAAGGTAAAATCGATCAGGTAGTATAGAAGTCATATAACTATAAATAAAGAAGTGTTGATCGTGGGGAGGAGCGGGAATTCAATTTCACTGTTTCCGGTTCCAGCCATGAGAGACGATTACGAGGTTCTATCTCGAGTTCTTCTCTGCTGATTCTTACTGATTTATCGTTAATATAATTGTTTTGCTTATCTGTTTCGTCACTACTAGTAGAGGCCTATAGTTATTGTCGCTCCTCAGAATTGAATTTATTTCTGGTTTGGTTATCGGGTTTTGCATTATTCCGTTCCAAACCCTAGGATTTCCCGATAATTATTGTCTGAAATCATTCTTGAAGGATAAGATTTCTTAGAGCTGTTTATATATTCACCTTTTATATAATTATTGTCGCTCTTTTGAATTGAATTTTGTCACTTTCTGGTTTGATTATCGGGTTTTGCATTATTCCGTTCCAAACCCTAAGATTTCCCGATGATTATCGACTGAAATTATTCTTAGAACTTTAGGAGCTGATTGGCTGTGGATGTTGATGTAACCTTGTGAATTACTTTAAAATTGTTAAACGGAGTTGCTAGACAGATTGTACCTATCCTTAGGTTTTGGGGATCACTAGTTGGGTTGTTATCAAATTGATGCTAAGCTGTCAACATCTATGATTAACCTTGGTCTCATGTGGTAATTATAATAAATTAGAGACGTTATGAAGTGAGAAGTCGGTGTTTTTGGCAGTAATTCTCAAGGTTTAGCTGGGCCAGATGGTGAGCATAAGCTGATCTGTTACTGTTTTCAACCTCAAAATTTTTTGTTCATGTGATTGATTCTTCCGTAGGAAACTTGTAGAAGAATTCAATGTGATTTGCGAAATTACTTCCTTATGTTTAAGTTGTGAGTGCAGACTGAAGAAAAGAAGCAAGCTGCTGCTGATGTCCTGTTTCACTATTCCAAGTTTGTCATGGCGGCTATTGGAAGCCAAGTTCGACCTTGTGATTTGAGGCTGCATTTGATGAAGGTAATTACGCCATTCTTGGAGCTTTCTTATTACCTGTTAAAAATGGTTGTTAAAGTTTGTATACATTACGACTACACCAATGTTGTTGCATGCTGTATCTGCCATAATAATGTGGACATTTGATGATGCATGTGATGCTCCTAACTTCTGGAAAGAACAGGGTGTTTAAATCATGTAGATTGCTGCAGTTAATAAAGACCTAAATCATGAGTTTGTATGCACAACACCTTCATTTTTTTTAGTTTGGTTTTGTTTCTGTAGTGGAGGAATAATTAGCTATTTGTAAACGGGCAATGAGAAGGACTTAATTGTTACTGTTGGTGTCATGCCCAGTTAACTTCTCATCGTCATCTTGTATCTGCCTTTCGTATCAACTTCCTTTTTATTTAGGTTCAAAGGCGGTTCCTTAGGTGTTGCAATTAATTAAGTTGGTTAATAGGACTCCAATAATCAGGAAGTTTAAAGTTTTGTTTCTCGGATAGTTGCACCACAGTGAACAAAGAAATGAACAAGTTGAATAACATGTTTATACTTCTCTGGAAAATGTACAGGAGGTCTCTGGTTTGCCTACGAAACTCAAGAAGGATGGTGAGTCCTCTCCTGATGCTATGGGAGAGTCATCAAGTTCTGGTACTTCCAGGCTTGATAAAACAGACAGCTTTAGAGGACTCTGAATGATGGAATGGCAATTGTCGTTATTTATAAGCTTTGTGAATGTTATTTATGTCATTTATCTTGGTTTGTATATTTCTGAATGTTTGTTTAATGTAATTATCTGAAACTCATATTTTTCAGATATATGTGGAGTGCCATTGAGTTTTCAAGCTTTATGAATATTATTTACTTGTTTTGGTGTGCTTCTTTTTAAATGTTTGTTGTAATTATCTAAAACACAGATTTAGCAGATTTAACATGCAGAGAGTCCAATAGTTGGTTGCTTCCTAGAAGGGGCAGCGAGGACTCTGAATGATGGGATTGGGAACGGCTGTTGTGTTTGTTACCTTTGGGAATGTTGATTTACTTGTATAGGTGTATTGATTGTATATCCTTGAGGACCTAGATATTACCGTGTAAAGCACAGTTTAACTTTTGGATTTGATCACTGTTAAGCATAGTTACAGGTTTATTACGAGCCATTTATAGCCAATGTATTGATGTCCTGCAAAATTGAATGGGATGTACAAGCTGTGGACACAGTACGGTAGAATCATCTGTAAGGTCATGCTGGAGTATGTCTAAAGACTGGATATATGCTAGTGTCTTTGTTCCACGATTTAGCTTAATTTCCCTGTTGTTGCTCTACATTCTGCCCTCTGGTTGAAAACAAGAGACAGCCTCTTGTGTTTTTCCTTAAATGAGATTGTTGAGATCAATATAGTGCGGCATATATATGGTGGAATTTAAACAATTGGATTAATAGGGTTGACTTGAGGAGTGGCTTGGACTTGAGGGGGAAGGGGTGGCGATTTTGAGATTATGAGATTGAGAAGGTTGTTTGGCCTATGAAATTTGTTGGTTTCTAGGTCATTTAAATGGAATACAGGATTGTTTTTTGAAATCCTTTGATGCCATTCCATAGCAGTGGCGATTCAGAGGGACTGAAAACTAACCTTATCCCTAACCCAAAAAAGCTACTCACTCCTTTTTCGGACAATAGTTTGAACTAAAAGGTAAAAATTCAAACTAATCAATAGTTTTGAAACAAAGGGAGTATAATATTTGCTTCCTATGACTATTGTAGGCCAAAAAAAAGAAAGTAATAACAATAATCATCTGACATCATTACAAAGTTAAAAGTAATAACAATAATCATCTCAAATCGTCACAAAGCTAAAAAACCTCTTGTTGATCAACAGTTTCTTTGCATACGTTGCCTTTTTGGGTGCGAAATTGCAGGGGTAAAAAATGGAGAAAATATATTGAAGATTACCGACTCCACTGGGGATCGAACCCAGAATCTCTGGTTCCGTAGACCAGCGCCTTATCCATTGGGCCATGGAGTCCTATTTGTTCATAAGATTTTAAATTTTTTATATATATTGTAGAATCGGCTCCCGTATCCAAATAGCAAATATACTCCTTTTTTACACAAAAACATCAATATATATCTAAATTAATACTATTGAAGCTACACAATTTTATTAATTTATAAAAATCATTATTTTGTCAATTAATTAATAACTATTCCATTTATTCCAAAAAAATAGTCAAAATTCGATTTTGAGGTTTGTACTAATACAATTTTTTTTAGCACAAGGAGTATTATTTTTATCAATAAATTAATAAGTTATTTTTTAAAATTATATTAGGGAAAAAAAACTCCAACATTCTCAAATTTTGAGACGACTCTAGAATATTTGAATACAACAACTATAATATTTTTTCCCACTAGGTGGATCTGATATATGGATCATATATCGCCATCATCCCCGGTTCATAAATAAATCATCAAATTTAAATATTTCAAATAACTTTTATAGTTTCCTTCCAAATTTTCTTAGGTCTATCATTTACCATTTCCCCTTCTTAATTTGAATTATTGATTCTATAGTTTTTACCCTCCAAATTAGGACTATCACCAATCTCCTACACGCATGTCCGAACCATCTCAAGCAATTTTCTCGTCTAGTGAAGCTGGCCTTACTTTCGCTTTAATACATTTGTTTCTAATTCTATGATTCTGTCCAATTTAGTATGCTCATATATCAACCTTAACATTCTCATCTCTGATACTCGCAGTTTTTTTTTTTGTTCATATTCATATTTGGTGGACAAACACGAAGTTCCATAAATGATCGTTCGATAAAATTTACTTTTCAAACCCAATGGTACTTTACGATCACAAAATATTGAGGACACGTTGCACTTTTTGTTCCACCAGGTTTGAATTTGATGTGTCACATCTTTATTAATACTTCTATTTTTTTCTACAATGGATCATAAATACTCCCTCCGTCCCAAAATTATTTTCCAGTTTGAAATTTCACTTTTAGTACAATTTGAACTAGAAATGAAAACTCAAACTGGACCATAATTATGGGACAGAGGGAGTATTTAAAATTTTTAGACGTGTTCATTTCATATTCACTAATTTTAACACTCATCATGTTATCACTCCTAGGATTACTAAAATGACATTTCATATATTCTGTTTTAACATTAATTATTGTAAAATCCTTAGATTCTAGTGCCTAGTTTCTAACTTGGCATTCACCTCACTCTCATTTCATCTATTAAAATTATATCATCTGCAAATAACATACATTCGAGAATAAGTATCTGCGATGCTTACTAGAGTTTAATATTTTATTGAACATTAAATTATAACTTTTATTAATTGGCGTGGGAGAGTTGGGTAGGGTGATTAGAGAATTAAAATGGTAATGATTCGAGTCTCAAAAGTTATTTTTTTTTAAAAAAAATAAATTTTACAATTTAAAGAGTACGCTTAAATTTTTTTTTGCATGAATATAATATAATTCCTCTTAAAAGTTCACCTTTTCAAACATAAGTGATTGATCTGTGATGCTCTTTTATTTGCACATTTACAATTACATCATAAGACACGAATAGAAATTGAGTAAAAAAATTAAAATTCTATGGATATCATCAAAGTTAAGAAAAGGAAAAGAAGGAAAAATAATTGGAACTTGGAACTTGGAAGGATGTAGGAGCAAAACTAGAATTTACTGGGGTCTCAAACAAAGAAAACAAAGTAAAAGGGAGCAGTACGTAATTTAGCGCCAAGTCAATGTGGCAGACTGTCCTCTTTTTTTCTATTCACAACGGCTAGTTCGTAAAACGGTAACCCTGCAACGGTCCAATTTCGAATCTCCTCTCTTCCTATCCTCTGCTAAATTCCCTATCTTTCACCTCCCTTCCCTCTCTGCCTTAATCCTCCTCCTTCTCCCTTTCTCTTTTTTCTCCAATCTTGCCCTCACTTTCTGATTCCTGTAGACTCCCTCCATTTCTGCTCTGAATCAACTAATTTATTTTAGGTGTTTTTTTTGTCCTGTTCCACATATCTTCATCATCTTTCTGTTAATTTTTTTAAAAAAACTTCAAAGTTTTGAGATTGAAGATGTTGCAAGATATGTGGAACGCACCTCCCGGCTTCAGGCCCACCAAATCTGCTCCTTCTTCGCCGGCGAAGCCTCTTGGGGTCTCAAGAACTCGCTCTGAGGCTTTCCATATAGCTCACAAAGTCCCAGTTGGTGATACTCCTTATGTTCGTGCCAAGAATGTTCAAGTAAGCCTTCTTTTCTTCTCTTCGGAAGATCCGAAATTTTTTGTATTCTTCCATCTGGATTGCTGCATTTCTCTATTTAATAAATTGATGGTTCATTTTGTTTTCTGGGTCTCAATTCTGATTATGTTTGTAAAATTGCAACTTTTATATGGTCAGTTGGTGGATAAGGATCCAGAAAAGGCAATACCTTTGTTCTGGGCAGCGATTAATGCTGGAGATAGAGTGGATAGTGCTTTGAAAGACATGGCAATTGTAATGAAGCAGCAGAATAGGGCAGAAGAAGCTATTGAGGCTATTAAGTCACTCAGAAGTCGGTGTTCTGATCAGGCTCAAGAGGCTCTTGACAATATTCTGTTAGACCTCTACAAGGTGAATATAATTAATGCTGATTCCATCACATTTTACTTGCAACTTTGTATATTGGCCTTCGCTAATTCATGATTTCACCTTCAGAGATGTGGGAGACTGGATGACCAGATAGCATTGTTGAGGCATAAGTTATTCTTAATTCAACAAGGAATGGCCTTTAATGGGAAGCGTACAAAGACAGCAAGATCTCAAGGCAAGAAATTCCAGGTCTCTGTTGAGCAAGAAGCAACTAGATTACTGGTAAGAAACAATGATGAACCTTTAAATCTCTTTTCCTTTAGAAACCCGCATAAATGAGTTCGATTAAGAAATACTTCCTATCATGTGGCAGGGAAATTTGGGTTGGGCATTAATGCAGCAAAACAACTATATAGAAGCTGAAGATGCTTACAGGAGGGCTTTACTAATTGCGCCTGACAATAACAAGATGTGCAATCTAGGCATCTGTTTGATGAAACAAGGTAGGATTGCTGAGGCTAAAGAGAACCTTAGAAAAGTGAAACCAGCAGTCTCTGATGGCCCGAGAGGAGTTGATTCACATCTTAAGGCTTATGAGAGAGCCCAACAAATGCTCAGGGACCTTGAGTCCGAGATGATGAATAAAGGTGGAGAAGATAGAGTTGAACAAAGCAAGTTATTTGATGCATTCTTGGGTTCTTCAGCAATCTGGCAGCCTCAGCCTTGCAAGGAGCATGGCGGCAATTTGCTTCCATCGGCAGCCGTTGATTCGGCGAATCCCAGAGATGAGTTTGCCAATGAGAACATCAATTCTGGTAACATCATGGCGAACCAAATGGTTCATCCAATGCAGAAAAGCGTCAAATCAAATGCGTCTTTGGGGAATTTGCTCAACATTGATGCACCGCCGTTTTTTTCGTCGAGATTCTCCCAGGATCATCAACAAGCGCGTTTCCCAGAAACCCTTAAGAGAACAAGGTCTAGTAATGCAGCTAGCTCAGTGAAGGAAATGGGAGATTGGAGGATGACAGCAGCTGAGCCTGAAAACAAGGTTCGGAAATGCTTGATTGCACCTGAGAAGGAAGAGGATAACTTTGCTGATTTGCTGCTTCCAAATAGTAAAGATTTTGAGGATGCGATTCTGGCTGCAGTTTTGTGCTCAGACGATGAACCAAGAAAGGTTGTGGATTGTAGCAATGATCATGGAATCCCGCAGAGGAAGCTTGAGAAAAGGCTGAAGGTTTTTCAGGACATCACACTGTCTCTCAGTCCAAGGGCCTAACGAGTTTTTTTAGTTCCTAACATTTTTAGATGTCGAGATATCAGAGTGGAGATAAACTTTTTCTCCTAATTTATTTCCTATTTTCTCAGGTAATATGTCTTATTATTTTAGTCATTAGTTATTGAAACAGGATTAGAAGAGGAATCAGTTAACTTTATGCCCCTATGCCCTTATGGCTTGATGTAATAATGACATTGATTATTTATAATAATATTGTTTCTTCACCTTCTTCACTTATTCCCTTGAGTAACTTGCCACACTTGTTCGTATTTGGGTCCAAATGTTGATCCATTGCTATTTTACCCAGCCTGTCTGATGAGAAAGCACAAATGAAAGTTCCAGACTAACAGGAAAAAGTTGAAGAACCTAAGAACAGTTGATCTTTAATTGAGTAACAGTGTAAGGTTAGGACAAATGCAATTTAGTAGTAATTTATTAATGTGATGCGATGTGTAGCATTACAGCAAACTCTCCAAGGTGAGTTTGAACTCTGCAAGGCATTTTTATTTTTTATTTTTATTTGTTTTTTATCTGGTTTCAATTTGTGCACAACACGAATTCATTCTGCAAGGTGAGTTTGGTGAATAATCTGAGAGATCCTGTTATCACTTGGCTCTTCTATTAATTTCAAAGAAATAACTGAAGATGACCACAGCAGCTGCAACAGCTACTCCGACGGCGCTCTGTGCCAATGCAGTGCTGTTGTTGATTAACTTGGAACAAGAGGACGGTGGAGTAAATCCTAGCTCTGAAAGCTTCTTGTGAGATGCTGCATAATCTTTGAAGAATGCCTCCTCATCCTGCCAAGATAAGCATCAAAAGTTTTCAGGCAGTTGATGTAAATGGAAAGAAAGATTCAGCCATTACAAAGGATTGGCATTTGCAGTAAAGGATTTTTTTATTTTTATTTTTATTTTTATTAATTTTGTGAAGAAAGCAGAAAAGATGAATGACCTAACTTACATTGGCATAAATTTCAACATATTTCCGAAATTCAGGATCGTCTACCAAAACGGTGTCAGTGGGAAGTTTCAATAGGCCTTCTGAATTCCCTTTCAGAAGCTCCCTGAAATATCATAACATCCATCTATCAGTGCTCCAAGAACCTTTTTTTTTATCAAGTTATGCTAGATTTAGCAAAACAACTGTGCCCTTTTCCAAAAAAAAAACTAATATGTGCCAAGTTAACGAAATCTTACACGAAATACGAATTGTCGAATTTCAGAGGTTCACGGGTCCAGGGGCCTTCAAAACCTGATCTGTCCTTATGAGCCTTACCCTGCAATGAATGATACAGAAAAATTGTAATAAGAGAACCTCCTTCCCCTGCATATCAAAACCCAAATTTGCGATCTAAACTCACCAATGTGTGGCCTCCAGACAGTGCCACAATATCCCTGTCAGAAAGACCCATCCTACAGAAGACATCCCTCAAATGAGATGCACCTAAAGAAGTGTAAGAAATTATCAACCATCTCATGGAATGGAACACAAAAATGTAGATTATAACCAGACAAATTGAAGTGCAACTACAAAACCTTTATTGGCATCAGGAAGGCGGCCTTCTTCAGGGGAAACCATAGAATCCTAATTGGAGAGATGACAAAATTACCAAACCGGAAAAAAGGCTTTCTCTTTCTGTGTATCTGTGTGTGTTGAAGGAACATAGTAGAAGAAAACACCAGTTGCAAAAGCATACCTTTCTACCTGGGACAAAATCTATGGTAGGTCCTCCGGTGACTTCAACTGCTACAACTCCAGCCAGCTGAGAAATGTCCATATTCACAACAAGAAGTTTACAACTTATACTATTCATTGAAACTCACAGTAAAAGGAAGAAAGAAAAACCTATATATAAGCTTCAGATATTCAAACTCACCTGGTAGAGATCAGCATATGTAATCTTAGGATGATTAGCTTTTATCTCCTCTGCACCAATAAAAATTAAAAAAAAAAAATTGTTTACATGATGTACACAGTCATTCATGCATACAATCATAAACATTGTACTAGAGATTTACATTTTTGATTTTTTTTTTTTTAATGCCAAACACAGAAAAAAGCATTTTCCTCACCACAAAGATCAACCGCAATTTTCAGGCCATTGTTAGCACCGTGTTGCAACTCAACATCGTTCCTGATCGATCCATTGGGACCTCCTGTCTTTGTCTTAGCATCATAAGTCCCTGCATCGTGCCACCTGCAAATTCAAAACAATTTCCATCTAGTGTAGTTCAATAGAAACCAACAACACAACCCAGAATCCAACTTGAAATGGAGAAAAAGAAGAAAGAAAAAAATTGTTAGGAGGAATTACGCTAAACGGAGCATAATAGGAGCACAGTTCTTGCTTGAAATCAGAGCTCGAAGGCTTCTGCGAGCCCTCTCAATTTCCTTGATGTACTCTGCATCCACCCCCATTTCTTTTGCCATTTTTTCTTGCAATCTCTCTTACAATCCAGAATTCAATTAAAAAAGAAAAAAAGAAAGTATGAAAAAAAATAATGGGCAGCCAAAAGAAGTAATGGTGACGCTAATAAATGCTTGGAAAGAAAGAAGAAGCAATGAATCTTGAGAGTGGCAATACAGAACCGGAAAGAAAAGAACTTTCTCCGTTTTTTATTAGCTTGGAGGGAAATGAATGAATGACGTAACTATATCGTTTCATAAACGCGAGTTTAAGAGGGCGTGAGATTAACCTGGTTACTGAGAACGACTGGAGGCTGTTATGGCGTAACCAACGTGCGGGGAAGGCGAGTACGCATGATAATACATTATTAGGCGATTTCTGAAGCATTTTGGTGGGCCAAAATCAACGTTATCTTACGGTATTGGGTTTCGGACCTCTAAAAGATTTACTGTGGGCGGGCGTGCGGGGGTATTTATCGAAACTTCTATGTATTAAATTCCTCAGTGGTTGACCAGGCCCATCTGGTTCATTGAGCTGGGCTTTTGATGCATCCAGGATCAACATTTGACTATTTTTAGTTACGATTTGCAGCAAAATCTGAGGTAGTACAATATGTAACGAAGGACATTGAGTCTCGGTCAAAGTCACATTTATATTTGGCGTGTTGGGCTAAAGAAGGCGGAAAGACCAATGAGAATTTTTTGAAACCGAACTTTCTTTTTTTTTTTTTTATAATCTCTAAAAAGATCATGTTCCATCAATTTGTGCAGTTTTTGTAACTGTAAATTCAGAATTGCCGAATAGAGTCAGCTACCAAAGGTAAACTGGTTTTTTTTTACAGTCAGCCGACGAGTATAGTAGAGATATATATATATGGAGCCAGGTTAGTTATGAAAGATTGCTAGTAAAGACAACATATGACAAACCAAAACATTTGGTTCCTCCAATTAAATTAAACTCGAGTAACATGCCAAAAAGTGCATCTTAATGTTATTGAATTAGTACCAAAATAAAAAAATATTAATAAGATTACTGCTAAATAAACAAAGGAGGGGAAGCATTGTCAGTTGAGAACAGTTGTTATTTTATGGGTAAATTTTGTCACGACGTTAGATATTTTAACAGCGGAATCGTGGGTGGACGGACCGTGGACCTCTAGGCTCTAGTGCTCTGACTCAGGTCGATTCCACTCTCACAATTCCCAAGGCATCTTAGTATTTTCCTTTTAGTAATACTAATAATAAAGTAAATAATAATCCCTGTCTCACAATTAGTATTATAAGTTCATCCGTCATCGCTCTGTTAAAAGTGTTACGAACCCACAAATCTCACTTATTACTTTTTAATCTCTCCAATATTTTAAATTTACCTTAGCAAGCATAAATGTGTCAAATGGTGAATCACCATTGTACCAAGATAAGTTAATGTCAGCCTATATACCATGTGAACTGATGATGTATAAGTAAGTACTACTACTTCAAACAAGAGTCAATGTAAGTTTGTCTTAACCTCTGCGTAAAGTACATATGCCAAAATGATGATTTTACCCAGATACTCCCTCCATTTAAACAAATAATCCGCATTAAATTCATAAAAATTTACAAGTTCAGTATCCATCTATCTATGTGTATTATTATTAGAGAAACCGGATTTATTTTTAGAGTGACAACTAAGATAAAATCTTATGTATAATTATTTTATGTGTTTTCACCAAATAAGTTATAAAAATTGTGTTAAAACCCTTGAATTTTATACTGAATTAAAAACTTAATAAGGATTACCTTAAGATAATAATTTAAGTAGTCCCTAAAAATATGGATTTTTTAACATAATAATTGATTACTTGACAAATTTTATTTTTCTTTTTTTTTATATATATTTGCATTAAGTCCACGTTAATTATTTAATATGTCAAATAGTGATTACTGAATTAGCATTAAAAAGAAATTTATGATTGTTCATTATGTTTGTTTTTTTCTTGAAATATTAAATTTGAATTTATTTATCTCATACAACGTGTGGGTTTAACATCTAGTTATGTATATCACAATTTACAATGTGAACTATAGTATGAGACGAGAAAAAATATAAAAAAATAAATTGTACTAAAAGTTACTTATAAACACAACAAGACCATAACAAATATATTTCGAATTTTGACCCTTGATATGGAATATTAAGCATCAATCTTGACCAGATCTAACTATATTCATAATTTTTTAAAAAAAAAAATGACAATAACTATAGAAATATTTTGCAACTACAATTAATGAAGATTTAAGAATTCCCATTTTGATGTTGGAAAGGGGTGTAGTAGAATGGTTTCAGTCCGCTAATGACGTTATCTAGAAAGCATACACAATCAGTAATTACTGATAATTACCATATCTGCATTATTAAGACAGGTCACATTGCCCGTTGAAATTTTTGAGTTACGAAACTACCCTTTGGAACCACAGTAAGTAGCCAAGTCAGCAACACATGTCCCGCAAGTACAAATGTCCCCACTGGCTTCTAAAGATTTTAGAGATTACTCTTGCACGTGAAAACTGGAAAATGGCATATCGTAAATAACAAATATACCTTCTGGGCATTTCGGTCTCAAACAATTTTACATAATTTTTCCCCTTTTTTGTTTGTGTAAAAATTATGGCACTCTGCCCAACACGCCATTTGCCTGTACTAGTTCCCAAAACTGTAGAGTTTTCACTCTCCCCCACCCCACACAACACAATCCATCCATCATCCCTTTTGCATCTGTAGAGAGAAAAGAAAATTGAGAGGAAAAGTAAAGAAAAGAAAAAAAAAAAAAAGAGATAGATTTTTTGAAGATGATGCAAAGAAGACTGCACAGAGTTTGATGATTTCATTTGAAAAGGATATGGCAAAGAAGGTAAAGTAGTACACTAGTAAGTTTCATTTGTTTTTTTAACAGAGTTGGAGAACTAGGATTTGACTGGGCGGTTCTGCTGTCAAAGACTCTGACTTTTTACAGTTACATTCAGCAATCAGCACCATTTTCCCCCCTATTGATGCAAGTTCGGGGTCCTTAAAAGCACGCTTTTGTTCGTTTAAAGTAAAGAAAAAAGGATCAAAGCAAGATTACTTTTTTTTTTTTTTGGGTCTGAATTCAGAGTTAGGAGAAGAGAAGAAAGAGGGTACTGTGTGAGTGTGTGTGTGTTTTTTTGTGTGTTGTGCATGAGGGTGAAAGTGAAAGGGAAATTCAAAAAATGGGGAGCTGTTACTCAAGAATAAAGCAAGAAGAGATGGTTTCAAGGTGTAAAGCCCGGAGAAGGTACATGAAACAGTTGGTGAAAGCAAGACAATCATTTTCATCTGCCCACAGTTTGTACTTAAGGTCTCTCAGAAACACCGGCTCTGCTCTGCTTCAATTTGCTACCAATGAAACCAATCTGCATTACCAGATTCACAACCTCCCGCCGCCGCCGTCTCCGCCACCTCCGCCGCCTGTGGTGTATTCTAGGCCACCCCAACTCCCAACCGCCCCACCACCTCCACCAATTCCGATGAGCCCACTTTCTGACACGTGGACAACCACCACCGCAACCACCACATCCTCTGCTCTTATGGCTCCACCACCGCCACCGCCTCCTCCTCCGCCTCCGCCTCCGCCGGCTTCATCTTCAACTTGGGATTTCTGGGACCCTTTCATGCCTTCTTCATCCAGGTCTGGAACAGAGGAGGAATGGGAGGAGACCACCATTGCTTCCGAGGTCGCCGTCACTACAACTGTAGGGGCGGCCAGTGTGGCGGCGCCACCGTCTATAATCAGTGGGTTTTCGAAAGACACCTCCACTTCTAGTGAGCTAGCTATGGTGGTATCCACAAAAGGGAAAGACCTGGTTGAGATCATCAAAGAACTTGATGATTATTTCCTCAAGGCTGCTGATGCAGGGGGTCCACTCTCCATGCTCTTAGAAGTCCCCACTTGTTCCATTTCCGACATCAGATCCTCCTCAGGTTAGTCTTTTTCTTCACATGCATACTTAAACTAGCGCGAATCAGACGTTCATAAATGGGTGAATGTCTTGTACAAACTTGATTCCTATCCTTTTCCCTGCACTGAATTGACTTAAATTTTGTTAAGATTGTGGAAATTCAATGTGATGTTGAGGTTAATTGAAGGTACGAGACGTTATCATATGATGAAATTGAATTCAAAATTTAATCTTGCCATCGAAATTGTGGTGCAGGCGGGAAAAATCAGAAACATTTATTGTGGACGTGGAATTCGAGTCCCAAATGGAATGGTATTGGGAAGTATTGTGGTGATTCGTTTGGAAATGTGAGTGTTGGTGGTGTGGGTTTCTCCCATTGCTCTACCGTGGAGAGATTGTACGCTTGGGAGAAGAAGCTTTACCAGGAGGTGATGGTAAGTTATATTTTTAACCTCCGTTTTAACTGTTTAAGAATGCTTCCATGTTCACATATATGCATCAAGATTCAATTTTGCTGTTTCCTTGAAGAGCCCCAATTTAGCTCTATTTATGGTTTTGGTTTTAATTTTTGGTAGTTTGGATTGTCTTTTGGTAAATGATGTAGAATGCAGAGACTTTGAAACTAGAGCATGAGAAGAAGGCAGCCCAATTGAGGAAGTTAGAGATGAAGAGAGCTGACTATGTTAAGACTGAGAAGGCCAAGAAAGAGGTTGAGAAACTGGAATCCAGGATGATGGTTGCTTCCCAGGCAATTGAAACCACTTCTGCTGAAATAGTAAAATTGAGGGAGTCAGAGCTCTATCCACAGCTGGTTGATCTAGTCAAAGGGTAATTAAAGCTCTCTTATTTATCTTGATTTTTTCCCCCTTTTCAGACACCATCTCTTTTACTGCTTACTTTATAGGAGTGCTTCTGGGGAGGAGGGTCAAACTTCACTGATTTGCGTGAAACAGAAATAGGAGAACTTTCTGCATATTCAATAGCTATATCCGTGCATGATACTGTACTCTTTTTGTACTCTTTTTGTTTATTTGACTGCTTTTAGTGTGGATCCTTTATTTTTTTCTTTTTCCCCCTAATCTTGTTCAAGATACAAATGGGGGAATCCTGACATTTTACAGTTTGTGGAGTCTAATAATGTCATATTGTATTCAATTTTGAAGCAAAGGTATCTAATCTATGTGTCAAATTTGAGTTGGGAACCTGACATGAATCCATGGCTTGCGAAAAGAAAACACTCTTAAATTCTAGAATAGTATTCTGATTTAGAATAAGTACTTTCTGAATCACCTTTGCTGATAAATTTCCATTTATATGCTGTGCAGATTAATGTGTATGTGGAGAAGCATGTATGAGTGCCACCAGGTCCAGACGCATATCGTTCAGCAGTTCAAGTATGTAAACACCATTCCATCTTCGAATCCAACATCTGAAATTCATCGCCAGTCAACTCTCCAACTTGAGCTTGAAGCACAACAGTGGCACAATTCTTTCTGCAACCTTGTTAAGGCTCAACGAGATTACATTCAGTCCCTAACTGGTTGGCTCAGGCTTAGCTTGTTCCAGCTCAGCAACAAACCAGGAGCCAGAACTGGACTTGATTCGGCAATATACTCCTTTTGTGAAGAATGGCAGCTTGCAGTTAACAATGCTCCAGACAAAGTAGCATCCGAAGGAGTCAAGAGCTTCTTAACCGTGATACATGCTATTGTAGTGCAACAATCAGAAGAACAAAAGCAGAAGAAGAAATCAGAATCTGCATTTAAAGAGCTTGAAAAGAAGGCAATGGAGCTAAGATCACTTGAATCTAAGTACGGGCCTTATTCTACCGGCACAAGAAGCAAGGATCTTGTGGGGGAGAAGAGAGCGAAGGTGGAGGCTGTGAGAATAAGAGCAGAGGATGAGAAGGCCAAGTATGACAAGGCAGTGGGCGTAACTAGGGCAATGACGCTGAATAACCTACAAATGGGATTGCCCCATGTATTTCAGGCAGTGACTGGTTTTGCCAACGTATGCACACATGCATTTGAGTCGGTGTATAACCAGGCGAAAAGTACCGATGAAATGCATGATGTGAAAAGAATTATGGGTTAAGAGAAATGGATGCTGAAGACGAAACAAGTTGTGTATTTAGACCGTGTACAGTTCTATCCACCTTTATACTTGAATTTACCTGTAGACGACGCTGGACTGGATGGATAGCAGATTTTGCTTGAAACATCTGATTGAATTGCAGAATGACATCAGGATTATGTGCCTTCGAAGACTGGTTCAATTGGAATGCTATCCCTTCGAAGACTGGGTGATGTGAGGATGCAGCAACACATCGTTAGAGATAATCCGTCAGGATTTGTGGAGTTCTTCCATTGACAAGGTTTTCTTTGATATGGAGATAGGTGAAAACTGAAAAGGCACGAGTGATAAAATACCTTATTCTAGCATGGTAGAGGTTCGGTAGACGGTTCCTTGATTTGTCAATTTTGGTGTAGGATAAGGTGTTTTTCTGAAAAGTATTTAAGAATGTAAAAATTATTTCCGTTTATTTATTCAAGTTGTTTCCGTCCAAAGTCCATACAGTTAAAGCCATGTATGTTTTTCATTAGTTCATATATTTTTAATTTCATAGAGGTTTTATAGGTCAAGATTGTAGAAGTTTGGCTAGGGTGTCTAACATGGAAAGTGGAGGGATATAACTAGCATCTTCAGTCCACAGTCGCCTGTTCCCAGCTTCTCGTACCTGTATCTTCCCACAAAAATACATTAGGAAGATGAAAAAGATAAAAACTAAACCCAATTGCAGAACAGCAATAGAGTGGCATCTTGGACAACAAAAAACCATCCGTAAATGTTTTATCCATTTCAGGAGAGAGACAGTCATATTTTAACCAATTACCTATCTAAATTTTCAACTAAGACTGGCAAGCAACAAGCCAACAATAGAGAACTAGCCTAGTAAGCAGTAATGTACAAGCTCTACTCTTTCGTCACATTCATATACGAGATAAAGAAATTAAGTCCAATCATTCAAAAACTGTACCTACACATTTCGAGGACAGCCAAGTCAAGCGCTTGTCAATTTTGAGCGACAAAAAGGTCTCTCTTGCACTACGATTGTTGAAGAGGTCTAAAGCTGCAAAATATATTTCATCATTCACACCTTCCAACTCATCCAATGCTTTCACGCAATCTGTTACGGAGAATTTTCCATTGAATTTCTTAATAGCAGCTGTCCTGAGTTTTGAAGCAGCAGCCATTTCCAAAATGGCCTTTGCAATGGCACCATCGACTCCTATACGCCCCCGTTTCTGACCAACTGCCTTAGGCACATCAGGTTGATGATTCTTGCGCGAATCTTCTACTACTTGCTCTGACCCTGAGCTTGAGGAATCTTCCTGTTGTGTATGAGGACCTGACAAAGGAATTCCTCCCGCCTGCTCATTGGATCTTTTTGTTTGATCATATTTCCCCCCTGGAGTTGGTAATGAGAATAGAGAGCACAGTTCTTTGTATATGGGGCATCCGGTGCTCCTCAAATTTTCACAATCAGGATGGTCCTGTATCATAGTTTGAAGAAGACTAGGTGATTAATAGCAAGCTTCCTAAGCAGGGCTCAGTACAATTCACAGTCGCATACACACACAAGACGAACAGGCAAGAAAAGAAACCATTTGCAAAGAACAGTGCGCTGGCAGCCCATATGTGATAGGTCTCGAAGCTAAATCAGGTCTAAGTAATTTTGATTAGTAAAGAGAGTAACAACAGGAGCTACCAACCTTGATGTATGTATCCCAGGCTTCATCAGAAGCTATAATAGCACCAGTGGCTTCATTCCATCTAAACTCACGCTGACCAAGAATGGTTTTCACAACAATGTAAAGCTTCCTCAAGGTAGCATATTTGCTTTTCAACTGCTCATTATCCCAAGGTAGGCCTGTTTTCTCACGAAAATCGTCACAAACAGATTCCCATGCATTCTTGTGAAAAGACTTCTTTTTTCTGTTCCCTTTGCAAATCTGGTCTAGCAATAAATCTATAAGTATTTTGGTAAGGGGGGTTGTCCACTTCGCCCTCGACTGTGATTCCGGCTGTTGAACAGGAGGTAGTCCCCCAGAACGAGTAGACCGGCTTGCCATCTAACACATCAACATCATTGATGGAATTAAAACAAAATAATGCTTAAAAAGAATAAAAAGATGCCTGTGATATGACAGCAAATGAAACCTATGCCTGATGTTAGCCACTGAAGTTTTTCCTACCTAGACATCACAATGGTCCCAAGCCGTGCTTTTCAAATAGAGTTACTAACTTATTGTAACCCTCCAATGGGTATTAAATATATTATTGCAAAAATTTCCTTTCAAAACTGTCCAAACTTATTGCAATTTGCGGAAGACATAACACATTTACAGGTCACAAGAAATCTACAGCTATATTAGAATTAACCAAATTCTAACGGAAAATAAAATTTAATCAGAGAATGAAAGCAATCATGCAAAAGAAATAATAGAACTTCATGAACACAATTCCGCTCCCGAAGGCCAGACAAAACGATTGACCAAGAATCAATCCATTTTTGCAAACAACTGATCCAAAATTCTCGAATACTCACTTAAATCCCGCGAAAACTTAAGAAATCAGGGTACAAAATGCTAGTAATTTACATGCATAGTTTAATTTAATCAGTGTATGCCACTGGTTACAGAAAGTACCACCCTAGCCTGCATATAATGATTCTAAAAGAAGCTTACATCTTTAACCACAACAGAAGGGCACCAAGCAACCAGCTTTTAGTAGCCATTTTATCAAATTAGGGATTAGATGGAGCGTACCTAGGTGCAATTGTGGCAATTGTGGTCCGCTGTTCTGCGGCGGCAATCGGAGGCGGGCGGGCGGCAGTGGTGGCGCTAGTCTAGTTTAGTCAGGAGGAGCGGGAAGACGAAGCAAATACATAAACACGTGAGGGGAGGGGGTTGTAATTGGGCTATTTTTTGAATAGTTCTTTTCTTTCAAGTTTCTACCGGAATTGGGCTCTTTGCCAAAAAAAAATATTTACCAATTAAATTGAAATGGTTTGTCCCAAGCCTACAATTCAGCGAGAGGATTAGTCACTGTGCCGACGATGGACACCCGACAAATATGCAAAAAAATTGAAATGGTCTCTCATTTCTTTATGTTAAAATCATTTAATAAAGATTATTTTAGATCATTATTCCATTAGATTCTATTTAAAATTTACAAATTTAAATTAAATCTAATTTTAATATGTCTTATAAATAGTTTCGGAGATTTTTTTAAAATTTTTTTTTTTGGTCTGGTGAATATTTAAGTGAGTGCTTAACAAAATAATTTACTGTAATATCGTAAAAATTTTATAAACATGATACAAAAAAAAATGTATTTTAGCCTTTGCCGACTTTGACGTCAACTTTTCTAAGAAAATGATAATGTCGACGAAACATTTTTTTCAAGTTTAATATTATAAAATTCTTTTTTTCCTAGTACATTTTGGATCATGACTAGTTGTTAGTGTGATCTAGTTCTATCTGTGTCGACGTTGGGTTTACACAATAATTTAATCTAATATCCTAAGATTTTTTTGAAAATAATAAAAATAATGTTTGGTCTTCATCGACTTTCTTGTCGGTTTTGCTTAGAAGACAAGAAAGTCTACGAAACCATTTTTACCAAAAAAAAAAAAAAAAACATTTTTGTCATTTACGTTGGTATCGATCAATAAAGGAGCTTTTTCAAAAAAAAAAAGATTTTAAAAATGAATGAAGGAGGCTTAAAAAGCATTGATAAATTATATAAAACTCAATTTTATTTTATTTTTTTTACTTTGGCCAGCTATCCCACCCGTCGAAGTGCCTACGATTCAGCGAGTGAGATTAATCACTATCACCCTGCAAATATGCACCAAAAAAAAAAAAAACCTAACTTTTTAAGAGTATTTTTGTGAACAAAAAAGCCCACAGGAACTACAGAGATTTGTATAATTTCTACCTTAGTTAAAAGAGTTTCTGCTCAAGATTAAGTAAAACATGAAAACCACGTTTTGATTAAAAACACCCTGGATCGGTGAAAATGGTAGCTTTTTCTTCAGCTACGCATGACAAAAATTGGATTAGCCAAAAACTCAGTAATAATCTGAGGAGTGGGTTTCTGAGACGGACATCTTCCAACTACTAATATTCACAAATAATTTACAAAAGCAATGCCTCGGCCATTAGCATCACCACCTTTCTCAGCTACCAGTCTTCAATTTCGTCTTCACTTGTTATACAATTCTCATTAGCCAAAACATTTTCATCAAGGTCCATGCAATCTGGGGAAGCTTTTTCGCCATTATGATCTACGGGCGCTCTATATCCAATCCATTTCATCGTGGGTTGAAATTCTGTCGCAATGACAGATGGATCAACCAAGTTCATTCCACAGTAAGCCTCGTGCCTCTGGCTAACCATTCGTGACTGCAGGCAAATCAGAAGTTGGGGTTCAAGAGTTGGGAATAACAAAAATTCCCGGATATTAAGGACTGAGAAGCTGGTAGAGTTTTCCTGCACTTTTCATCTAACCTTATTGTGCCATAAAGATTGTTCCACCTGCCAAAGCTTTGGACGGCGAATAGAATGCCACCTACAAGGCCATTGAAACATATCATGTTTCTAAACAGCATAAAGGTATACATAAAGAAAACTCAACTCCTCGCCAAAAGAAGAACCTAGATGGAGCAAGATGTGAATTTCCAAAAAGCACCCCTCTAACAGCAACAGAAGCAGCAGCTGATTGAACCACATTCTCAGCTTCATAGTTTCTACTCAGCTTTCCACTGAGTGAAGCCAGGAGGAAGTCAGCATCACTTAGATATGATGCCACAATCCAAGCATCATCCATTGCTTCCTCACTGATAAAATCCAGAACTGCAAGCACAAAGAATACTAGAGTGCGTAAGTTCAACATGGAGTTAGACATTATTTTAGGACCATAACATTATTAACATAAATTTTCCTGTGCTGCTGGCTTACAGCTTTCTCCCTCACATAATGAAACCCAGACTTTCTTACATGGGATGGAGAAAATGAATTGGGTACAGCAGCAATATGACAATATGAAGAAGATACAAAAAGCTGAAAACGCCTATAGTTCCTGCCCATTCCCTTGAAACAGTAAGATAAACAGAAACCAAGCTCTCACCAAACTGTCAAAAGGTGCATCACCCCTTGGAGTCAACCTAACTGAAGACCAAAATGTAACTTATTGGCTAAAGTCCTACAAAGGATGAATATTTGCATCAATTCATCAATCCATGACTATTTTTAACTGCAAAATCCTTCTGTTAATCAAAATCCAGGACCGGTTTCAGGGTAAGCACAAACTATTTTTTTACTTTTGACATATGTATATCAAGAAAAGCAAAGCTTCAAATGCCAACATTACCATTTTCATGCAGAAAATCCGCAACTGGGCGAGATTGTCCATATGCTTGACGGAGAATTAGTTCTGGAGCATCCATTTTCAGAGGCAACCTCCGAAAGTTTTCCTTCAGAATAAATGGATCACTATCTATAGCAAAACAAAGTAAGGTTCTGATCGGAATCTCTTCTTTCAACAGATTACAATGCCAATCAAGTAGTATTTCTTATGGATGAAATAGAACACCATGGATATAAATAGTAGCTTCATCACTTATTACTTGATCAAGGCATGGCAACTTCAATTACATAAAGACACAGACTAAGAAATGTTTTTTGTCAAGCATCTGTCAAACATATCACTTCTGAAGTTGACTATCCCTTATCCTTATTCTCATAGACAATAATCATTTCCACTGTCATCATACAGTTATGTAATTAATTCTTCAGTGACAAGGCTGATAAATAAGTTCCCAACAGAATAATGCAAAAACAAATGGTCACAACTTTTTTTTTTTTTTTTGAAAATAAAATGGTCACAACTAAAAAGATGATAGACTGTCAGCATGCAAAAGGAAAAAAAAAAGAAAAAAAGAAGGAAGATTAACTGTGGTAAATAACAGTGGATAACAATGGATAGCACCACAAGGATTTGCAAAGACTAAGATCAGTAGAAACCTGATGCCATGGACTTCTCACTATCCCTTTTGTTGTGCAAAAATTTTCCCAAGGCATGAAAAAGAGAGAGTGTGTCATCTCTGCCAAATGGTAATAAATGGCCATTGCTCAAGTGAGTGATTTCATCTTGGCTTTGATTTAGCCGAGGGGGAGTACTGTTGGTGAAACTTAAGAATGATGCTTCATTTGGTCTGAGGAAGTAATATTGTAAAGATGTAATTGCGTGTCTGATGTCACCTCCACTGGCCTTTGCTATCAGCTCAAGTTCCTCTGCACTTACTTCACATTGCTCCTCTCTGGAAATTCTTAAAAGGGTTTTCTTGAGGGAATTTGTAGTTATTGGGTTAAAGGCCACCTGAAAAAATTGCACGTAAATATGAACCTGAAGATATTCATGTACTGAACTCATGGCAAAAATTATGAAAGGCAACCTTACAAGCCCCGGATTCCTGAAGAAACAGCTGCAATTCTTCCCAGTAACGCATGCTATACTCTGTAGCTTCAGTGTTGCCATAGTCGTTGAATAATATGACTGTAGGAACAGTGACAGATTGAACAAGAAGATGCAAGCACCGACGGAGTCTTCCATAGGCGACTTTCCCATTTATAATCGGAAGATCATCAATCAAGAGAATGACCCGAGATCCTCCAGAAGCAGATGATGAAATGCATCCATACTTCCTTATCTTGTCAACAAAAGTTTCAAACTCATCCAGCTTCGAAGTGTAGCGTAACCCTGGTCCAATTTCATTAAGATAGTCAATCCTTTCACGACAAGAAATTAAATTACATTCCTGAAGAAAGAAAAACTACCATTGAACTAAGATGGATTTAGCCCCAAGAAACTTATAAATTATTTATAAGTTTCTTCGAATGGTAATTCAGTCTTGCTCACTGATTAAAGTGAGTAGGCTAGATGTCGTACAACTACATAATTTAGCATTTCATAGAATGCGATGTAATAGTTCAGGTACTTCTTAACTAATATACAGGTACCTTTTTCAAAAAAGAAAAAAAAAAAAAACAGAAGAGACGCAGTACAAATCTATAATTCACATTCTCAATTTTAAATTAAGGGCAGAAGGAAGAATGGTTTCACATTTTAAAAACAAGTCAACACCCATAACTACTAATTGGAAACTATCACTTCCAGATTAATCTTCAAAGAGATGCCAAACACATCAGGCAGCAATGTTGATTTGGTTGCTTAATATACAAATGTTTACATAGTATATTAAGAAGAGTACCTGAACTGGAGTTGTGAAGATGTTCTTGCCATATCGTGGGAGTTGGAGTGTTCCATTCACATATTGTGGCTTTAAAATGCGAAGCAAGTGCATAGATGGTTGCCTTTAAAAAAGATGATGAGTACTTATACATTACTCTAAGAAACAAGGTTATAATTCAATAACTCAAAAACCAGGACGAACAGATAGATATTCATGAAATATAATGGTTGCACGTACAGATTTTCCAACTCCTGTTGGTCCAGAAAAAAGAATAACATTGTTGTTGAACCTTTGCTGCAAACATGCACAGCAGACGGTGTATTAAAGCAAAATAGATGCAACTGTTGAGCATAACATGAAAAAATTGGAGCAAGATACTGATTTAATAGATTACCTCTGAAGTGATAAATCTTTCTTCTAGCAATGCCTTTACCTCCTCTACCTGAGAATTGAAGGACAAATTCAGTTAGAATCATGCACATAAACTAGAAACTAAAAAATTATCAAGTCATTACCTTCTTCTTGTGAACTGCAAGCTCTTCTAAACAATTTGGTTTGTATTTATCCACCCACAAGTTTGTGCTCATTCCATGTCCTAATGAAGTAAATCCAAAGAAATTCATAAATCCGTCTATTTGTCAGCAAGTGAAGAAACTAAAAAAGTTCGAGCTGCTTGGAGGAATAGTAAGAGATATATAGTCAATAAAATGAAACAATGTCATAAGCTAGTGCTTCAGTGTATAAGCTAGAGTTTGAATAACTGCGAATGTGAGTGCATTTACGTAATAAAATGTAGATTCCCAACCAATAGATGCACGCAGAAGCAAAAAGAAGAGAAACCAAAATGCCATGATAAGAAGGGGGCACAATTCAGATCATTAATAAATGCTGGAAAATTAAGCTATAATAGTGGCATACCAGTAGATACCTTGAATCCTCTGATCCCTTCATCGAATTCCTGGCAAAACCGTTTAATCTGCATTCATTTATAACAAGTTTCACCAACAGGGCTACAGAGGAAAAAAAAAAAAAAGGAGCATAAAGTAGCATTGCATTTGTTATACTAGTCCTCAAGATACACCCCAAAATGAAAACAGAATCCTTATTCAAACTCCCAGGGAAGAATACAAAAATAATAATAATAATAATAATAATAATAATAATAATAATAATAATAATAATAATAATAATTATAATGAAACAAAAAGGCCAAAGATTAAATTTGCAAAAGACACCAACTTTAAGTTCATAATAACACAGAAAGCAGGAGCCAGAAATATAGCAAATTCCTTACTTCAGCAAAATCATTAAACTCGGATTGACGACGGGGCCGGGAACATGAATTTGATAGTGGGGCTTTCTTTGCCCTCTTCTTCGGATTACTGATTCGGGGAAGGGAGGATGCTTTTGGTTGCGATTTCAGAGAGAACTCCGCCTTTTCTTCATCATCGGAGGAGGAAACCAAGTAGATTGTATTTCTCTTCCCCATGCCCATTAGCCCAGAGGAAGATTGAAACCCTAGTTTGAATTTCAAGACTCAGACGATTTCATTAGTGCTAAAGAGGATTGCTCGAAATTTGCGATGTTGGGGTTAACGGAAAGCCGGGGGTATTTTGGCGGGGAAACCTGGTGGGGCTGGTGAAGCGTATCTCCTAAGCCGCAGCTAATTACATTTTAGTCCTTTAAGTTCATTTCAATGTGCAAGTATATTTCAATGCGCTTTATTTTTGTCCAAGTCCTTAATGTGCAAGTATATTTAAAGGAAAAAAAAAAAACTCCAGAAATTTATGATACAGTATTTGTTATTTATGTTCAACAAACCAATCCTGAATTCTATTTAGATGACCTGGAAACCAACAAATCAATCTCATAATCTCAAAATCGCCACCCCTTCCCCCTCAAGTCCAAGCCACTCCTCAAGTCAACCCTATTAATCCAATTGTTTAAATTCCACCATATATATGCCGCACTATATTGATCTCAACAATCTCATTCAAGAAAAAACACTAGGGCAGAATGTAGAGCAACAACAGGGAAATTAAAACTAGCAACATGGAAATTGAGGAACAAAACAAACTAGCATGTAATCCAGTCTTTAAACTAGCATCCCATTCAAGATGACCCTCCCCTGTAATTTGACCGCAAGCTTTGTCAGCAGATCTTCTGTACTATCTGCCCAATTCTCAGATTTAATCAAGTCCCATAGGAGTCCTGTCTTAGGATTTGCCTGAACACACCGATTCAACACATTTACCCTCTGCTCCTCATTGCCGGTTTGCATCTCAAAAAGATAGTAATACCCCCAATAATCACCATTGATTGGATCAAGATCGACGGCGACATCAAAACACTCTCTAGCCAGATCAATTTCTTCCTTCTCCCAAAATCTCCTTCCGATAGCTGCGAAGAGGTGCGCATCCGGATTCTCTGCACCGAATTTCCTCCACAAGTAACTTGCTTTACACCACCATTCTTCCGTCGGATCGGTCATCACCTGCTCCGCCCAAAGCCGGCGACTTTCCGGGATCCGTTGAACGGCCCTAGCTGCAACCCTTCCGGCTTCTTTCCGGTTACCCAGACGCAGTTCAAAATCAATTGACGCTGCCCAAATATCTTCACTCCTAGGATTCTGAGTACGCGCCCTCTCTAAAACGGCCCTTCCGGCGCCTGGATGTCCGGTCAGTTTTTCTTGGCAAGCCGCCAGACAAAGCCACAGACCCACGTGCGCCGGGAACATAGAAACTGCTTGTTCCAGAATCTTTCTTGATTGACTCATATCCCCAAGGGTTTCCTCCAACGTGGCTGACAGCAACCATTCCTGCTCTTTTGCTTTACCTTTACTTCTTAACTCTGCTAGTTTACGTCTGAGTTCTTCAAGAACCCTGCGCTCTTCTTCATCCAAAATGTTACCATTACTTCTTAACTCTGCTAGTTTACGTCTGAGTTCTTCAAGAACCCTGCGCTCTTCTTCATCCAAAATGTCTGCCATTCTAGAAATTTCTCAGTATTTCTCCGACTATGAAAAAGAATTGGGGCTATGGAATTGAACGAGCTTCGACGGGAAAAAAAAACAGAGAAGAAAGGAAGAAATTTTGAGTTCTTGAAGAAAAGAATGGTTCTTTGGAGAAAGATGAAGAATTGAAGGAAAAATGTGAAGGGTGGAAATCGTGATATTGATAAGAAAAAGAAAAACCGCTCAAGGGAAATCAAAACGGGAATGGGATTCTCTGATGAGTGTGTGATGAAAGCAGAAGAAGAGAGGAAGAATGTGTTACTGACGAGCCTAATATATACTGATTTGTGAATGTGAAAAACGGTTGTTGATCAATCCGGGGAGAGGGCGGTTATCCTCCAACTAGTCATCTCTATTATGCCCATACAATCCTGATTATCGTAGATACTCTGAAATTTAGTACTACTATTTATAAAAGAGAAAGTCCCCTGTTTTGTTCAATTTTGGAAGCCTAAGCTATGATGTTTGATCAATTTATCTCAGTTTGAGAAACGAGTGATTGTAGTAACAAATTTATACGAAGAAGAAGGATGCATAATCTTAAATGTGGCACAGGTGTCCCATTGGTTAATGGTGAACACAACATGTTAATTGACCAAAGAAAAACCCAGCAGGGCTTTGTTCTGGATCTTTTGGAGTATGGCGAATGAACATTTCTTAACAATTTAGAAGTGGAGATCGATTAAACAGATGCACAGAGCTCTGCATCATCTGCTTCTTCAGAGCGAACCCTTTTTTCACCCAGTCAATATAGCCTCCTCTCATGTTAAACACATGCTTGAAATCCTGCAGGTTGTATTGAAAAGGGAATAATAGGACAATCAGTTCCAGAAGAACTCACTATTGAACAAAGTGGTGGAGCTTTATAGTTTATACAAACAGTTTTTTTTTATGGGAAATGCAATCAATTGAACTTACAGCTTTAAGAAGATCGGTGGTTGCTTAAATCTCATGCAGCCCTTCACTTGTACAATTAAAAAGCACAAAAAGTTATTTTTAAATTGTGTATTTCGGCCTAATTGTGCATGGAATGAAGACTTTGGAACACAAACTTACCAAAACAATATGTTGCTACACACTGGCAGGACCAGCTCCAATAACTTGGGATTCTTTACCCTACCTGAATCTCAACAAACAGCAAAAACTTGAACCAAACCATAAATTGCACTCAATCAATACTCCCTTTTCTGTTATCTTTCTGTCCAGAGTACTAAAAAGATTCAGGGGTAATGAACATATAAGGAATGTTCAAAGCATTCTCCACATGGCCATGCTTGAATTCTTCTTCCGTCCTGAAAAAATTGAAACATCTTTGGAACTTTTTATTGTCATCAGGCAAAACTAAACATCAAGGCAATTTATTATTTTGTGGAACAAAAAACAATCGTGATTGCCATGACATCGAGATAGCGGTAAGGGCCTGAATAAAGGAGGCCTTTTGTAGACTGAACATTAACAGTAACAACCTCTACAAGCTCTGCTACCAAACTACAAACAAAGGACAGAAAGAGGAGGAAAAATCCACAGAAGAAAATGGGACTTTAAGTTTTCATTGGATCTCAAATGTTGTTGATCAGTCACAGAGAAAGAAGATTCTCGTACTCAAAAGTGTTAAATTTAATTACGTTACCTGGGTTCGCACCCCATATGAAAAACTGGGATGAATTTTATAGAAAGCTTGCCAAGCAGATTCTGGGGATTCAGCGCCTCTGACTGGATCAAAGTTCCACGGTGTATATGGTATCTATCTATTGGCTGTTGTTTAGTTGGTTTCGGGAGAAGAAGAAGAATACCGGGAGTCTTTTTAAAAAGATAGGCTTCGTTTTGTTAATTTTCTCACCGATAATGGATTGGACCCTGCAATCTATATTTGAGCATGATTCTTTCTTTGTGTGTTTCATGGTTAGAATAGTGTTTACATTTACGCTGACTTTAAAGGATTGCTCAATCATGTTGGCAAGGTAAAGCCAGGTTTGGAACATCATATTCTGAAAATCGAAGCGGAGACTAAATGTAAGCTTGAGAGGTTATCATGGCTTCCCAACTTTTATTTTCTTCCTCCAGATATTTGGATTTGGAATCCTCAATTAAAGATAAACGGTTATATACTTATATTTTGAACTTTGGTATATATATTGGCTTGATGGCTCCATTTAAGCTCTACTGGCTATAGGATCCTAAGTCTTGGTTAATCTTCCTTTCGACGCTTATTTGAATCAAAATTAAATAGCTCCTGAGTGTATGTTGCTTTTTTGGATGCAACATCCCTCTGTATTCAATCCCTTGTTTACTTATTTCGTTGAGAAGAGTACGGATCCATTTTGGCCTATTTTCCCCGAAAACTGACTAGTTCGCATTTCAAGTTGTTCCTCCAGTTAACAACTTGGTCCCTCATGTTCTTTTGATAGGGATGGCCTGGATTTGAATTTCTTCCAACAATCTAGGAGACTCTTGGTGTGTTACCATTTTACCCATTTACCAGAGATCTCATAGTAAGTACCGTTCTCACCTTTGCTTCGCTTAAGTTTTCTCTTTTGATATCACCAATGAGTTACATAGTTTTGGTGCTTACATGGCATATATATACATATATATATATATATGCCATGCAAGCACCAAACCCATTGGTGATATATATATATATATATATATATTTAGGTTGCAGATTCGGATTTTAAGTTTTGCCTCAAATTGATTAGTCTAAACTTGGATTTCTCTAGCTATCTTAGATGTATTTGCTTGTTATGAAAACTCGTCTAACTCTGTGATCTACTAAATATTGTTAAGGAAATTTTGTAATTTTAATTAATTCATGTGCATGCTTGAATAAAAACAACTTACGACATAATGTATATCATAAGTTATTGTTTTTGATTATCTGTTAAATTATCATCGTTTGACTACGATTGGTCTAGTTGGGCATTACACGCAATAAAAATATAACTGTCCCATGCACTAAAGAATGACATTAAAGAACATCATATTATTTCAGCAAAACTTTTTTTTAAAAAAAAAAATGCATGATATTACAAATGCGTGGCATCACAAACTTCCACAATTAATCGAGTGACATTTAAGCTCAATATGAATAACAATTCGTAAAAATATAGAAAGCTCCAACGGAGAATGGCTAATATGGAAGTACAAAAGGTAAACAAGGATAGGGTACCTCCTCCCTATAGAATCGGGGACCGAAGTTTTCGACTCCTGCTTTATGTTCGACCTCTTTCGTCCGAGCGTTGTACGAGACCAACAAATTGTTGGTGTGACAATAGAAATACACTATATCGGAATCAAATGGATGGAACGCAACAAGTTGCACATATATACGCTTGATTCTAGGAAAACAAGACAATAAAAATTCTCCAATTCCTATTGAATGTTGAAGGCACCATTTTTGGTCTTGCTGGAGCTCCCATACGTTCAAACTAGTGAGTGAAACTTCACGAAGTGCTAATCCCATAATCTTAAAATACTTGAGCCGTCCTTGAGACACACCGCATGCAGGAGCATCAGTTAGCCAAGCTTGTTCTTGCCTTGAATCAAGAGGAGGCTCAATAATGCGGAATTTGTGTGGATCGATGTAAGGCTCGTAGACGACAATTCTTGGTTCTGGATCTCCTCGTACCTTTCTTGGGTCACACGTGGTTGGTTGATACATCCAGTGGAGAGTATTGTTCACAATAACAGGCCTCCTTCCAAAATGTGTAATTGGAGAATCGCAGTGCACTCTAAGTTTCTTCCACTTCCCTGTCTCCGGGGTAAATAGATAAACCCTAAAGATTTTTTTCTCCCCTGGTGGACTTAAAATTGCAACTATTCTGTAAGAAGTCAAAACTCCAGTTTCCACCACCTTTGCTATAAAACTCAGTTTGAATTTCGTGGTAAAAGTTACGGGCGCCTTAGGAACGGCAAAACACTCATTGGTCATAGCATTACAAATAAAAAATTCAGCTGTACAATAATCACCTTTAAAGAAACCATAAGTTTTAATCTCCCTCCCCAACAAAAGGAATCCCTTGTCTGCTGCTTTGATCTTGACAACTGCTCCTTGTGTGATTAAAGAGGTCGATAAACTGAACTTGTGAAACTCGGGAAGGTTCCGACTAGGTTGTGGGATCATATTTGGGGCTGCTTTGGTACCTTCTTCAATGAGAACCACATTCGAGGAAAGGAAGACCAACGGGCAAAGTTGTTCCGGCCGTCGAGCGAAATACATTTCGAAAAAAGATGGATGGGATATGAAGGACCGACATTGTTTCGAGACACCCTTAATCTTGTACACTGCCTTCATTGGGAGTTTGCACAATACTTCAAACAAAAGCCACTCCGGCAAGCAGTTACTACTGTCCTGCTCATATTGGTTAATATTGCCGTTGCCGGAGCTTTTTCCCTTTGACGATATACTACTACTACCACTCCCGAGAATTTCAAGTCTTCTCCTTTTAACATGGTAGTCTCTTCTTGCAAATTCCATCCTTCAAATATAATATTCTTACCCGATACAATAAAGGAGACCTCTAAGCAAACTGATGAAGGGAGATTATATTTATTCACAAGTATGGAAACTAATAACAATCAATATTGATGCTCTAAGAAAAAAGTCTTTGCTGCTCTTTATATACGCATGGCAAGGATAATGTATACTTTGAACTGTACATGGATTTGGATTTGGATGCAAGTTATCAATCCGAACTTCAATCGGATTTGGACTTCATGATTTGGTTTTTATTTTTTTATTTTTTAACATGTGGGATACAATCAGATCAAACTTAAAACAACTACTACCAAAAAAAATTAGCAATTGGCCCCCGACAAAATGCTCTCTTTTCTTTTCTTTTCTTTTAGCAAAAAATAATTGGCACCGTTACTAGAAAAACTGGCCATTAAAATACAACTTACATTATACATGGTAATATGCTCCATCGTAAATGAATAATCCAGCTGAGAAATAAAGTTCCCAACGTAATAATGCAAACACAAATGGTCACAACTAAAAAGAAGATAGACTGTCAGCATGCGAAGATAAGATCGTCCATGCATGGTGAATAACAGTGGATAACAATGGATAGCACCACAAGGATTTGAAGCCTAAGATCAGTGGAAACATGATGCCATGGACTTCTCACTATCCCTTTTGTTGTGCAAAAAGTTTCCCAAAGCATGAAAAAGAGAGAGTGCGTCATCTCTGCCAAAAGGTGATAAATGAACATTGCTCAAGTGAGTGATTTCATCTTGGCTTTGTTTTAGCTGAGGGTGAGTACTGTTGGCGAAACTTAAGAACTCAAGCGAAAGAGAGTATCAAAATTAGGGTTATGAGCTCAGCCATTAAAGCACAATTGAGAGAAAGATTTGGAATTAAATTTGTGTATTAAATCTGAAAAACGTAATGAATGTGTCGGTTTCTGGACATTATAAACTAGTTGGAGGTGCACGTGCGGTGGTGGGTGTAAGGGGACCCGGATTATTAATATTTGATAACAAATTAATAAATAGCAAGAAGTAGGTGAATTTTGTTTTATTAGATGATATACAATTTGATGGAGTAATTGTACAGAGGGTATTGACATAGAAAGAAAAAAATCGCTATGAACATAATACATGATATAAGATTACATGAGATGAGCAGAACTGTTTAATTCGGCTTCGATGGTTGTAGTTCGTTGCAGTAGAAGTAAAAGTCTCCATTCTCCGTTGAGTGCTGTTTTTAAGATGTATTTCCATATTGGATGAGATAGAAATCGTTTTAATAATTCGTCAAGTTCTCTTTCGAACCAGGAGTTGTATGTGCACTGTCCACAATGGATACAAATACATGTTTCAGGGGTCGCCATTTTGTGGGTTCAGAATTTTAGCTGCAAGTTATATTATAAATAGGAACCATGAATTAGAAAATATAGAAAAATAAAAGAAAGAGGAAAAAATGATAGTAAAATGAGAATTTAGGGACAATACTCGAGCCGTAGAAAAGAACAAATAGTTGATTCTTTAGAATCTATAGCAAGTAGTCCTGACCTTTTGCCAAATGCACCAAACTGCCAATTTTTGTGGTGCAAGGCGTTTGTATGCTGAACCACCGGGTTTCTGTTGTTCTTCTGGGAAATAAAATTGCAAGGAACAATTATGCCACCAGCTTTAGTACAACTATATACTGGAAATTCAGAAGAATGCAAACATTTTCAAACTTGTGTTCGCAGTTATAATAATATGTTTGCATTTACATAATTGGGTGTTCACTATGATAAATTATTAGCCCAGAGAAATGAAGGGGTTTACATATTCCGTGTTCAGGGTCAGTTGTACCATTTTATGGACACATTAATGCCATCTGACAATGAAAAACCAAAAAACCTGCAATTTTACTCTTATGACACAGAACACGAACTTGAAAACCGGTTAGCATAAGTTCTAAAAAATTTAAAGAAAGTGTTGTCCAAGTTTTGATGCATGTTTTGAAAAACAATCCTTATGCTCACTTCTTCCGAAGTCTAAATAATGTAAAAAACTTATCAGAGTATAAGATTGCTCTACATGCTAATCCCACATTTGATAATAATGTTTTCAAGAAGCCCTCTGTATCCCAATTACCGGTATATACGGTAATTATTCCTTACTTCTACCTATTGTTCGACTGAATTTGTTTTCTTTTTCTCATCATTAATATTTCAGAAATTAAATTGTAATTTCACACAGATATGCACAAGAGGCAAAATGAATTGGCAAAATAGAATGAGCTGAAACTTAAAAACTGCAAGAGATGAAGTAACTGATAAATAAAAGACGATCAGATAATATAAAAAAACATACCTGCTTCCAGATGCGTCTCCTGAAGTGGACATTTCTAACTAATTTCTTCGGTAATGAACACACTTTGCAAACTTGAATGCCTTTTGCAAACTGTTGAAACAAGTATGAAATTAATTTATATTAAATAAGATGCAATAACACAATTCAAAGAATGCAGGAAATAGGGAGCTCGCTGTCAAAACATTTCAGCGAGAAGCTTCTACACTTTTATCCCATTCTCATCACAGAGACAATGATCCAAAAAAAAATGTGAAGCAATAAAAAGAGAAGGCAACATTCGGAGGCAAAATGCAAAAGAATAATTGTTGCTGTTGAATGGCGACAGAGTAAAACGAAACCCAAACAAAGACAATAAGAATGAAAGCGTGGGTATTGATTTTGAAACAAAGCCGGCACGATTCCTTTGGTGCATTAATTCTGCTTGTGATTACTTCAAATTAATGTTTGCTATGATACATGGAATCGTGCCGAGAGCAAAACTAAACTCATTGATTAGACTATAGCTCTCTTCTCTATGACCAGTAAAGAAAACTAAACAAAAATTTGCAGAGAATAGGATTCTCTTTTGAACAAAAAATTAAAACTAAATTGATACACTCATTTAGACCATGAAATTAACTACTTCATGGAGAAAAAAACTGCAGTAATCCATTAACTCTACATTCTCTTACATCTCCACTCAAACTAAATCGAGTATGTGAAATCTCTATTTTAACAATTGCTCAATCATTTTCAAACTGACTAATTTTTGTAACAAAGGAAGAGTGCACAACCGTATTGCCTATATGCACCAAAAAGAACAAAACAGAGAGATTTTAATTCTTCCGTGAACACTAAAACCAAAATCACAAGCAACCCGTTTCAAAGAAAATAATGACAAGCAGCAGGAAATTTTTTCCACTACATATAGGCCAAAGCCGATGCAAAAATTTTCTCTAATACCAATAATCAAATACTTAACATGCCTTAAAAGCAAACACTTTGAACACACAAAATGAATTGAACTCAAACCTCTAATTACTGTCTTATAGAACTAATTATTGAGCTCATAGATAGGTCATTCGTTGAATGAGTTCTTTGAGAACAAGATTCGAACACTTAATGTGCAACCTAAAAAACAAATTTCAAGTTCAATTCCAATTGCAAAAACCCCCGCACCACTAAGAAATCCATCCTACTCTTCTATTTAAAGTAATCAATGATTTTATCATCCACTCACTAATTTAACAAAATAAAATTTAGTATGAATGAACTGAAGAGATGGTTTGAACCGAATCAAATAAATTTGAATCAAAGAATAACCAATAAGAATCTAAAAATTGCTAACCATACTGTACTTTTTGTTACTTCTTTAACACAACTCTTTCTTGTCCCTGCTAATTCTATACGCCTCCGCTGCCACAAAAGATCTAAACAGGCCCTTGGCAAAACCGGAGAAGACAAAGTCGACACGGAGAAGATAAAGCCGAAACCGAAAGAATCAGTGAAAGTGGTCGATCGATTTGCGGACTTCAATAGATAACTGGAGAGAGTGACCTGCCTCCAAACAAGACCGGTAATCCAAAAGTTCTTCGTTCAACTTTCGACTTACTCCCCGTAGCAAAAAGACAACACAAAAAGAGAGAAATAAAGGGAACTCTTGCCGTTGATTCACAGTTCGTAATCCATTCTTCCCAAATCGCAAATTTTGCAGCAAAAATAAACCCACATGCTATTTTCAAAATAGACCTGAAGCTCTAAAAGATCGATAACATGAAGCAAAAGCAGAAAGAGGTGGAGGAAAGAATTGGAAACATGAAAATTAATTTTAAAAACAGAAGAATTCTTTGGATTTGAACAAAGAATGCCATGTGGAAGAAATGGACTATATACAAAACGGCAACCGAACGAGGCCACGAGGTAAAAGGAGCGAACTACCCAAATGGAAGAAGAAGGGGTCCAATCACTTATCGCCACATCACTAAAAGGGAGAGACAATTTGGAAGAAACCGTGCCAAGATTTGCCATTCCCCCTTTATATTATGTAGATAATGATTAACCGCCTTACTTAGCTAGCTAATGACTAATATTCCCCTCTATATTTACAAACTAGACTAAGACTTTGAACTATGTACATTGAGGCCCTGAATCAGAAAACTTATGTACATAACCATATATACAGCACATCAACATCAATCCCCATCTTGCTGTGAATATTCTTCAGCCCCCCTCAAGATGGTACTTGATGCAAGTCAATCAAGCCCAGCTTGTCCAAGAAAAGAGAGAACTAAGGAGCAGAGAGGGATTTTGTGAAGCAGTCTGCTAGCTGATCACTGCTGCTGACATGGAATAGATGAAGAAAGCCGGCCTTGAAGTAGTCCCTAACAATGTGACAGTCAATTTCCAAGTGCTTTGTGCACTCATGGAAGACTGGGTTTTCAGTTATATGCTGAGCTGCTTGATTATCACGGTGCGAGGGAATGGGAAGAGCAGTGGAAACGTGAAGATCATGGAGAATGTAGGATATCCATCTCAATTCTCTGGCTGTGTGACCAAGACTTCTGTACACAGCTTCTGCAGATGAGGCTGAAACAGTGTCTTGTTTCTTTGTTTTCCAGGAAATGAGGCAGCCACCAAGAAAGATACAGAAACCGGAAAGTGATCTTCTAGTAACCTGACAAGTTGCCCAATCTGAATCATTGTAAGCAACAATATCAAGGGAAGTAGAAGAAGGATAAAATAGACCCTTAGATGGAGACCCTTTCAGATATCTCAGAACATGCAACAATTGCATGTAATATTGTAAAGATGCAATTGTGTGTCTGATGTCACCTCTACTGGCCTTTGTTATCAGCTCAAGTTCCTCTGCACTTATTTCACATTGCTCCCTGGAAATTCTTGAAAGGGTTTTCCTCAGGGAATTTGTAGTTATCAGGTAATATGCTACCTGAAAAATTGCACCTGAAAAAGAACCTGAAGGTATTCATGTACTGAACTCATGGCAAAAATATATGAAATGCAACCTTACAAGCCCCGGCTTCCTGGAGAAATAGCTGCAACTCTTCCCATAAATGCATGCTATATATACTTGTGGCTTCAGTGTTGCCAAAGTCTTGAAGAATAAAGCACAACACAGATCATCAACATTTGCTGAGTTGGCATCAGAAGGAATTACAGGTGAAAATGTTAGCTTGACTTCTTCCACATGTGTGCCTTCCTCTTCACGTTTTCTTGGATCCCAAACATATGCACGTGATGATTACACACAGCGGCAAGTTGCAGCTGATCCTGCTGAGCTAGCAAAACCGAAAAATCATCCAGAAAGTTCGACGAAAAACTGGAAATGCTATGAACCACCTTGAAGCATTGCAAAGAGTCCTTCAGTTGTAATTATTTGAAGTCGGTTTTCATTGAAGGTTCTATATCATGTCCTTAGTTGTAAATGTGTTTTCTTTTCTGTTTTTCCATGCTCTATAAATAGAGTACTGTACAGACGAGATTAACAGAAGAAATACAGACAAAAATCAGTTTTTCAGAAAATGGAAGAATGCTTCCTGTTTTCATCGTTGCAGATTCTGCTTTAAAGTCATCGATTAATATGTCTGTAGGAACAGAGACAAATTGAACAAGAAGATGCAAGCACCCGCGGAGTCTTCCATAGGCGACTTTCCCATTTATAATATGAAGATCATCAATCAGGAGAATGACCCGAGATCCTCCAGAAGCAGATGATGAAATGCATCCATCCTTGCTTATCTTGTCAACAAAAGTTTCAAACTCACCCAGCTTCGAAGTGTAGCTAAACCCTGGTCCAATTTCATTAAGATGGTCAATCCTTTCACAACAAGGAATCAAAATTTTACATTCCTGAAGAAAGAAAAACTACCATTGAACTAAGATGGATTTAGCCCCAAGAAAAGGGAAAATTATTTATAATTTTTTTTTTAATGCTAATTAGTAATTACCAACTAGACGAGACGCAGTACAAATCTATAATTCACATTCTGGATTTTAAATTGAGGGCAGAAGGAAGAACGCGCGGTTTCACACTTTTAACTTGTACGCTGCCTTTATTGGGAGTTAGCACAATAATTCAAACAAAAGCCACTCCGGCAAACAGTTACTAGTGTCCTGCTCATTTTGGTTAACATTGCCGTTGCCGGAGCTTTTTCCCTTTGACGATATACTACTACTACCACTCCCGACAATTTCAAGTCTTCTCCTTTTGATAATATATAGTAGTCTCTTCTTCCAAATTCTATCGTAGAATTATAATTTTCTTACTCGATAATTGATATAATACGGAGACCTCTTAAAAATTTTAAGCAAACTGATGAAAGGGAGATTTGTTATTCACAAATAAGGAAACTAATAACAATCAATAATCTAAAAAAAAAAAAAAAAAGTCTTTGCTGCTTTTTTATATACGCATGGCAAGCATAACTTATACTTTGATGAAATGTGGATTTGGATTTAGATGGTGAGTTATCAATCCAAACTTCAAACGGAGTTGGACTTCATGATATATATTTCTTTTTTTGAATTTTTTAACATGTGGGATAATCAGATCAAACTTAAAACAACTACTAGTCTACTACCTAGAAAATTTGCAATCGCCCCCGATCCAATGCTCCCTTTGCTTTTCTTTTGTAAAAAAACTGGCACCAATACTAGAAAAACTGGCCATTAAAATACAACTTACATTATACTCCCTTCTGGTCGTTAATATAAGGTATTTTGATTTGTCATAAGTTAAATTTAGTACGCATTTTTAATTGACAAAAAAAAACCTTAAAAATATTTCATAACAATCAAGAGAATACAACGCATGTGAAAATATATTTTTAAGGTTTTTTTGTCAATTAAAAATATGTACTAAGTGAAATTTAAGACAAAATTAAAATGTCTTATTTTAAGAACTGAATGGAGTACATGCAATCGACTCTCGGACTAACAGCACAAATGCAATATCCTCCATCATTAATGATGAATCCAGTTTGAAAAACCAAAAAATAAAAATAAAAATTGAAAAGATATGTATTAGAAAGAAAACAATAATCAAATTACATGCTTACATTTCGACGCATTCTATTAAAACCCACCAAAGACCATGTTTGGACCACGTTTCTTTTGTCCCACATTCCTTTAATTGTATGGTGTATTGATCTTGTGGACCTCCTTGGAGATAGTAGTATATCGTGGCTGGCCTAGTTAAGTAAAGTTTTTATGAAATAAAAATGATATTGGAAAGTTTTAGCGACAATGTTTATTAAATTTTATTATGTATTTAATTTAATGAAATTATCTCATGGACAACTCGAATGTAAAATAAATTATTACAATAATGTTTTGATAACGGCTGGATAGCAGATACGTATGTAAAAAAAAAATAATAATAATAATGTTTTGATTTCAAGATTTATAGTAATTTTTATTATTCCTTCATTTAATGAATATTTACTACTGTTAATTTTACATCAAGCGATCAAGGATGTCACAACTCACATGTTCGTGCTTGCTAGTGAATTTGACTGATTTACCCTCAGTACCTACCTCCAATCCGCCACCAATAACGACCCACCACCACCGTTGCCACCAACCACCACCCCCGTCCTAAAATAACAGAAACAAATTCATCATTCATTCATTAATCATAAAAGCTCCATTTCTCAGATTAATCGTTATCTCCTTCTTCCCCGACGACGCCACCCTAATTAATTCCGATGGCGTCTTCCATATTTACAAATAACTCCCTTTCCCTTTCTTTACCCGCCGCCAACAATCACAATCAGAAAGCCATTCCTCGCGATTTCCTCGTCCGGTTGCCAAAGTCGGCGCCTTTATCTTCTCCCTGCCATTTGGAGTTGAAGAGCTCCAGATTAAAGGTTTCTGCCACTGCCAGCCCAGCTACCCCGGTGATGGATCAATCTTCCACCAAAACCACTTCTGCCCCTCCTCCCACCACGGTTGAGGTTGATTTGGGTACCCGGAGCTACCCTATTTATATTGGTCCTGGGCTTCTTGATCAGCCGGACCTTCTCCAGAGGTACTCAAATTGTTTCCATCTTTTAATGAGACTTGTTCTCTAGCTTGGTTTTAGCTTGAACTTTTTAACTATATTCTTTACATTCAGTCATTATGAGAATTGAGATTTTGCTTTTGCTTTTGCTTTTTGATGCTGCTGTTGCTGTTGATTACAATTACTACCCGTGTATCACTCCCTATGGGTTGTTGGTCAAAGCAACTTAAAACGAGGTCTTGCTCTTTTTTTGAGCAATTGAAACTCAAAGATTTATGGGTTCATAATGCCGGGTTTCCCTGTTTGATTTGTCACATTACGCTCTGCAATTTCGAGATTGTAATTTAGATACTTCTGTTTGAGGTTATGACTGCAAAGTGCTTAGCCTGGGCCTCTGCTCTTTCAGAATTATTGATTTTTTTTATAACATGTATTCGGAAGGGAAGAACTCCTGCTCTTGCCATCTGTCCATAAGTTGTGGATTACAATATTTAATGACTTTACTTGCTTCATTACCTTGGTTTCCGCCATTGGTATTCTTGTCCAATTTTGTGATCATTACCTTTTGATTTCTTGCAGGCATGTCCATGGGAAGAAAGTCCTAGTCGTAACCAACACGACTGTTGCACCACTATATCTAGATAAAACAATCAGTGCTTTAACCGCTGGGAACCCTAATGTTACTGTTGAGAGTGTAATCCTTCCAGATGGCGAGAAGTATAAAGACATGGTATGTGTTTTAAGTGTCTGAGGGCCTAATTTTCATGAAGATATTTGAGTCAATTAGTAAGTGTTTTATATCGTTGTTCATAATGCTTTAGGAAACCCTCATGAAAGTTTTTGATAAAGCAATTGAGACACGGATGGATAGAAAATGTACATTTGTTGCCCTTGGTGGTGGAGTGATAGGTGACATGTGTGGCTATGCCGCTGCTTCTTACCTCCGCGGTGTCAATTTCATCCAGATTCCTACAACTGTTATGGCACAGGTTTGCTGGTTTGCCAACTTTTATTTGCTGATTCTGTATTGTACATTTCCTAGTTTCCTTTTGCCACGCATGATATTCATTTTGTTTCCAAATTCTAGGTTGATTCTTCTGTTGGTGGTAAAACTGGAATAAACCACCGGCTTGGTAAGAATTTGATCGGCGCATTCTACCAACCACAATGTGTACTGATTGACACAGACACATTGAATACCTTACCTGATCGGGAACTAGCATCAGGGCTCGCTGAAGTCATAAAATATGGACTTATAAGAGATGCGGAATTCTTTGAGTGGCAAGAGAAGAACATGCAAGCCTTGCTTTCAAGGTAAAATTTTAATTTTTTTCTGCATCTCCATCTTTTAAGTGACTTTTGGTTTGCCTAGTGCTTACCTTTCCCATTGCCATATTCTAGGTGCAAGTCGTCTTCCAGAAACAGACATGTAAAAAGATCGGTGTAGTAAAGGTTTAACTATATTAGCACTAAACAAAATGTGGCAAAAAACAAAAGAAAATGCAAAGGTCTTAACTATCCTGCCACCAAATTTCTATGCATTATACTATTTTATTTATGACCTTTGTTGGTTTAGACCTTGTACAGTTGTACTTCCATTTTTCGTGTGCAATGTATGTGGTGATAAGTTTGGATCCCACTTATTTGGAATTTGATGATGTCACTTATAGAACTGTGTCTCTGCAGGGATCCTGGTGCTTTTGCTTATGCTATCAAGCGGTCATGTGAGAACAAGGCTGAGGTAGTTTCTCAGGATGAGAAGGAAAGTGGATTAAGGGCAACATTGAACTTGGGTCATACATTTGGTCATGTAAGTTCTTAGGATTCCATAACCCAATCAGACTTCCATTTAGTTTCGGATGATTTGTTTGCGTCCTATATGTCTCTCATGCTACATAATCTGATTTTTAGCTTTTGAAATACTTTCATTCTTCTTGACTGGAATTAGTAGTATATTATCCCTTGCTAATAAAAAAATTCCTTTCTTCAGGCAATAGAGACGGGTTTTGGTTATGGTCAATGGTTACACGGAGAGGCAGTTGCAGCCGGCACGGTAATTAAATCATCTTCTTTTTTTAAGATCTCTTGTGCAGTCATGTGGGAGTCTGATTCTTCAGATCCTCAAATGAAGTTATCATAAAGAAATGAAAGGAAATGCCTACACAAAGGGTGATAACGTGTCGTTTATGTTGCAACTTGCAATTCTAAAGTAGAAGCGATTGTCGAATTTTGCAGGTTATGGCTGTAGACATGTCTTACCGACTTGGATGGATCGATGATTCGCTCGTTAAGCGAGTGCATATAATCTTAAAGCAGGCAAACCTACCTACCGCACCTCCTGAAACTATGACAGTGGAGATGTTTCAATCCGTTATGGCGGTAAGAGGGATGAATGCTTAGTTCAGTGTTTTACCATGATTCATACTGGAATCCAATTTGAATTTTTTCTCTCTCTCTCTCTTTTTTTTTTTTGTTGTGTTATTTACTGGATGGCTTAGGTTGATAAAAAGGTTGCGGATGGGTTGTTGAGACTCATCCTTTTGAAAGGTCCTCTGGGTAATTGTGTGTTCACTGGCGACTACGATAGAAAGGCCCTTGACGAAACATTACATGCATTCTGCAAATCCTGAAGCTGGCCAAGTTACCTCCACAACCCCCATTTTTCCGCTAAATCTTTTGTATTTATATTGTATTTACAAATGTATTATGTGTAGATTTTCGCTTAAAAAGATCCGGGTGCTTATCTTATAGGTGATTCGTAACCCTGTAATACCATATGATAGAATGTAATTCATAAACCCCACCTCGCCGGATGGAGAAATGGGTGTTGTAGAACAAAGGATTTGCTTTCTTTTGTGAAGTATCTTCAGTCTCATCAGACTCTCAGGTCATATCCAATTAGCCATAGTTTTTTCATTTTGATTCAATGGGGGACAAATGTGGAGCTCTAGGTAGATGCTGAATTCTGACAGGTTCGTGTTTTCAGATAATAGTGCGCACTTTCATTTTGAAGTCCTGGACTCAGAATCAAACTCGAGAAGCGGAAAACCACTACACATTGGTGGTTTGGTACTTGGTACCTACTATAGAAATGGAGGGAGAAAGAGGAGGGAAACATTTCAAAGTATGCGCTTTTTTTTGTCTTTTTTTTTTTCCCCACTGGTAAAAGCAATACTCTTTTCTTCTCTTCTGATCTGCATTTACAAATTCAGTGTTTGTAGTTTGTACTAGTACATGCGAACGTGCGTGTATTTTGAGATTTTAGAAAGAAGGTAATAGTATAATGATGGACTGGAATCACTGCGACTGCTTCTCCTTGTATTCTTTCTTCTTCTTTTTAGACAGAAGAAAACACTAATATATGGGAACATGATGATTAAAATAAATTTGATTCATGATCAAGTTGAGCAACGATGTTGGACGTGATAAGCACTTGTCATTGATTTTTACTTCAGCCTTCAGTGCCACTAGCTACTACTCTTTCGTTCACTAAATCCAATATTATTTTTAGGACGGAGGCGGAAGTAACATTTAGTAGTGGCGTTTGTTGGTTCAATTGGAATACTAATTACTAATGATGTGATGTCTGAACCAGATTTTCCTAACTATACTAAACTTACCTTTTCCCGTATGAAAACTATGCTGATTGCATATGGTCAGAAAAGGGGAATAAGGTACAAAATTGGTAGGAATTGTTTTTTGAGGCCACACTGACCAAATTTCTGGCCAACCCCCACTGTTCCTCCTACTGACTTCAGTTTAGATACTTAAAACAATCTGGTAAATTCAGATTAACTATAAAGCCTTTTTTTATTGGCACAGCAAACCGCGGGCTTTGGGTATGATACATCTGGGAAATTTTTATTTTTTTTCCTTCAAAATATAGCCATTAAATTAAAATTCAAACGAATAAGAGATCAAGATTGTCCATTTTAAAAACTTCTAGCTCCTTAACCTTAATGATGCATAACTACAGTAAAATCTCATAAATAATTATTGACCTGTGTCGTGTTAATTATTATCAATCTTACCCATTACAAGAACACGAAATACAGTAGCTGTTTTTTTCCTGCAGAAGTTCCGCCAAAATTTCTTTTGCCATTCCATCCGAAAAGGAATAACAAGATAGTTTCCAATTACTATTTCAAAAAAAAAAAAGAAAAAAGAGAAGATAGTTTCCAATTACGAAAGTTATGGCCCATTTAATCCATGTTTGTTAAAAATGAGGGAAAACATTTTCCCCCAAAAAGGAGGGGGGCGAAAATAATAATTCCAGCTAAAAATGATTTACCAAATAGACCAAAAGATATTTAATTCAAAACCACCCTAATTTTATAGAAAAAAAAATTCCAGAAAACAAAAATAGACAGGAATAAGATTACAAAAAGAGATAAAAAGTAAACAATTTTGAAAAAAGGAAATAAAAAAGAAATCCAAAAACGGGGTAACCGGGTCCCACGTAGTGATGAAATCAGGTTAATAAGCCGCTGCGACAAAGGCGTTGAGAAATGGCCAATTAGACCCACTCGGAGTACGGCTTCTTCGTTGGCATTCAAACAAAAAAAAAAAAAAAAAAAAATTGGAAGAAGAAGAAGAAGAAGAAGCAGAGAGAGAGAGAGAGAGAGAGAGAGAAGAGAGCGGGGTTATAGTTGGGGGGTAAATGGTGTTGTTGGTCATCCAGAGGGAACGCTTCAACGGCATTATTTCCCGGCTAAAAAAGGTATCTTTCTCTCATTCGCATTTTCACAAACACCTCACCCACTTCTTCATTTCCTCCCCTCACCCCTCCCTTTCTCTCTCTAGATCTCGATCCCTCAATTTTTTTCCCATTTTTTTTTTTTACTATCCCTTTTTCATTTTGTTTGTTTTTTCTGTTTGGTTCTCAGTTTCCCATCCCCCCACATTGTTCTTCCGATTTTTTTCCCCTCTTCTTCTCAATTAGGGTTAGGGTTTTCTTACCTCCGGGTTCGTTTTTTTTTTCAATTGTTTGTTCTTTTTTCTTTCTTTTCCGTTTGCATATTACAGATGCTGTGATTTGGAGGACGGAAAAAGCAGAAGATTTTGTGGCGGAATTAGAGATATTAGCACGAACTTGATCAGGTCTTCTCAGAAGATCTGAGCAATCGGAGGTGGAGTGGGCGGTTAGATTTTGAAGAGTTTTAAGAAAATTAAAAAGAAAACTTGATAAATTGTTGGGTTGATTTTTACCGCCAAGGGGTGAAAAAATGAGCGCGTCGAGGTTCATAAAATGTGTTACGGTGGGGGATGGTGCGGTTGGCAAGACTTGTCTCTTGATTTCTTACACCAGCAATACCTTCCCCACGGTTAGCATTGCTTTTTCCTTCCTGTTCCTGCTTTGTTTTCTTCAATTGTGTGATTAACTTTTAATCTTTATGGGCGAATTTCCCAATGTACATTTTGCTTGCCGGCCTTCTTCATATAACATCATGCTCAAGAATTCGGGATTGATTTTGGGGATCATATGACGTTAATATCTATCTGTATTTTCTGTTTTCTTTGTTAGGCTTTACCAAGAGAGGCAAAAACAATGATTTATCTCAAATTTACATATTTGTGGTTGTTACCTTATAAAGAGATGGGTTGGGAGAGTTTTTAACTATCATCATTCAGCTCCTGGTGTTGGTGATTCTTTTTAAGTTTGCATAATGTGCTTACCTCCCTATTAAGAACAGAACTTCTGGATTTGTGGTTATCTCAATATACTTTGAGCAACCATCTGTGATGATGTATATATTTAGACCCAATTAATTACCCTTCCTAATGCTCAACAGGACTACGTGCCAACTGTGTTTGACAATTTCAGTGCAAATGTGGTTGTCAATGGGAGTACCGTAAACTTAGGATTGTGGGATACTGCTGGTAATTATTTGAATTATTACATCTCGTCCAGATGCTTATCTGCATAAATTTAGCTTGTTAATATTCTATGCGAAATTTAATCATTAAGACTTTTGTTGTTATTTATAACAGGGCAGGAAGATTACAATAGATTAAGACCTCTGAGTTATCGTGGGGCGGATGTTTTCATTTTGGCATTTTCTCTCATCAGTAAGGCTAGCTATGAAAATGTTTCCAAGAAGGTAAGTTTGTGACTCTACTTTATGGATTCAAGTTCCTTTGTTGTCACCTCTTATACTTCCTCTCATTTGTGGCCAGCAAAAAATAGTTACCTAACCAGTTCTCTTTCTCTCTTTTCCAGTGGATTCCTGAGTTGAAGCATTATGCCCCTGGTGTCCCAATAGTTCTGGTCGGAACTAAACTTGGTGAGATTTATTTCCATTTTGGCTGGGTTGGATTTGAGGTTGTGGCTTTACTAGGCCAAGACGAGTTTGATTTTATCACAGAATATAGAGAAATGCTACTGTTCATGTGGACTGAAGTACTATATATCTATAATTCATTTTACTGATGCTTACTTTATACCCCCTTAGTGATATTTTCTGTGGGTTATGTTATTGAGGGAAAAAGGAATATTACAACCTAGAACACTTGGAACTTATGTTGCTTGATTTTCTGTGTATGAGCAGTGTTTTAATTAAGGTTGTTAAATCATGTTGTCTTATATCATGCTGTTTCATACCACCAGATCTTCGAGATGATAAGCAATTCTTCATCGACCATCCTGGTGCTGTGCCAATCTCTACAGCTCAAGTATGGAGTGGATGTAATCTTGTTTTTCTCTATGTATATGGGATCACTTTCTGATTTTTCTGATATCAAATTGCTCTGATTGTCAAGGGAGAGGAGCTGAGGAAAATGATTGGAGCACCTGCCTACATTGAGTGTAGTTCTAAAACACAGCAGGTGAAGTTTATATTTATTTGTTTTTCTTTCCTCAGTATATGATACTATACAATGAATTGCTGAAGCAGCTTTTTGTGTAAACTTTGCTGCAGAACGTGAAATCCGTTTTTGATGCTGCTATCAAAGTTGTTCTCCAGCCACCCAAGCAGAAGAAAAAGAAGGGGAAGGCTCAGAAGGCGTGCTCGATATTGTGATTTAATAACAGATGATAGATGTCACTGCCCATCTGGTTCCCTAAGTTGCTCGTATCTCTTTCACTTTCCTTTGACTCAGAGGAAGTAGGAGGTCCTGTCTCTCTAGTGAAGAGAAGATACGTTGATCTATCTGTGAAGTTTCAGGTGGCTTGGTTTTTTTTTGTATCCCAGTGATCTCTAACTATTGAGTCACGCTATAATGTAGGTCACTGCTTCGTTGTCCTCCTTGTTTTGTTTTGCTTTTATGTATTGAAAGATCAGAAGATCCAGTTAGGAAAACAAATTTGCTTCAATTTAGTCCTTTGCTCGCATCTTTGTTATTGGTTCATTTCTATATAAAAAAGCTAGACTGTTTGATTTTCTTAATGAAACTTTATGGTCTTGACTCTTGAAAGGCAATTATGCACAAGTGATGGGACTCAAAACATGATCAAATATGAATTTGTTTCTTCTTTAGGGATGTATATACGTTTTGATCTTTTCCTCCCGATGAATTCGAATTTGAATTTGTATGTGATTCGGCCTATCCTTCACGCAATCTTTTGGATGGTAGATATTTTGTGGGATTTTTTTTGTTGTGCTCAAAAAATGGGATAAAAGTTGTATTTTTGAATATTAAAAGTTGTAGGCAGTATTGTATTTCGAATTCTTTGTGGTGGGGTTTTTTTAAAATTTTAATTTTGAAAAGTTTAGGTGGGTTTTTTGAATTTTAGAAGAGAAAGAAAAGGGGTTGACCACCAATCTCTATATATATTCTCTTGGCCATAAAAGTGAAATCTTTCGGAATGTGAAATTCCTTTCATTCCAGGGAGCTTTGTGCACGAATTTTATTATTAACCAAATATATTTATTACAAATTTGCAAAACGATTTGATTCCAGGAAGAGATACGTCTTTCAGGAATAAATTTATCGACGCGGACGCAGCCATACCAGATTTAAGAAACTTTTTAATTATTCCTAACCCGTGTGTATTCATCAAGGTTCTACCTTGCTAATTACAAAATTTACTTGTTATAGTTGACAACAAACTCGAATAAATTCCAAAAAAAATATTTTGAAATATTTAAGTTGACTGATGACTTATGTGTGTACAATGGCGACATATGATCTATATAACTGACCTTACATAGTGACAAAAAAAGATCATTGTTGTTAACGTGGTTGATAAATGATACTTCTTTCGTCCCATTTTGATATGTCCATTGTTCTACTCCATTTTGATATGTCCATTGTTCACTATATTAGAGTGACACGGAGAGAGTAGTATCTTGATAATGGCCATTGGGTTGGGGGGAAGGAATGACAATGTAGCGCTGAAGAATATTGTCCGCGTACAACTAATGGAATTTTTAAACAGAATGGCAATGGCTGGCTGGGTGACTCTAATTGGGGGGTCCCGGTCCCTATCTACTTTGTGCGCAATGGAGTTGGAATCTAATGCTTTGCATACCGACGCTTACACAGAAGCTGCTCCACTGTTTCTGTGATCATCTATTCATCTGGCCCTCATGGTACAATATATATGTATAAATACACACAGACACACACTCACATTCGTGGATATCCACAGACCATATCTTCTTCTTCTTCCTCATCATTCTTAACAGTCACAGTTGAAATCCTGTTGGTCCTCAGTTGAGATTATTTTTTGTTGAAGAAATGGCATCCAGAAGAATTCTCAAGGAGCTTAGAGACTTGCAAAGAGACCCTCCTACTTCATGCAGCGCAGGTAGTACTACACATACTTTCTTTCTCTCCATGTAACTGAACTGATAAAAATAAACTTTATTGATCTTCTTCTGAGTGAGGATGGCTGTGATAATTGGTTTATATTATATGCAGGGCCTGTAGCTCAGGACATGTTCCACTGGCAAGCAACTATAATCGGTCCGAACGACAGCCCTTATGCCGGTGGCGTTTTCCAAGTTACCATCCATTTCCCTCCTGATTACCCCTTTAAACCCCCCAAGGTAAGTACACCAGAGCAAATCAGCTTTTCCCAATTTCCTGGATGACATTTGGCACTCATCACTTCCATAAATTCAACGTGTTTGTAGGTTGCATTCAGGACAAAAGTCTTTCATCCCAATATAAATAACAACGGAAACATCTGCTTGGACATCCTAAAGGATCAATGGAGCCCTGCACTTACCATATCCAAGGTACGTCTTGCTTATTTTACGTTTTCTGGAACTCAGTTTTATTGTCTTCATGATCATGGGTTTTGAGAGTTTTTTTTTTTTTTTTCTCGATCTGATTGGCAGGTTCTTCTATCCATATGCTCGCTGCTCACAGATCCAAACCCAGATGATCCGCTTGTCCCAGAAATTGCTCATATGTACAAAACTGACAGAAGCAAGTATGATTCCATGGCCCGCGGCTGGACCCAGAAGTATGCCATGTGCTGATGCAGCCTCAAAATTTCAGCAAACACATCATCTGAATTCTTACTCCCCTTTTAATATCATGTCAAAACTTGTAACTGATTCATAGTTTTCTTCTGTGCTATGCTCAATTTTTAAGGTTTCTTCCTACAAAGTGTGGTAAAAACTGGAAAAGACACTGCCATGATAGTCAAATTTTGAATAAATGATATTCCTTCATCATAAAGAAGTTTCTAATTCTCTAAACGTTTGGACCATTTCCCTTTGCTCACATCCAGAATGAAGAAGAATATTTCCATTCTATGGATGTGCACTAACACTACTACATAAACCAAAAGCAGATAAACCAAAACAGTGCTAGACAAACTGCAAAACACAATTATGCAGACTCGCCGAAATATTTGTATCTGCATTCAGAGAAATAGAGAAAAAGGATTATCAATAATCCCAGAGCATTACACCAAAGACATTCCTATTATTGAAATCATCCTAGCTAAGTTGTATTGTCTGGGAACGTTAATATACACGATTCTCCGTATGTTGAAAAACCTAAAGAATGATTAGAATCCAAAACCTAATGATACACGGTATACCAAATGTAGCAGTCAAATCATCTTCTTCACTGGAAAAAGCTTTATGGAAGGAAAATCTTCCCGATCCCAGATCCACAACATTACAAAACTTCTATGCATTAAATACAGGTCACAGCTTAATGGCTTCATATCTTTCGCCAACTGCACCACCCTTGTCTTTCTGGAACTGGATGAACCGCAATGTACTTGCAAAGAAGGCATCTGCAGTTGGATCACTCGTTGAATTCTCACCTTGCATTTCGTTTGTTATCAATTCAATCAAGCTCTGGACCGATGCAACTGTGATCTGTGTGACCCCCTTCTCAAAGAAATAAAGATATCTGCGATTTCAACAGGAAAATTCAATCAGAGACATGGAATTAAATGTTCCAGAGTTCAAGACTAAGGAAATAAAATAGACAGCCATCAAAATTCTACACAAGACAAACTAACTTGTTCAGTATTTCAATGAAGAGCAAGACAGATCCACTGCTGCCACGGGTTGCATTGGCCATTTGTTGAACGGCATTCGCAATTCTTAGAGCACGTTTTAGGCAAAGTAACACCCTGGAAAAAAAAATTTGAAAAAGTAAATTAGAGGGTAAAAACAAATGAACAGAAAGAGACTAGTGTTACACACAAATTTGCATATTTCATTGAAAAAACCGATTGACATGCACAGCCCTTTTTCCCATATGATATTCAGATAGTCATGACAAAAACCACAGTGCCTATGTTTGAACCTCTTAAACTACAAGCATGTAAATGTTCATTTACCTCTCCCCATCCTTGATACTATCTTGATCATCTACCCAGAATAGATGTGAACAAGCATATACAGCTCTGCACTGATCCGGTTTCTTCAGAAGTTTTGCTGAATACTGAATAGAACATGAATAACATAAGAGAATAAGCTAATTAACAGTCCAATACAGTTGAAAACATGTGTTTTAAATGTCTTACCCCGGTGGCCTTGTGTGTCAAAGTATCCCTATTCTCCACGCCAAAGACATGCATCCTTTGAAGGGTCCCAATTATCAGGTGCATAGCAGTTACTTGTGATTTGGAGTCCTACCAAGTTAAAACACAGAAGAAAGAAATGAGAAAACTCATTAACAAAGCACACTGCTTCAGGCTCCTTAAATATATTTTCACCCGAGGTATAATAAACCCTGAAACAATTAACACTGGATTTGGAGGAGACAAACAAGTTATTACCGAAATTTCTTCTTCATATAGCAAATAAGCTTGGGTGAAGAACTCATAGGCAACAGGTTCTAAATCACAATCATCAGCAGCCTGAGATGGATTACAAACGGACATGTCAGATAAAAGGATAATCTAGCATTCCGGGCGCAACTCTGATGATAAGTATATGTACCTCAGCACATTGCAAGTATAGTCGCAGTGCTAGTTCAGGCTTAGGCACGCTTGACAGAGCCTCAATTATCTGGCAAAAAAATTAAAAAGGAAAGTAAATATAGGTTAACAATCAAATAAGGACCATTTCACAAAAAAAAAAAAGAATTCGAAGTCAACATAAACATTTTTGATAGGTATGAATAATATGAACATGATTTACAATAGAACAAAACTTCATGAAAGCTCACAAAGATGAGGATAATGACACATGTAAATCAGCAAACTGTGGTGTTCTTGACCACTAATGTTATTCACCTGATTTAATAGTTGAAAGATTTTCCTAGGTGTAGCAGAAGCATCTTCATCAGCCACAGTTTCCTCCTGATTCTGTAGCCGCCTGATCAACTGCATTTTCCAAGGAAATATAAGGAAGTTGCAACAGGAAAGTAAAGTTGTTCCAGAAATGGTACAGGCACAGACAAATACAACTCCAGCTACAAAGGTTGACATTAGAACATGCTTATCATGATCATCCTCATTTAATGAAAGGCAGGTTTCAGGTCTAACAATTGCATATTTCTTATCTCATCCTCCAAGCATCATCTTCTCTATTCCATTTGGTTTCAGTGTCATACAATGATTTTTGGCAGATTCACCAGACTTCCACCACAGCTATATTTATTAGATAATTAAGTATTCCAAATGCCTTGAAGATAAAGGACAATTACTTCAGGGGCGCAGGCAGTATAAATATAACCTTACAAAATGCCTCAATATTTATGTTGAACTTACGGCAACTTTCTCTAACAGTTTGAAGTGCTGTCCACATTGGGATGGACCCTTCATTCTCTTATATTTTTATTTATTTTCAGGATTGTTGCAGCTCTCAGGCAGTCTCAGAATACATCCACCAATTGAATAATAGGAATGAGGAGCGAAGTAATCAATAACTTTCGACAAATGTAAGACAAATATTTCTAAAGTGCTAAACAAAAACATCAACTTAATCATGTGGTAAAGGGACTCTTTAGACTGTTGTTTTCCTCTGAATAGTTTTGGAACTATAGAAGTTCAACTAACAAGCAGAATGATCATTTCACACCTCAATGACGAAATAAGAATGTCACCACATACCTTCAGAGAATTGAAGATTAGGGGAGGGACTGTAAAAGGAAGCCTCTTTGCGCCACCAGTCAAAATATGTTTCTTCACTGTAGTAATAATCTGAGAAAAGGAAAACAGAGAGCATTAAATGGTCAACATTTCTAACAGAGCAAACAAGCCACATATTTCTAATTAATAAAACAGTCTATTTATGCCAACCATTATCATTCTGAGCCACTGACAACAGGTAATGATAGATTACAATGTTCTATCCTTCACCCAGCTAACTTAAGAGTAATAAGATAATAAGATTTATAGTTTGCAATTGATTCTCAAAAAGTGATGTAGTTGTCACCTTAAGCATTTCTTCCGGATCATCATTATGAAGCATTTGAATAAGACGTGCAACAGAATTCTGCTCCTCATGAAAGTCTTCTTCGTCAAGCTGTGCATCAAGATGTTGGGTCAAATTCAATAAATCCAGGACCCAAAGCACAATATAGCAAAGCATGAATAGAAAAAATTTCTGATTACCTCAAGAAGATTCTCCTCTAAATCCTTGATGAGTCCCTTTATCAATTCAAATAGTGCCTCAACCTACAGAAAATAAGTAAGGTCGCCATGATGTCACTTTCAGTAATATACTGCACTACTCGATGTGCATGGATAGGCAAGTACCTTCTCAGAAGTAGAAATTAATGACTTGTTTTTCATGATGCTTTGGATTATCACACTGGCCATCTCCTTCTTTGTTCCATCATCCAAGTACTCCATCACATTGGGATAATTAGAAAGCTTCAATGCAGTATCTATATCATTATATTTCTCTAATGGAGCACTAAGAAGTGCAACGATTTGTTTTCTTGATTTGTTATCTTCAAGCTTTCCTTTCCCAGAAAGTTTCTTAACACATGCACCCTGTAGACAACACAGTCACAAGCAAAAGGCGCTGATTCAGCCCTGATATCATAATGCCATGATCGCGACTCCATCTGAAAAGATGACTCACCAATATTTGATCCACATAATCAAGACGGTCAGGATGTACTTGGAGAGTGAAAGTCAGAAGGGAAGAGTATAAAGTTACAACTCCAAAAACTGGCATGTCATCTTGTGCCTCAATAACCTGCATTATCCATCAACATAAGCATAGAAGACATTTGAAATACACAGACCATTTCTTGGAAGAGAGAAGAAAGAAAAGCTAAAAGTAAATTTCATGTACTTATAAAACCAATAAAAAATGTTTCAAAACAAATAGGAAGAGGTAAAATGTTCAGTTCAAAAGAAACAAGGGCTGAACACATAAGATTACAGGACGGTCAAGGATTATGGTTCATCACAACATTCACTGAACCAGAGAAAGGCTTAACGGGGAAAACATGGAACTGCACAGAAGACCATCGACAGTCATTCTACAAGACGGAACATCCTCATGAGAAGATACACGACTTTTATGGAAGATAAGACCAGGACAGACGCAGAGAATTATCTGGTTATGCACCAAAAAGAATGAAAATGCAGAAAACAGGACACAAATAAGTTCTATGTCAGAGCGAGAAAAATCCAGTATTGGTCCCTAACTAAAATTATGAGAAAAAGATTCATTTTTCCATCCTTCCTACAGCAAGTTAGCAAAGAAACAGCAAAAGGGAACAAACAAGAAATGAATAACACCACAGGGCCATGGACTTCAGGAAGTCCTTTCTAAAACTCAACAAAGCTTTAAAAAATTTTGCAGGCACCATATTCTACCTTATGCCTCCTAGTAAATTACAAATTAAAAAAAAAAAAATTAAAAACAACATACTTCCAGGAAACAAAGTAAAAGTACCTTGCTTATGGCACTGCTCAGTTTCGCAAAAGCTTCAACCTGGAAAAATTCGGGCAAAACCTGCAGCCAGAGGAATTTCATGACCATAGAGATATATTGATTGAGATTTTTGGACAAGAGTTCTCTAAGGAAACATCAGAATATAGCAGTATTTGAATTTGAATTTACTCACATCTGCACTTGAAGCAGCATAGTTAGAAAGCCTCTCCATTAGTCGAGAAAGTACCATCTTGATGTCAACAGAAGGCTGGTAAAAGAAAAGAAAAACTGAGAAGAAGGATACTACAAGTAAAGATTGTCATATTTGTAGTTTATCTAAAGCATAGAATCGATTAAGAGGGATCATTAACCTGAAGCTGCGGGAAAGCACCTAACAGAGTTTCAAGAGTCTGTAAGTGATATTCATCAGGGAACACTTGAATTATGCAATCCATCAAGTAACCTTGAGCAATCTCATCCTTACAGTTAACCACCTTGAATAATATTCAGTGCAGACAAATACTGTTAACACTTTGCATCCAAAATAGCAGTTGGATTACTACACCACCAAATAATTACCTGTTCCAAGATCCTAGGAAGTACAGTCTCTCTGTACATATCAAGGTCAACGCCCTCTATCTGACTGAGAACATGTAGGTTCTTCCCCACCTGATAAAGAAGAGAGGATGACTCTTGCATAAGTGAACAATAATCTTCGGCCATCTAGAATCAATGCTAAAAGTTATCCTGGATTAATGATTATTACAAGATCACGAAGCTCGCTCCTTTCTTTTTCCCGTTTCTCCTTCTCCCGAGCAGGTCCCTGCAGACCACAAAGCCCGATTGCGCCTCAACTCATGATCAGCAAAGAGTATGAATCATTGACAAGCAATAAAACACCTGCATGATGACAACCATGCTCTCATGATTTACTTTTACCCTCGGGACATGCAAGCACGCACTGGGCATGTCTAAGCATGAGAGCAGGTAACAGATCCCACTAAATTGTCAACCAACCTGATGTTGCATTCGAACCCAAAGTTTATTCATTTCCGTAAAATTCTGAAGCACAAACTCTACCGCATCAGAAACAGTGTCAGCATCCCTGTAAGTTTGAGAACGAAAAGAAACTTCAAAGTCGCAATGAAGAGAAGCTCATCCATATTCTAAACTCTCATGTTCAGTTATTTTCTATTACGTGGCAAGTATAAATGACATAAAAAAAATTTTAAGAAGTGATTATTCATTCTAAGCAATGAAAAAGTTTTTCTTCCTCATAACCTCAATAAAAAGCTCTTGGGCATAAAGTCCTACAGACAGATGGCAGTGCTTACCCTTCATATTCAGAACCAAGATCAGGTAATTTATCTCTACTAACTTGAGAAAGGTAACTCCTCAAGAAGAGCCCACGTAGAGGATGCTGTATGCCGCGGCTCATTTCTACAAGATCTTTGAGTATATCTTTAGCTGGAGCTTCCTTAGATTTTATGTACACAGAACCAACAGTACAAAGAAGGTACCTAAGTGACATAAAGCAGAAGCCAATGTCACTCATTCAAGTACAATAACTGACGCTTTCAAATCAGATCATCCAAACACTGCAGAATCCCTTTTCTTTAAGTGATCCTTATGACAAAGTTTGGCAAACTAATTAAATAAGAAAAACTCTTAAATGATCGAGAACATTTATTTTCTTTTGTTACCTCCTTTTCCATTATGATCTTTAATCACCGAGATAAGTACTACATCTAACACATATATTTAAGTAGCCTACACTACACAGTAGACCTATTTTTGCTTTTGATATCAACTTCCCCTCCATAAATATAAGCACAAGATTAAGCAGTTCCCAAGTGAAAGAGGGAATAAGTCCAAAGCTAACTTAACAGTTTAATACTCACAATCTGGGCAATATATTGCCAGCGTGCTGCACTAGCTCGTATAACTCAACAACTGAACAGCCTCGCTTGGTCTCCTCCCTGAAAAACATCTCCAGCTTCCTCAATTCATCAAATGCTCGCATGTCTGATAACCAATTCAAGAACAGCATATGAGTAAAATTAGACGTGATAAGGCCATCGATCGGCCGTGGTTAACAACAGGTAAATCAAACAATGCGCAGGAAGACCGAATCCTGATGCAAGATCCGATCAAAGAACGATGAAGACTCACAAAGTTCATAGTATTTCTGAGGAGAAAGCCGCGAAGTTCGGAGTTCTGAAAGCATCTGAGCTGAGTATTTCAACGCATCCTTTAAATTGTTGGAATCCTGCCGCAATTGATCGTAACAAATTCCAATTAGGGTTACTTATCAGGAGGGAGAAAAAAAAAACGAAAGAAACGAAAGATTGATTTCAAATGCATTAAGTGGATAGGAAAGATACCAAGGCGCGATGCATGTAGAAGGCGTTTTGCTGGAGGCCAGTGATGCCGGCGGCCAGCCATTTCTCTTCGTCTTCGGTAACGGCGTGCATCCTTCTATTCCGGTGGCTTCTTCTTCTCTAGCTCCGCCTCTCTGTGTCGGGGAATTAAAGAGGAAATTGATGAGACGACGACGTTTGGGTTTGTGATTTGTCGGAGCAACTACCAGTCAGTCAGTTGAGGTCTCTCCTCTGTTTGATCGCTGACCCGAATAACCCAAAGATTGTTCCTTCCTGTCCTTTATTCTCTTTTCCTTTCTACAAATTCCAAATTTAAAAATCCATTTATATTCGTAGTTATTTTAGTTATTTTTCATAATTACCCCAGCTAGTAATAAGTTGCTCTGCACGTTCGTGCTATTTTTTTATAAAAAAAAAAACAAATTAAATTTTTTTGGGGCAAGTTTGCATGTTTTCTGTTTTTTTTTTTTTTTTCCAATTATCAAGTTTTGGTACAAAGTACAAACAGGTACTTCACTGACTCTGTACTTGGGGAAAACCCGAAAAATAGTCACCGGAAAATCTGCTTCCGTTTCTTCCCATTTTGGATTATCCGAAGAATGCAAATTCCTATAAGATGAAAGCTTATTATGTTTGAATTTGAATGATGAAAAATGCCAATAACACACTCCTTCGGTCTTATAAGTCATTTAGATTTGACTTAAATTTCACTTAATATATGTTTTTCTAATTGAGGAACAAATCTTAAAAATATTTTTTAATAATTAGAAGAACAATGAATGTAAAAATCTTACTGTATATTAAGGGAATTTTTTTCAAAAGACACATGTCAGTTAATTAAAGATTCACGCCAACAATCGAATCAAATTAACCGGGATAATGAATTTCGAATTTCGCAAAGAAGAACATCGACGGCGATAATGATTGGCGATGTTCCTTCCTCAATTTTTTGCAGCTGATCAGCAACATTTTTTGCAGCTGGTCAGCAACAAGGAGAAGAACAAACCAGCGAGCAGCACCAATTCTAACAAAGTGGAAAAATCTGATTCCGGCGATGTAAAAGAAAACGATGAAGCAGACGCAACAAAGCAGTCGGAAAAGACAGCAAGAAGTCGGCGACCAGAGAGGTACGCCAATTATGGACCGAAAAAGCCAACGAGAAAAGAACTGGTAACAGAGACAGTGTGAACATCCGGCGATGAAAGACAACAACTGTAGAATAGAGGTAGCAGCGGCAATAGAAAATCTCGAAAGATGGGGTCATGAGGGTGGCTGGAGAAATGAAGAAGAAGAGTGAAAAATGACGGCGGCTGTGAGGAGATGAGGAAATTAGTGGGCTAGGATTTTGTATTGGGTAATGATAAATTGATAGTATTTTTTTATGTTGAGTAAATTATCATCAATTACCTAAACTACCCTCATATATAATTTAAAGAGAGTTTCTTTTTTCTTTTCTCCCTCCTCCCTCAATCACCGAAAAATCAAAGAAGCATTTAATTTCAGCAAAGGATATTTCCACTTCCATAGCTCTCCATTACAAAATTATGTTGTGACTCCATAATTTATATTATAGTAATAAAATAATCTGAATGTATAACATAATACTTCTTCCGTCCCATAATTATTGTCCGATTTGAAATTTTATTTCTAGTTCAAATTGTACGAAAAGTGAAATCTCAAACTGGACAATAATTTTGAAACCAAGGAAGTATTTAATTAGTCGCCAAATTTATTATTATCAAATTTCTTATTATCATATATATATTTTAAATTTATACTTATATACATATACACATGATGAAAAAATCACATAGTCAAACCGAGATACAAAGTGAAATAAACCAATGACAATCCAATTATTAGCCGAACCAAAATGTTACATTTGTTTATTATTAAACTAATATATAATATTATGTCATCGTACAACGTGCGAAAATAATATTAGTATATTTTTTAAAAAAAAAATTAATAAAAAAAAATTAAGTAAAATTTACTAATTTAGGACAAATCAAAATGTAAGGATCAGAGGGAGTAACACGGTAAATTTTATCAGAATATGATTCCAATAAATATGAATAGTACGGACCATTATTAAAAACTGTCAACAGTTGACCGCTGTTACAAATGTTATGTAATCCATCTTGTAGATTAATGAACAAATAATGGTTACGATATTTTAATTCAAGTACGTACTCTATGATTCCAGTCACACCGAGTTTAAGTTTCAACCGACGGTATTTCATTTCCCCATAATCACTTCATCTCGGGACATCCTTGAATCTATTACGGTCTAAATTATGATGAAACTTGAAAGTACTTGCATTCCTCTTGCCAAAACATACAGGCAAACACACGCTAATAGCGTAGCATAAAAGCTTCTGAATTGTACATATTTTTACAACGTACGTCAATGCCCACCCGAGGTTTCAGAGATACTATCAACTGTACTACCTAAGCAAATACTACTAATTAACACAGATATATTACATAGAAAAAAACAGAGTCCGTTTATGGTGGGATTATAAGTATCACATGACGGCGCAGGCGTTGGGGTTCTCATCACTAAACGCGGAGGTGTACTTGACTTCGGTGGAGCTAGCCCGGGCAAGACCCGCAGCCTGCGGGTTGTTGACGACGTTCCTGACGTAACCCGCCGGAGCCTTCTTGTCGTAAACCCCAGGAGCGTACGGATGGTCCACCACGTCGTAGGGAACGTACGGCCAGAACTCCGCCACCTTCCCGGTCCGGTGTCTCACCCGGTGCAACACCTTGTCCGGGTCCACGTGTCCGGTTACCACCAGCCTGTGCTTCTTCGGCTCCACCTCCACTCCGGTTACTCCCTTCATCCCTTCCACCGACTTCCTCACCCGCCGTTCACATCCTTCGCAGTCCATCTTTATTCGTATCTCCACCGTCTGATTCGGGGGAATTATAATTTCAGAAATAAGTAATCAGATGAATTGATTTTATGCATCAAAATTATATTGAACTTCATTTCATTTAATTTAATTTACCTGAAGAGGGCGTCTTTTCAATTTCTTGAGCTTTTTCCTATCACTGTGAGTCCATTCAAACATGTCGGAAAAATGATCAAGAATACCCATTGATTAATTCGGCTATGTCAGAAACCAACAATATTAACTTAATTTTCAACTTTCAACGACCTATAATGAAATTGGAGCCTGAAGGTGTAAGAACAGATGGAAGGTTTGTTGTTTGTTTCTTAACAATGAGGGGCGGATTTATATTTATACAAGTTTGAGAAAGCCAAAGATAGGTGAGGGCGGCAACCTTGCTCACACGTGGGACTGTCTCTAAGAGCCATGTGTCAATGTAAGGGCCGTAAGTGAAATTTCGAGGAGTCCGAGGCTTATCGGGTAAGTATACGTAACATTGTAGTAGTAGTAGTAGTAGTACATGACCATCTTGAATGAAGGTGAAGGGACTCTTGGTCGTCATGCTAATCCGTTATCTTGTTGACTGCATTGAGGAAACGAAAAGGGGGGATCATGAAACTTGGGCCCTATTGAAGAAATCAGTTGTGATGAATGATGATGCCATCTTTTTTTTATTATTATTATTTTGTAAGCTCCATGGGATTATAATTTTCTTTTTCTTTTGTTTTAGTAGTGTGAGACGATATTTGTGAGACGATATTTTATTTCGGTTGGATGTCAATTGGGATTACGCTAATTGGGTATTAATGACCACCTAATATGATGCATGGAGGTTTTTTCAACATGTTCAATGATGCAATAAATTATTGGGGTAACTCTGATTGGGTATGAAGAAACACCTAACATGGTGGAACAAATTACTAACCCCAAGGTTTTCAAAATGGACAATGATGCTCCGAATATATGTAGTGATCTCATTGGGTAAATTCTGCTCGTCATTTGACGACTTCAATCAAGTTTTTTTGTTGATTCATTAGGAATCTTATCAGAGAGGTTTGGATACATTTTGTCGCATGTTCTTGTTAGAAATAAATATCATCCTGAAATGTATAGTTCTTATTAGATGTTAAACCCGCACGATGTGCGGGTTTAATTCATAAATATTTCTAAAAAAAATTATTTTAATTTTCAAATATGCTAAATACCAATAAAAAATATCGGTATTTATTATGATAATATATGAGTAAAAGTAAATTAAAGTGTTATTCAAAATTTAAAAAAATCGTCAAAATATGATAGTTTTCCTCGATAACTAATATACACATTAAACTATTTCTTTCATTCGATGTTCATTATGATGACCAACATAAATTGTCTACATCTCTTAAACCGAGTACCTTTTTTCATTTTTCAACTTTTTCGCATTATAAATTGATGCAGGAGAAAAATCCACTAATTTTTATACAATAAAAATTTAAGAAAAAGTCACAAACAGTTAAAATAAAACAATAAAAAAGAAATATATAAAAAAATATTGAACCCATTCTCTATTGATCAATTGTAATACACAATGATATTTAAAAAATAAATAAATAATATGGCTTATAGTTTCCATTAAAAAAAACTGTCGATAAGATGGTACATTATTGCCAAGGCAAAGCAGAAGTCAAAATACTAATGTAATAATTCACATAACCAAGAAAAAAAGTTAAATAGAAAAATAAAACACTATTTAATAGTTCCTTCTAAAATAGTACTTGATAAATTTTTCCTATGCTGAAAGCCAATCAACAACAAACGCATAACACGATCAACAACAACCCAGTACTTTAGCATCTGCTTCTCAAATAGCATTCAAATCTGACTATTTGAAAAAACAAGAGTTGAAATTATAAAGAATAAGAGACATTCCAAATTGTCTGGAACAACAAACTCAATTTTAAAGAATGATCTGTCTTTATTTTTTAAAAAAAGAAATCGTTGAGGTTTCTAGTTGTGTATTCAAATTTTAAAATGACGGGAAAAGAATTTGCTAATTCCAAAATAGGTCATTGCTTTTCAAATCTATCTAGTTAATTTTTTGATGAGTAAGGCTTACAATAATGGTGGCAGGCAATAACGCAAGGATATCTGAGCTAAATTTTTTAATATTTCTATTGTTTTTGTTTAAAAATTTGGTTTTTAGCTTATATTATAAAATAATATTTCACACACAACAAAAAATAATAATAATATTTTATTTCATTTCCCAAGACACAACCCCATTTTATGACAATTTAAAAAAATCGCGGTTATCATCTTACTAATTATTAAAGAAAAAGATTTACGATGTTATTATCGTTTGGACGAAACAGCAACAAATTAATTATTACTTTAATTGCAAAAATGATATTAAAAATATATTAACCGATAACATTTATACATATATATGTGTGTGTATTCATATTCCACCAAACTAATAAGTAAAATAATTTCACTGAGCCTATAATACATGAGTGCAATTAATGCGTATCACCAACAACACAAAATTAAAAAGTGCAAATAAACATAGAACGGAAAATAACACTTTTCAAATCTCATAAATTTGAAATTCATTTCTCACTATTTTTTTTCCAGCCGATGTCTTTTTTTTTTTCCTTTTTTAATTTTATTTCTTGAATTTGTGAAGCCCTAATTAAGTTGAGATACTCAAACAAAACCCATCTACGTGAACTCTTCCATACTTATGACGAACTTAAAGAAGTTTCTTTTTGCCCTTAAAATGGCGTCGCATATTCTACTTCTTGTGCTTTTTACTGGAACAGCCATGGCGAATGCACCCATCCTCCTAAGACGGGAACCTGTTTAATAAATAATTATAATCAATTTGCATCAAAAAAAAAAACACCAAATTCATATGTACTGAGAAGTTAAAACAAAATCGTCTTGAAACTTTGGTTCCACACTTCCACTGAAATTATCAACAATCAAATTTCTAGTTTTTATGTATATATAACATGAAATTAAAATATTTATATGCATACCTTTTCTCAGCTTTACAAAGTCAACGCCATATATTCGCATAGCTACGCTTGTCTTGTCAAGAACCTTGCACTGATCATAGTGTTGTATTAGACAACTTGATTTAACATGATTGTGAAATTAAAATCTACATAAACAAACAATAACATCTCTTAATTAAGGTCACATGCATCTTACAATGGTTATGACTGAAGTTTCAGTATACGATAACCGCGCTCATATGAATGAGACTGTTGATGTAGATTGCAGCCAGGGGTTGCATACGAAGAATTTTTGTTGAGAGATATGTCTTCAAAACGCTTCTGGGGCAACTCATATTTACAATGGTGATTTTTATAAGGGTTGGGAGATAATAATCAGAAATTACGCATGAAACCCTAATATATTATTGTCATATATGATAAGATTTCGCAACCAGTACTGCTCATCTTAGTTTGTTTCATCTCATCATTATTATTAATTGGGTCGTTAATGCAATACATCTTTCAAATTTTAAAATAGTATAGCAGTTACCATATTATTTATTTTGAGTTTGATTGAAATATTAATGATGATTGATTTTCATAATTGATTGTGTTCTATTTCATCTTAAAATTTGAATATATCAATAAAAGACATTAAAACATTAATTCCTTAAAATTTGATTTCCCTATTTTAAATACAATTTTTAAAATTTCAAATTTATTTCTTTTATTATAAAATATGAATTCGGTGCATTAATATAATCAATATCAGAATATTCTAGCATCACACTATTATGCGGGGACTATTATTATAAATATTAAAACTTTTTTTAAAACCATTGCTTAAGAGATTGCCATATAGGATAAAATCCTATGTGGCACCTTTAGAAATTTTTTTTTGTTTCTCTCTTAGTATAATAATGTATATATATATATATATATTATAGATGTGGATTATATATGTTTGTTTTTGAATTTCAAATCAAATCAGATTGTATAATGAAAAAAATTAATTCTTACCTTTTTTGAGTGACACATAATGAAAGATTTGAAGATTTTCCGTTTTTATTTCATCTCACAATTACAAAATAGAAAGTTTTTGTTGATTATGTTTTTTGCTGATTTAGTGGGTTTGTTAATTAATGGTTCATATATTCAATTAATTTCAAATTGGTAAAAATGAATAACTGAAAATTTAGAGGACATTTGGTGTAATTGTTGAAAATAATTTTTGTTGAAACCAATTAGAAACTGACACATAGGATTTTGTCCTATGTGTCAACGTGGGAAGAAATTTGATTCCCTCTCTCTGGTTTCTCTCTTAGTATAATATATACTATAGATGTCTTGTCCCTTAAATACATTGATTACTACTGCAAAATATACATAAATTTTCAATATTATACTCCCTCGGTCCCATAATTATTGTCCACTTTGCCCCAAAAATTTTGTCCCAAAATTATTGTCCAATTTGACTTTTTATGGATCAAGTTACACCTTTGTCCTTAGTAAAAAACATTATCCATAAAATCTTAGTGGTTAAACAATTACTTATGTAGGGGTATATCCAGTTGTTGAAGGTAAAATATAATTAAATTTGACCAAAAATAAAATTTTTCATTTTAGTAAAACTGGACAATAATTATGGGATGGCGGGAGTACTTTTATTCCATTTTTCACTATATCAGTTTACACTCAAAAAATATAATAAAATGAAATAGTTTTAGTACCATCATAAATTCAAATTAATTACATTTTAACACCAAAAAGTGTAGTATTACACAATATAAGAATTCTTACACCGCATAATATTATCACACTGAACATAATGATAAACAGTACTCCCTCCATTTCAAAATGTAGGTCGTTTCAGGTTTGGAGAAATATTTTAAAATATAAGTCGTTTTAGGATTTCAAAGCAAATTATGACGGACTTCTCAACTTTGCCCTTAATAAATAATGCTAACTATTTTTATTCTAGTATTGATTATTGTTTCAAAACAATAAATGATGGGTAAAATAGATATTTGGTAGACAAATCAATTGTTAAAAATAGTTGTCTACTTAGTTTTCCTGCAAAATCTAAAGTGACTTACATTTTGAAATTGAGAGAGTATAATAAAGAGGTTATTTACTTGTTATTTATCACTATTGTGGATGCTCTTATTTATCCGAATATCCGATAGTTTAGTTATTACTACTACAAAAATAGATTATTCTTCTTCTTCGGGAAAAAGAAAAAATGTTCAAAAAATACTACAAAAAGATATAGTTTCTCTTAGTCAAAATTAGGTGTAGTAATAAAGTCCAAATAGAACTATACTTTAGTCACATACTCCGTATCAAATTAGAGTACGTACTCTGAATACAAACTGGAATGTAAAACCGAGTATTGATGGAATTATAAATCCCACCATTCCTGCCTCCACAGTGGACTCCGATTCTTGTAAATTCTATATATAAATTATCACGTATTAGCTCTGTCTCAACATTATTGTCAAATTTAGTTTTTCATTTTTATAAACTGAACAAACAATAATTTTGATACATAGCAAACATTAGCGAAATACAGTTTGACGAAATATTTCTTCTTCTAATCAACCAATGGGAAAGAAAGCAGTATCATCAACTGGAGGAGCTACAAAGAAAGCATCATCGTCAATGCGGAAGAAAGCAGCACCGTCATCATCACCGGCAACAACAACCTGGGCATCAGGAAGAATAAGAAGAAGAGTACTGTTACCTTGCTTGTTTGTTGTTTTGGGGACTTTATTCCTCGTACCAGGAGGTTTACTGTACTTGGGATCACCAAGAAGATAGCCCGAAAGCGACTTTGTGGAGCGCATGTGTCACCGGCCACCGGAGGCGGCGTTAAATCCATATCATCCTACGCCTTCGACGGGAGCAAGATACTGTCTGAAGAGGCGATACGATCCGGCATCCTTGGCACCCGACGAGATAAGCACCGAGAAAGATATCCTCTTCTGTCGATCTTATTTCCGAGGCGTTGAATACATCTTAAACTCTGCCGTGTGGTTCCCGACTACTTCATTGATAACTTGCGACGATTCGTTCCCAAATTCAACAACGACACCGCCTTGAGTGAATACCTCTGTTTATAATTGATAGAATGGCCCGTTCTTATTTAGGCATTCCTTGTCGACTTTCACCCAGGCCTCATGTAATACTAGCAACCTAATTTCCAAATTACTAATTACAAGGGGAATTCTTTTTTGTATTCTTATTGCATTTTTTTCCCCCTAATGGATGTGCTTCTAGTACCATTCAATCAATTGGGGCAATTTTGTAAATCATTCGATTAAGCCGCGCCAAAAGGATGCTCTTAAGTATTAGTATAACGTACCGTTTCTTCTTTACCAATTTCAATGTCAAGTTGATGTGCATTACATTAACTCAATGCTCAAATTCCGTACATCTACCTAAACAAATTGATACCTACACTACACTCTGTACTCGTCTGAATAAAAATAAATAGCTTCCTTTCTTTAGTATCCAAATGAATATATGAAGCATTTCCAAAAAGAAAAAACTACTACTATTTCCAAAGATTAACCATACGTATAGACACAGTTATGAAAAAAATAATACTAACACCAGGTGGTGAGGGAAGATCATGAATCGGAGCGGTTGGAAAGGGGTGAGCCTTCAATTCCATCGTTCCAACCTTGGTAGAGATAGGGTTTACCGGAGATTGTATCAACCCGTTTTTCGCAAGTATCTTGCGCGTAAACTCAGCTCTTTCTCCGTAATTTCATATACAGTATTTATGAGTTTGGGGGCGGCCTTTTAACATTAGGCCTTACTAAATATGGCCCAATGATCAACCATCTGATCGTAACAAATAATAACAGCAGCCCAATTGAGAAAATGTTTCCACTTTGGATCCGGACTAAGATCCGAATACATACTGGTTAACGGTCCATGGAGTTGGCGGGTAAGGAAGAAAACCGAATCAAAACCTTTTCGCTTTGGTTTGACTTTCTGCGTGTCTGTGTTGTTGTCCCCCCAATCGAACCTTCTTCAGCTTCTTCCTTCCATTCCACTCCACAACTTCCTTCCTTATTTCCCCCTGTTGGTTAAATTCAATAAACAAATCCCAAATCAATTTAATCAACCGAATTGTTCTTCTATACTAATCATTCTTTTACAACTCATTTTTCGATTTTGATCTTATTCACCTTCTCCTCCGATCAAACTCATCAATTCCCTTCATTCGTGTTTTCAATTCTTTGTACCGGGAGTTTGAATTCGTCGTGCGAGATGACTTCTCCGTATTACCAGTACTATCAGCCCAATTTCCAAAACCCTAATCCCTCAAATTCAACCGATCCTCAATACAACAATTCCAGCCCGAACCCGGCCCCCGGCGCCGCCGGCCACGGCTACGCTTCCGCGTCTGCTCCGCCGGTTTCCTCTGATTATTCTTCGTCTGCCGATTATTCCAGCAATTATTATTCATCGACCTATGCTCCCTATTCTCAGAATCCGGAGCACCCTCCTCCTTATTCGTTAAACCCCAACCCAACTTCTCAACCGCCTGTCCAGCCATCGTACTCGTTTCCACACTCGGAGCCGTCCTATTATCCATACGATCAGAATCCGGCAGGGGCGGGACCGCCCGGGAGCTACGATTATCCCAACACGAACGCCAACTATAATCCCACGTATTCCCATTCATCCGCCTCCTACGATGGTTTGAGCTCAGCTCCTGTCCAGAATTATGACAATACATTTGGGAATAATTCCAACTTAGGAGGCTATGGTGATCAGGGATCGTATGGCGATGGTGTTTACAAGTATACTGGGGGCAAATCGGAACCCTATGGGGCTAAAGGTACTACTCGGTTTGGGTCTGATAATGGAGTGATGTTTGATGACTATGGGAGACCCATTAGTGTTTCGGGTGGAAAGGGATCCTATCAGAATGGGTCCGGGAACGCCCCTAAGATCGTGAAGGCAGTCCCAAAGGCTGAGGAGCAGCATGATGCGAAAGGCACCGCCCTGAAATACCGTGTTAAGCTCTTGGCAGAAGGATATGGTCAGACTGACATGGATGTTCTTTGCCAGGTTTGTTTTAGGTTTTGATATTGTCATCGGTCTGAATTTGCTTACAAAGAAAGTTCTTTTGCTTTCCCTTCAAGAAAAAATGTGTTGGATGAGAACAAAGTTTTTGGATTTCGATTATGTTGTCTCCTTATTCAAATAGATTATGTGTTTTGAAGAAGTGGAGTCATTAATGTGTTGCAGATTGGGTTGGATGGGATTCGCCTTCTTGATCCTGCTACTAACCGAACTCAAAGAATTTACCCACTTGAGAATGTGGCGAGATGGGAAGTAAGTGAGCAGTGATCACCTTGTCTCTTGTTAACTGCTTTGCATTAAGATTCAGAGGAAGCTATAGATATGTGTTTTTTTAATCTTTTGTTTTCTGCTAGGTACTAGATTCCTATATATTTGCATTTTGGGCTAAGACCTCTGTCGATGTTGAACCAAAGCGGATCAGGCTGAAATCAAACAGCTATACCACCAGTAATATTTTGGATATGGTGACAGCAGCGAGCATTCAGGTTGAACTTCTGTTTATAGCATTTCTGGTTGGTTCATAGGCTTTGTGGTTCAACAGTACTAATGTGACTTGTTTGCATACATCTGAATAAGAATGGGAATTACTGGCCGGTCATATAGTTGCTGCATATAGGTTTTATTTGATTTGATTACTTGGTTATTGGCTGCTATGGCTCTGTAGTTTACCTAGCTTTTGTGTAACATTTTGCTCAGATTCTGATATGTCATGCAATTCAGGTTAAGGAAATGGGTGGAACTACTAAGCCGTCAGATTCAGTCAAGGATGCCGAGCAATCTGGCGAAAAGAAGAAAGCTTTTATCCCTTGGATGAACTTGGTTAAGCCTGGAAACGAGGAAAAGGATCACTGGGTTAGAACTGATTTTTTTTTTTTTTTTTTTTTGCAATGAGTACAGAGACTGCCATAGCCATCTTTATTGTGGTTTACTTGTGATCAAAATTATGTGAATTCTTGTTTGATTCCTTAAGTTTTTATTTGTGTATTGTAGGTTCCTGATGAAGCAGTTACGAAATGTACAGCTTGTTCATCTGTCTTTAGTGCTTTTAATCGAAAGGTACACTCTCGTGTTGGACCTTTGCATTGCTAATACACAAGTTTGGAGCTTTAACAGAGCCTTATGCACTGTCTTGTTCATTTCAGCATCATTGTAGAAACTGTGGAGATATATTTTGTGACAAGTGTACCCAAGGTAGAACTCCACTCACTGCTGATGCAGATGCTCAACCTGTGAGGGTCTGCGACCGATGCCTGGTATGACTTTGGTTTCCTCTGTCACCTACAGAACATCTCTTATGCATCTAAAAGTTCATACCTTTTTTCCTGTCTAAAAGAGAACTTCTTGTTATGAACTGGAGGAAAGATATCTGTTATTTATCGGCATTTTATCATGAGTAACAATGCTAAATATCTCTTGCAATTGATTTAACATGCACTTTGTTGATATTTATGAGAGCACTTTGCATCAAAATGCCTAGTTTTCTCGTTGTGCTAGTATAGTTTTCAATAGGTTCTACTAAGATTTTTTATTTTTTTTTTAATTTTTAAAAAAACTAAGATTATTTGGTGTCTAGGCATCCATTTCCAAGTATTGTCCATATTTTCCGTGTACAATTGTTTCACAATACCTGTTTGCTGACTTTCCTACTCTGCAGGCAGAAGTCACTCAAAGGTTGAGTAACACGAAGGAAGCTGCAACCAAAGTCGGTGGTGTTCAGAGTCACGATGAGCTTGTGAGAAAACTTAGGGTAATTCCTCGTGCCATGGTTTTTATGTTATTATTGTTATGTTTTTTTGTTTACAGACTAATTTTTTATTTAACATGCTATACAATGCACCAGCTATTAAGAGATTTCGGGTAAATTTTGTTTTCTGATAGTAGGAGATCAATTTCATGGTATTATACTTTCAACTGCTTCACAGGCTAAGACTATGGTTAAGTTGTAATGTTAATATTCAACACAAGTTCGTTAAGAGGTGATTAAATCAAAGTTTGGATTTCTGGTTTCCTGTGCAGTTGTTAGCAAACCCCTTTCTTTTGTTTCCTAAACGACTATTAAGGAAAAATTCTGTTCTTTCTTCTTCCTCTCTTCTATTTTATTTCACCATGAGAATTTATTTTGCCTTATAACTTCATTGATTATAGCTCAGCCTTTTTGAAGTAGAGACCTTAGGTTTGGGGTTAAAAAATCATTGTTCATCTTTATCTCTTCGGTTAAAAAAAGTGCTTTGTCGCAAATATTCTGGAAGCATAATGCTTGTTGTGATGATGTGAAAGTCCCCTTGCTAAAAGGATCTGAATGGTGGTCTATTAATTTGTACTTTTTCCTCTTTTTTTTTGTTGGTTCTGCTGCCGGGCTACTAACCCATTCTATTACTTTGTACACTTTTTAGCCCCCTTTCATGTTGTCTCTCCTCATTGAGTTAAAACTGAAAGTGTGAAATCTCAAATGCAGATTCATATTGCCCTACTCCAATGAGCAACCTTAGCAGTCTGCATGTTATTTTCACTAGTAGAATAAAGCTAATATGTATTGTTTAAATTTTTTGCTTACTGCAAGTATATTGACTCCATTGCCTTATATGCTCGTGTGCCCAGGAGGAGATGGACAAAAATCGCAAGAGTTCAACTGGTATGTACATTACCGATACCTAAAGTTGTAGTGTTACTTCATCTGTATACTACGTTTGTGCTATTGAGCGGTCTTTCTTGTGCAAAATAAACATATGGAATCCTTGTCCGGGAGTAAGAAAGGTGACTAATATTTTCAGTTTATAACTTTTATTGGCAGGCCCTATTTCGAGTGGATCTGGAACACGGATGAGAGAGGTTGCATGTCCAACTTGTACAGTCCATCTACAGGTTTGGTGAAGCTTATTTTGAACTACCCCTGTTCAAATCATTACATCCTACGAACAATTTTTTGAAATGGAGTGTATTATTGACACAGGTCCAGGTTCCTGCTTCTGGTTCAGAAACCATTGAATGCAGTGTTTGCCAGCACCCTTTCCTCGTTGGAGCTCATTGATTGGTAGCATCTTCAGTTTCCTGAGAGCAATGTACAAATCCGTTTATAAAGATTCCACATACAAGTTTTAATCTTAGGGACCGTGATAATCATAGACTTCTTTTATCTGTAAGATTCATCAAAATTTGGATTTTGGTTTGTCATGTCTATTCTTGGATTATACGAAGTGTTACTGTTAATATTTGATTTTGTGAGTATTTTCACAGTTGAAGTTTGGTGGTTGGTAGAAGTATGTTTGAGGCTTTTACCTCACAAGGATTGTCCACCAGATATTATTATCCTACGCGTCTATAGTATGAGGAAACTGTATGCCTCATGGTGTGACTTCATTTATTTTTCAGACATGACTATCGTTCACGTCCTTGATCCAGTGGAATTGACTGCACAATTCTATTAACCGAAAGTGAAAAATAATTTGGAATTCATCAAAAGGCAACGTGAGAAAACCGATGATCCCGATCCTTGGGTGACTTGCATAGTTGATAATACAGTCAAGGTGACTTGCATTATTGATAATAAGAGGCGAATGATAAGGTGGCAAGTTGCCGCTAATTTAGTGAATTTTAGATCAGCCTGGAATTAGTGAATTTGTTTTTAAGCAACGACGTAAAAGTGTGTCCAAAACTTAAACATTAACTTGAGAGTCCACAAGTTTTGATCTTTTCATGTTACAAGAGGGGGAGGGAATATCAGCGAAGGTTTCCCTTCAGATTGCAATATGAGTATATGACCGACCAAAAGTAAGATTGAGAAAGACACCAGCTCAAACAGAACAACGCCCAAAAGCAAGGTTGAGAAAGACACCAGCTCAAAGGGTACTAAACAACGCCAATCTTGAAAGCCCAATAATCATTCAAAGGAAATGCCAATCATAATAACCAACTACTCACACAAAGGTAGAGCCGATCCTTCGAACCCAACACCATAAAGCTATATACAAGAAACAAGTTGGATTACACAGTTTATTCCAATAACTATCTAAATCTTCGCCATTCTCAGCTTCCCCGCTCAGAAATAGTGCAACGGCAAAACTACAAAACCTGCCCTCTTGCTACACCAGGCAAAACGACCTGAAAATATTCCATTCTATACACATATACGCAAAGCACACAACAATAAATATATATATATATATAAAAAATGATGGAGAAGAATCTGCGATCAACGAAGTTTATTCTGAGCAACTGCCTGGCATAACTCCTCTTCATAGAACAAAGCTCTATTTGAAGCCAAAGATTTGCAAACAGGTTTCGCTAATACTTTTGGTACAAGGCACCTTGATGGAAATGTGGTCTCCTGAAAGAGAACAGCAGCAATCTGACGCATCTCCGTGAACTTGAGACGAGATGGAGGCCGAGGGCCATGCCTTGGTGCCTTAGGGGTGTGAGGTCTAGGTAGAGGCAAACCTTTTACATCTTCCCTGCTGCAAAAGACTCCCCAAAATCAGTTTCAAATCAATTTTTCAAACAGCTAACTTCCACGTAACTTCAAAGGTGAAATAGTTCAAAGCCAGAGCAGGATAAAACCTCATGAAAGGCCAACGATCAGTAGGAAGGGGAGTCATTATTCTGAGCATCTCTTGACGAGTTCGATCTGGAGTAGTATAATTGAAGTAGAACTGTCTTGCTTGTATAACCTAGTCCAATGCACATGAAATTAATTTATTCATACTTTATGCATAAAATGTATCCATACATAAATAATTGAAGTTGACATCCCCCTTTTGGGATTCATAGAAGAAACAAGTAAAAATATATAATTCAAAATGGGAAAAACCCATAAAAGAATCATAGTCATAGACTCACCGCCTTTCTGATTTTCTGTGAGACATGGAAAACTGGTCGTAATTGATCATGCTCCAGGTGGCACAGTATTTTAATCTAAAAAACAATCACAAGTGTTAGTCACAGAGCTAAAAATGAATTGAAGACATGACTGCTGCAAACAGTTTAAGAGCAAAAAGGAAAGACAAAATCTAAAATTCATATGCAGTTACCAAAAAGAAATATCTCTCTCAAGTTTTATAAAAATGAAAAAACTTGGCCTGGATGAAAAACAGAAGTGGCGGAAATAGAAGGTAACATATCATATGTAAGGTTATTTGTGTTCCTGTTTTCCAGGTGGAGGATGCGCACAAATTAGGGGAAGAAAAGTGCCAAACGTAATGCTGGGAAAACTTTAAACATGATACAGTAACGTATTTTAACATCAACTAATGCAGCTTTCAAACAAGTCATTAACGAACAATTTTCTGTACCAAAACATAACATGCTGTCATCAGATACAAGACAAGATAAAGCTCACAGATTTAAAGGAACACAGGAATGACAAAGTACTCAAGTTCATATAACATACAATAGATCATTTTGATAACCCCAAATGAGAATGGCCAAGATCTAATTTACCAGTAAATCTGAGGGGAGAGACTCAAGCCTGGACTCGGATTCACAATCATAGTCTTCCGAACGAGGTGTTCTTGGAGTTCTCTGTAAATTATTATGCTTTAAAAAATCAATAGGTCCACATAAAGGACCAATATTGGATCGTACAGGAGATAAAATTGTAGGGCTATAAGCCCTATCAGAAGCAAAGTCATATCTTATGGGAGACAAAAGTTTGGGGCTTTCTTGAATGCAGTTATTTTCAATCACATTATTTTTGTTTTCCTTATCTGCATCTACCAAAGCCACCCTTTTCTTTCCGAGATCTGTACAAGATTTAGTGGCCAACGATTTGTTGTACCGAATCTGAGCGAGGGCACCAGGTTTTAAATACTTGTTGCCAGAATTCCTTGGCCGCCTTTTCTGCTTGGATGTCTTAGTTTTACCATCCTTTGGAGAAACTTTGCCCATTCTGTGGCGTCCCAACAACAATCTTATGGCTTCAAGGTTCCGAAATCACTCTACAGCTTGAATTTCTGCTGCAACAGAGTTCAAAATGAATACACAGAGTCGAATCAATGACAGGACAACCAGAAAGCAACTTTCACTGGTGAAATCATAGAAAATACAAAATCTTCCATATGAAAGGCAATAGAAACAGAGATGGCACAAATTAAAGAAAAATCGACCTAATTTTTTTTAATAACAATCAGGGCAGATCGACCGAACAAATTCTAAAGTTCTGTAACAAGAGGTTCGAATTCAAATTTAACCGGAAAATTTTTTAAAAAAATATACTACATAAATTTCCTGCTGAAACCCTAAGAAATGTCCATTTATATGGCCGTGCTTATTTGCCCATATTGAAAATTAGGCTAGCTAACAGTATCAATCAAACACACAAAAAAAAAAAAAAACCCCCCATAAATTTCCAATCAAACAACCAAAAATAGTTCCAATCTGTAATTCCTAACACCCCATAAGCCAAAAACATCTAAGCATTTCAGCCGGAAAGGAAACACCGGAGCTAAATAAAGAAAAGGAAAAACAGAAAAGCAAGTACGGACTTTTAAATCTAATCTCCAGACATGCCCAAAAACACATTCATTAGAACAATAAATCACATACCTGATAAGAAAACCACCATTCGGGATAAATATTCCAATTCAAAGAATAAAGTAAGAGTAAATTAAGAATTTCGTGCTTAGAAAATAAGGCAGAGGAAGAAAAAAGAAAAGGTGGGAGGGAAGGGAAGGTTGGAGGGAAGAGGAAGAGAAATGATGTGAATGGGACCGCCGGCTGAGGTGACCACCTAGGGTTTTGGTCTATTGTTTAGTGTTATTTTGACCTTTGAGGGGTAGCTTAAAATGAGGGCGTTTTTTGAATTTCTTTTTTGGATGATTCGCCCGCCAAATTTTTCAGACACCAGTTACCAATAAAATTTCGCGTGACACGTGGCGGGCTGGTACTGGGTGGAATGAGGTGCACGTGGGATCCCCTTGAAGAATCCTAAGCGAAGCTGATTCTACGCCTGCGGCATAGATGGCGGGCAGATAGATTCACCCTCGTTCATTATTAGTACCTGTCATTTTTTTAAAATTATTTTTTTTACAATGATATATGTATTAGTTAATTAAGAGAGTACTTATACTATTGCATTGCATCCTATTATATCTTAAGCATAACTTATAGACATCATTTCTATTTATTTTAGTCAGTTCGTATAATTCAAATGAGGCTATTAAAGAAATTAATAAATCAATTATTACTTGCGCTTCTACCCAGATTTTTATGCTTCCCTAAGATTAGTAGTTAAGAGTTCACAATCTCTTTGAATCTAAACACGGGTGATACTTTCACGGTTTGGCTCAAACCGGTGGAACCGCCCAATCCGGTCATCGGTTCGGATTAACGGGCGGATTATAATTATATTTTTAAATCGACGGATTGAAAAATTGAAATCGGTCAATTCGGTCCGGATTACGATCGGGCACTGTCAAACCGTCTGTCAATCTAGACCGCACCGTATATATATTATAAAATAATAATATATTAGTTTTGTATATATAGCGTCGGATAGAGACTTTTATTGAAAGTGCTAAGTTATCCTATTGGTATTGTTGTTGTTCCCTCTACATTAGCCCTCGCAGAAGGTTGTGTGTTCGAATCCCCCATGGACTATTTTTTTTTTTTCAAGAAAAGCCTCCAAAAAAAAGGCTCAAAAAATTTTAGGAAAAGCTCCCAAAAAAGGTCCAACCACAAAAAAATGTTTAATTTTTTGTCTAAAATAAAAAAGTCTAATCAGAAGCCCAAACCGTCGATCCGCCCAAAACAAACCGTTAAAAACAGATTGAATTAGTCCGGATTATACACCAATCCGGTCCGATTACGGATTGAAAATTTTTCAAACCGTAATGAACGGTTTGGTTACGGATTGCTATCAATCCGAACCGTGAACACCCCTAACTACTAGACAGAGCATGGCATGGTTTGGCTACTATGTACCGGTTATGATAAGATGTGGTCTTACTGCAAACCATGCCATGATTGCCACAAAAAAAACCCATTTATTCGTGAACAATCATCAAGCTTTCAGAAACTTAATTTGAGCAGGGTGATTAAAACTTTAAAATAAAACTAAACAATACAAGACTTTTAGCAAGTATTGTCATTTTCTACGATGTGGGAAGAAATAACATAAATACACCAAAAATAAAAAAAAATGTAAGTTTAATTATGAGAAAAAAAGTAGTAATCATATAATATAATACATTCTGAAAATGGTCCTTTACATTAGGTCAAATGTACATTTTGGTCATCGACTTTAACATTTTGCTGAAATGGTCTTTTACATTTTTGTTTGTAACTTTTTTTGTCCTTTGATACTATTCTCGCATTTTTGAAAAATAATTCAAAAAAAATTATGTTAATATAAATATTAAAATAGTTATATTAGTAAAAATATAAATAAAAATAAAAATTAAATTAATGAAAAATTCAAAAAATTAAATTTTAAACTAAAAGTGAATATTAATGAAAAATGTATCTTTTTGACATAAAATTTATATTATTTTAAATTTTGTGGGCTTGGGAAAAAGTAAAAATATTACTTTTATGAGATAAAAAAATAAAATAATAATTTTTTGAAAAATAATTTGTTATGAAATTAATAATATTTTATCATTCTGTAATTTCAAATTTTTATTAATTTAATAATATATGATTCAACATTATTTTTTTGGAAAAAAAATATTTTTTTTCAAAAATACCCATGTTGACTTGAAGTTAAATATGGACAAACTTTTAGAATAGTTACAAACAAAAAGGTGGCTGACCATTGCAGCCAAATGTTAATATAGATGACTAAAATGTGCATTATACCTAATGTAAACGACCATTTTCAGAATTTAGTATAATAAATGTATCAAATTGTTGAATCTTCAAGCTACTTAGGCAATGATTATGAAAATAGCCTAAAAATGTTGGTGGTTCAACACAAAAGTTATCAAATTTGACTACAACAAATTACGATATCAATTGCTGCCATAACGAGATTATCGATGTTTTTTTTTTAAAAAAAAGCACGGCGAGTGCTTAATCCATTTTATACCCCTAACAAACAAAAAATGTAAGTTTGATTATGAGATTAAAAAAAAAAGAGTACTAATACAATAAAATAAATATATCAAATTGTTGAACCTTCAAACTACTTACCCAATGATTATGAAAACTAGCCTAAAAATGTTGGTGGTTCAATAGTATAAAAGTCATCAAAAGTGACTACAACAAATTACAATAGCAATTGCTATTGTAATTACAATAGCAATTCCGAGATGTGTTCAAAAGGTACATATAATACCATCCGCAGTGGACATCAGATGATCAAGAGAATCCCGATACTTGTTGCTATTTCCGTGATATTGATGTAACCGTGGAGATTCCATATACTGCATTCTTATTTCGTGGCAGTGAAAAAGGTTTGAAATCAGTAAGATTCACATCCGAACAACTAATGTTCACAGGGATAGTGATGGTGATGTATATTGTTTGGCTTTTACAACTTGGAATCGACCCTAAGCAATCATTGGTATCTATCAATTGGTGGAAACTCTTGTGACCATTGACGGAGAGAAGCATAAGGTGTATTTCGACTATAATTATTGTTAGATAAAAAATTATGCTGTTTTAGCTTTAGTTGATATTAGTAGAATGAATAATTTTCTTATTAAATCTAAAAATGAGATAGCATGAAAATTTCTTTCCAAGATTAAAAAAAATAATTAAATTAATAATTAATAATATATTCAAATCTAAGTTTTTACATTAGAGTTTTTAAAAATCTATAAAATTGTAGGGATTTATATTTACATAGCAGATTTCTTAAAAAATTCATCTTGAGTTTCTTTATATTTTTTTTTTACTTGTCCCAACTACGAACTGAAAAAATTACTATTTAATAGAGACTACTGATGTATATGCCTATAATTATGGTGGTTTGCTGTATCAAATAAATTAATAATATAAATATTTTTTCCAAAAAATAATAATAATATAAATATTAAAATAACATTAAATTAATATAAATAACTCAAAATAAAAAATATTATTATTATAAAAATTAAAAATTCATTTAATAAAAGACTAAATTCTGAAATTGCTTAAATGTGTACAAGATTTAGAGATATTTTCAAAAAATTATTATATAAAAAAGGCTAGACTATGAAATTGTTTGCAATTTCGTAGATTAGTATTTTAAAAAGATACATAAATTTAGATTTTTTAAAAAATATTTTATTAATTCGTTATTATGAGTAATTTTACTACTAAAGTGAGATCCCGATTTGAGGATTAAGATGGGTATCTAGGATTTTAGTGGGATAGATACCATATAGGACGAAAATTTCACAGTAATGGGCTTAGATTTTTTTTTTAAATAAAAAAAATGGTTGAAAATTTTTTCAAAAAAATTAAAATACTAATTTTTAAAGAATAATCTTTTATGAAATTAATAATATTTTATCATTATGTAATTCCAAATTTTTATTAATTTAATAATATCTTATTCAATATTATTTTTTTGAAAAATAATTTTTTTTTCGAAAATACCCCATGTTGACTTGAAGCTAAATAAGGACAAACTTCTATAATAGTGCCACAGAATAAAAAAAAGTTACAAACAAAAATGTAGCAGACCAATTTAGCCAAATGTTAATGTATAAGATTAAAATGTACATTAGACTAATGTAAAGGACCATTTTCAAAATTTAATCTAATACATATATCAAATTGTTGAATCTTTAAGCTACTTACGCAATGATTATGAAAATAGCCTAAAAATGTTGGTGCTTCAACACAAAAGTCATCATATGTAACTACAACAGATTACAATAGCAATTGCTACCATAACAAACAAAAAATGTAAGTTTGATTATGAGGAAAAAAGTAGTACTAATATAATATAATAAATATATCAAATAGTTTACTCTTCAAACTACTTACCTAATGATTATGAAAAATAGCCTAAAAATATTAGTGGTTCAACCCAAAAGTCATCAAAAGTGACTATAACAAATTACTATAGCAATTGCTGCCATAACGAGATTATCATTTTTTAAAAAAAAAAAAAACGCACGGCAAGTGCATATCATTAAGGAAAAATCATGTTAATACACACGAAGAATAGGGGCCTCCAAATATCATATACCTTTAGAATTGTTCTTACCAAATCATGGATTGTATGTTTGAATTTTGTTATTTTAAGTATATTTTCAATAACAAAATAAGAAACTAACAAAATTTTGTCCTAAACTGCTACTTTTTTCCCCGAACTTTTGAAAAAGATCGAATCGCACCGTAAAGTGGACTCAAGTGGCTCCTTAATCATGTTGCGCTACACTAGTATCGATGGCTACTACATGCTATAACTAGCGGAGGTTCGAATTGGGAACGACATTGTAGAAGCTGACTATACAGTTTTATATGAAGTTTCCGCTATCATTGATTAAGGAACACGCAATTATCGACTGCTAAACACTTATACCTCATATTCTAGGATGTGTTCAGAAGGTACATGTAACACCATCCACAGTGGACATCAGATGATCCAGAGAATCCTGATACTTGTTACCATTTCCGTGATACTGATGTAACCATGGAGATTCTACATACTGCATTCTTATTCCGTGACAGTGGAATAGGTTTGAAATCAGTAGATTCACAGCTGAACAATTAATGTTCCCCAGGGATAGCGATGGTGATGTAAATTGTTTGGTTTTTACAACTTGGAATTGATCCGAAGTAATCATTGGTAGCTATCAATTGGCGGAAACTCGTGT